TTCATCACCAAGACCAGCTTTTCTCCTTGCCTTTTTTGCTGTCTCTGTTTTGTCCATTTTAGCACCAGCTCCTGCAGTACCAAGGCCCAATTCCTGCCTCACCTTCTCTGCCCTCCTTCATCTTGCGACTCACATTGATCTCCTAAGTCAAGAACTAAACTAAGAAAGTGTGTACACTTGAGGAGGCTGCTAAAATGATGATAAAGGGAAGATCAACGGACCCTGGTCAAAGCCTTGAAAGTCCATGCCCATCTGAGGAGGAAAAAGGCTGGGCCATGCAGGAGATCAAGAAGGATCTTGCTCAAGGGCGCATGCATTTGGGATCTCCATTCTGAGATTGCGAAGCTGAAGGAAGAAAGTGACGCCTTGGAGAAGAAGGTCAATCCTGTTTCAAAACTGCTTGAAGAGAAAGAAGAAGCCCTGCTGAGTGAAAAGAGCAAATACAAAGCTTTGGAACAAGAACATAGCAAAACGGTTAAACTTGCAAAGCGTGAAATTGTCATGGCCATGCATGAAGAATACGAGACTAATAAGACAATTAGCAAACAAACAGGGCATCAAGGACCCCAAGAACGAAGGGATTGAAGCTCCTTTGCACAAAAGTGAAGCAGCCATTGCAGGGTATGAAAAGGCGTTGGGCTTGAAGTCAAATGCTGAGGATTTGAGACAAGCCAACCAAAGGATCAAGGAGCTGGACCAGTCTGTCAATTCTTGTCTCACCACCTCTTTTGATGCTGACAGAGCGAGAGCATTGATATCTACTGATGGCTCACTACTGTGTTCTGGTAAGGGACATTGTAGGGCTTTCACTTTTTTCCCTTTATCATCATCTTCTGATTGGGTCGGAACTGGGGCATTGTTGTCCACTTGTGCTGTTGGACTGGTGTCTTCTGGTGGGGCAATCGCCTTGCCATCATTGTGATCATCACTATCTTCTAATGCTGGCGGAACTGCACTGTCCTCAGGTGACGGTGGACTGGTGTTTGTTGATGGTGCGGTCACTTTTTTCCTTCATCATTGACACTATCTTCTAATGATGTCAAAGGGACCTCTGATTGGGCGATGGCCAAGGCTTTCTATTTCTGTTTCTGTTGAGCCTTGGTGCCTGAGTCACTGTCTGTTGATGTGGTAGCGCGCTTTGCAGTGGATGCTGCTGCAATGGATCGAGTGACAACTTGTGTAGCAGTATTTAAAGTTGAAATAGTCACTATCAGCCTTCTTCTTCCTTCCAACCTTGCCAGCAGTGCGATTTCGACCTGTAGACGATCCTGGCATCATAATACTTCACCGCACCAAGTCTCCAACCTACTAGAGGCGAGGACAAGACACAACACAAAAAAACTTTCGTAGCTACACACTGCCTGTCACTCCGCGCAATGGAAGATGAGAAACAGATGTGTAAAAAGCTGGAATGTGCGGAAGTTGATGGAGGAAACGGTCTCTGAGGACTTTGGTAACGTTGCTACGGGCTAGTAAAGGAAAGGGGAGATGGTTCGATTGTGCAACTGTGCTATGCTGCAAGCAACCGGATAGGAATGCCACTTGTCATGTTGATGTGATGTTTTTTTATGTCTTGTCGCTGAAATGTTTTTCTGAAGGAGAGCAAGCCCGGTCTATTACCAATGACGTTGGCTTTTTTGTCCTGATCGATGGATGAGGCTGGATGGTTGGCAGGCGTGTGACCGGCCGGCAACATTTGGGTCGCTCTTACCGGGTCGAAACTCGACCAGATGCGTCTGGCCGTCACACGCCACCACGTAGGTATCTTACATTTTTTATGTCCATGAAATCGATGGATCTCGTTAATTCTCATAATCACACTCTGTTGCGAATATCAAGCCTACAAAAATGGAGAGAACTTACATCATGATCAAGCCCGATGGTGTCCAACGCGGACTTGTCGGAGAAATCATCAAGCGCTTTGAACAAAAGGGATTCAAGCTTGTTGCCATGAAGATTACCATGCCTTCAAAGGAACACATGGAGACCCACTACGAAGACCTGAAGACAAAGAAGTTCTTCCCTGGACTTATTGCTTACATGACCTCTGGACCAGTCTGTGCTATGGTCTGGGAAGGAAAGGGAGCCTGTCTTGAAGGACGCAAAATGCTTGGTGCCACCATGCCCTCTGATTCCGCCATGGGAACCATCCGTGGAGACTACTGCATTGAAGTTGGCCGCAACATCTGCCACGGATCTGACTCTGTCGAATCCGCCAACAAGGAAATCGCCCACTGGTTCCCTGAGGGAGTCTGCGAATGGGAAAGCTGCGAAGCTTCTTGGATCTACGAGTAAATTCGATGCTAGGTATTTTAATTGTCTAATTCCTAATATAGATCTCGAATGTTCATAGACCGATGATTGAAACTTGATAGAAAAGCCAGGTCGAAATTACGAGCTGGTGCCCTTTTGGGATCTCTTGCGATATTTACTGGCATCACCGGTTGCGTGAAGATAGCTCGACGGGTCCTTCATGAACTTACGCACGACCGACTCACTTCCCCGTGAGGGTTCGTTTCCGGAAAATCATGACAATCCTGATCACAAGTTTATGTTTCACATCTTTAGACTTTCGGTTCACTCCAGCAGCTCATAGATTTCTGTTACACATCTTCACACTTCGGTACACTCAGCAGCTGTTGTAGTCACATCAATCGAGCAATGACGCAACGTACACTTTTGGTTTCACCTTCTGTGTCAATAGAAGGCACGCATTTAGGTCAGCCATCAATTTTTCATGACTCACTGTGATTCTACCAGTGTCTAGTGCTTCTTTCACAGCTTCTGGACTTGTTGATAGCATTACCTCGCATGTCAGAAGCTGACTCCGTCGAGCGGCAGCACTAGGTGACAGTATCTTCGAACCAAACACACCAATACGAGGCAGGCCTGTTGCATGTATAGAGTATTCTTCCCCCTTGATGTACAGCTTTGCGTTAGCTTGTGCAAAAATGGTTGATATCGCAGAAAACTTCTTCGACAAGGCATCGTATAACGTGACTGGATGCAGTGTTGCCTTTGCTTCCCACACCCAATCGATGGTCATGGTTTCATCGCCATCATTGAATGGGGCCAAGACTACTGCATCTAGTTCCGTGGTCATGCCATTCACATCGAATGACTTTGGTAACTGAATCACATAGGGGCATTTCTTGCTCATCGCATTCTTGTGTTTGGTGGTGATAAAAGTGTTGTGTAGCACTCGTTCCTTACTGTGTTCATGGGACAGAAACTCTTTCAAACTGGATTCACCTTTTGCTCCTTTACTTTTTCCACAATCAGAGGAGTCTGAAGAGTTAAGTACCAGCTCTTTTTTCACACACATCAGCAATAGTTCTTGCTGAGCTGGATCTTGTTGAAGCGCATATGCTTCCAAAAGATGTTCTTCGTCGACCGCACCCACAACCTCATGAAAGATTGGGGATAAATCTGGGCGAACATCTTGAAGCAACAGATCCATTTGACCTTTGTATGCTCTCCCTCGTGCAAGATAGGAAAACAGTTTGGCGGCATTCGGGGCAAACGACTCGTAAATTTCAAGACCACCTTGAAACTGCGGTGCGCCTTGTGGCGGTTCGAATCCATTGAGCTCTTCTCTTAGGAATTTTTCTGCTTTACCCCACTCTATCGCCGCAGAGAGATTTCTCAAATCCTCATCCATCTTGACCTTGGAAATCCCCAAAAGAGCACGCATCATTCCTTTTCGATGAACTTCACTGACGGTAAGCTGAAAGGAAGGATCTACGGCCGCAATGGTATCCTTCAGATATTGCTCGACGTCGATCAATTTGACTCCTGCCATACTTAGCGAACTTTGAAACCTTCTAGTTGCCCTGCGATAAGTGGCTTGTGAGCGGGTACAGTAGAAAAGCAGCTGCCATGTCTGCCAACACAACTGAGCTTTCATCAAGGATAGATGCTATCATCGTCCTGCCTGTCGGACCTTTTGAAACGTGTTTAGCGTACACGGACGGACAGAAGCAAGTAGTTAATACGACTGACCACCGCAAACAGTGGAAAAATTGACCAGCCGGAATAGAAGGATTGATAGAGATCTCGCCAAAAAAGTATACTCGTATTCAGGAATGTGGATTAAATATTCACGATGGCGAGGCTGGCGATGCAGTTTTTTTGCTCCAAAAAACAAATAGCGAGTTGAAAACGAAACCTCCCTCCAACAAACTGTTGTCACTTGTTATTACAGCATCGAATCACAAGATGTATGCCCAACAGAGACAAATGCGCTACAGCCCCCACAATGGGCCAGGATACTATGAAGATCAACGCCGTTACCAAGGCAGTGGATACAGTCAAACCGGATACAGTCAAGCCGGTTACAGTCATGCAGGATACAGCCAACAAGGTCACAGCCAACAAGGTCACAGCCAAGGTGGATGGGACCATCGTTCGTTCGTCTCTGGTGCCCATGGTCATCAAGGCTACGGACAACCATATGCCAATCGGCATTCTCCTGTTCCAACTTACGGTACGAGATCTCCTTCTCCCCAATGGACAGAACAACAAAGTGCTCGGTACAACCAGAATATGAACAATTCCCCGGTCCCCACTTCTGCTCGCGACACTCCAGTCAGCAATGGTGATATGGACCACTCCAGCACTATTGACTCCTACGACCAAGAAGACTATGCAGCTACTACATACACCGTTTCCGAAGAGGAGCCAGCCGCAAACGTGAGCTGTACAAACCTTCTTTTTGGAGGAGGAAAGAAGAAAGCTGGATTGATCAATTGCAATCAAGTTGACCCATCAACCACTGAGGTCGAAGTCAATCTCAACATGCCACGAATGGAACATCTCGAAAAGCGTGTGGATCATTACATGAATCAAGTTCCTTCGTCACAGTCGAATTTGAGAGCTGCTGTTCAGGCGTTCCATTGTAAGCAAGAGCCAATTCACACTCATCAGTTCGCACAGTATGCACGCTATGATTACGACACCTACTATGAAGAGCCGGATTATATTCAGAATGCATTTCAACCACAGATGATGATGCCTCCCACTCCTCGACAACCTGTCCCTGCCCAAATCTACGGATCGGCTTTGTTCTCGGAAGGCTCTGCTTCCACTGAGGATGAGGAGGAGCCAGTTCCAGTGCAACGGTTCCAAAACAAACGTGCTCCGCGTGAGATCATTGTTGACAACCACGACACAGTTTCAGTATTATCAGACAAACATCTTGTAAACATGGGCATTGGTCCATCCCCCCGTCACCAATCGAACTATGGAAACGATGAAGCGATGAAGCCTTTCTCTCCGACAAACCGAGCGTCTCCTCGTACCCCATCGAGATCGAAGGGTTTCAGGGATTACAATGAAATCCCTCCCATGCAAGCTAGGGCTATTGATGAGAACGGGCTGAAGAAAGATTCCGAATCTTCCAGTCTCGTCCCAACGTACCCCGATGAGAATACTCCAAGGCGACAAGAGAAGTCGAAACTGGTTGAAAAGCCAGTGGTTGTCCAACGGGCAGTCTACAGGTCCAACGACAATCGAAGCTTTGACGAATCTGTTGAAGTCTCTGTTTTCCAAAAGAGAACAGATTATGGAAGATCGACCAAGAAACAGACCTATGAATACAGCGAGAGCCCGAGCTTTGATGAACCTGTTCAGGTTCGTGCGAAGCCGGAAACAAAATACGAACCCAAGGATGAAAATCCAAGCTTTGACGAGTCTGTTGAACCAATGATCAGACCAAGAAAGAAGGCCGAACTTCTCATAAATGAATACGAGAATGATCGCACGGCTTTGCGTTCGACAAGAAACCATATGTTGAAAGAGCGAACTGAAACTTCATCCAACTTCTCAAGGCCACGGGTTGAAGCGCAACGCAGCAGATACGTCGTAGACGAGCTCATGGGCAAGTCCGAAAGTTCGGAAGAAGATGTACTTGGAAAACCTCGCGAGAAGACATGGGATGAGCTAATGGGTACTATGGATGACACTAAAATTCTGGAAGATGAGCTAATGGGCAAGTCACGAGGCAAACCAGAAGATATGTCGATGGGGATGAGAGGCCAATCTGTGATGGCCGACTCGGAGAAATATCATGAAATGTCCTCTTCAGTCCCTGACAGAGACGTTGACGACAGAGTCACTAGAACACCATCCATCGAATCCAACATTGATGCCATATTGGAGAAGATTGACAACGAGCAATTCGAAGCCGAAGAAGAGACTGTGGGAGAAGAGGTTGACTACATGCCGTCAACAAGAGCAGCTGCTTCTCTGATTGAATCCATGATGGGTAGCCTCACCAAGAAACCACTTCAAAAGATTGCCGAAGATGAGGATTTTGAGGCTGGTATGGACGCTCTGAATCTTGACGACGATGAGGAAATAAAACAAATGAAGAAGGATCTATACAGATTCTTGTAATGTTCTTCATGCGATATCCGTGAGGGATAATGTCTTTTACTGTTAATTTATGAATAAATCGCTTTTGTACTTTTTGCCTTCCATCGTTTCCAATTCCTGCATTTATTTTTATTGTTACAGTACAGCAATACCAATATGTGCTGGACTGATATTGCGTATCGTAATAAAATGGTTCGTTGAAGAATGAAGGCCACTCGTGACTCACATCCACGAGCAACAACACTTCCCACACCTTCACCACTCAAAACTACGGTACAATAGTAAAGATGACAAATGGCTTGTATGATGCTATTCTGTTACTTCTTGTTAGCTGTTCACAATACACGGAAGCATTTCCAATTTTTCCTAGAGAGAGGAGCTCTCGAATAGATCGGATTGCAAACGATCTGAGGTTGTCAGCAGAAATCGAAGCTCAGTCAGGACCTCGCCAAAAAGATCCAACCAGTTACATATCCGAGATAAGGTCGAGGAATCTAGCTGGTGTACATGCCGATGAAGCCTACAATGATGTCATTGTCGATCTCCAAGCTGGAGATAGCGTCAACTCAATGGTCGTAGTCACTGGCGAAACAGGAAGCGGGAAATCCCTCCTGGTGTCAAAAGTCGCGGACCTAGTGACAGGAGGAAAATTGGATCCATTGCTACTACAGAGGCCATCAAATGAACAATCAAAAGAATCAACGGCATCAACTGAAATGAGTGAGTGCCTCGCGTATAATCCATAGCTTGAAAAAGGCACACTCTGATGACTTCGTTTACTATCATGCAGTTTTGAAATTATTTGGTTCCCATATTGCGTCGGTCGCGAGTACTCTAAGGTTTCTAGGTGTCGACGCCGAATCTATTCTTGGTGAAGACGTCGAATCAATGAGTAGGGGGGCTTTGGATCTTTCTTTGAAGCGATCTATAATGCAATCTTCCAACGGACGAACCAAGTCAGTTTGTGAGATCAATGATCAAACAGTTACTCTCAAAGTACTGAAAGCGGTTGCTTCTCCCTTGCTAGCGATTGTAAATGCTCCGTTGGCAGGAATGGCCCTTGGACGTCCCAATTCTCGAATGGCGATGATTGATATCGGTAAGAGAGTGAATATCATAGTTGCACTGACTGACTATCCGGATATCTAACCGAAAAGTGCGTTTTCCATTGCCTAGGCATCCGATCCGAAATTACAGAGACTGTGCGCCAGTTGCAACGGAAATACAATAAATGCCGCAGACGAAGAGTGTCACTCGAAGCCGAACTACAAAGTCAGGTACTACCGGCTTCCATGAACTCTGGTGGAAATGTCAATGAAGAACTCATGTTGCATTGGATTGACGAGCTGGATGGATTTGAGGCACGCATACGATCATTTTGTGAATGCACATCATCCGACTCTTTCACAATGGAATCCCCATTGCAAAGTCGTCTTGAAGAACTGGAGTCGTTGTCGTGGATGGACAGTGATGCTGCTGCTCCTTCTTTCAGTTCGTCGTTGTATCGAAAGCTATTGGATTTTTTGGAAGCACTGAAATCAATGGATGTCCGTATTGAAGCTGCCAGACAGGCACATGAGACACTTGGATCCATGTCAAATCCTAGCTCGGCTCGAACGGCACTGGAACGAACACGGGACCTGTTACTGGATGCGACTGGGAGTGGTGACAGTGAACAGACAGGAGACCGAATAGTCAAGAGTTCGGAAAAGGCACACCAATTGCTAAACAATGTGGAAGATGCCTTGATTGAGTGTGCAACCTTTTTGGATGATGACCAAGGGCTCCTCGCAAACCTTGAAGCAGAACGAAAGTCGTGTGCCAAGTCTTTGGAGGACTTTAATGAGATTATATTTGAATGGAACACGTTGGCACGCAAACATGGAGTTTCATCCTTCTTGTTGCCGCTGTGCCACAACTCCTTGCGTAATCAACTAGATGGAAACATTGAAGCCAAGAGAATATTGCCTCTGGCAATTGAAGCGGAGAATGATGCTCTGCTAGAGTTGGAGGAAGCATCTTCAAAGCTGACCAAGGCTCGAGTAGAACTCACTGCTCGAATATCCGAATCAATCTCTGATCGGTTACCAATTTTGGGAATGGAAAACTCGCGGTTTGAAGCAAGGTTGCTCCCATTCCAGACACCGACCTACTCCTCGTCCGCACTAGGAGTCGAGGAGGTAGACTTTTACTTGCTTCATGACAATTCAGAATCGACTGGCGACGTTAGTAGTGGCAGATCCAGAGGGGGCAAAGTGGAGTCGGTAGCGAGTTCGGGTGAAAAGGCAAGGATTCTGTTGGCCATCGAATGCGAAATTCCAGGGTCGGTTGGAGCTTTGTGTGGTGTCTCCTCAAATGAAAATGTCCAATACCCGGCTCCAGTCGCTGTTATCTATGATGAGATTGATGCTCATGTTGGAGGCCGAGCGTCCGTCGCCGTCGGCAAGATGCTCAAAGACCAGTCGCAATCTTGTCAAGTCATTTCCATTACTCACAGCCCATCGGTCGCTGCGATTGCCGGCAAACACATCTGCATCCACAAGGAGGTTCTTTCGGCAGAGAAAGGATCCATTGCATCCGCAACAGTTGTGACAGGACTCGAGCGACGCAAAGAGCTTGCTCGCATGGCAGCTGGGGATATGGCCACCGAGGAGGCAGAAATATTTGCAGAAGCCTTGATACGGGATGTTTCCAAAGAGTCAAAAGTTAATACGTAGTTGTCGTCGTAAATGTAGTAGAGCCAGCTTTCGATCGTTATTGTCAAAGAAAAAGTGGTCTCAAATCTAAAGTGACTGCAGTAGTACCGTGGTACGAGTAGTACTTCAGGACTGACGTGTACGTACAAAAAGTACCATGGCGTGAACCGGGAAAAAGACATCGAGCATCGATCCTTCATTGGATGTTGCAATAATCCAACGAGGTTGTGTTGCCAGTAAGGAGTAAACGACACTCATCACAATGTCTTCATTACCTCGCCCTCCAGGCGCACCAACACGCCGAAGTAGTAGCAACAGTACTTCCTATGGCAAAACGACAACGCCAAGAACACCATCGCCACAAGTCATAAAAGGGACAACTCGTCACATTTCCTCTGGGAGCTTGCCACCTCCTCCCACCATGGTCTCTCCAAATCCAAAGAAGGGACAGTCATCAAACTACGCACAGAACTTATCCCGCAGTATGACTATTGAAGAAATGCGAGAACTGCATCGAAGGGCCCAACGAGATGCTGAAGCCAAGCAAACTGAGCTTCGATTGGTTTTGGCATCTAGGTATAGAGAGTTGGTGGGAAGCAGTGATGAAGTCACCAAAATGGGGGAAAGAGCACAAGAGCTTCATGAATTGGTACACGCATTGCCAGAATTAATGGGGAAACTGATTCAATGCGCTGAGGAAGACGCTTATGAAGAAGCAAAAGATGCTGGAGAGGAAGCCAAAGAAATTGACAAAGTCACTATTTTGCGACAGGATTTGGCGGCATTGCCTAGACGAGTGCATCGAGCATTGGACACGAATAATGTTCATGAGGCAACGGTATCCCTACTTTTGCTATTCCGTTTGATTGCTGAGCAAACACAAGACTTTCCATTGGCTTCGGCTTTGGCAACGGATATTTCCTTTAGCCCGGTTCCCAACTCCAATTCCATGTTACAAGCGCAAATAAAAATGACATTTCTGCACGTCCAAACACTTCCAGCGAAGATTACTAGGCAATCTACAACGATTTTGGACTCGGCGGCATCCTTTGGAAGTACACCAGAGTTCGGTGCTGAGACTTCAGCAGCCGCATTGTCCACTTTAGATTTGTTGGATATTGCGGAAAAGAAAGAACGAACTACCAAGCTTCTTGACATGTACTTTGATTCCAAGGCTGCATTACTTCAGGGATTTCTAACTGAATTGAACCCTTCCAACTCGGATGACGGTGGCACTGACAATACTGAGGAAATCCTCTCCAAGATTGTCTTGATTCTGCAGTACGATATCATCTTGCACCCTTACCAAATGTTCATTTTGCGTAATTTCCCCTGCGCACCACAATCGGGGTCCACTGTCGAGGGGATCATGAAGTCACTTCCAATGTTTCCTGCCAGCATTGTGCAATCAAAGGTATCAAACTTCTTGTCGGCACATTTGCCTCTGATACGGACCAAGGTCAAGAGCGTCTTGGTGAACATTGCCGGTACCACAGCCTCGGCTTTGGGAAAGATTCGGCAGTCGTTGTACGATAAAACGGATGGACTGGAGTGTATGGAACGTTTGGACAACAATGGTATCTGCTCATGGGAAGAAGCCGTTTCTGGTGTTGTGGATGTTCAAGTTGTCCTCAGCAGTAGCCATGGTGGTGGTGGGCCGATTGCACACGGAGAAACAACAGCCATCCCTTCCAAATTTTCTCTATGGGGAGTTTTGTTCTCTAATACATTCTCGTCGCTGGTGCATTCGCTGTTGACAACATCCTTTCAGTCTGTCCATACCAAAGTGGTTTCCACACTTCGCGAATCTTTGGCCAATGCGCCTGCTCTATCTTCTATCCTTCCGCATGAAGCTTACCGAAATACACTACATATTGCTACAGAACTAGACTCTTCATTGCTGAAGGTCAGTGCTGATGCTCACGAGTTGTTGGTACATGCTGAAGAGCGAGACGAAAGCGAACGACGTTTAAAGCAATCCTTGTATGTACAAACATGTGAAATTGTTGGTCGATTGCTCTCCGAACTTCGACGCATGCTACTACTGCCCGACAAATCCCAGGCTGTCATGAACCTCATCGTGGGGCGTCTGTGCCATTTGTTAAAATATCGTTTGACGGCATTGCCAACTCTTTTGGACCCCAACTCGTCACCTGCCGTGCTTGCTGGTTCCAGTGGTATGATCTCATTACTGGAGCTTTCGTCAGCCTTTGAATTGGCAGATGATAATGATGATGGATTGATTACATTCCAAGAGGCGATGGAAGCCGTTGATAGTGCCTTTTCGGGAACCCAACACCACGGAGCCGAAATGGTGCGAGAGACACTTCTCTTGCCAGCTGTGGGCGAGAAGGATGTCGCGCCTGCTTCGATGGGCGCCAATGCCAAGGCATACACTCCACAAGATGTGACATTGAATGAGTTGACACTCCTTCTTGCTCGGGGTCTTCGACATGAACAATCTGGCAAACACAGTGCCTTGGGAACTGTTCAAGAGTCATTGGATGCAATTATCACCGAATCGTTCAATAAATGGTCCAAGGAGGTGTTAGATCCCTCCTCAAGCTCACTTTCCACCAGCCTCGAGAGTTCTATTGGAATCTTCTCCAGCTACTCGGAGGAAGAGTACAAGCGAATTTATGCACATGCAGAGTCACCAATTGCGAATCAAGTTGGTCCGGTGGTTGGAGGCGTGTCGCCACATGTTACAGCTTTTGTGTTGGAATTGTCCAGTATTCTGGATCGATCAGTCTGCCCATCAGATTCCTTGCTCCCAGTCCCATCGGTAGAATATGCTACTGCTATGGGCATCAGTGGAGATGATATTCCACGAATGGTAGATACTATCCGATGGGCACTACTGCACAATGGTCTAGAAACTGTCACCAGTCTGCTAGATACACAAATTGGATCTGATTCCACCGAGAGAAAAACAAAGCTTTCCGAAGCATGCCCATCTGGGCTTATTCAACTCTGCAATGATATTTCCTTCATTCGCACGTGCTTCTTTGTGCGAAATACGTACTCTTTCGACAAGAATGGTGCCGATCACCCGTCCAAGACCAAGCTTGATGGGTTGTACAGAGATGTCACTTCATTGTCTCCTGACGGAAGAAGTTCCTCAGTGGTGTCACGAATTGAAGAGAGCCATAGACACGTCTTCGAAGTAAGCGACCTATTCTTATCCTCACTCTTCGGGGAGGACAAATCCTCGTCCGTTCCATTGGGGGATATCAGCGATATTGGGAGCAGTATCGGACAGGGACAAGCTTCTGGAGCAAGCTCGATGTTCCACACTCCTGTTCCCTCTTCGTGCCGTTTCCAGTTGCTTCCTATTCAAGCAGATCGTACACTCAGCGGCGTCCAGGCACGTACCAAACTAAAGGAAAAGGAGGCCGAAAATCGGGCAGATTCCGTTGGCACGGGTGCCATGCGAGCGGGACTAGGTTTTTTCAGCTCTATGCTTACAAAGAACTAGAGATACAATTCACACCTTCTTTTTGTTCGCAACGTGTAGTCTATTACGAGTGCTGTTGTCTATCTGAAGACTGTATTTTGCGGTGATGATACGGTCTATTTTTGCACTTACTAGCTTTATTATTTGAGCTGTTCACAGAAGCGACAAACTGCCTTCATTTCTATGCTGAGCTATACGGATCATTTTGCGCTCTGAACGCTTCAATGTCATCAATGCCGAGCTTCTTTCCAGTCTCACTCGTGGACGCAAACGACAGAGGTGGAGCTGCAGTGGCAACTTTACCAACACGTGGCACAATTTCTGTTACCATTACTCTTCGACCGTCGTTGACATAAAGACGATCCCAAAATTCGAGAAGATCACTTTTCTCAAGATCTAGAAGTGCACGAACTTCAGTCTGAACTCTGTTGAACTCAAGCCGGCCACTTCCAATCTCACCCCAATTCCTTTGCACTTCCGCAACAAGCTGCTTGTCGGGATCTGTCTTTCGCTCGATCAGACTTTTGATATAGACTGCAAAGTCACCCTCGGAAAGTTTTTCGAGAAGTTTTGGCTTGACATTGTCGAGGTACTTCAATATCTCGATCGTGAGCTTGTCGTTTGTAGCAACACTTGATTGCACAACGAACCCCAAGAATCTTGTTTTTCCGAGAGCTCGGAGACCGGAAGAGACAATATATCCAAGTTGTTGCTTTGTTCTCAAATCTTCGTAGAAGGGCTCTGTCACGATTGCACTCAAAAGTTCCAGCATTACTTGATCCTTTGGATCCTCCGACAAACTTTGAATCACTGCATACGCGGCACTATTGACGTCCTTTGGGTTAGGCTCCGAAACGATGACTCTTGTGGGCATCGATCCCGAAGCGATTGGAGTGAGGGGCACAGGAGTGAGCTCAGGAGGGTAATCGCTCGGTGGAATCGTTTTGAATCCAATGGTCTTATCAATCTTCTCAAGCAGTTGAAGTGCTTCTTTCTTGTCTATGTTTCCTTGAACAAGTGCCAATCCCTTCCCTGATGCCCAGAGAGATTCGGAATAAGAGATGAGGCCACTCAGACTGGCATTCTCAGTTTCTTCCCTCATCTCCTTGTTTGAATAATCGAACTTTTGCGGTTGCATCATGAGCTTTGAGTATGCTGCACAATGTGCATATGGTTGCTTTACATCGAATCCCGCGAAGGTTCGTGTAAGCACGTCCTTGTAACGATCAAACTCGGCTTCATCCTTTGGAAGCAAGTCCTTGACATCCACTGTCAGCTTTTTGGATACGTAAGATGCAAATTTCTCAAGCTTGTCGTTGTATCCTCCAAAAGTCATGCGAACACCTCGTGGTACGACCTTGATGTCATACGTGAGTCCTGCCAGACCTGCGTCGTATGTATATTCTGTCAACTTGTCGGCGACACAGAATTCATAGAAGTTGGAAAGTGCAGCGTTTTTTGCTGTTGAGAACACCTCCTTGGTCAAGAGCTCCATGATGATGAACGCTTTTGGTTGACCAAATTGCTTGTCTGGTTTGTAGTAAAGCGTCCACCTTCCGTCTGGTCCGTCATCCCGAATGACTTCAGGTGGTGGAACAGGAACCAATCTATCTTCGAACGTTCTTTTCTTTAATCGGTCAACAGGGGATGGTGGGTATTTCAATTTGAGACCGGACTCTGATGGGATGAACTGATTTTTTCGCGGGAAGGCAATACCCAAAGCCTTGGGCGGAGGACAATTCTTCCATCTTGCCAAAGTCGGTTGAGAAATTGGTTCCACCGAGTAGTCCGTGCCGTACCAGAACTCGTTTTTGTCGGTTTGTCCTTGGAAAGACTTACTAATGAGGGTGATCATTGCGTTGTCGACGGTCAGTTGGTCAATATATTCGTTTGCAAGAGACATTGTATAATCCAGTTGCTCTGAATTCGTGAATCCTGTACGAGGTTCGCTTGATTCGATCAGCTTGTTCGCGTTTTCAGCTAATGCAAGACGACGAGGTCCTGCGACAACCAAGGATGGAGGGTAGTTTTCCAACGTGGTTGCCAATGACTGCACATAAGAGGAAGCATCTCCCTTCTGTGCAAACCGCCATTGCAGCTCCTCAACTTGAAGGACCTCATTGAAGTTGTACTTGGGAATGTTTTGATCCTTGAGCATGCTGAGGTAAACAAAGACTGCCTCAACAACGTCATCCACAGCTGCCAAACCAGCCTTTGTGAGGGATATGGTGACTTCAAATGTCTCAAAGTCGGACAGCTCGTCACTGTTCCCAGCGGACACTGAGTTCCCATATCCCTTTTCCTTCAAGTAAGAAAGCAATGATCCAGGACCCTCGTGGCCCACCAAATGTGCAATATAGTTTGCTTGCTTGGTAAGCAGTGCAACATCCCTATCTTCCGAACCCTTGTATATAATGGGCCAGTTAATGGACATTTGGCGAGCATCCTGCACTGGCACGATCTTGACATAATTGCCAAAGGGATCAATCACACTTTTGCCTCCAAATGGCGGTATAACACCGTTCCATTCCTCTTCTGGCTTTCTTACTTCGCGATTCGGGATCTTATCAAAGCTTCCCTCGACCATGCCTTTCAGTGTCTCAATGGACTGAGGTCCCACCACAGCGAGTGTCATTTGGTTGGCCGAATAGTACTTATTGTAAAATTTGACCAACTCCTCCCGCACATCCAGACCCATACTCTTTGTATCCTCTAAAAGTGTCTTTTTGTTTCCAGTAAAGAATTTGGCGTGAGGATGCTCGCTGTTTTGCTTGGCTTTGGTCATTTGATATATTCGGAAACTATCGGATTGCAGATTCTTCGAGTTCTCGCTCTCAATAGCGTTCAGCTCCCTTCCAGTGGAGCTTTGGGCAAACAAGGGACACGAAAAGAAGGAACTGAAACGTTTCAAACCTTCATTGAATTTGTCGTCCGACTCTCCCTGCAATGTGAAATGGTAGACTGTATCCTCACTGGCAGTATATGCATTTGACGACCCCCCATTCGCGGAAAGGAAGGCTTCAAAAGAATCCTCTTTAGGATAGTCTTTGGTTCCTAAGAAAAGCTGTCATGATATTGTTGTTTTCAATACAAAAGCAAAACATGGAATTAGCATTTGTTGCCATTATCCTCTTTGAATTCCACAATATAAACCATACGCACCATATGCTCACAAAAGTGGGCCAATCCCCGGATCTCTTTGGGATCCGAACAAGCCCCAACGTGACAGTCCATGGCAGCACCCGCTTCACTAGATTGTGGATCGGAACACAATACTACCCTCAACCCATTCTCCATCACAAAGGCAAGATAGTCGCGATCATCAGTAGGAGGTTTGATAATGTTGATATTGGACCAACCATCAAGAGCTGCTGCAGCCTCTGAAATTGCCTGCACTTTAGCTGCTGAGTCCTCGACAGACGCTTGAGTTGGTGGGACAAGGAGGGATCCGGATGCAGCGAGCATGCTAAAGAGTAGCTGACGTCTTTTTTTACTCTCAGATTCTGATTGAATGTTGTTACTCATCTCCAATGGAAACACGGATTGTTGCCTTGGTGGTGTAATCATGGCATTTCGTTCAATGGGCGATGGTGAAAATCCTTGCACTACTTGCAAGACAACCTGAGATAGTAATGCTGCAGCAGCTATTGAGGATTTCATTGTTGTCTGTTTCATACTCTTTCAGCATAAAAGACTGCAAATGGGTTAAACACAGGCAAGGAGTGGAGACAGGTACAGTACCGGTAGACAAACCAAACAGTGCCAATGAGTTGTTCTCGTCATCAATCATCGTCAGCATGAATTTAGATGTATCTTTCGACTAATACGAGTGACGTGAGTTACTGTTTCCAAAAGCCGACACATCCGACTTGAACTAAACAAAATGAAAAACAAAACTGAGCAAATACAAAATTTCGAATGGTGGAAGTTATTGCCACAACCAAAATGGCAGGAAAACACCGAAGAGCACGTCGACGAAATCTTGGAAGTGAGAAACCATTGTTTTCCTTTCCTCTTGTCGTGATGGCAACGTTGGGTTTTCTTTCCATGATTGGAATCTTCGTCTTTCTATCCATCAATCCTGACGACCCATCAAGTGCAAATACAAAAACCTCCGCAATATACAAAAATCCCGATGACCTACCCAACTCTTTGGTCAAGAATCTAGACGTCATTATGGTTCTAGGTGGAGGAGTTCCTGAATCAATCGACAAACCTCCCGTTTATGTGCAACGTCGATGTGACGACGCTGCCAAAATAGTCGGAAAGTATGCTGAACTTAATGGTCTCAAGAGCACAGCAGCGCAAGAAGGAGGAAGTTCCAACATTCAGGTTCGAGGGTCCAGCACTCATGAAGCACTTCCAATATTATGTTTATCGGCTGGGACGGCGCATCTTCCTCAAGCTCTTAGTTCGGATGGGTTGCCAATCTGGGAATCCACCGCTTGTGCCGGCTACTTGCAACAAAGCTATGGAATGTCCAAGAATGTCTATGTGGAAACAGTATCGTATGACACCATTAGCAATGCTTACTTTGCTCGAGCAACTCATACTGATGTTACAGGGTGGCGGGACATACTGGTCATTACCAACCAATTTCATATTGAGCGCACCAAAGCAATTTTTGATTGGATATTTGTACAGGTCGACAGTGGGAAGAAGAAGAAACGCAGGGAAAAATACAGAATACACTACCTCGCTTCGCCTAACGTGGGACTATCAGAAGAAGCGATTGCAGCTCGCGTTGAGAGAGAAAGGCAGAGTGAAAAAACGGTTCGAGAAAAACTGGTTCCAAAATACAAGACGTTAAAGGCAGTGTGGGAATTTTTGAATCACTCTCACTCTTTCTACACTTCTTCCAAGCTATTAGATAGAGCAAAGGGAAACGGTGATCAAATTCCGTCAGAAGCGGCAAAGAAAAGCTATGGTGCCACGTAGCTGGATCATAAACCACAATAATCTTGTTCCAGAATTCGACAATTCAATCACGAGAATTTCCAACTTGCTTTTACTGTTGGTGGTGTACGCCATGCCTGTAGATTCCAAATGAATCCAATGGTGGGGTGACCTTTCCAATGAGTACTGTTCTCTTGTATGTTCTACGGGACACATGTCACTCTGAAGAGCGTGTTGTATCCTATTGAAGACGACGCGACGAGACAAAGCATCGCAAATCGCAAACATTCCTAAAAAAATTCAAATCAACGGGGACAGTTCTTGGTTCTCCTCATCCTCTTCATCGTCGGCCTCCTGTAATACATCGATAGGTCGTGAAATAACCCCAGGTTCAGCAGCCCTCCGCTTCGGTCGCAACCATAGATCGTCGAACCGAATGTTGGAATTGGGTTGATGTCCGCGGCCAAAGATGACTATGGCAAGGGTCTCAACAAAGTAGTACAGGTACTTGAATACCAATGTGACCCCCTTTTTGGCAAAGCGAAGTATTCCTCCCGACTCGGAACGTCCAAATCGACTTCCTCCCACCGTCCCACTGCTGGGAGGACTGTGAAAGCTGGGCAACCCTGCAAGCTGTCGAAAGAGTGTCCAGGACTCCATCTCTCTCAAGTAGGAATCTCCTGGCATGATCCACTCTAAGTGGCCCTCTATTTGTAGAGATCCAGCCAATATTCCAGACAAGTGGCCCAGGAAACTCAGATTCGGCATGAACATTTGTAGTACAACCAATAGTGCCCATGGATAAAGAGCAGAAGGCACGTTGACCACACCAAACAAACTCCGCGAGAATTGTGGTGAAAGGTGGCATTCCAGAACGGAAAAATGAAACAATACACCCGAAAATCCAACCGCATGATCATACATCCACTTATCGTAATCAAATACAAGATGTGCAGACATCGCAATGCAAAGATACAAGGCACAAGAGATAATGGCCGACCATAGCATGGTCACAACCAGCCCCAGTGTCCCAAGTTGCTTCTCGAGCATCCTTCCAATTGCGTAGGTAGAAAGCATATTCATTCCGATGTGCATCATGTTGGCATGAAAGAGCATCGATGTAAAGACGCGATAGTATTCATGAGCGTAAATGATGAGTCGAGGACAAAAAGTGAAGACTTGCAGGTTCCAATTTAGCGCATTTTGTAGGATAAAGATCAAAGTACAGATCATGATTATCCCCAGCGTAGCTAGCGGTGTATTTCGTAGTAGTTCCACAGAACGGCTCATGTCATATCATTGGGTTATCCAGAGAAATATCCAGGTGGAAGGTTGCTGTGAGCTGTGCGTGTTTGCTTGTGTTTTAATTTTTTAATACAATGCAATGAAAATGTCTATGGTAGGCGTTTGACTGCTTTGACCTTCGTACTCAACTCGGTCTAATCAATCGAACCGTTGAACGTACGTGTGACAGTAGATTTCCTACTGAAAGTTCGATCGGCATCAGACCGAGAGCTCCATGTACTAGTGCATGTAGTCCCACCGATTTGAAACAAAGACACAACAGCATTGTGTCCGTCAAACACAGAGCTATCGCTTTATAATATAGATTACGCAACAACAATGTCTGACGGTCCTTACGGTCGTCACGGTTTCAATTCCAACGCTGGCGGCTACGGTGGCGGTGCCAGTTATGGCAATGCTGGGGCACAAGGAGGAGGCTATGCCGCTCCAAGTTACGGTCAAAGTTATGGCGCTTCCTATTCTGCTCCTGCTCCACAAGACAGCGCATACGGTTCTCAATATGGTGCCTATGGCGGTGGTGCTACCAATGATTATCAGGTAAGACTGGGATGAACAAACCTCTCCTTCTTGCACCCAAATCGCTTTTTTCGTCTCAGGTGGATCTTCCTGAAAATTCCCACACGTGGAAAACTCACGTTCACAAATGTACTGAAAGCTGATGTCACATGGAATTCACGTTTCACAAACTCACTTTCTCATTCGTTCGTTCCTGACTATGTTCCACTTGACAAAAAAGGTAAAGGAAGACGACAATGCCAAAGGACACAAGGGTGGAGGCCGAAAAAGTATTGCAGTACAAGCGCTGAATCAAAACGTACTGTTATGGGCAGGATTTTTCACGGCGTCGTTATTCGTCTATTTCATGTTGTCGGGTGGGGACTTTTCTTTCCTCATGACGTACGGTGCCATGGCTCGGATGTTTGGCTTTGGAATCCTTAATCTAAAGACTTTCAAAAGTCAAAGGGCAACTGGAGTATCTATCAAAACTTTGCAATTGTACACCCTGGTCTTTTTCTTCCGCTTGACGTCGATCATTCGTCACGAGGGATATTTGCCGTATGACAAGTCGGGCGACTGGTTGTACCATTTGATCGAGGGCATGTCACTTATATTCACTGTTGGAGCATTGTACGCATGCATGGTACCTTACAAACAAACGTATCAAGCAGATCTAGATCGATTTGGAGAATTCAATGTGCCAGCAGGATATGGAGCAGTCTATTTGGCCGTTCCCATTTTGTTGGTTGCAATCTTTGTACATCCCAACTTGAATGCGGACTTCATCAGTGATACTGCTTGGACTTATGCAATGTACTTGGAGTCAGCTGCGTTGATTCCCCAGCTATTCATGTTCCAAAAGCAAGCTTCTGGTGTGGTCGAATTGTTGACTGCTCACTTTGTCGCAGCTCTCGGATTTGGACGTGTCATGGAATTCTTCTTTTGGGTCTACAGCTATCATGAACTTGCCAACAGCTCAGGGTCCAAACTGCCTGGGTATTTGGCTCTCTTTGCGCAGTTCATTCAACTGGTTCTGATGTTGGACTTTTTCTGGTACTACTACCTCGCCGTGAAGAATGCTACTCCTTTGGTGCTTCCATCTCATACTGGTATGGGCATTGTGTAATTTCCATGAATCACCATGAATCATCATGGCAACAATAAAATAAAAAATTACTCTCATAGATCAATCAATCAATCAATCAATCAATTGGCGGATATTGTAATCGTTCCCTGTCTGCCACGATTGGGTTGGAACAGCTGTTTGGACGGTCAACCACCACTACGATTTATTTCTACAGTGGACATCGGATCCAACAACTACTTTACTGTACATTAAAATATAATAGAATTCTATGATGCCTTCTCTTTGCCAAACGCCGCGATTTTCTCAGGGGTAGTCGGTGGCCTTGTCTTTTTCTTGGGCACACCAGAAGGCACACTCAGTGAAGGGTCCTTCACGGCACAATAGGATTCTAAAAATGCTCGCCCCAGACCCAAAAATCCACCCATTACGTTGCAGTTTGCAATGGCATACAATGCCAGGAAAAATCGACCAGCGTCTGTCCGAGGAGTCAAATCACCATAACCAATCGTTGTCCCTAGAGTTGTTTTGAAAAATTGTATTGGGTGCATTCCGCGACGTGAGACCTTGGAGCCAATCGATCTCACCATTGATGATTGTCGTAGACACTATTCTTTCCGACTCACCTGTTATGACACATAGATGGACCGCTTCCGAGTAAGACAATTCTTCTATCGTCGTCAGCATGGAAACACCCATCATTAACGTCAAGGTTCCTACCGAAAAGGCCCCTCCTGGGACCATATTTTGCCATGAGGATGCCAAGTCCATGATTGGACCACAGAAAAAGCCCAATCCAAACAGTGGTAACATGGTCAAGAATATCCTTCCTACTACATCCGTCTCTCCCGGACAAATATCACCAAATCTACATTAGGTCAAAAGTAGAGTAATGCTTGTTAGTAATACTCGCGAAACGCATGGCAAACTGACGAGTGAGGAGTGCGCTGTCTTACCCAACACTATTGTGTTCCAAAATTAAAAAGTTTGATATCGTCATATGAGATTAAGTACATCACCAAGGTATGAATTACCATCCACTTGCCTCGAGGAAATACTCACGTTGTCAAGGACATTACTACAATATGGTTGATTAGTTGATTGATTGATTGATTGATTGATTGATTGATTGATTGATTGATTGATTGATTGATTCGATGGCCGACAACAAAGTGAATAAGGTACTGTACATTTGGCAGTGACAAGAGATACTTCTGGATGCACTCACCGGAACAATAAAACGAATTAACCAGCTTGGATCCCTCCGCTCCATCTGCAATCATTCCAGGAATACTGTAGAATCCTAAAAGTAGACAAGTGTTAGTCACTGATTCGATTCGGTCGTATGATATCACAGATCTCATATTTCAAAACTCTCGTGACGACATTTTTCCAAACACCGACCTGTCATCCCAAACACAATCAATCCAGCCCCCAGTGATAGCACTCGATGTGTGGAAAGATTTTTCTTCATGGTGGGTTTTAATGGCAAATACGTTCCACTGCTATCGTTGTTGTGATGATTGTTGTCACTGGTCATCTTGTCACATTACAAAATCGAAGTGTTCGTGTTCTGGAAAGTGTTCGATAAGTCCGAGCAGTGTTCGATTGGGGACCTGCCAACGGTGTTGAAGATGTGACAATGACGAAAATCCACAAAGATGTAGAGTATTATATTCGTGACGGAAATCTCAACTCGACGAATGAAAACACTTTCTGCTCAAAGACTGACATTCTATCTCTGCCATGGAGATTGCGGAATATGTCTTCCACTTCAACGATAAGTCGGCTCTGGATAACCAATCCATTGAAACATCCATCAAGGTTTACAATCACTTTTGGCAGTCGTTTGAGAAGAATCCGTTGGTCAAAGAGTTCTTGTCAAAAGACTTGTTTGACATCCTCGAATCTTATCTTCTAGTCTCTTTTTATCCGGCTTATGGCGCTGCAGTCCTGTACCAAAATAATAACTCCCTCCAAGTATTCGTTCGGACGATCGGATTGGATGGATGGAAGAAAAGAATCCCCTCTTCTTCACATGGTCGCGAACAGCATGCTGTTCCAAACCTTGAAGAATCTGCAATCATGGATCAGGGACCAATATCGAGATGTGCGGTCGTTGCGATTGGAAATACGTTAGCGAAATCTCTACGCGAGTCTGAAACCAACAACAGAGGTGATAGGCGAAGGAAATCGAATGACCACGAAGGAAATCAGAAAACGCCTTCGTTTCTCAACGAGAAGCTTGGCCAATCCATAAAAAAGGTCATTTCAGGATCAGAAGTCACAATCGGTGAGCAGTCTGCATACGGAGGAACTACAGATGTAGGGATGCATACTGGCGCAAAGAAAAAAAACACTGCAGCGCCACTAGCATTTGCTACCGCCTCGACCATGCTACGCTTGGCTGGCCGCCCACAGCATGAGTTCAAGGCCCTTATGGCTGCATACCTCATCAGCTTCCTTGACGTGCTGCCCAAACTTGCAACCTACGACGCCCGTGCGATGGACCGCTATGTAATTGTGATGCGGGAAGCCAAGCCTTTTATCGAGGGGTTGCGAAACAAAGCTTTTCAGCAAAAAATCCTGCATAAAATGAGAACGCACCACGAACAACTCTACTCTGTTTCATACGGACCGCCACAGCAGTTGAATCTCTGTGGCGTTTCTGAGACTGTTGAGGATTTGTTCCCTCCGGAATTTCCGATGGAGCCTTGGACGCCACAGATACAAGAAAACGAGACAAAGGTTGATCGATTCAGAGGAGAGGCTGAAAAGAATTTATTGTGGGTGGATATGGAATCTACGGCCTTCTCTGGACATCGTTCGGAAGCCTGGGTGCAATTACATTCTCTGAATCTAAAATTCTGGAATGCCGCTTCAAGTTTGAAATATGATTACACAACAGAGAACGTTGCGCTTTTGAAAAAGGATCTTGACCGACTATCAATCATCGTGGAGGTTGCAATGGCTGCTACTGACGAAGGAAGGTACACTATGTCGGTAGTTATTCGAAGCTACGAGCTATTAGCTGCCATCATTTGCTTCTGCTGCGCTCACGTTGAAATGGAAGGGAATCATGAGTGGTTTAAGAAGTATACCCCGGCTTTTAACCCAAAGAATCTTCATCACTTAGTTTTGGATGACAATAGAGCTGTCGATGGCTGTTCAAGTACGACAATTTCTCGATAAGCGAGCTAATGGTGTTGGGGTACCGATTCGGAAGCACAAAGATACTTGGTGTCTGGCGAGGCAATATGCAGCAGAGGGGAGTGCGAGGTCGATGCAGAATTGGCAGTGTCATCAAAAATTTCTCCAAGTTGCTAATCAAATGATTGAGAGTAGATGGAAGAAGATTGAACAGCAAAAGAGAAGTCTTTCCTACTTAGATGGCTTGCTCCGAAAAGCTAAGGAAGCTCTCGCTTGTGCCAATGTTGAGCACCGTCGAATAGAAGCCGAGTGGGACATTGACGATCCAAGCTACCGTAGATCTTACCAAACTGTGAGAAGAGCGAGTGCTACAGTGTCGAGTCTTGAGAGAAGAATTCATTTACTTGAGAATGACAAGCCAGCCGATCTAGTCTTCTCGTTGCCAGAGGACGAAAGTGATGGAGAATCGCTTCTTTTCTTCATGCTTATGGGTGACGATATTCGTCACCTTGTAGAGTTAGCCTATCGAGCTGAATGTCTATTATGGCACAAGCAGAATATCCCGAAGGAGAAGGCAATGGGACAAACTGTAAGCTGTTGGTTGGGTGAAAGTTTGGGATTCTTGCAATATCAACAAGGGCTTGAAGGTATGATTCGCCTCTTCTGTCCATCAGCTGAGCGGTATATTCGGACCAAGGATCTTAGAAGTTACGAGAGAAGGACAGGGGTACTCTTTCCTAGCGTTAGAAACTTCAAAATTGGGTGGAAAGAGAACTCTCCATTTGCAGACAAAGGCCAAGTCAGCATCCAAATTTTCACCGAGACGTTTGATCCAGAGTGGACTAACCAACCTTCAAATGAAAACTTTGAAGCAATGATGGAATTCATGGTTGTACTCTCAAGCCCTTCGCGGGAGAACATTGCACCAGCAAAACCCTGGATGAAACCCAGCTGGCTCACACCAGTACAATTTAAGGCCTTTGGCAGTTTAAGAGCAGGGGGCCGAACACAATTTCGAAGTCTCCTCAATGCCCTGTTCGAGAATCTATTACCTCTCGAGAATCCTTGCGTTCATAATCTGATTCGGCAGCTCATCTTTCAGCTCGGAGCTTATGATTGGAAAACAGATCTCGAACCAGGATGGCTTGGTTTAGCTATGGAAGCATTCTGGTGTCGCGAAGTGGATAGGCTTCAAGAAGCGCCGAAATTACATGAAAACCTGCTTTTGGCGGGTGTTGTTTGTGGCTTTTACGGTCAATACAACATGCACCTCGAAGCACTTGCCGTCCGATGTTCTGAAATTTTTTGTCAGTGGGCTTGTGATATTTCTGAGGAAACAAGAAGCGCTGAATTGATCCTGAAGCAAGCGCGTTTTTATGGCTATGGAATTTTATGTCTCGCATCAGTCAAGATAACATTTCACTACCGTAAACACCTACTACGCCTGCTAGTGCTGTACAGAGACCGTCTGCTTCTTTCCGAGAAAGAGACTGACCGTGCATTGGAGCATGCTATTATGAAGGTTACGGGAACGAAGTGGTCCAAAGAGGACCGACTTTTCATGAAGAAGCGTTATTTGCACCGTGATTTGCTACTAACGTCTCTTGTTCAGGATGTCGTCGAGAGTGCTCCTTCCGATCTGATGTGGTCAGAGGTGTCTTGTAATCACGCTGAGAGCACAGCTTGCTTTGAGGCTCGCCATCATGGTCGACTCTTTTCGATCAATTTGAATAATGGTGTTGTCATCGTCAACGGGGCAACAAAGTGCCTTCTTCCGCAATCGGTCACGTCGAGCAGCCTCTTCGAACGATTTTTCGGTAACAGGAGTCCCGAAGTATCGATCGAGGGTATTCATCATTATCGGTCTGCGCATAGATTCGACGGGCACTACTTCTACGATTTCGTCATCGACACAGATAATCAACTTCATATTGTCGAATTCGATTCAAGAAAAGGATTCGGTGATTCTGAAAGGCTTGAGCTGTTGGATCCTGCCACAGTCGGTATCTCTTGCTTCGCAATAGATCGATCGGACAGCACCAAATATCTCACGCAATGAAGCCTGGAAAGCTGCTTTCTGTTCCACCTGCTTTTCGTTTTGCTTCAATTGAAGAGATATTCGACAACGAAGACGAATTCGATTGTGTTCTGACTGGGTCGACGCCTTTCATCAAATTGCTTCGAGACACAGATTTTGAGGAGACTAACTTTGTGGTAATAACTGCCCACCATCTTCGTGGCATCAAGTACTCCCTTCCTCGTTATGGGCTAAGCTTCACCCAGACTAATGGCCGAATCAAATCAGACGACTTCAGGGCTACACTGTGGCCAGGGATCAAGAGCTTACTGGTACACTTCCAGGGTTCAAAATATTCCTTTTGCTTTCGAATTTAGAGGGTGAACAGATCGTAGTTGTTCCGTGTGGAGAGGTTGTCCAAGGAGGAGAGATTAAAACGCCGGATGGTTGGAACGCTACTATTGCCTTTCATAAGTTTCATGTCCATCGACGATTTCACTATCTTCAGTCTTCGAATACACTTGGCCGGTTGCACCTGGCGTGCTTGCACGCCTCGACAGGTTGCTTGGTCCCAGACCGGAGAACAGGGAAAACAGGGATGACGATAGCTGTACAACTTCTTCGACAATGCTTTCAAAATTTCCGTTTCTCAAAGGTGGAGATTTCGAAACCGCAAAACTTATCACAGCACAGCAAGCATTCATGCGCGCTTCGTCTTCTTATCTGGTGTATCTATCGCTGGTCTCGTTCTTTACAAGTTCCAGAAGAACTGAAACTGAAACAAGAGGCATCTTTTGAGTTGGATAAATTTCCATCTGTGGAGTACCGCCAGTCTTCGGCTGGTCCATACCTCACTTCCATCGAGGAGCAGAGTGTCTTTTGCTTTACAAGTGTATTCGAAGACTCCAACGAAGGAGTTTTTGAAACCACGGCTTCTAGTGACGAAAGTGAAATTTCTCAATATATCAGGAAGATCGAAAGGTATGACTTTCAATCACTATTGAGGAGCGAAGGCCGGCACTGTGCCCCAGAATTTCCGCTCACCAATGCAAAGGAGAATCTTCGAGTAGCAGAGGGTACAAACACAAACATTCGTGAACGAGTCCTCGTCGATCTGCAAAAGAGCTATGAACTGTATACCAAGTTGTCCAAAAGAAGTGTCGATGGTCCCAATTTCAACGTCTTTGCCGTTCAGACGGAAGTTTGCCACAAGCGACAATTGGTGGAAGAACGACTTTTGTGTACTCTAAATGAAGCGCTTATCTCCAGAGAGCACTATGACTTTTTTTCTGGCTCGATGCAAAAGCTTGTGGCCGGTGACCTTCTTCATATGCTTGATTCCACGGTTTTCATTCATCCGAGGAAACGTGGATACCGTGATGTGATCCTTGAAATGCAACCGAAATTGAACGACTGGGCTCTCTTATGTGTTCTTGAAGATAAAATCCGCCGTCTTCAGTGTTTCTGGCAACAAAAGAAAGAAGAAGAACTTGTTAGGGAACTTGAATGTACCAGAATATGGAACCCTAGAAGATTTCCTCGCTGGGTCGCGTTCGAGGTCGAACAACAGCTCCAAATTCGACCAGAACAGTTTAAGACTGTTAGTCAACTGCTTCAGAAACCTAAAGGATCGTTGATTCAGCTGAATATGGGCTCTGGGAGAACGAGAGTAATGGTGCCAATGCTGGTCCTAGAGATCTGTCGCCAAAAGCGCAAGCTAGTGCGTATCAATGTACTGCCATCCATTCTACAAGAGGCACTTCTTTTTTTTCAGCAGTCCCTTGTTGCAAGCGTACAGCACACCAAACTTTTTACTCTCCCATTCAACAGAGACAATGTCCTGGACGAATTTACGGTGAAGCTTATGGATGAAGAGTTGAGATGCTGCCACAAGCATGGTGGATGTCTTGTTGTAACGCCACACGATCGAAACTCTCTTCTGCTGAAGCAACATGAAGTTCACATTCAACTGAAGGGCCTGCCAGAAGTAGACATTATTGATTTATTCGACGAAAGCGATGCGATTCTGGAGCCTAAGTTCCAGCTCGTGTACGCCATGGGCAAAAAGCAGAATCTTCCATCGTGCGCGAACCGATGTACTGTCTTCCAATCACTGTTGATTATGTTGACTCGCGGAGAGTGCGCTACCTCGTCAGATTTGTTAGAGGATCCGGCGGCTTTCTACAAGAGCAAGAACGGAGCTGGCTTGTTCAACCATTTTCGACTATTGAAGCTTTCGGGAGAAGACAAAGAGAGACTTGGGAGGAATCTTGCTGAGCATTTTGTGCGGAATCCGCCTTCTGGGTTTGAGTGGCTGGAAATGGTCAACCGAGAACCAGACATTCAGATTCTTGTGAAGATGATCTCCGATCCCACGTTGAATACTTCATTCTACATCATGTTTTATCCTTTGTTCAGGCGTTTCAAAGACGACATACTCGCAGCACGTGGGTTCGTAGCGTTTGGTATTCTCCTACGTACCCTGGAGTCACGTTGGGGGGTGTCATACGGTTTGCGCCATCAGAAAGACTCTGATACGCAAATGGCAGTGCCATATTCTGCTAGCGATACACCGAAGCAAAGAGCGGAGTTTAGTCATCCTGACGTTGCTATTGCCTACACAAATCTTTCCCATCTTTACGAAGGTCTCACAGTGGAGCAGTTCCGAAGAGCTATTGACTTGCTAGAAGCCAAAGGAATGAGTGTGAAAATTTCAACTTATGCTATGTGGATTGAGAAGGTTCGCCCTGACGTTCCAATTGAGGAGTTCAATCGATTCGACATGTACGAGAAAGTCGACCCTAGTAATGTACCCCAATTTGAGCTTATGTAACGCAGACTCAGTCGATGCATGGAAGTTGTCTTCTTTTGGCTGAACGAGGTTGTTTTCCCCGTTGACACGATGCAGTATCCACAGAGAAGGATTTCCAGCGCATGGAATCTGGTAGACTCGAAGTATGCAATTGGCTTTTCTGGAACAGACGACAACCGATTCCTTCTGCCTTATCAAGTAAACCAAATTCAGCACGCTGACGAGGAACTTCGTGCTACGAATGGAAGAATGATCGACCTAGTACTTTCGTGCACCAAAGGGATTATCCAAATACAGACAAATCAGTCAGCAACCTGGAAAACCATTTTGGACGAATGCTTTCAATTGAAGGTACAAGCGTTGATAGATACTGGAGGATTGATGGCGGGTTCCGAGATTAATTCCGTAGTTAGCTACGTGTCAACGAAGTTGCAACATGGTCACTCTGTCTTCCGAGGCTTCGTTTACTACTCGGCGGCAAACAAAGGATGGGAGGTCTTCGAAGCTGCAGCTGGACTAGTGAAACCTGTCGTTCGGGCGTCCCTTTCTGCAAGTGATTGTTTTGTGCTTTTTTGACGAGAGCCGATGCAGAGGGACGGACTTCAAGCTTGAACGGAATGCGTCCGCGCTTGTAACACTAGACTCTAGACTTACAAAAGACAAGTTCTTGCAAGGTTGTGCAAGAATGCGACAGTTGTTTCCTGGAGGCCAGCCACTGATCTTGGCTGGGACAAAAGAGATTGTGTCTGAGAATTCCAATGCATTGGATGTTTTAAGAATGGTTGTTGAAAATGGTATCAAGAGCGTGGAAAGGGACCTTCCAACCTAAGTGCAAAAAGCGAGGGACTTTGATCGTTTTCCCAAACCTGTTGACGACAATTTCGGGTTGCACCACCTGTACGGCAAAGTAATCGTTCTGGACCAGTCGTTTCACAACTATTTGGACAATATTGGGGTAGTCGAATGTTTGGAAAGCGAAGTTCTAGCGCAAGCGACGACTCATGCAAGATCAATCGGAGACGGTGTTGTCGTTGCTGGCGGAATAGGAGTTGAAGAATGCGAGAAAGAGGTATTCGCAGAATTCGAGCAGGATGAAGAAAGAGAAGAAGCAGCGACTTCGCAAGAACCACGTTCCCAAACAGACTGGGACTACCAGCTCGTGTTCGACAACCCGAGTTGCCTCTTTGGGTCTGTATTCCATCAACTATCGGACTTGATCGAAGAGTGTGGAGTAACAGAAATGACGGCAATTCCATGGTGGAACGGTGTTTTCTGTACACTAAACGTTTGGGAGACTATTGAAAAAGCAAAGGAGTGCGGCTCTCTGTCTCAATATTTACGCCTCGTTGATCCACTACTCGTGTTTCCAGACAGAAGAGTGGTGCTCATATCACTTTACGAGCTTGACAATCTATTACCGCTCTGGTGGGGACAGTCATGTCGACCGCGAGTATCTATCGACCATGTATTTCGACTGGTTTCCAACTGCCCACAGCTGGGATACTGGTCGCTTCCCGTATCAACTAAAGCGTTGGTATCTCTCAAGTTGTTTCGTGGCGATGTGAAGTACAACTCGGATGGGGAAAAACGTATCCTCCGCCAAATGCTAGAGGACTTGGATAGCCCCATTGACACTTTGAAGCAGCTTTTATCAACACGTTCTCGCCTGAGCCATTACGAGCAAAGTGACTTGGCAAAGGTGGCCTTCTTGTCATCGCTACCCAGACCCAGCCCTGGTGTCAAGAAAAGGCCATTCGAAAACCGCGAAGTCAATACTGCCAATAAGAAGCAACGGTCTCCTTTTGTTTTGAAAGGAGAAGGTGCTCGGTCGGCTCAAAGTGCTATTAGGAAACAGTCGCACTCATCATTGTTGAAAAAAATCTCGAACATTTTGAAAAAGCATCGTTTCATTGACGATGATGCGAAAACACAGGCAAAGTAAGTGAAAAAGTCCAACAAATTTGTTAAATAGAAGAAAGTCTAGATCTGTGTCTGTCTCCCACAAGTTGGCTATCTCCCGCAATGAGCTCTGGTTGTGGTCATGGTGGATTTGTTGTTGTCGTCATTTGTTTTGGTTTTGGATTCGGCATCTTACTCGGCCTTCTTCAGAGCTTCATTGGCAGCGTTGACAAGTTCCTCGGCAGTTGATTCCGCAGACTGCAAAGAAGGAAAGGATAATGTGAGAAATGCTGTTGTGATTGTACATTCAACGTAATCATCTCTCGTCGTCATGGGCGCATCTTTGTCTTACCTTCTTAGCATCGGCCATGGCAGATTCAATTCTGTTCTCCTTCTTCAAGAAATCCTTGAGGAAAGAATCATAAAGGAATTTGGCTCCCTTTGTTTGAGGAAGAAACGCCCACATCAAAAAGGCCAACTTGAAGGCGTAGTAAAAGGGGATCCAGTAAAGCAAGAAATTGGCAAAGGACTCCAAAATTCCAAAGAAGGCAAAGATAACCCAGTACACCAGCCATTGGACATCATCTCCTTTATTCTTGTTCTCAATGCACTTCAAAGATTGGAAAGCTGGGTAGACAAATCCAACCAAACTGCAAAGAAGTCCAGCTCCAGTTCCGACAAAGAGCAGAATGATCAAGAGAGCACCGCCACCAACCACGAGGTATTCCTTGGGAACCTTGGTCTTTTCCTATTGTAATATATTGCGATATAGATGAAATAGACAGCGACATGTTAGGTACGCTGTAGGCATCGATATTCATTCCAGTGGCGTGCAAGCGATTTGAAAGACGGACTGTCCACATTTAAAATAACATTTTCAAAACCGTTTTCCATCTGACGGCAGTAAGCCTCATTCTCATCAATTCTTACCTCTGCTTGCTGAAGAGCAGGTATTTGGTCGAGCTTGTTGCGAAGAACTAGAAGCTTGTCTTGAACTTGATCCATGATGATGTTGCTGCTGATTCTGTTTCTGATCTGATATTACTACTAGAGGTAGAGTAATGTGAAATGTGTAATGTGTAATGTGTGTCTGTCGAACGAATGCTTTACCGAATTCGAATGTTCATGTGGGCGTGACCCAGAAGGCGATGGATATGAGAACACATCGTAGATTCCACTCAATTCTGGTACATTGCGCGACAGTCGGGCGCTTTTCAATTTGTATCGTGTTCTTTTTCGAGGATGCAGACACGATCGACTTATCGGATCTAAATCAAATTTTCAAAACGATGTGCAAACAGATTGGCTTTCCACTCCGATCGATAGTACCATACTGTAGCTACCGCAAGGGAAGGTACAGTATTGGTACTGATACCATACTGTACCACTCGACAGAGTCTATGATTTTATATTGACTAAACTTGTCTTGTTGGTGTTCTTGGGAGGTACCTTTGGTGGGTGATCGCATGCTCCTGCCTGAGAGCTACTAGCTAGTAGCAGTCGATTTCCTTCAAAGACTTACACCTGAAACTACTCAATTGTAGACCATTATTCATGAGTATTTATTCCCATTGAACTTGAGGTCTAGCACCACACCAGGTACGAGTACCCACTGCTCCTACAATACTACTGTACAGTATTGCCAAGTGTTGCAAGACACTGTACAGTTGCCGTCGGCAAACGCGCATCTGCAGACAGACGCTGTTCAATTTGGCGCGGTATTTTCCTGGTAGGCCGGCTAGCTACGAGGTTTTGGGACAACAGTCGGATGCTTGTTTGACACAGCAATGCGACAAGGGACAACAGTGCAGTGCGATAGTGTGTCAGTCAATTAATCATTACAGCAACCACAACAACAACCACAACAACAACCACAACCGCCAACAGCGAAAGATATACCTAGACAACTATCAGAAAGAAAGAAACAATGAGTAATTTTGGTACGTCGACGAATAGACGGAGTTAGTCTGATGCCTGATTACTGCAATCAATCATTGCAAATGATTGATTCGGGGTAGTTTCGCTGATCTTGTCACTTGGAATGAATGATCTTCTCACCGACCATCATCTCTTGCACCATTCATTCATTCATTCCTGTATTGATTTATTGCAGGAATGGATTATCAAGGAGGTGACGTTGGAGGCGGCTTTGGTGGTGGCGGTGGTGGTTTCGACGGAGGCGGTGGCTTTGATCAAGGTTCTTCCCAACAGTCGGCCCAAAAGCCAAAACGAAACTATGATGAACAAACTCTCACTCCGATTACCATTCACATGGCGTTGGAAGGTCATCCAGATGAGTCTGGTGATGGCAGTATCGTCTTGCAAGATGGACGCAAATTGAGCAATGTCGTTGTGATTGGCTCGGTGCGACAGTTTATGAACAACTCCACCAATGTGAGCTACGATATTGAAGATGGAACTGGCTTGATTACAGTGAAGCAATTCGTGAATGATGAAGACTGCAGCGCCATTTTGGAATGCCGAGAAAAGACTTTGGTGGACAGTATCTACGTCAAAGCCATTGGTACAGTCAAGGATTATGAGGGGAAGAAAATGCTAATGGCCAATTCGGTTCGTCCCTTGTCGACTGGGAACGAATTGACGCACCACTTCTTGTCGGTGATACATAGTGGCAACAAACACAAGACTGCCAGTTCCATTGTGCCTCCAATGAGCGTGATGAGCAATATCAATAATGGGGTTGGATTTGGACAAGCCATTGGCAATGTTGGGCTCAACAGCAGTGGAACTGGCAACCCAACGCAAGATAAAGCTCTGGCAATCATTAAAGAAATTGGTGAACGGGAACCAGGAGGGTGTCATATCAATCAAATTGTGCAGGCGATGGGCGGAGTACCAGAAGGAGAGGTTCGACAAATTGTCACGGAGCTTTCGGACAATGGAGAAATCTATTCCACCACTACTGAAGAGCACTTTCAAGTGGCTGCTTAAAAAACTTAACTTGGAAGAGCACAGAAGAAGTAAGAATGGGGCATTCCTTCGGTCTACAATACATGATAAAATAATGAGTGAATGAGCACTGCACTGATAATGATTGTATCGCTTCATATATCTTTCATGTTAAACCTAGTCCGCACAGCGTCAATAATGACATCAACAGATGCTAGAGCTCCGTTTCCAATCTCTCCACAGGCTAGCTTCTTTTCCTGAGGTTCCACAATTTGTATTCCGTTGCGACTATCCCCTTGGAAATTCCAAAAGCCACATATCGTATCCAATTGTTGGAGTGTCAATGGATGTTGCCACATTGCTGTATTCATGGCGGGTGCCAACAAGAGTGGTTTGCCTGGACGAATACCGTGTCCAAAATCCCAGGCTCTTACAACACAAGATACCGTGTCGTCGCAAAATCCATGAGCGAGTTTGGCCAGAGTGTGTGCCGACAAGGGTGCCACCAGCATTAGATCGGCCCAATCTCGTAAATCAATGTGTAGGACCGGGTCACCGAGTTGATTCCATTCTTTCCATTCGTCGTCGGCATCTATAATCGTGAATTGAATTGAATTTGAATTATATTGAATTGAATTGAATTGAATTGAATTGAATTGAATTGAATTATATTGAATTGAATTGAATTGATTGTCAAAAGGGGAGAATCAGAATGGCATAGGTTGGGCTGGGTTAGAAACAATAATCTGAACCATGACATCAGCATCAGCATCAACATCACATCTCCTAACTTACGAATGATTGAAACAGATTCACTATTATTCACCTCCTCCAACAATAAATCCCAGTATTCCTCATTATAACCTTTTGACTTGTCCCAAAAGTTCTTTCCTCCTTGCGACAGTAATACCTTGACATTTGCCTTGCATTCTTTCACCAGACGGACAGCGATTTCAGGACACTTGATGGCCGCCACAGATCCAGTGACCGCGAGAAGTATATTGGGTGGTGTGTGCTGATGCTGATAACCCTCTTGTAGGCTCGATGCTATCTTTGGTTCGGTGGGAGATGACATGGTGATGACGATGTATTAATACGAGTTCAATTATATTATTTGAGTTGCCTTCTTTTTCGACTCAGATTTTTCAGTTTTGGGAGTCGGAAAATATGGACAGATTTAGTCCTTCTGGGCGGGGTCGGCTTTTCCGCGGCATTGGTTGGTTGGTGCCAGGAGTGAACTTTCACTTGAACTTCTGACCATTGACCATTGACATCAAAACAGTTTGGAGTGCGAGAGTCCACCTTGGCCCTTTTACTTTGAACATATACAATACATATATATATACATATAGATAATATATATAGATATATATCTAGCACAATCAGCAGAACTGGAGAAACGACACCTTTGCTGCTGCTGGGAGACAAGAAGAAGAGGAAGAGGAAGAAGAAGGAGAATAAAAGCACCAACATCATGACCGACAAGAACGACGAGCTGTACGATGATTCCTTTTACATTGGTCGTTGGTTCCGCGAAATGCGGCACAGCAAAATCCTCATGACGCCAGTGGCCCTTTTGTTTTTTACCCTCTTTGGAGTCGTGGCCTTGTTCAATTTGGTCATGTCCTTTCCTGGTGTCATATTGGGTCTGATCCTGGCTCCCATACTGAGACGAAACGCCTTTTACATTGAATTCCTTTATCCATGGGCAGTCGCCAAATGGGGACATTTTTTCTTGGTCAACCGAGGAGCCAACAACCAGTTTAAGAAATCCGACAAGAATCGTGGATTTCATTCTCGAACCATTGAACAACGCGTGGAAGTGGTTCCTGGTCGAGTTTACATTCATCCCATCCCTCAATTTGGGGACAATCTTGGATACTTGGTCGTTTGTCTGCCAGCAGCTTCGGGTGATAAGATTATTGCTTTCATGGTAGATTGTGGTCAAGCGGATTCGGTAGTTCGCGCCATAGAACTCATTCAAGAGTTTCATTACCGCAAAAAGAAGATTGAAATCCAGTCCATTCTTTGCACTCACAAACATCACGATCACACGGGAGGAACCTTGAACTTGATGAAACACAAATCGGACATGGGAAAAACTATTACCAGAGTCTTTGGTGGAGTAGTGGAGAGAGTACCAGAATGTACTGACTTTGTCGCCAATGGGGACATTTTGGAACTCCCCAAATCCGAATTCAACAACAATATGAACTTGTTGGTGGAAGTGGAGGTGATTGCAGTCCCAGCACACACCAGAGGCAGTGTCGTGTTTCGTTTGAGGCCAAAGGTATCGGGAACATCCGAGTTTTTGTTCATGGGGGATGCCATGTTTAGTGGTGGTGCGGGTGTCCCCTTTGAAGCGGATGTGGGACAAGAAACAGAGAAACAACTCAACAAGGCCAATGGCAACTCATTTTTCAAAGGTGGAATTGGACCCGTGGCAGTCGAACGATGCTTTTCCGAAATTTTGTCGAGATCCATGCCCGATGATAACAGTATGGAATCCATGGAACGAATTTTGATTTTCACGGGACACGAGTACACATCGGAGCTCTTGGCGAGACAATTCAATGCCCAAATGGAATCCTGTCGGTGGCGATTATTTTCACCGAAAGACTTCTTTGAAACAGCGGCACAGTTGTACACGGCGATACATCGTCGGTCCTTGCCACACAATACTGGCAAACTCCTGAATATTCCTTCTCCGCTCAGTCGGGAACTTTACATCAACCCAAACTTTCGGTCCATGAAACGATCTGCGGAATTTGTCATTCGAGCCATTAACTTTTGGTACGATAACTTTTGTAAATTCAAGGCTTCACCAGCCCTTCACGATCAAAAGAAGGAAAAGAAGAATCAAAAGCGCAAGAAAAGCCAAAAGACACCTTCCCAGACCAAGAGCTGGACCTTGGATGCGGAGAATTATAGTCACAATGCTTTTACAACCGTTTACACGGAAGATTTGGAGGATTTGATCAAGAATATCGAAGCTGGCAAAGTTGGAAGGAAAGAGGGAGCGGCAAAGCTTCGAGAAATCACTCGGAAATTGGGGGATCCTGCAGTCAACAAACGCCCCATACCTGGATTCCTTCCATCGAATAAGAATATTTGGAGAGGTGTCAGTGGTCTTGCCCGTCTTGGATCCAAGCCATCAGGAATGACATTATCAGATAGTCAGAAAATGAAGACTGCCCCACCAATCGATTCCAACAGTGATAGAATCCTAGTCAGCCTCCAACGTCTGTTGCTCGTTCTTGGGCGCTTGGGCTTTTTGCAAACGGACGAAGGCATGGACATTACTTACAGAGTGAAGCAATTATTTAGGGAGGCCAGCGTCATTATGAAGCAGGAGTTCGATGCTGAAATGGACGAAACTCAGGATGAGATTGAGCTTGGAGTTCTCAAATGGATGCTTTACGGAGTGGAACCGACGCAGCCGTCTTGTCTTGCAAAAACTTGCTGTATGCCCTTTTCGTCCAACAAGGCGACACAACGAGAGTTCCCGCAGCATCCTGCCGTTCATTTCAAGAAGAAAGTTGGAGAGCTGGTATCGCATGATATATACACTTGCAAAATTTGCCGCCACGCTACGGGATGTTTTGATGTTTCCAGTGTGGATAATCCAGATGAGAAGCCTGTTGAATCCGACGACGAATTACCATCCGATGAGTTTGGCCTCGAAATCCCACTCGACGAAGTCGAGCCATCCACCAAAGAGCCAGACGGACCGAAAAACACAAAGTCGTCGGAATGGAATGACGAAACCCGGACTGATTCCGACAGTAGATCACAATCGGAAATGCAGCAAAGATTGGGTGGAGTGGAAGTTCAAGGCTCGTCAGTAAATGGGGTGGAAAGCGTAGAAGTCGAGACATTGGACGGCAAGCCCAAGGGACAAGATTCGCTGTTGAGTCAACAGCAAAAGGATGAGGAAGAACTATCAGAACTTGTTTCTCAGTTGACAATATCAGTCGGAGTAGACGGTGAAGAAGATACGGAAATTTCACTTGATGGAAGAAGACAATAGAGTATAAAAGATATTTTAAATTCCAACTATCAGACTACCTTAAATATGGTTGACACTTGTGCAATGCTAAAGTTTTGATTTCCGAACACAAAGATTGATTAAAGTCTTGACAGCTTCTGTGTATAATTGCGGGTCTTTTCTCAAGTGACCACAGTGACTGGACTCGTCCCAAAACTGTACCTTGACTGGGCAAATCTGTCGCGATCTTCGATAGGCTACCATTTGAAGAACCTTTTCAAAATCGCACAATGGATCGTTCTTGCTACACAAGTAGAGTTGGGGAATATCCAAGTGGTCCTCTTGGAGGTATGTGAAATAGTCACTACATCGTGTTGGATCATAATGTACTTGATTTGTTCCGCCTTTTTTGTTACACGCAGATATTCCAAACTCCTCTTCGATAGCTTTTTGTTCTGACGTCGTACAGTAGTCCAGTGCAGTGCTGAGATTTGATCCATCTCCAAACCAGCAAGGGGAAGAATCAAATACAATGCCTCTTATGCGTCCTTCAATAGTCTCTAGAATACTCTGGGCGGGTTGTGGGCAACTCTTGTTTCTGTGAAACTCCAAAGCACGTCTTATTGATTCCCAAAGAAAGCACCCTCCGTTTGAAAATACATGAAAGACCAATGGACAGTCCTGACCTTCTTGTAGTCTTGCTACTAGCCGCCAAGCTAGATCTTGCATTTTAAGTGGACCCGCTGAATGCTTTTCCACTATGGGCCAATCAGTTGGAAGCTTCACTTCGTTGGGGCGAAGAGCTGCCTCTATAACACATCGAGGCTCTGGAAGTATTGTGATGACATCAAGGCCAAGATTTTCATAGAGATGCTTGTATGGTCGCATGTACTGTTGTTGACATCCTAACCAGCCCACTAGGATTGCAGTTGGCATACCTACAGTGGTACATTCATTCACCCTCAAGAGTTTGTCAATTTGTTGCGGTTATAGTTTTCCGAAGAAGTAGTCCGTCTCAAGAAGTCGAAGTAGTCTACAGTATCCAACGACCGAGCGAGAGAAATTTTTCGCACGTCACGATTTTTGAAAAAACGGCTCTTTCTTGAGGTGAAAACCGTCACGAAACATTGGCAAGAACACGAAATTGAAACGGGAAGCAACAACCTCGAAATCATAAAAGAAGAAAACAAGCATGGAAGATTCAGGAAAAGAGGAGGAAGATAAGAAGTCGTGCTGCAGTAAGTCTATCGTTTAGGTCTTTCTTTCCTTTGTTGCGCAGTCTCAAAATCTATTCTTTTTCTTTTCAGCATGGCCCAAAATTGTCGTTGCCGCAATCCTAACGGTGACTTGTTGTATCATCTTGTGGAAATATGCTCCTATTGATAGCGCAATTGATAGTATATTGCCCAAGTTCAACAAGACCTCCGGTGACTATAGTGATACAGGCGGTGCATTCGGTGATATTCCCCCGACGGAAGCACCAAGCACACCCGATAGGTTCAATTTCATGCAGTGCAAACAAGGAAAGGAGTGCTGCAATGGCTTGCCCAAGATATGCCATCTAGGTGTTGATGAAATTTTGTACGCTACTGCCCACAACGCAATGGCAAGTTTTGAGGATGGCTTTTTGTTTGGACCGAACCATCGATTGCAGCTCGAGAGGGCTCTTTTTGCTGGTTACCGAGGCATCAATCTGGATATTTGCAACTGTGCTGGTCTACTAGTTTTCTGTCATGGGTACTGTAGTCTCGGAATTAGGGGTGTTGATGAAGTCTTCGCATCCATCAATGGATTTTTGGACAGCAACCCAACAGAAGTCCTCATGATGCCTATGGAGATCAACAACTTTGCTGATGAGTCTGTTGATCTCGATCAGTTCTACTTTCAAATGACTCAGATTCCTGGTTTGATAGAGAAAGTATATATCCGTGAGAACGACAATGCTCCATGGCCAACTTTGAAAAAGGCAGTCGACTCGAACAAACGAATTTTCATGTTTCATTTCAACGGTCCCGATTGCACTACGGCAAATCCTTGTCCCCCAGGCTTGCACTTATACGACAAATATGCCATTGACACCAATTGGGAGTTTCGCAACTTGGAAGATGTTGAGGATTCTCCTGTTTCCTGTGATCTTGTATTGAAGGAGGCTTTATCTCATCAGGCCTTCTTTGGTGTGAATAACTTTCTCAGTCCTCCATCATATTCCGTCAGCAAGACACTGAATTCAGTTGATTTTGCACGAGAAAGAATACGCGCTTGCTCAGAACAAGCCAATCTTGATGTGAACTTCATTTACGCTGATTTTTGGTCTGAGGGTGCACTTCCCGAGCTTGTGCAGGAACACAACAGAGGACTTGCACGTAGGAGACAGAGAACGCTAAGACGCACGGATTAAAACTGATTTCATACTTTCATAATATGTCTCTTGGTCCACCAATATAAAAGGGCGCATATACTATATCTGTTCATATTAAAATACCATCTAACCCCAACTGTAAAAGCAACTGGTTCCTAAGATAGTCTGTTTTCAGGTACATTCAGCTCCCCCATTGCACCCTCCACATCATTTCGATATTTATGAATTTCACTGATCTGTTTCGAACAGCGCTCATCGTATTCCATGATTGCATTGCAAGCCCGTTGAATTTCTCCGCTCACATCTCGCTTTCGTGCGATATTTTGCTCCTCATGCTTCTGTCTAAGGGACTCGAGTTCTGTACATTGGCGTTCGTACTGAGCCATCTGCTCTTCTAGAGCAACAGGATCACGAAGTGCAGCCACGCGAGTCTCCATAGATAATGCCTCTCTGACGCGGACAGCCAACTTGCCGTCATTGGCGTTGCGCTCAGCTTGAAGGGTCTCTTCGCACTTTCCAATCTTTGCATCAATAATTTTTAGCTTGTCATGAGATTCTGTGAAGCCTTCCTCGCTAGACTCAAGTTTATCCAATGCTTCTTGGTATTTCCATTTAGATTCGGACAGCTTTTCGTTGTACTGCTGTTTGCTTGAAGATAGCGCTGGAATAACAGAAGAGACAAGATCAACTCCAATCAACTTGGCTGTGTCAGCATCATCAACAGCAGCCTTGTCGAGGGAGGCTCTCATATTGATTGACTTTGCAGATACAAGGGGAAGCAAATTAAGTTCGCTGAGTTGCGCATTGTAGTCTGAGAGCACAGTCTCCAGATCATTCCAAGACTTTTTAAGCTCGTCATCGATATCCCACAAGGCCTTTCGGCGTTGATCCCGGAGAGTGATTGTCCTGTCGTAGGCCTCTTCAATACCTTTGAGCTCATTTTTCATCTTCATAGTATCCTCGACCGACAGCTCCTGGCTGTCAATAGATGCTTTCAACTCTTCTATGCGGGATGTGACTCTTTCAAGCTGCCGATTAGTTTCCTCCAACTTATTTGTAAGTTCTGACTTCTGGCGTTCCCTCTCCTCTAGCTCATCGCTCATTGGCGTCATCACATCTCCAAGTCCTTCCAAGGATTGCACTAGGTCTTCTCTGCGTGTGATATGGTGCTGCAGACTATATTGCATATGAAACGAATCAGGAGAGAACAGTAATTTCAATACTACCAAACTTTCAATAGGACATGGAACTTACTCTTCTTCCGCTCTCTCGAGTTCGGTGAGCTCTTCTAAAACCACACCATTCTTATCATCCATGATTTGAATTTCTTGAGCAATAAGCTCGTCGTCTCGTTCAAATCGATCGCCAAGCGCATTTTCAAGATCCTCTGTTTCTTTTTCGTCTCCTCTAAGAAAGGCAGTATAAGCTGCGCTCAAGTATTTGAAGAATGCCTTATCAGTTTTTGCTTCGAGTTCTTCAACCGACTCAAATTGTCCCGGATCATCATCGTCATCCTTGCAGTTTTCCATGCATTCAATTCTTTCCATTAACCACGTTAGTGCCGCAAGAAGAGTTGACCAGCTATGAGGTGATCCAGCAGCAACAAGGATTGTTTTGGAAACAGTAAATGGATATCCCATAGCTCGAAAGCTCATGGAAATCTCATCTTCAACCTTCATGCTTGAATCTTTGTGGAAGTTAGGGTCTACCAGGCGCAGCATGAAAGTGACAATATTCATAAAGTCTTTTCCAGATGGACTTCTAAGACTTTTCGGCGAGATTGGATGATCATAGTTAGACTTCGATAGGAAGTCTAGTAATCTTTTTGCACACTCTTGCTGATAGCTTCTGTCAGAAAGAGGACGAGGGTCGGTTCTAGCGGGCATAGAAGGGGGTACCAAACTCTGCCGACGATCTCCGCCAATACTACTTCGGCGTCGATGATTTCCTGTAGACGTAGAATGCTTCATTGGCCGAGCTGACTGAGGAGTCGCTGGATTAAGGTTTTCCCTTCCAACGCTCGGAATCATCGACTTGCGGCCCCGGGGAGGTCGAGATTTAGAAGTCGAACCAACAGCCGAGCTGGGATCAATTGTTTGTCGGCGGCTCGAATTCGTCGTCGACATCGGATTCAAAGTCGCCATCGTCTGACGACGTGAACTCGACGAACGGGACGGCATATTGAGTTTATTCAACTTGATGCTCGGTCTAAGCTCTAGGAACAATGGTGTTGGACTTCTTCGTGCGTGTTTTACGAGTCGACAAGCATCTAATTTTCGGTTTTTCGTTGGAAAGCAGATTTGAATTTGTTGACGGTTAAACGTGGCTTGCGCGCGGAGAGAATTGGTCTAGTTAGTCGAGGAATCAGTTGGACCCCTTCGACCTCTTTCATCCAAAACTCAAAAGTGGATCTGATCGGATCATTGAATACTTGTAGCCATGTCAACGACTCGCCTTCTCATTTCGTTGTTTCTCCTGCAGTGCCATCATTGTGCATCATGGATGATTCCAGGAAGAGGAAATTCATTTTCTACGCACAAAACGAGGATATTCGCTGAAATTGATCCAAAAACGTTGGATGACGTACTTCAGGTAGCCATTGATGCTTCAAAGAAAGCCGGCGGTATCATTCTTGGAAATGCGGGGGGTGCAGAAGTTATGAAAAGCAAAGCCAATAGCCGCGACTTGTTAACAATGATTGATCCTCTCTGCGAGAAGACTATTCGGGAAACAGTCTCGGCGTCCTTTCCGGATCATGACTTTTTGGGAGAGGAAGATGTCCCACCAGGACGAGAGGCAAGTGCAAAGGCTATTGATGAAATATTGTCGGCAGACTCTAGCAGTGATTGGCTCTGGGTCGTCGATCCAATTGACGGTGAGTGTTCGTTGGCTTCTCGTGACTTTTGCTAGATATTGGTTCATCATTATTGAATCTGCAATTATTTGTTCAGGTACAACAAACTTTGTTCATGGGATGCCTCTGTCCATGCCAAGTGTGGCCGCAGCATACAGAGGAGAGGTAGTAGTCGGTGTCATTTATGATCCACATCGTGACGAGCTATTCACAGCGACGAAAAATGGAGGAGCCTACATGAATGGGAAAGTCATCCATGTGGGAGAAGAATCTACGTTGGGCGATGCTGTTGTGGCCATGGGATCACCTCCGGCCGAAGAGTCTATGAACATGAGTCTTCTTGGGGTCAAGGCGCTTATGCCACAAGTGAGAACTATTCGAATGTTGGGAAGTGCTGCAATCATGTTGGCTTGGATAGCGAATGGACGTCTCACGTGTTACTGGGAATATGATTTGAGTTCTTGGGACATTTCAGCAGGTATGTACCAATGGTTGATCAAGTTGACACAAGAGCGAAAGATTGCTTAACACTATTGATTTAGGAGCATTAATTGTGCAAGAAGCAGGGGGCATGTTTACCGATCTAAGCGGAGAGGATTTTACTTTGCGAACAAGAAAGATGTGTGCAAGTAATGGGAAGGTCCATGGTAATATTCTGAAGGTTCTGAATGAAGCAGGTGTCATATGATCAAATCAACCACAAGATAGCGACATGGGTTAGTTTGCTTTTCGATTAACTACTTCTACTCGAATCTTCTTCTCCACTATCGTCGTTGTCATCTTCAACTTCAGATTCCGTCGCATCTTCTTCTTCGTCGTCATCGTCATCATCAGGTTCATCGCCTTCATCTTCTTCCTCCTCGACATCTTGATCCTCTTCTTCCACCTCTTCCTCCTCATCGTTCTCTATTTCTTCCTCCTCAGTAGCTTCCCCCTTCTCTGCTTGTTCTTTTTGCGCCTCCATCATTTTTTGTGCAGCCGTCATTTGAGTCTTGAAGGGTCTCTCGAGATTTCTTCCCAAGATGTATACTTGGAAGAGTGGATGATATACTAGTTGCATGGTTCCGGTAATGATTTGCATCAACAATGGTTGCGTCTTCTGCATTTTGAAGTGCAAGAACCAGTTGAATGCCATGTTGAAGATGATTCCCCCTTGCATGTTGGATGCCTGCTTCATATCGTATTCTCTCACTGTGGTCTCGGACGAGAGGAACGAGGATGCTAAATTTTTTACCATATCGTTCCCACCTTGCTGACCCATTTGCTTTTGCAGTATATCTGACAGTGGATTCGTTGTTTGTATCGGGGTACGATCATTGTTCTTCTTTGCCATGATGCGAACGTAAATAATAAAGATTTGCTGCACAATCAGTTGAGCAATGAATAGGAATCTGAAGCGTGCGATGTTTGATTAGATTGTGACAGACCAGTAGAATGCAATGTTGTTTGTCAGATGTCGAAACTTACCGAATCACCTTGACGACGACGGGGTTGAACATATCAATTTTTCTTGTGATCATCATGGAACCCAACATGACATACAATTGAAGTTGAGCTGGGACAAAATATGGCTCTACAATATCTCCTAGATCAGCTACAGTCACAGACGCTTGTTCCTCCTCCTCCTCTTCCTCTTCGTCATACTCATCATCGTATTCTTCGGCGTCATACTCATCCTCTTCAGCCTCCTGTATGTATCAAAGTAACCAATCAATTCAACAATGAGTCAACCTTGATCTCATTACAGCTATTTCAAACACAAGATTCCACCGACTTACATCTTCTTCCTCTTCCTCTTCCTCTTCCACATCCGACTGGGTTCGCAAGCTTTGCAATTAGGATTCTAAAATTTCAAATTGTGTTCCATATAGCATTCCTCCAAAACTTACTTCAATGTCACTGCCTTCATCGTCTGTCTCCTCATCTGTCACTTCTTCCTCTTCTTCTATGCTCTTCTTGGACGCTCCTCCTCGGAGCACCTCAACAGCTAGCCGAGTGGTGGGGCAATCCTGTTCCACGAGGCAGTATCTTGTCGTCAATCGAGGTTGAAATGCTAGATTTGTTCGCGGTGAAAAATATGATGTAGCTTCCACAGCTTCTAGAGCTAGCAGCAAGGATGTAGATATCACTGTCCCTAACGTTATCGTTCTCATGGTCAATTGTGTTCAGTTGGACAGTTGGATGTTTGGATGGAAAAAACCATCGGCCATCGACCATCGGATTTTTGGATTTTGGTCCTTTGACACTGTCTGTACGCCATCAGTCCACCGTGTGTACGACGACAGTCTCCCCGCAACGCATTTTCGTTTCGCAGGTTTTCTTGTTGACTCATTTTGTTGGCATCAAATCTATCCTATTGTATATACAACTGCAAGAAAAGGGTAGCTCTTGCTATTGTTCCCCTTGCTTGCCATCATGTCACATTCTTTCAAAGAAGGCGACGTGGTCTATGTGAACTTGGAAGAGCATGAGTTCCTGAGCGAGAAAGCAACAAAATTGATAGTGGAAAAAGAGAGTGGTGTGGTACTAAAAACTAATTGCGCGTACGAAAATGACAGCGGCGAGGAGTTTGACGATGGCATCATGGTCAAAATGAAAATTAGCAATACAAAAGGCATCTACCCTCCTTCTTGTGTTTCTAACTTTGTTTCCAGTCCTATAAGTGACAGCAGCAAACGTCGCTCAACTCGTGGTTCATTAGTCTCTCCTTCTCCGGACAAGGAGCAATGCCACGATTCGTCATCCAAAGTGGAGGAAAAGAAGCAACCAAAGAAGCGTTCTCGAAAGGAAGAGGAACACGAGAAACCAACGAAGAAATCCAAGTACTTTCCCAGTGGAGACGATGGCCACTCGAGCAATGAAAATTCCCTAAAGTTTCGCGTTCAAAAATCGCCCAACTCGGCTGCAAAGTGCAAACACTGCAAGGCAGCGATCAAGAAGGGTGCGCTACGAGTTCAACCTTTCGATTCCAAAAGAGGCTGGTACCTTCCAAATTGCCTGAGCTCTGAATTTCCAGGCATGTCCTTTTCCAGCGCAGAAACTGCTGATTTTGAGGGCCATGATGATCTATCCGAAGAGGATCAGAAAATCCTTACGGACGAGCTCAACGGCGTAACAGCCGTGGTCTCGTCCAATAGCGACAATAACAACGATGGTGATGACGAGGAGGAAGAGAAGGAGGAGGAAGACGATCCTCCACTGTCAGCGTTGAAAGCGAAGAAGAAACCAGCCAAGAAACCTGCCAAAAAAACTACTTCCAAAAAAGGCAAGAAATCGAACAACAACAACAACAATGCTCCGGCAGCACGAAGCAACATCATCGCAGCTCCGGAATCGGATAGTGATGATGACAAAGATATGCCGTATCGCGTCGAGTATGCAGCAACCGGAAGAGCCACCTGTAAAGGATGCGATGAACGTATTACCAAGGGTGTCATGCGAATTGCGAATAAGCCTCTGTTTCGTGGCAAACCAGGGTTTGTGGTCTACAGACATTTACATTGTACTGTATTTTCTGAGAATATTGAACAAATCAGCGACGTTGGAGGATGGAGAAGGCTCAACGATGAAGATAGGGAAGTACTGAAAGCTCGAGTGGAAGAATCCAAGGAACTTGTCCAGAAAGAAAACGAAGAGCTGAGACCTGACGAACTGGTGCAAGCAACTTTTCAGGGAGAAACCCGTGGCCCCCCACCAGGACTTACAGCTACCCTTCTTCCCTTTCAAGTGGAAGGCCATTCGTGGATGTATCATCAAGAAGTGGCTATACCTGAGCTTCGTGGTGGAATCATGGCAGATGAAATGGGAATGGTATGTTTTTGACTTTTTTTCTTTTACTCTTGCATCAATGTCAATAGTATACGTATTCAATGATCTCATTTTTGTTTGTGTCGAAAAGGGTAAAACGCTCCAAACCATTGCTACTATTCTTGATAATAGACCAAAGCTTCAACACGCGACCCCTGGGGCAAAGCACCCGCCATCGGCGCCTGATATCGATGCCCGCAAAACGGAAGAGGCTCTCTGGAAAGACGCCCAGACCTCATGGGAACATGAAATGGAAATGTGCAATGTTCCAAAGAGGATCTTGGTGAATTCCAAGAAAAAGGGTGCGGCCCCCCTTGGCGTACGAGCTGGGACACTTGTCATTTGTCCAGTAATCGCACTTTTCCAATGGAAGACAGAAATTGAAAAGTTTACTGATGGAAAGACGCTTACAGTTGGAATCTACCACGGGCCAAAGAGAGCATCGGAGAACCCAAGAGAGTTGCTTTGCAAGTATGATGTTGTACTGACGACATACCAGGTAATTGAATCGGATTTTCGAAAAATGGTGTCACCAAATAAGGTAAGGTGATCAATGTCGTTCGCATTGTCTGCGAAGGCTACGATACTCTTCAACTGACACTGGACCAACTCCTCGTAGGTGAAATGCCCAAACTGCGGAGGTAGCTACAAGATTGACAAGCTTCGCGTTCACCTGAAGTATTTCTGTGGTGAATCTGCCCAGCGTACCGAAGCACAATCTCGACAACGCCGAACTGCAGATCGACACGAAGGTAACCAACAGAGACCCCGTGGTTCTGGCGGCGGCGGTGGCGGCAAGAAAAAGAAGATGTTCAGCAAGAAAGCTCATGATCTTCAAACAGTAAAGAGGAAAGGATCAAGTAATGTTCGTGTGAAGCGATCCGCTGCATATGATAGTGATAGTGAACTGTCAGTGCCAGATGATTTGGAAATCTCTGCTGCAAGACCTAGCAGGTCGGCTGCGAAAAATGCAAAGAAGAGGCTTTCTGCGTCGGCAAAGCAAACTATAGATTCTGGCGAGTCTTCGGACGACGATTCCGATGCATTCCAGACTGGCACCTCTTCTTCCTCGGAATCAGAGGATGAAGAGTCAGTCACACCAGTTAAGACGACAAAACGAAAAGTGATCGCGACACCAAAAGAAAGTTATGACAGTAGTTTCGAGTCTGAAGACGATGGTGCCATTGCCAGAGCACGGTCCAAACAAGCCGCTGCGATGCGGCGTGCAAAGGCTTCAGGCAAAGGTAGGAAAAGAAAGCTGGATGACAAAGTGAAAGGAAAGGCGAAGAAAGGAAAGGTGGGGAAGAAACCTCGCGGAAAAATGACCAAGGGAAAAAAGAAAAAGTTCGACGATAGCTCGGATTCTTCCTCTTCAGATGAGGATACAAGCGACGAAGAAGTAAATGATGACCCCCTTGCTGGAATTGACATTGATAAACTAATGGAAGAAGCAATTGCTGGTGCTAAACCAAGTGTGCTTCATACTATGTCATGGTGGCGGGTAGTGCTTGACGAAGCACACTTTATCAAATCACGATCAAGGTAGGTTTCAAGGAGATCTCATGACACTATCTCCGAGCATCATTTCTGACATTTTCTCTTTCCACGCACGGCAGTCAAACAGCTGCAGCTTCATTCTCGTTGACATCCATTCACCGATGGTGTCTATCTGGAACTCCACTTCAGAACAGAGTTGGTGAATTGTACTCTTTGATTCGATTCTTGCGTATTGACCCGATGGCACACTATTTCTGTCGCAAAGAAGTAAGTTTACACCTATCCTCTATTCGTTCTGAAGCGTTGTGTTTCTCACGTGATTTTCAGGGCTGCGACTGTAAAAGTATCCACTACCGAATGATGAATGGAAGATGCCAAGATTGTGGCTGCAGTTCAATCCAGCATTTTTCGTACTTCAACAAGCATGTACGTGGAACTTGTGTTGATGCGAAGCTTTTCTTCCCATGTGGATGGTATTGACACTCACCTTTTTCATTTGACGTGCAGGTACTAAATCCAATCCAGCGTGCTGGGTATCAGGGAGATGGTCGGCGGGCAATGATGAAGTTGAAGAATGAAGTTCTTGATCAGTGCCTGATTCGTCGAACAAAGGAGTCTCGTGCAGAGGACATGAATCTACCTCCCCGCGTCGTCAATATCAAGACTATTCGACTCCATCCGATCGAAGAAGATTTTTACAATGGATTGTACACGGAGACAAAGAACTCGTTCAATGACTATATTCATGAGGGCACACTGTTGAACAACTACGCCCACATCTTTGATTTGCTCACCAAGATGAGACAAGCTGTCGACCACCCTTATCTCATTGTTCATTCAAAGAAGTATGCAGAGAGGAATCTGCAATCACGGGCACCTGCTATCGCCAATGGATCGGTCAATTGCGAGTTATGCAATGAACCTCCTACCAGCCGTGTGGTGTCCTCTTGCTGCGGTGCTGGATTCTGCAGAGAATGTGTTGTCGATTTCATGTCTGCATCTCTGGATGATAACAACACCAACCATGATTCGTCAAATTGCCCAAGCTGCCGGGAACCATTCACCATTGACCTCAATCAAGAAAATGCCGATATTGAGGATGATGGCACGCTCACTATTTCACCTTCCAAGACCACTACTGGAAGTCCATTTGATTTGATGCCTTCACTCAAGGAGATGACTCATGTGTCCAGCGGATCTATCCTTCGGCGAATCAATCTTGCTGAGTTTGCCACTTCCACAAAGATCGAGGCATTGGTACAAGAGCTCGTTGAAATGCGTCAGAGTCGTCCTGGCAGCAAAGCTCTAGTGTTCTCTCAGGTATGTCCATTGGATGGTTAACGCGGGTTGATATCAAACTAAACTCTCACATTTTTTTGCCCCAATCGCCAGTTTGTAAACATGTTGGATCTCATCCGGTGGCGTTTGCATTCGGACCCCTGCTTGGCGGACCTCGGTTTGGGCGTCCGAATCATTCATGGAGGCATGAATGTGCATGCCAGAGATCAAGCTCTGAAAGACTTTAAAGGTGACAATTCGGTTCGCGTATTGTTAATGTCGTTAAAGGCCGGAGGTGTGGCATTGAACTTGACTGTAGCCAACGAAGCCTACCTCATGGATCCGTGGTGGAATCCGTAAGTGCAGAGAATGGATGTTTGGAATAGTTGGGAATGCGTGCCTGACCCTTTTGCTATTGCATTTTTACGCATTTCACAGAGCTGCCGAGATGCAAGCCATTGATCGTACCCATCGTTTGGGGCAACACCGTGCGATTCGAGCCGTCCGTTTCATTGCCGAGGGAACTGTCGAAGAGCGTGTGTTGCAATTGCAAGAGAAGAAACGGCTAGTCTTTGATGGAACTGTTGGTACGTAGTGATACTGATGCTGCATGTGTGAGGGCAATTGATTGTTCGAGGTATTGGAAAAGCTAAACTCATCCATCTTGTCTATTACAGGTCGAGATGCGGCGTCATTGAAGATGCTTACAGTGGATGACATGAAGGCCTTGTTTACATAAACAGAGTTCTATTACATGGTTATTGCATATTTTTGGAGTTATAGGTAGACGCATTTTGTAGGCACTGCGTCACGTGCAAGTGTGGTAAAAGTATGATTTTAGGATTCATTTTGAAGCCAAGCTGTCATTCTGTGTGTGTCCTATTTATTGGCACTTATGCACCACCTGACGAATGAAAGCATCTCACTGCATTTGATTTTGCCCCCCAAAACCTCTTTCAACGCTCAACCACACGTCACCAGAAAAAAGCCGAGGAGGCAAATGAGGGAATGCGATGCGAGGAATGGAAATCTCAACCTTCCTCCATTTCCTGTTCTTGTTGTTGTTCTTGCAGTTGCTTTAGATTCATGGGCTTGGCACACTTTCGTGACTCCTTCTCCCCCGTTTCTGGGCATTCCATTTGCTTCCAACTTATGGGAATCATGACACTTCCTACTCGACTCTTGGCCCGAATCACCCCCAATTCACTCTCGGCCGTTGTCAAAAAGTATCGTCGGGCATCTCCCAGACTAATCAACTTGGCCACGACCAAATCACCAGGCTGAAAACAGTCAGCCAAGGATAATTGTTCAGTGGCACTCGATCTGACGTCTTCGCGACGAATGGCCCCCTCTTGTGGGGTTTGCAAGGCTCCTAAACCTTGTACTAATCGAATCTCCAGAATGGCGTTTTGAGGCGTAATTCGAAGAATCTTTCCAACCACTAGTTGTCCAACTGAGAGTGCTTGTGCTGCGAAGAGACTTTTATCTCCGCGTGGTTGGACGCAACATTGAAAGGATGGCCCTGCTGCTGCTTCTGTTGCTTCCAAGGGTTCTACGTTCAAATGTCCCATCAAACAACTGTAAATATGACCTTTGGAAATGTAGGTTCCTGGTCCAGCATTCACTTGACGGATGTTTCCGATTCGATCACCAGGTACGACCGTACTTCCAACCTTATACCGCAGGTTGGGTAGGGATGCTTTTTCTGTCATTGTATGGTACTGGTACGACCTGGAACGAACTCGAATGGAGCTGTTGGGTATGTTGATCGATTTTGATGATCGCTCGATTGGTCGTTGGTTAGAAGCGAGGAAATCGAAATCCCATCGTCGGGTGGCAGTAAAATCGAAGGAGTCAAACCGGCTTGATGCGGCGATCAGACGGATCTTGGGAGTCATACGATAAAAAAATCGCTTACCGAGAAACTACAGTAAGCGCAGACACAAGAGTGACATCTGTTAAAAGCAAATGGTAGCTTGCCTGCGCACTGCGCTGCGCTGAACAACGCAGTGCAAGAGAGTAACAACAACCAAATTGCCTCGCGGATACCCGTACTCGTACCGGTAGAACAAAGGACGATTGATTGACCTGCGGCGATACAAAAGACAAACAACACGAATAAGAAACTCAACCACAATTGAAAATAAAGGAGAATCGATTTTGTAATGTTCGAAAAGACAAAATCAACCTGAATAGCGAGAAGAAAGCAGCTGGGAGCCAATTTTGCACTCGAGAGATTAGAGTCTACTGTTCCATCCATTGTTGATCCTGTTGCCGCAACTGTTACAGCTGGCAAGTGACCCTAAATCGGCCTTCTCCCCATGAGTGATGCGGCAATAAGTAGAGTCAATCACGTGGCATCAGCAGTTGATTCAACGGTTGATGTTGCCGGAACAACAAACAGTCGGGCTGGAGAATCAACGAGTCAACCGCAACACCACAGCGAAGCAGGATCGCATCATGCAACAGCTCCTCTGGAGGCATTCAGCGCAGATTCAAATACTACTGATGTACCGTTACCATCTGAATTGAAACGATTATTGCACGAAGTAGCGAAAACAAGCGCCTGCCCTTGGTTGTCTTGGGATCAAGAAATGTCAATCTCAGTACCACCGTCTACTTCTTTGGCGCTCGCATCCAAACCATCAGCGAGGCAATTTCCCAGAGCATCACAGGGACCCCCTCGGAAAAAGCACAGAAATGGAGTGCACAAAAACGGGAAAAGAAGGTCTTCGGAGACCCCACTGAAAAGTGCAAGTTCCCGCAAGCGTCCATTAGGTTTTGTAAGAACCAGTCCCCCCGCAGTGGCGACCAATTCCAACAACATTTCGTCGGCGCTGAGTTCGGTGGGCAGTGGACGCACCTCTGGAAGTGAGCCCGACAATGATTCCACACATTACGAATGCGACTCCGAAGGCACCTCTACCACTTCCAACAGCGAAATGAGTGTGGAACGCCTGCGGAAATCACAGTTCCTACTCCAGCAACAACAGCAATCGAAAAGTCACAGAACGAGTATTGCATCGATGGAATCCCACAATGAAACGTTGTCGCCCTATCCATACAAAACCTTACAAGAGGCCTTTCGAACCGCCCTCGCGATTGTTCTGGATCACTTTTACAGACACCGGGGTGGGTACAAACCATCTGCAACCGAGAAAGTTGTCAAATGGAACGACGAGGAAAAGAAAGCACAGGCACAACCGGCGGAAGCGGTATACCAGCAGCGACGCCAACGGTTACTAAATATGTTAGAGTCGTCAGATACCGGGGTGTCATTTCGGCGGCAAGAAGCGGTTGTCGGTAGTACTACTAGCAGCGGCGCTCCATTTACCATTCAACGAATTGCTGAAGTTTTGCTATCACCTGATCGAGTAAGTTTAGTTTTGGAAGATGGACGTCGGATGAGTCGAACATACTATGGTTTGTGACATGATGGACTGACTTACTCTAACCTTCAACAATCTCGCATCAAATTGTCCATCTACCTACAGTACTATACACAAACACACAAGCTTTGTAATTGCTTGGAAAAGCTACTATTAGTAAGGTCTTCATCGGAGGCATTTGGAGGGAGTACGGGAGGCGACACTTCACAGAGTCGAAGAGAAGAACGGGAAATGGCAGCACTTGCTGATGAAAAGGGGCGACAGGATTTTGCATTGCGCCATAGGCGTTTGAAACTGGGAGTCCCATCTCCTACCAACGACAACAATACTGATTCGATGCAAGATGGTGTTGCCAAGGGGGGGATGCCAAAGGACGAAAGTGGTCTAAACGAAAATGGCAAACGAACAATGTCCAAAGACAAGAAACTGCCCGCGTATTATGGACTGAGTGAAGCAGCACAAGGGAAGAAGGCTGACAAGGTGACATTCGAAGATGCTACTCGAGAGCAATTGGAGGCTGCCGCACGAGCATCATTGCGGAACAAGTTTGATCATGTTGGAATTGATCCTCATCATCATTCACAAGACCGAGATGTCTTGGCCATGAGTGAAAGCAGACGAATGACGAATTCTCCTCCGCCGCCTAGTTTGGCGATGCCTCCAGCACCTGCTAGTATTGGTTTGCCAGGGCATCCCGGGTCGCCAGGTGGTTTTTCACGGCAACATCATCATCATGGAGATCAGGCCGGGGATAATCATTTAGCAAGGGTTCCGTCACCTATTTTGTTCTCTCCTGGTAACGAGACATCACTACACGCCGCTGCAGCTGCGCCTACCAACATGCACATGCTGCAAATACAGCATGCCGTAGGCTTGAGCGGGGTCTCACTTGCAAGAGGGACACCGTCTTCATTGGAGCTGATGGGGATTGATGGGGCGGTGCGACAGCAAAGTAATTTGGCGAATTCTGTAGACAATACCGACGGTCGATCTTCTGCATCCAACTCTGACGTCGACTCGGAATCCGACGATATATCATTGGATGACTCGGCTTCGGATCGAAGTGATAGCTCGGATTCAGGGTCAGTGACTCATTACGAACCGTACACAGCTGCACGAGCCATGGCTTTGAACCGAATGCAGCAACAACAACGGCTACATAGTCGAGTATTGACATCCATTAACACGCAGCAACCAGAAGGCTTTCGACTACCTGCAGACTCCGAGTACCAAAGCGGAGATAGTATTGATTCCACACGTGCAGAAGATTCGGGGGGAAGTGATTCGTCATTCAGTGACATGGCGGATTAGCATAACGATGGGTCAAGCTATCTATAACACTAGTGCTCAATTTTGTCAACTACAGTACTGTTTTATTTTATGTTGCTGGAGCTATTTGTTCAGGCATCCTACTTCTGTATCCCGCCAATATGAGATACCTTTTATCACAAAAAACGCAAGACTGCCCTCAACGGCTTTTGTTCTCCAACTTCGCAGAAAACACCTCTGCGATTTCACGTCAACAGATAACACTCTGTAGTAATCGTCAGTACGTCGTCTTCCGGTAGTGTTTCTATTTGAGAATACAGAGTGATGGCAGCTTGCTGTCGTAGGAGCTTGATAAGCTTTTATTTTGAGAAGGATAAATTCTCGAGCTTCTCATCACGAGAAAGTGAATTCTCTGATCAACGATACTTGTGATGCCATAGACCATCATAGGAGAATTCATACTGTAGTATTCCGTCGCGTTGACGGTTTGGGTATGTAATTGAATTGAATATTAGTGAAGCGAGAGTCGGTAACCTGCACGGTTGAAGAGGGTAAGTAGAATTGGATGGAGAAGGAATCTATGTCGGCCATCATCACTCATCATTGTCTCGCTGTTGATGTTGAGTCAGTAAGTGAGCGACTGTTTTGAAAGAAGATACAATAGATAAAAATCCATAATGGTAGTAGGGGATATGGTGAAGAATGACGAGACGGTTGAGAGCACAGTGAGCCAAGAGTCAACCGACAACTCAAATCCACAACAGGGCCCTTTCCAAGGCCAAGCCATCAACCAAGCGAATAGTCAGAACATGCAAGTCAAGATTCCACCCACCGAAATTGATGACCGGAAGCTTTTTGTTGGTGGTCTTCCACCAGACGGTACGATCAATGCACTGACTTGTATGGATGCAACGTAAATCGTATTCACATAGTTCTCTTCTCTTGGCAGTGACGAATGAAGAGTTCCGGTTGTTCTTTGAGCAGTTTGGGGCATTACTTGACTCTGTTGTTATGTTTGATCGGGAAACGAAAAACTCGAGAGGTTTTGGATTTGTAACTTTTGAAGATCCGGTAAGTAATTCTGAAGGAAGTCATAGAAGTGTCTCGCACTAGAACCAGCCAGAGGCTAACTATGTAGTCTGGAATCTCACCCATCAGGAGGTCTCGAAGTCGCTACTAGCACAAGGAAGTCAGGAAGATGGCATAGGGCGACTTGACATGAGAGGGAAAACATGTGAAGTGAAGCGGGCTGAACCCAAACACCCTGGACGCCAATCAAAGACGAAGCAGCAGCAGAAGCTACACCAGACTTATCCTCGTTATGTGTACGATGGGTACATGACAAACAACTCCATGCAGCCTTATCAGTACGGTGTTCCCGTTTATGCAGGGTACATGGCGCCGGTTTACTATCCGTACCCACCAGCCGCAATTTCGCATGTAGGAGACTTTGGTGCTCATGCCCCAGTTCATCCATCACCTTACATGAGTCATGGCGGTGATCCATACTTGACTTCTCAGGCTCCACCAACGAGCAGTATCGCATACATGCACCACCGACCACCAGTAGTGCCGATGATGCCAAATGAAATGTCAGCGCAACAAAGCTCACAAGTATCAGCAATGCAGCCACTTACTCCGGGGATTCCTACACGGCTTGGCGATTCAACATTCGAAAATGTGTTACCTTAATAGTAACGTGTCATTCTCTAGAGTTTTTCTAAATTTAAAAGCTACCGATAGCAAGGTACCATTGCTTTTGCGATGCGTGTCGTACAACTCCTTTGCCGAATGAGAACATACAATTCTATATCTTGGATTTGAATGGTATTTCACGATTGTTGTTCAAAGCCACAGATAGCAAGGTACCTTCGCTGTTGCCATCCGTGTCGTACCAATCCTTTTCCGAATGGGTTAGGTAGGTACTGCACTATTTTGATATCTTGGATTTAAATGGTACTTAACGAGTGTTGTTCGGACGACGTCACTAAGGTCAGACGTCAGACGTCGGTAGAGTGACGTGTACCATAGAATGCCAGCTTTCAAAGAACAAATGTCAAATGAAGCCAAAATGTACGGCAGCAGTGTACCAGAATCCTGTTCGACAAAAGACATGGCACGCAACTTTTTCTCACAGACAGCCCAACTCACACACAAATGAAATATGGAAACCACGAACGTTGATCTCAACAATGGGCTTTCGCACCTGGTCGAGGCCGCAACCGCGCTGACGGCTCTCATAGAAACACCAAAAGTTACCACTACAACTACAGCTACATCATCATCTAGCAAAAGTGCTGTGGAATCTCCTGATACAGTTGTAAGCGATGACGATGAATATCGTCAACCTGCTGAAGCATCAATGAAATCATCACCAAAACGAGAGATCTTTCCTCAAAAGCTCATGGAAATCCTCTCCGATGAGACTCTGTCTGATGTCGTTTCTTGGCTGCCACATGGTCGTTCGTTTGTTGTAGTCAGGCCAGATATTTTTACAGCAAAGGTATTACCAAAGTACCTTCCTCCAATCGACTCCAGATCTAGCACAAAGTACCCTTCCTTCACTCGAAAGCTTAACAGATGGTGAGTAGCAAGGTGTACAGCTATAACTCTGCATGGAGTCTTTTCTAACATGAATTGAATAGGGGTTTCCGCCAAGCAACAAAGGGTCCTGATAGTGGTGCCTTTCACCATCCATTGTTTCGCAGAGACAACCCTGAACTCTGCCTTCAAATGGAATGCAAAAAGACGAAGGAACGGCAAATGGTCCGAAAGAGGAGCCTCCCGCCCAAGAAAAGAGGCATTATCGAAAGGCCCACGAGTGGTCATCCAGATCAGAACGAGACTTCTATTGACCATGTTGTTCCAAGCTCACCACTTGTTACGGCTGACGATCGATCCGTTGTCTCATTCGGTGGCTCAACGACGACATGCTCATCGATTTCAAACCGGGAAAGAACCGGAGTGCCTCCATCGTCAATCTTATCTTCAGCTACGGAGACAAAAAGAGTCACCCCATCCATTTCGAACGACGCTGCGTTCGTGGCGAAGGTTCTCCTTCAACGTGATCAAAACGAAATTCTTCTTGCTTCAAGGATGATGCTAATGAATGCTTACATACAAGCTCTTCATGGGGTTCAAGGGAAGACTCCGAAGGCTTGCTAATTGATAGATCTGCTCTATGTTGTATCCAAAGTATAGTCATATCTATTTTCAAACTGATTACTACATTGCATTTGGAGCTGCGTACTGGTACGTTCAGATTCAGAAACGAGATCCATCGTTTCTTGGTTGGTTTCGGTGTATGCTTCGGTGCATGCTTCGGGGTGCATGGAAATTGAAAATACAAGTACGCACAGCTGCGTTTACAAAAGTTTTGATGACTCGCGTTTTTCGCATTTAATAAATTTTACATACGTGTCTAACCTCAACTTGGTACGTACTCGAAAAGACTAGCTGACATGGTCCCGCAGAACATACATTATAATAGATGAAGTCATGAACAGCTGACATATTTACATAAAGCGTGACGTCATACAACAAAATCATGACCAGAAATTAGTGACTACGACTTGTTCGATTTAAAGTGTTCCCGATCATCTCAACGCACGAGCGCAGCGAACGCGAAGCGAACGAACTAAATTTATAATCCGGGGAGCACATTCTCGACTTGTTCGATTGCGATTAACCGTCCTCTACCGGTTTTGTCAGAAAATGCCTGACTATGCGATTCATTCACTCATTCGTTCATTGACATGAAAAATGCCCAAGCGTTTTCACCCCTTCGCTGTGAAAGTGAAAATAAAACTACTCATTTTAGAAACTGTGATTTATCGCTAGTCAAAGACATGTTGTTCGACAGGATAAATACCTTTACAAAGAGCAGCAATGAGCCGCTGATGAAAGTTCAGGCCACAAACAATGATTCTGAAGCTATCGGCGAGACAACCATCGAAAACACGAAACCGGAAAGTTCGAGGCGTTCCCCTCGTGGAGTTCTTCCAATCCATCCCTCACATTGGCCGCAACTTCCACTGATGATTCGGCCATCTCCCAATACTTCCACAGAAATTCGTGGAATAAGGTATTCTTCTGGAAAGAATGCTGATGAGGTCAAAGGTTTTTCAAACCAAGTGCTTCCTATCAATACAGGGAGAGAGGTATGCATCATTACCCTGTTCTGCATTGCGTCATGCTAATCTTCTCACCCGGTTTCCTTATTGCCTTCTCTTCAGGAACAGGGATCTTGCCTTGTTGTGGATTTTGAGTCTGTTTACTTTGTTGGAGAGTTACTTCTTAGAATCAAAGGTGCACCTGAGCTGCCAAAGAACAGTTACCATCCAGAGAGTTACTTTGATGGAAAGAAGCGAACGTTTCAAGCCGTTGTGCGTGGAAAATTCAAGGAACCTTTATCCATGTGCCATTGTGTAACTGGACAAACGTTTGATCGCAGAGGACATTTGCCATCACAGTGGATTGTCAATTCATTCCTCAAGATTGTCTCTCTGTTGGCTCCGCAACTTGAGGTCGATCTCGGCGTGAGTAAACGCTGCAATGTGGAGAAGATTTGATATGTTTCTCGACTGTCAACTCACTTTTAATGTCTTTCAGAGTGCCCACCCACGTTTCCTCTCACCATTAGTAGCAACAGCACAAACAGTCCGTGTTGATCGTGATTCGGCATCAAAACAGCGAGAAAGCATCGACGGTGTTATCATTGAAGCGCCCTCTTCGGACCCATTATCCATCTTGTGGGAAGGTGAATCGAGTTCAGAGGAATTCGACAGCTCTCAAGAAACAACATCCATTTCATCACGAATGAAGAAGCGAAAAAAAGTATTCAACCAAGTGGCAGCAAGAAAGGATGAGGACAAGAGGTTCTCTACCGAACATGAGTACACATTTGAAGTAAGTGAAACGATGTGAGGCTGTCTTGCATATTGGAGCAATATTGACTAATTGTGATCGGCTATTGAAGTTTTTTCAGCATATGCTTGACTTCAACGACGACATCCACATCAACATGAGTCGACCAGTTGGCAATGTGAGCGTTTCCCAAATGACTGATGGACAGCCAATCAAGTGCATGAGCGCGTACAATAATCCAGCGACAAGAGAACTGGAAACACTATGGAGCTTTGACATGTGGCATGAGTCTTTCTATCAGTTAGCGAAAGATGCCCAGGAGCGAGGAGCTTGAGAGATGTGCAATCATCATAAATCAATTTTGACGGAGGATTGTGCAATACCGGTATATAAAGACTGTATAAATTTTAAGATTCTTCACTCAGAGTAACTGTACCAAGGATATCGACCATCTTGACCAACGAGTAAGCCTTTCCGTCGATCTTGATGTCGTTTCCGGCGTAATCCTTGAACTTGACACTGTCTCCAACTTCCACTTGAGGTGGGGTGAGTTCACCATTACTTGCCATGCGTCCTTCTCCAACCTTGACCACAACACCTTCACATGGGACATTTTCAGCCATAACTTGGCTTGCAATCACGACGCCACTGCTGGTTAGCAAGGTCTCTGGATCTTCATAAAGCTCGATAAGGACGTAATCTCGAACTGGTACGACATTTTTAAGATTCATTGTCACGCCTTCGTAGTAAAGCAAACAGTTGTCATCTTTAATTATTTGGCATTGGTCGTCATCATACGTAACAGCTCTCCCATCAAACTTTCCGTAAAGCACAGACATTCCTTCCTTGATTGGGTTGCGGATTCGAACAGCAGTGAATGGGTGAATCTTTCCAGGGCCGGAAGCAACAACCAAGCCCTCTGTTGGTCGCTCCTTGGATTGATCGGGAAGCAAGACTCCTCCTTCAGTGGCAGTCAATGTGTCCTTCACTCTAACGAGGATGTTGTTGCCAAGTGGTTGGACGGGACCTCTGATTTCTTCTCCATCAAGAGTATGAACACCTTGGGCCATGGTGGGTTCTGCAGAATTAAGGGAAGTCTGTGTAGCCCGAGGTAGCTTAGAAGCCCCTGTCCATGCTCTAGAAGATCCAAAAAGGCACAACAGCGTCAAGCAAGTAATCTTCATGGTACTGGTACTGCTGAGGATGGAAATTTTTTTGTTGATGTTTCTTCAGACATCTTAATTTTTTTACATGGGTGCCGGTGTGACGACCGACACCGTCGTTCCGCCATCCAATCATACAAACGCACGAAAACAGATAGGAGAGTGTTGTGGTGAGTAATAGAGAATATGAGAAAGGACATTTTTAAGACACAAACTACAGTACTGCACTTTCTGAACTCTAGTAGTCAAAGGTTTTGGTTGCTGTTGAATGCACAATGATGAAAAACAATAATACATTTTTATGCTTCCATTAGCTACATGAATCAGATCTCTCCATGGCGGATACCTGCTATAGGTCTCATTGCTCGAAGCGCTTGGTCTTCGATCTCTCCATTCCTTTGGCTGAACCTGCTTTTGAAAGTGTGTAGTTCATTTCCAAGCTTCTCTTGAGATCTGCGAATCTCGCGCGATGCAACGAGGGCCTCATCGAGCTGTCGGCGCAAATCTTGTGCCTTCTTGGAAGGTGTGGCGGAAGCTTCAGACTCGACTTCTTCCCGTTCTTCAATGCGCATCAAATGATGTGAGCCAACAGCAGGCGAAGCCATCGAAGGGTCAAAGAACCTGACTGGTTGGCGCTGTTGAGCCTCGTGGCCAATAGATTGCATGGGCTCATGGTCATAAAGTTGTTCAGGGTTAATGTCTGACGGCTCACCTGCAACAAACTGTTTTGAATGCTGGAAACGTGCCAAGGCTTGGGCTCTCTGAGCCCGTAGTACGTCCAATTTCGAAAGGATCTGGGGGGTTCTTGGACTCCTGAACGAATCATCCATGCTCTCATCTAGAACACTGTGACGGTATTCGTTTTGGCTGTAGTTTGCAGGGGCGCTGTAGTTCACAGGGGCCGGAATAACTTCCTCTTCATCGATATCATTCCCGTATCCATATTCTGCAAGCAGTTTTTCCACATCGATCGGGAAGTCCTCGTTCGATGCAAAGGTATTAGTCTCATGGAACGAAGGACCGGTTTCAACAGACAAGTGTCTTTTGCCATTTAATGCAGGTTCACCTTCATCGTTTGCTAAGGAAGCTAGAAGATCCTTCGATAGTTGAAGAGTTCTGGAAAGGAGTTCCTGCTCTTCTTTGTAACCCAAAGGAGGTGGCACATCCTCTTCAATCGGGGGCTCCTCGTCGTACACAGAACCCCTTCGGCGTTTTGATGTATCGGCCTTGTAAACTTCCTCGTCTTCCCAATTAATAGTCTTTTGGTTATTCTTGTGCTTGGGGGTGGAGTTTTGGGGCATGGCATTAAGGGAATTTGTATTCTCATTGCTAGTTGGAGCAATAGGCTCTGCTCCAGTTTTGCCTTCAGCATCCACCTTCGGCCTCTCCGATCTCGTGGCAGAAGCCTTTGGTGTTGTGTCTTTTGCGTTGGATTTTTCGTTGGATTTTTCGTTGCTTTCAGTTGCTTCTACAGTTTCCACTGCCATTGTTTCAGGGGTCTTTGGTTTGAGCTTGGTTTTGATCTTCTTCTTCTTTGGTTTTGGGGCATCGATTTCTTTCTTTTCGTCGGTTTTGTCGTTGACTGCTGTAATTTCAACCGGAATTGGACCAGCGGGGTTGGCTTTGGCGGGAGCAAATTTCTCGTCCAAGCCTCTCGTAGAAGCAATGGTAGACAGTGTGTCCCAGTATGCATCATCCTTGTCAAGAATTTGTTTGTTCTTTGCGTTTTCAGATTTTGGAGTCTTCTTGGAATCATTTACGGCAATATCTTCCGCCTCTTCAACCTTCTGCTGTAGCTCTTCAAGATTCTTACTCCTCACGACAGCCGTCATCTTGGAAGCGCGAATGCTGTCGTCATCCTTTTGGCTTTTGTACATGAAGTACAATGGTACTGCTCCACACATCACACCTGCGCTTGGATGCATATCCACGCAATTGATGGTTCCGTTTCGGTTGGAGCCAGTAGCATTAAGTTCGCCATCAATCCCCCCCATCGAACGGGGAGACGATAGGTTGGCACCATTCAAAGGCATACTGCTGGTTTCCGCTCCTGGGACAGAATATCGATCTGAACGCACGGCAATTCGTCGATCCTCAGGTCGTGGCGATGTAGCTCTGGTCTGCTTGCGAGCTGCATCTTGCTTTGTAGTGAGGTCAACAACATCGTCATCGTCCAAATCAAGTGATGGAGCGCCAGGAACATTGCGCTCGTTGACTTCCGCGTTGTCACCAACGACGGCACCTCCGAGAACGGCACCAACCAGCAAGGCACCGCAGTTCATATCACCAGTGTGTTGCTTTAGCCTTTCGCCGTTGATTGCGCACGCACCACTTCGTGCATGCTCCATCAAAGCAGCAGTGCCATTACTGGAATCCATGGAGTCCACCAATGCATTGGTCTTGACATGTGGGTTCCCGATGGTCGAGATACTCTCATCGCTATTGTTCTTCTTGCCTGTCATAATTTCTGAAACTGGGACTCCTCTGGTTGTTGAGAAATTTATCATTGGATCTCCCCCTCCGCGGGATTTACCATTGCGAGCTGAGGCAAGAGCTTTACGAGCGAGGAATCGAGCCTCAGCCATATGACTGGGAGAATCACGTGATGGCCCAACTTGCTCTATCATGGCGGCAAGAACCTCTCGTTCAGCATCAATTACCTGAATGGGATCAAAATCGTCAATCTGAGTTTCAAAGCCTTCACCGTGTTTATTGTATGCATCGGATTGCAACTGCTTCCTGACTTGATCGATAGCCTTTTGATATTGGGCTTCTCGAGCCTCTCGTTCTTGTTGTCTTCGCTTGGCTTCCTTTTCGGCAAGAACCTGTTTGGATTCTGGAAGTACTTTCTCTTGCCCATACTGAACTTGAATGCGATCTAGTGACATTGGAGAAGGTGCCGAAATGACAATTCCCCTGTGTACTTCCACGCCTCGACGTCCACTGGGTACCTTCATCAATCGATGGGCGACCGTCTTGGGTTGTGGGGTGATTCGTCGCGCAGCACCAAGACCAAACTTGATTTTACCGGATCGAAAGTTAGGACCATCAAACGAAGTCTTCTTAATCTCCTTCTTGGGAGGGGGTACATCAATCTCACCGAGATTTCCCACTTCTCTGACCATGGCAGGTTGGACAGCTTCCACCACGGAGGCAGTGAGTGCGGAAACTTTGGATTCATCAGACCTTGGAACTGTCTCAATCTTCTTCACAGGAGCTCTAACGTTTGATTGAATCACATGCAAGGCTTTCTTCGTGGCTCCAAGCTTCTTACTGCTTGCTGTTTGTAGCAAGGACTTTGGTTTAGTTTTTCCCTCCGTCATTGTTGAAAACGCACAACGTGGAATTTTAGAGACAAAAGACTGTAATGCTGGAGTGAAGTATGCTAATGGAGGCTGTTCCTTCAATCAATTGTCGATTTTTTTCATCGCCGAGGCTCGGCCGGCTCGTATTGGCGATGAACTTGAAGAAATGTATAGCAATTGGCGTTGATTGGCGAACAATGCGACTTTTGGCCGCAGTATTTTCACTACATTACGAACGCGCGCCGTCTCCTCTAGTTCACATGGTTTCAATATTTAGCATCACTCGTCTGGTGTCACACAGCCGGAGGTGTAGCAAGAGTACTAATTCGTACACGTACGTGTACCTACTCGTATCTTACTCCTTTTGCTGTTGACACTGCGACCACTTGTAGATATTTCGACTTGCAAATAGTCCAGAGGCACACAGCCGAACATACTTTAATCTACGTACGGTATGCATGCGGTAGAGGATCCCAGCGAAAACTGTATCCTTTTTTCGGACGCCATGATACATAGGTACATACAATAATAATAGGTGTGTGAAATGTATTATTTTTTAATAGTTCTAGTTATTAATATCCAATCCAAAGTTGGCCAATCAATATTTGCATTGTATTACTCTTAGTTCATGCTCAAGGCTGGTAGCACAAAGTGGAAGAGACCCAACTTGGCTTGAAGTGGAGTCGAGCTTACGGGTGTGGACCCATCACTGCTCAAGGTGACAAAGTTGTACTCTCCTTGCATACGGGCAACGACAGGGGTCTTGTCTTGAATGGGTTTGACACTCAAGGGCGCCGTACTGGTGTATTCAAAGGATTCTCCTGGTTTCAAAATTGGCTGTCTTCCAGTAACTCCGGGACCTTGAACAACGTCCTTGCTGGAGCTACCAATAGTTTGGATCTCGAATCGTCTGGAAACCAATTGAATGGATTCCTTGGATTCGTTGGTGATGCGAATATTGTAGGCAAAGCAGTGTTTGTCCAGAGCAGGATCCGATCGTTCCGGTCGGTATGAGGAGGTCACAGCGACGCGGACCTCTTCGGCGACGACTTCAGAGCTGTCGTTGATTTCAACAGTAATATCTCCCGACTTGATATCCATATCTCCTGGAAGAGTGGATGCAGGGGAAGAAGCAGTAGAAGAAGAAGGGGTACTGGAAGACGGCTTGGCAACAGCTGTTTCACCGGGGACGTCTTCTTCATCCTCTTCTTCCTCCTCCTCTTCGTCTTCTTCTTCAGAAGAACGGAATGGCTTGACGCGTTGGTCTTCAGGGAAGATGAAATGGAAGGTACCCAAATCAGCGGTCAATTCGCCGCCGGCCTTGATTTGCTCTTCAGTAGCAGTCTCTTCGCCTTCAGCAAGAGTTGCATAGCGGTATTCCCCTCGCATACGAGCAGCAATGATAGTGGTACCAATAGGTCTGACCGACAATGGAGCTGTAGAAGTGTATTCAAAGACTTCACCAGGCTTCAAGACGGGAGTACGCCCAGTGACACCTTCTCCTTGAACGACATCCTTCATACTAGATCCAACAGTTTGGATCTCGAATCGGCGTCCCAATAATTGAATGGTTTCAGTAGGAGAGTTGTTGGTGATGCGAATGGTGTACTGGAAGCAGTGCTTGCGCATGGGTGGATCGGATTGTTCCTTGTTGTAGGTAGATGAGACTTCGACCTCCAAGACACCTGTAGTAGTCTTAGAAGAGGCTTCGACAGGAATGTCAATTTCTCCCTTGGTGACATCTTCGTCACCGGGCAAACGAGGACGTCCACCAGCAGCCTCGGCGGCGGCAGCTTCTCTTGCGCGTTCGGCGCTGCTGGATCCAGACCCCTTGTTGGAGCTAGCGATTTCAGCAACCTCGTCGTCTGCTTCGCGCCCCAATTGTTCACGACGAGTCTTCTTGAAGTCTTCGCGAGCCTCTTTGAGTGCCTTCTCCATGGCCTTGGTACGATTTTCGGGAGCCTCGGGCAACTTGCCCAAAAGTTCCTTGGCGCGATCCCGCTTCTTCTTGTTGTCCTCTTCAATTTCTCCCATGAGTCTTCGCATGGTCCGTTCTCGACGTTCCTTCGCTTCACGATCCTCCCGCAATCCGGGGAATCGCATGTCTTCCTCATACTGCTGTTGGGCAGTTTCCATATTCTTGCGACGTTCTGCCATCATGGCTCGTCCACGGGCAACTCGGTCGGCCCGAATGTCTCTGTCCAACAGAGAAGCGGCGCGGGAAGGTGAAATACCAATGTCGTAAATCTCCGTGTGGACAGCGTATCCCTTGGTACCGCAGTCAATGCCTTCCGGTGGACCACCGACCTTTTTGGCAAGTTCCCGCAAATGTTCAATTTTCTCATCAGGGTCTCCCAATTGAATGGCATCTCGAAGACGCTCATTGACCATGAACCAAGGATCCCGCTTGTATCGTCGCTTCAAGTCATTATTGGCTTCGACCCATCCGGCGTGATCTTTTCGCATGCGCAAATCGGGCAAATCGGACTTGCGGATTTGACGCATGACGCTCAAGTTTTCCTTGCGTTCATCGTCCGACATGGTTTGCGTCAATTGATCGTCGGAGACTTGTTCTTCGTCCATATCCTTGAAGTAGCGACTTGGGCGTGGCTTGATCAATGGATTGGGATCCCAAGGATCCAACTTGAGTCCGGTAAAAGGGGACTTGGCACCGGCATATCCAGCTGGGACGAGTTGATCATCCTCGTCTTCATCCTCGTCCTCATCTTCATCATCCTCGTCCATGCCTAGGAAATCCCCAGAAGCTGCCATGGCCAAACTGCTGTTGATCCTTGATTGGGATTGAACAGCTGCGACCATGGAATGGCCAGTGCGGAGCGGCATTGGTTGCATGGCCGTGATTGGAAGAGACGACGGAGAAAAGGCATCCGCGACGCTGGAAGACTGCGCCAAAAGGAAGGCAGCAATGGCGGTATATGTGGGTTTCATTTCTTTGTATATATGTGATATTGAGTTTGTTGATTGTTTGTTTGTAGTTAGCGTACTGTATGTAGTCTACAAAGCAAATAGCCAGGTTTTTATGACACTCGAGTCGTCAATGACAAAAGCAGATATTTTCAATTTCGACCTGCCTGAGAATTACTGTCAAGGTGGCAGGTTTTCAATTCGACGAAGATCGAAAAAGGAACACCGCAGCCAGATGGCCAATGTTCTCATTGATCTTTGGGGGATTCAGAATTGTTTCGTATGAAATTGTTCAACTTTTTACAGACAGAAAGGGGGAATGAAAATACTCCCCCTGACGTCACTACTTCTTTTCTTTCTGTTCATTGGCACGCTAGCGACATTCCGGGCGACATTCTTGTGACACAGTAGAAGTAAGGATCGATAGATCCATCATTCTTCTCCAGTACCGGTACCAGGTACCAGTCCCTTCTTATCATTTTATAGAAGTACTATTATAATACTCTAGTTTATAAAAATAGTATTAGCTGATAAACGCCAGTTGCCGTTGCAATGCTTCATTTTCCTTTTGCAAATCTTCCATTTCTTTTCTCAGGGTAGCCATTTGTTCCTCGGCTCGTTGGGCCCGATCTTCCGCGGCTTGGCATTGTCCCTTGATGCCATCCAGTGCGTGGCCAACATTGACTTTGGACAAGACGGTGGCCACCGAGTCTCGTAACCTGTGATCAGAAGCACCCACCATTTCACAAAGCAGAGGAAAGACAGAAATGACCACTAGTTCCATTCCAAGAGTGTCTTCCATGCTCTGGCACATGATGACGCAAGCTTCCACCTTGCGGGTTGTGCGATCGTCTGCATTTGCAGAGTCGTCGTTGTCGTCGTCTTCCAACTCCTTCGATAGCTCTTCTTTGGCCGCCAACAGGACTTGTTTGGCAATCACGGGCAGAATCTTTTCTTCTGGATTCAGACGGCAAATTCCGCCGAAACACGAGCCAAAAAGTTTCAAACTCTCATTCGAGTAATCCTTCTCATCGGATTTCTCTTCTTCTGATGGCGGCGGCGGTGGCAAGTCCAAATCCAGACAATTCATGGCCTCGGTTGCAAGTACTCCACAGAGCGCGGGCGAGTAACGATCATTGGGGTACTTGGATATACCATCGACAATCACTGTCAGATCATTAAAGACTTGGGCAGACAATTCATTCTGAAAAGCACTAGCCAAAAGTCTTGCCACTACCGCACAGAGTCGGTCCCACAACAGATCGAGAAGTTGATCCATTGGACTACCCTGTTGTTCAAGAGTCCAATACTGTTTTTGGAGAGTGTACGCACTCGTCACACAGGGACCAATCATGGACTTGAAGAGTCGGTAAAGAAAACCATTGCCGGATTCCAACACGGAATAAGATTGGTTCTGTTCTCCCACAAAGGCTAGCATCATCCGACATAACACCATGACTCGGATTTCGTCCGAGACGCAATCGTTTGGCAGGGCGCTGAACAAAGAATTGGAAGCTTCAGTGCTCGTCAAGACTGCAATCTCTCCGGATACCCTGTTGTTGTCTACCTCTTGTCGGATAAAGCCGTCAAAGCATAAGGATGAGAGACAAACAAAGGCCTCAAGCGACCCATTGGAAGCCATGGATTTCAACAATTCTAAACAGGCTCTTTGGGCCTGAGAGAGAAAGCGAGACTGTGGTCCGCCAGAAGAATTGTAGCAAACAGTTGTGACGATTCGGACAAACCGAGTTTCGAGAGCATCTTCATCACTGGGTTGAGGTTGCTCCAGAACCAGCACTTTTTGGAGGAGAGCATCATGATCGACTTTGTGACCCTCAGCAAACTCGTGGTCCTTACAACATTCGTACAACTTTTTCAGATCATTGGCGAAATGGCCGAGAACTTGAGCCTGTGCTGGTTCCATGTAGCCGGAGGACTCAGAATCACTTCCCGCTGATACATCGCTCTCCAGGTAGACACGGAACGAATCAAGAACGTCAAACGCGTCCAGGAACAGGTTTTCTCTCCAGGTCTCGGCCATTTCGCTGAGTGGAGCTCGTTGAGCGTCTGCCATAGTCGTTGTAGCATCTCTTGTACTCCTCAAGGCACCATTGACCACTTGCATATTAGTACCCACTCTTGCTGGCGTTATGGCAGCTTGTATTCCCGCTTTACATGCAAGTTGGTTGCAAATGACCAAAAGTTGGACACCAGCACTTCGTACCGGGATTGTGTCGCGTCCTCCAGACAAGGTGGATGTATCGAACGCATAGCTCAGAATTCTATTCCATGCTTTTTCGAACCATGGTGGCTCATTTCCAGCAGAATCGTTTGAAGTGGTATCAAGAAGATCAAGGAAGAACGACCGTAGGAGGCGAGACAGTCCTCCAAGGACAATCGCCTGCGTTGCCATCCATTGCTTTCCAGCGGAGTCCCTTGAGTGATGGACAGAGACCCTGTACCTACCCGTCTCGCCTTTGCCTTGCTTTTCATCGGGACCTTTTCCATCCATTGTAATTTGGTCCATCACACAGTCGTAAACAACAAACACCATATTGCAAATGCATGCTTGCCATTGTGTTGCAGAAAAGGTTTGTCCACAGCCAGCAATGCATGAGAAAAGGGTGTTCACAGCACAGTTGCGAACCTCTGCCCTTGGGTCCGATGACAAATTCACCAACTTCTCCAAAGCACGCTGGAAAGGAGAACAGAGTTAGAAAATAAAACTAATGCAATTCAAATTCTCAGCGTTGAAGAACTCACGTCAATTGACGAAGTGCCAGCATCTTGGTCCGCAATTGTCCAAAGTAGTCCAATTGACGTCAGAGATGTGTTCATATCTTGCGATGAGATCCCAAAAGACCAGCAACAGTCTAACAGAGCTTCACGAACATGAGAGGCAGAATCCATGTCTTCCAAAAAGTCATCCACGATCAATTTCAGACATCTGAATCCAAGTGGAAAACATTCAGACCAATCTGATGAGGATCGACTACTTGTCGATACAGAAGCAACTGCTTGAATGACTTTCTTCCAAGCATCGGGTGCCAACACGTGACCTGAACTTTCCAGAATTGAATGAAGCGATTCCATGCAACACGTCGTAACGTCGGCATCTTCTGCGGAGCAAATCAAATCGCACAGCGGACCTACTAAATCCAATTGCGAGATTTCGGAGAGTCCACTTGCATCGGGATCGCTTGTTTGTTCAACTGCCAAAAACTGATTTGGTCGAGGGACTTCATAGACGATTTTCCCCGGTCCAGCGAAGGACATGGGTAGATCTTCACTTTGAGATAAATGTGACATAATGAGCATCGAAACAACATCCATTGCGAATGCGGAAGTCAATTCTGATTCTGAAGCAGTCGCACAAAGCTCTGTTAGCAAAGAGCCTGCAACACGATTGTGGCGAAATCGATTTGCCATTGCAACATCAGCCAATAGGGAGCAGCAAAAAGGCAACATCTCATGTCTGAAAGGATACTTCGAATCCCCCATGCGCTTCGCAAACTCCAGTTGATAGTCATGGTAATAGGTATTCTTCGTTCTTTCAGTCAAAGGAACATCATCTGCGGGTTGACTCCCATCCTCGTTCCCCCCATAGATCGCTCTGACGCCAATGGTCATCAGCTTTTCTCCAATGCCTCCTTTCTCATCCTTTCCAACCGCATCCTTGTTCGATCTGCTGGCTATTCTGGAAGTGTCGACTTTCCGTATTGATTTTCCTGATGCTCGAGCCTTTTCTTCTATTATAACCACACTCCGTAATCCCTTGATAAATTCAATAAGTGACTCGTCAGAGAAGCACGTCGAAAATTGAGAAAAGCGAGAATATACTGCCGAGATGCTCAGAGCGCCCACATAGGTTTTATCGGAAAGGTGTGGAGATGCGATCCAAACGTTTGACAATTCGTCGAAAGTTTGCAATACAACTGCCCAATCGGAACCAATGTCATCATGAAACGCATGAACAACATTTAGAAGACACACCAAAGCAGCGATGTTGTTGTCTTTTAGCTCGCAACTGGGGTCTTGTGTTCCCCATTTTGGGAGAGACAACTTGCACAAGCTCGATAGAAGAACCCGACGAAGTAGTGGTTTTTGGAGGCAAATCTTTGCAAGGAAATAGTACCCCTCAAGGGATCGTTTGACAATTGTACCGCTTGCTGGTAATCGTTTCAGATAGTGTTGAAGTACCGATAACGAAGGGGCGAAACATGTATCCAAAGTGATGCTGTCAAGTCTCTCAACAATATTCAGCAGCAAGTTTAGTCCAATCCATAATGCGTCTCCAATAATGTAGTTCTCATCTCTACCTTTCCCACTCTTCCATGGGGATATTGAAGGCAAAGCTTCAGCTGCATATGATAATCCGAGTTCTTTCTTTCGACTGGCGAGAATGAACAAGTGTATGTGTTCGCGGCAACTTGCGCCGATCGTGCAAAAATCACTCGTCGCTTCCAGAAGGTTAACAACGACATCTGGATGAAGCAAGAGGTCTCGGACCCTTTCATCTTGAACTGCACCATGCAATCCTTCCAATGAAAGGGCCGATTTCCAAAGGCTGCCAGGTGGTAATCCTTGTAACGTCTCCAGGTTTCCGGTTGGTGCCGATAGATTCTTGTCCGCGGTGCTGTAAACATAACCATCTTCAAAGTCAGCTTGTTTTCGAAGTGCTTCGGTCGCTGCTGGAATAGGTTGGATCAGCCTCGCGACCAAATCTCTGCACTGTTTCGGCCAGGTCTTCGCTTGAGTTTGCAGAACAACAATTGCGAATTGCACTCCTTTTGAAAACGCCAGTGGCGACGTATCTTTGCTCGCAGATTGTATTCTGAGCAATTCAATTGTTATTTGCAGTGTCTTTTCTCCAACGTCAGAAACAAGATGAGGTGCTTCTTTGAGTAGCGTTGTCATCAGTTCAATGCTCAAGGCTGATGATGGCGGCTGCGGCGAGTCTTTGTCACCAAATTTGCAGCTTTTGAACGCCCCTTTGAACTTTTGCTTTGAATCGGACCCGGAATCCGAGCTTATCGCACCACCTAACAAATCATACCAAGTCTCTAATGCCAAGTCCTTTGCCTTTTCGTCTTTGACCAACAATGAAAGAACCTGTGGTAAGGTCGAATGAGCTGCCTGTCGAACATTTTGTCGCGTTGGTAAGTATAGTAGACAACACAGAGTCACACTCTGTACCCATTGTTCTGTTGATACTGCTAAATCCTTCAATTCGAGTAGTTGCAAAAGACAACTCAAAATGTCGAGCGCCAGCTTCTCCAAATCCTTCGCACTTATTCTTCCTGAACCGGCCCCACCATGTGAAGATGAAACAGCACCGATTGTGACAGCATTCGTTTTGGTCCTTTCAGTTATTGGGGAAGAGAGCAAGCCGCCCAACCACCCGCTAGATGATTGAGCTCCTCCTGTAGAATCACCTGAAGAAGCTGCTGATGCTGCATTCGCACCGCCTGAATCTTTTGTCGAGTTGTTCACCACAACTTGTGCCTGTATCATCCACACTCGTACCATATTCATTCCATCTCCCGGGCAGATTGCATTGGCTTCCATCAGGGTTTTCATGGCTTTGAAACTCGTATCCAAAAGTTTTGGTGATGCATTGGGATAGTTTGCAGCTAACAAGAAAGGGTGCAGTAGGTCCGACGAACGGAATAACGACGTATCGGGATGTTTTTGCCCATTGTTTGCTTTTCGGACAGCAATAACGTAATCATTCTGCAGCGTTCTAAGCTTCAAAATTGCTCTCTCGGATGCTTCCTTTACGCCTTTTTAAAAACAATTGGGTCACATTAACATCAAATATGAGATTTTTCAAGATTTCTCCTTCAACTGTAGCTTCAATATCATACACACTCACCAGGATGCTTTTTCCGAGCTACAAGACGTGGTCCAGAGGTAATTTGATGTTGTTAGAGTGCAGGTGTCAGATGATGGGCTGAGATTGAAATCTGTCATTGAATTACACTGTAGTCACTCACATTCTACCCCTAAATCCCGAAGATACTCCTCCAATTGAGCCACAAAATTCATGAAAGACCAACCGAATCAATGTAACATTCACCGTCCAATGGCAGTAGGGAAATGATCCATAAAAGGAGGCTTGTCGTTTGTTCCAAGCGACTAGGTTGATTACATGCAGGTTTTGATTGATGATTCACAATGCAAGACTTAGATGTATCGAAACGCCATGGTTTAACGACATGTTTTCGCAAAACATGAGAATGATACGAAGGCGGAAAAGTTAAAAAAAATTGCGGTCTGCCGATACCTACCACAAAAATCAAACATGAGCAGCGAAAATACCAATAACCTTGCCCTTGTGCCACTGCATCCAGGGAGTGTAAACAAAAAAGAACCCGTGGTAAAGTCCTTTCCCCTGGTCCTTGGACGTACAAATCTAGCGAACTGGTGGTGGAACAGGTAAGACTTGTCGGCGTCAGCATCAGATTTGATTCAACACCACATGTGGGCCTAACATTTGATCGGAACTCAGTTGTCCATGCGAGAAGTACTGCAGACTCCACTGTAAACCTGTAGCTCAGAACATTCGTTCGCTAAGCAAAGTCATGTTGATGGTTGATAGCAAGGCCAAGATGTAAGTTCATAATCTTGAATTCATGCTGTGTTTCTCAAAATTCAGAAGCCTTATCCGTTGAACTCCAGGAATGCTGTAGGAAAGAATCCACATTTAATCACGGTAATACCAGAACGGACAGATTGTGTATTGAAACAAAATGACATTGTGAGCATAGGACGACGAGATCGCGAGCCTTGGATGAGGTGAGTTGCTGAGATTTACACATACCGGTTCAAAGGGTTTGTGTTGCTAAAACTCGTAAACTGTAGATTTCAAGTGGTGCCAGCGACTGGTGCTTCCAACTGTCGGCAATCCCGTCGAAGAGAGAGGAGAAGACATGGTGCTGATGGCCTAGCAAGACGTGTGGATAATGGAAAATCGAGTAACGCACCTCCAGAATGGATCACCACAACTCGGAAACGAAAAATGTCACGAATGAGTAGCAGTAGCACACCACCAAAACCCCCGAATGCTCCCACTCAACAAAATGCGGCCAATCCTGAGCACCAAAAGCGTCGACGCAAGAGGTCAAGAGAGAGTTCTTTCCTTTTGAGCTCCCGACCTTTCGATGAAACTAATCCAAACACCAAAGCGGACAAGCGCTTGATGACTGGGCAGAATAAAGCTGCATATGGGCACCTCGTAGTCCAAGACTACAAGAAAAGTGCCAAGCTCCTTGTTTCTGATCGAGAAAAGCGAGTAGAAACAAGCGAATTTGTAGAGTCGCAGGGAGGACGATTGTATGGAGGACGATTGCCGTTTTTGTCCAAAACGAATGGAAAAAATTCGGGAAGAAAAACACCAGTACAAGGAGAGACGAAGTTACCAGAAGCTGTTCAACCAGAATTTGTTCAACCAGATGCATCAAAAGGGGATTCACAAGTCCAACGCGTGCCTTACGCTACTCAGCCTCGCACTCCGGATGGAAAGGATACAGGAGGTACACCCTCATCCAATCGCGCTGCTAAGCTCGTGGATGAACATGTGGATCAGCCAGAGGATAAACAACCTAAAGAAAGTGAAATCGATGAAATGATGAACGAAGCTCAACCAGATTCGATGCTAGTCTGGAGCGCCGACAACGGCGAAGGAGCAAAGGACTCGCTTCCACCGAAGAAAGAGAGAAATCAACGAAACGAACCATCTGCCAGTGTTAAAGGTGAAGCAGGATCGTCGGCCACGAAATTGCCAGCCGAAGGAAGTACCGTTGAGAGATCGAGTCATCCAATGAGCTTGACTGCAAAAGAAGCTGAATCCTCGATAATGAATATGCCTGCTGTCCAAAGCACTTTTGAAGGAACAAATCACCACACAACTCCACCAACCCAAGGTACCAGATCACCAAACCGATCAGTCCAGTATTCAGATGCGGAACTCCACCACTGGAAGCAGATTGCCAATGGTGAGCCGGACAAAGTGTCGGCCTTTCGCCGTGCTCTTGCGGGTCTCATTGTAGCAAAGAACAGGGGCAAGGAACGAGGTGATCCCATGTGGTTACCAGATTTGCTGGAGGACAGCTCTTCCTAATCATTGTAGGTCGGTATTAAAATAAATATGATCAGACTATTCAGTCTTTTACTTTTAGGGAAAAGTCTACCTCCAGCAGAGTCAAGCCTTATATTGATATGAGAGAGACAAGTTTCGTCTAAGGTGTGTGTTGTCTATAGATTTGTTATTGTAATCATTTTATATTCCCCGAATGGAAAAATCGATAGTAGGTACAAAATCGCAGGAACTGACGGTTTAACCATCAGTATCATAACCTGCAACCATCATAGTACCTTGAAGAGAGGCAAATCTCGTCTATTGTGCAACCATTCCATAGGTCCCACGCTTGTTTTTGCCCCTTTCGTCTAATGTTTTGGATTCTAATACATTCCAAATACACGTCGCTGGTTTTCGGTACCAGATTCGTTGGACGGATCCTCAGGATCCTCCAACAGCAAGTTGCCGACTGTATCGGCAGTCATTTCTTGAAAGATGGATAGTCCCCGAGTGTGCCCCCGAGCCTTGTTCTTGGGGCGATTAGAGGTCTTGATGGGAACGATTTCCCGTTCCACTGGTTCGGAATCAACTGGAACGCATTGTGCCATGGAATCAACCGGAGGAGGTTGGATGCTATTGTCAGAAGGACCTTGACTGTGGTCGTGGTGCTTCTTGCACATGCCTGCCAAAATGGCCTGCTTGGCACATCCATCAATCAAACAAAGTTTCTTCTTGGCACCATGGGCAATGCATCTGCCCCCTTGCACTGCGACCTTGTTGCAACTTTGAAATTCGCAACGCTTGCGTGCTGGACCATGAGTACTGCATAAACCAGCCTTCTTCACATTCTTGTTGCATCCTGGATGTTTGCATTGCTTGCGCTTGGCCCCATGCGAAATACAGAGTCCTCCCTGGACTACTCGGTTGGGACATCCTTCTATAGTACACTTGCGGCGAACTCGCTTGCTGGTACCTCCTGGAGCCAATTTACTATTGCCCAAACTGTCCGTTGGCGAAGTGTCTTGGGGTGGAGGAGGTGGTGGCGGCGTGGATGATCGTGATTCCACCTTTTTCACTCCCTTACGTGCCTCATATGGTGGTGGTGGTGGTGCTGGAGCCGCACCGGACGCATGCAAATTGTGCAAAAATGCCGCATCACCTTCGAGGTTCACATCCAAGACACCGTTCAAAAACGATACAGTCGAAGAAGTAGCTCGATGGTGTCCTTCCTTGGCCATTTGCTCCGCAGTCTCCCCCAAAAAGACAAGGCTATTGATAGAAGAAGTCTTGCGATGATGCTTGCTACGAGATGGTTTCTCTGGCCTTCCGCCCTTGGTAGATGGATGCAATGTGCGTCCACCATCTTCCACTCCAATCGTGGTCATTACTGTCTGGCTCCCTTGAGTGGTTCCAGGTTGATGCCAGTGCGCAGAAGGAACCGGGGGCGGTGGACTCATCGACTCTCGCCCGGTGGCCTCGCGTGCTGAATAAATGGGTTCCGGTGGACTATTTCTTGGAAAGGTGGGCTGTGCCATGGGATGGTGAACATACGGTGCCTTGTAAGGACTTTGGGCCCGTGAATACTGCATGGGGTATCCCGATCGAGGTGGATGGGGTGGTAAGTGACGGGCGTAGTGATGGGGTTGAGGAGGATAGTAGTGTGGTGATTGATGAGGTGGATACATGTGTTGTGGATATGCTGGTGGTGGTGCTCCGTAATAGCTTGGTGGAGGTGGTGGGTGATGATGATGACCACCTGGATATCCCGCATGATGTTCTCTTGACGGTGGTGGTGCGCTAATTGGTATTGTCGGTGGTGGTGGATGCTCTTGGGTTCTGCTGGCACTGTGATCATAAGACAACAGTTCTACAGGAGAACGGCGAATGGAAGAAGAGGAAGGCGGTGGAGCTTCCCAAGGTCGTCGCTCGTCTCGGCCCCGTTCTCCGGCCGCCATTGCCAATTCTTCTCGAGAAGCACCGGCAACGGCTGTCAAGATATCCAAACCACTATCCACACGTTGGTGTCGTCGATCCTGACTATAGTTGGGTCTGCTGACAGAAGCGGAATTACCAATCGAGTTGATTCGTCTATGGGCTTCCGCAGGAAGAGAGAATTCACCAGAAAAACCACGCCGATGCTTTTGTCCTACTTCACGAGATGTCGCATAAGAAGAACCTGTCATTTGACGTGGGTCTGGAGAACCTTCACCAGTCAAACTAGTGGCATCATAAAAGTGTTCGGAAAGGTTTCGTACATGCCCTCGACGACGATCGACAGTCTCCTTTTCTAACAAAGGCGACGTCCTGGTTTCTCTTGTATTGATATTACTCTCACCCAATGGTCCTCTGCCATCGCCTTCGTCAAAGGAAGCTTCAACGACGATACTGCGAGAACCCAAACTGGTACCGGTAGGATCACCATGACTCTGTGTTTCTTCCGAAGAGCCGCTCTTGTCCGATCCATTCTGCGCTTCAAAGGAAGGTGAAGACATATCTTGATAGGTGTTTCCAGGTCTCATCCCCAACGATCAACGGAACAACGCAAAAGATTCGTTCTTTTGTTGGACCAAACGGTTGAACAGAAACCGTGTTTCTATTTGTGTGGTTGAGAAAAAAACGCTGTGGCAAAAAACTGATGCAACAACACGATTGTGAGACTAAATTGTGATTACTCCCAGGAAATCGGAGGCTGAACGAGGGAGTACCCACGGTTTGGAATGAGATTTTGATGGTAACCAAAGAGGTTCGTGGCAACTTCCAACAACGGGGAACTTTCCTCCAGCAATTTCCAAACTTTTCGTTTTGGCGGGCTAAACGGTTGAACAGTCGGAGTATCACAGGGTCGCAGTTTCAAAAACGACGACGTGTCAAAATTGGATTCCTCAACATCGACGATGAACAATTCTGCTGGTACAACAATCCAACTGTTGCAATCCTAAAACTTACCACGATAGGCTTCAGAGTGATTCAAAGATTTATTAGGCTGAGAACGATGGCAGCCGATGGCCATGGAGCGGTCAATTGACGACGACAGATGTGATTTCAAGATCAAAACGGACGGCTACGTCGTCAACGTGCAGTTAACGTGTACGACATACCTGCGACAGTGATTTCCCGCCTACCGACACACCTGCGACACTTCTGACCACCGAAACACGTCACGATCAGCTACTACGACATCCCCACGACCGTGCAAGTGCAATTGGAGGTACACGTACTACCGTAGTTGGGTATCTTCCGGTGGCGAAAATCTGCAATTATTCTGGTGCAGACTACCGGTAGAGAGTACAAGTAATAGCATTCAAACCAGTGCCACAAAATCAAATTATTTAGTCTATTCTGCTTGGAGAAGCATTGTTACGGCTGTAGGCATGTCGCGTTCGTCGCAACATGGCAATGCTGGACACCAAACAAGTCCCACTCAATGCCGAAATGATTAGATGGGTAGTCTCAAAACAGGCCTGTCCAGAGCAAATCTCAACGCCCCCATTGTCGTTGGAATCGGCCTCGGCGTGTCTTTCGTAGACCATCTGGGCCACAAACTTGGATAACAAGAGTGTGCCAGCAGCCGAAGCGAAACCATCAAAAAATAAATAATTGGCACCCACATGGGCCGTCCCAAACAAATCTCCCACAATGAGCACCATCATGGGCCAGACCATTCCAAAGGAGCAACCCGAAAGGGTCACTCCAAAGACAAACATGCTTTCGTGTACTGATAGTGCCAAGATGGCGTGAGCCACAATGCCTACTGCACTGGCCACTACCAGAAAGAATGGTCTAGGAACCCCTCCATATCCCCACCATTCGTTGCCCTTCCAATTCAAGGCCGCCTCGGATATGGCTCCCGTCGCTACTCGGGCCAGTGCTTGTGCTACGGAAAAGAGGGCCAAGCTGGCCGAAGTCACATCCGGAGAATAGTCCAAGGCTTCCACCATTTGACTCATGTTGTTGGTTTCCACCGTACCCGCACCCACCAAAATGGTGGTGGTCCACAGCATGAGCCAAGCTTCGGGGGTTTGCAACATTTGGTAGAGGTTCTTGTTGGTGTTACTGTGGACGACTGTCGCTTGCGAACTGGATTGAGCAGCACTACTTCCGTCGTCCGAACAAGTGGAGGCGATTTGATCGAGACTCTCCTCAAGTCCCCCAAAACCAGACAATGGCTCCAATAGATCCTCTTGTTCTTGCTGGTCTTCTTCCTCTTCTAGAAGTGTGCTTTCATTGTGTGGCAGGAACATTTGGACACCAATAGAACCAGTCCATAGCAATAGAATAAAAGCTGCCAAGAAATAATTGTGCGTCGACGTGTGCTGTTTGTTATGGCTCTCGTGCAGCTCCTTCAGCGAGGTAATTACGACAATACCTGCCAAAGTCACCAATGCGGTATACAATACTCGAAAGTGTAAGGGAGTCAGCACATCGTCCACCTTGCCGTCATCTTTTGCAGAGGGCAACAGAAACAGACTTGGTGTACTAGCTGCCAAAATGAAGAGTGTTGCCGCCATGGGCAAAAAGTCCAAGTCGGAACTACCCGGTTGTCGAATGGAATGAAAGAGGCAGGTGTAAATGCCAGCACCAAGACCGACATAACCCTTGGCCACGCCGACTGCAGCACCTTTGGTACCAGCACCGCAGCTGCAACTAATAATCTTGAACACGGAACCCGTCACCAATGCACAGGAAAGAAAGGTGGCTACTCCCAGGACTGACAATACACCGACTATCTCACCCTTAGTCGGTAATATTACCATACCCTTGGACACAATCCAGTACAACATCAAGGCACAAGAACCTGAGAGTCCACCTAGACAAATTCCCAACCGTGTCCCAAACCGATCAATGAACATTCCCGGAAGCCAACTCAGCATGCCCGCAAAAAAAGTGGCCGTGCTGATTGTATCCAATTGAGCTTGTGTCAAGTGCAGATTCTTTTTTAGTGTTCCTCCATACAACCCAAATGCATAGGTGGCACCACCCGTAGTCATGGAAGCTAGGAGGGCGCAACACACCATGGGGACATTGACCGCTCTTATGGTAGTTTCCTCCGTGGTACTAGCCGACTGCGGCGAAGAAGGTGATTGACTACCATCGTCACATGTCAGGTTGGTGCCTGATTCTTGTGCAGAAGTCATCGTGATTCAACTGATGTTGAAAGTGGTAAAGTGTTGTCTTGGATGCAGCTCTTCGTTTCTACAGTTGCTTCGATTTCCAGCAGACGGACTGTGAGTTTTCAGCCAGCTTCAGGTGATTCACAACGAAAAACCTGTAGCAGTGATAGGAACAGCAAGTGCAACCGGACAAGTAATGATATCGTTGTTCAACTGTACGAGTAGTGACAAAAGAAAATGGGTCACTCCGCAGTCTTGACATTTCAATAGAATTGATATGATGCGACCTCGTCTTCCACTCGAACAAGTCGTTTGGAGAAGACGCGGACGAACGGAACGGAATGATGAATCTGTAAATGGACTATGACGTCGACTGGGAAGGCGTCGAGCTGGCCCATTTCATTCACCTCACATAACGCACCAACAATCGTTGCCGACTCCCATTGATATACTCTCCTCCGTTGAGACTCTTCTAAGGACCTCTGTCCGTGGAACAGCAAAACGGAGGCAGAAGAACCACAATGAACATTCCAGACCTCCAAGGAAGATTCTGTCAAGAATTCAAACCGTAGTCACAATCCAAGTTTCTTGGTGTGCGTACAGATGTCTCTGAAGAGTAACATTGAAAGTGGTGAGAGTGCTATTGGCATGGCCGATTGTAGCATGGACAGTTCCGGTAATTGCGAATCGGAACTCACGATGGTATGCGATCTTGATCTAGATTTTGACGACTGCTATTTGCTTGGTTTGCCAAAGTTGACTGGAAATGTTTTTGAAGAAATGAAAATGCTGGAAGAACTTGACCTTGATCTTGAGGACTTGTTTTTATTCGGTGGTCTACCGAAATTCAAGGATGCTAACGACGATGACCCGCGCAGTAAAGATTCAGGCGATAAGGAGGGCAAAGAAAAGAAGAGATGAATGGAATATCTGTTCTGCCAACAGTTTACAGGGAGACAATTCAATGAGATGGAGTAGTATTTTTTATAAAAATAATCGCTCAACACATTTATAAGAAATATTACAAATGAGTTCAATTGCCATTGCTACGTATTTACTTGAAGCCAGACACGAGCCTTCAGGCAACTATGATGACCACCGAGAATGCACGTGAGCCATCACCCCAACAAATGACACCACTGTAAACCCAAGCAAAAAGTAGAAATAGATAAAGAGCCGACGATCCTGGTCAACGGATGTATTCTTGGCTTTGAGATCGAAGTGCTTTGTCGAATGATTGGAAGATCCCTCGGCGATTACCTCTTTGTGACCAGCATTGGCGATCTCGATATCAAATCCTTCAGACATCTCTTTTTGATAAATGCATTTCTTTCTACCCAGTTCCATTTCCTCGTCGCCAGTCTTTACAGAGTGAGATCGCTTGATCTCGCGGTTCCATATATCGTCAGTCTTGAACACACTGCCTTCGTTCTTGTTATTTCGTTCAGAGGCTTCGATTCCAGCATTGGCGTCATCTTTACTATCAGTAACTATAGCTTCTACTCCGGATGGCTTTTGGTTAACTTCTTTTTCTTCACTATGGCGTTCGTCGTGCAAGGAAAATGTCGTGTCCATCAGGTGATCAAAATCCAAACTTTGGAAGTCAACTGAATGGTGAAGGATGGACATGAAAGATTTTCGTTTCGCAAGTTGAGCATCCGGCGAAGAGTTTTTGCCGTTGGGATCGCAGGAAAAGGATCCGCTTTGAGAACGCTTGTTGGCGATCGTGACAATGTGCATGTTTCTAGTCGATTCAAAGATATGAGTGCGAGAGGACACAAATAGAGCACACAAATTGAGGCAACAAAGGCGTCAATCACCTTTTTTGTGACAGGTGCAAAACCATCGCATTGACTAAAGCGAATGCTTGAAGTCAAGTAAGTCGAACACAACCGCCAGCTACACGTGCATGTAGAGAATGGAGAAAGGGGAAACCAGAAATCCGAAACTTGAAACTGGACACAGCCATCAAACCAAACAGGGAGACAGACAATCGAAATCATCCGAGGAATTCGTTTTCTTTTCGAAGCAGAACCGTGTGGGCCTGTTGAGTACGTAGCGAATAAACATGTGATGAGATACTGACTGAGGAGCCAAGAAAATTCTCAATTTTGTGTTCCTAGAACTGTTTACGTAAAGCTAATCATGAAATAGGGAGAGTCCAGTAAATCCCTGAACTCATTCACCAACTAGTTTGCAAGCCTTGGATTCCGGGTTGCAGCAAGTGTCACAACAGTCACAAGAAACCTGTGCAATTCCACTTTCATCCATGGGAAGACAGTCGGCAGTCACTACTTTCAAACTCTCAAGCTCTTTCAGACTGCACACTTCTGAAGGCACAGCACAATCAAAATAGTTCCCATTCATCCAGAGCTCACTGAGCCTAGAGAGATTTCCAAGTTCAGTCGGAATCGAACTGCTGAGACGGCTGTCATTGATACGCAATGCACGAAGATCCGTCAACCTGCCGATCTTGGAACTTAAGGTGCCACTAAGCTTTGTATCATGAAGATCTAATATTTGCAAATCCGTCATGTTGTAGAGCTCTTCTGGAAGTGTCCCATTCAACGAGGTTGAATGAAAATCAATAGCATTGATGCGATGTATGTTGCCGAGTTCGGATGGAATCGGCCCAGAAATATCCTGTCGAGAAATGAACAGCTCTTCGAGATTGAGCCGACCGAGCGTTGTAGGCAAGGTTCTGATGGTGTAGTGAGTGCAGTTAGACCAACCGAAGAACAGATAATCTCACTGCATCGAGCCTCGTATCAATGTAACTTACCCAGTCAGAAAGTTCTTATCAAGATGGATAAAATCTGAGAAAAGTTTGCATAGCAAGCAGAACAGAAGTTGAGTTGGCGGATCATGGATTGAACCTCATCAAAAGTAGTCGGGTAGACTTACTCAAGAGCGACAACTCCCCGATTTCACTCGGTATCTCCCCTCGGAAAAGATTGTTAAAGAGGTACAGTCCTCGCAAACCCACCATATTCTTGAAGGATAGAGGGATTGTTCTGGATGGAAAGAGACAGATTGTCAGTCTGAGAACTCAGTGCTTCGTACATTTTGGAAATCCCCAAACCTTACCCCGTGAGAAAGTTCTGACCAACGTTGACCAAAAAGAGGTTCCTCATTCCAACAAAGAAACTCTTGGGCAAGGTCCCCGTCAGCTGGTTGTAATGAACTTGGAAGCTTCCAAGCCGTTTCATTTTTCCATACTCTTCTGGAATGGTACCAGTGAGATCGTTCCATTGCAGTGCGAGGGCATCAAGACCTTCAAGCTCTGTGAACTCCTTTGGAAGATTCCCACGAATTTTCTGACCTACTAGAATGACATTGGTCACATAATCACTGTCACCGCACCGAACGCCCGCCCATTCGCATTCATGCCTGCTCGACAACCAGCGATAGGAGGGCAACGATCTGTACCTGTGTGGAAAATAAGATACTATGAAACATTGAAGCAATGTGAGCAAAAGTATGAATCGAATGAAAGATAGTAGAAGCTTGGACTTACCCAGCTCTTGGTAAAGACATCCATCTTCGCCATCGACAACGGTATTGTTTGCTGCACCACAGGAATACCAATTGGAGGTTTGAAAATGAAACAAGGCCAAAACGTATCGTTGAATAAGGCGAAGCCTGTCTTCAACTCCCACCTTCGATTTGTCAATGTTGGCGATCCAGTCCAAGGCAGCATAATAGGGAGTATCACGGTCTTCCAACTTTTCTCTGCCGACAATCAATTCGATGATGGACTTGATGGATTGTGCTTCGGTGGGCTCACTTGGACTTTCTTCATCAGAAATAGGATCTCGCTGAGACTGAACAAAGGAAATAACACCGGCAATCATGGCTACCGCCGCAATGCCAAAGAGAAGTGCGCAGTAAAATCTGAAGCGGCAGTTCTTATAGATGGGCATCTTGGCATCGGGGCCGTATTGGATTGCGGATGGAATGAAAGCATCCTCATCGATATCTTCTTGAACTTCAATCGCAATGGCCAAATCTTCGTCTTCGGCCCACTCCGCGTCAGTACCGCCAAGACTACCGATTCCCTCAGGGTCAGCAGGCCGCTTGGTCATTTGGTTTGGAAAATTCCCATACTTGACCACTTTGTCCTTTTCTACAGCTGGCGCCACTTCTTCTCCAGTTTCTTTCCCAGTGCTACATTGTAGAGGAATGCCAGTCTTGTAGGCAATGAGTTCGTCCAGGTCGCGATTGTTTGTCATGCCTGACACGGATGTCATCAAAGGACGAGGAGGTGCAGCTGAATACGAAGCCTGGGGACTGGGCAAACTTGAAGCATTATCATCATCATTGAAATCTTTCGCTCGACTGGAAGCAGACGGTTCTGCTGCGGGCTTCTTGTCGGCACTTTCTTCTTCGTTGAGGTTTTCTAAAGGAATACCCGTCTTGTAGGCAATCAATTGATCTAAATCCACTGAGTTCGACGTTGCCGAATGGCGAATGGCGGTCATGGAAGATGCCCTCGCAAAAGTGTTGCGGCGAAAAGACGGTGCTGGAAGTCTCCTAACGCTGTTAGATTGACTTACCAGACCTGGGCGCTTCGAATCAATATGTTTCCCTCTTGAGGCTGCTACTCCATCGTGAGAGGAGCTATTCAGTTCTCCCATCTCGAGTTCGACCTTTGAGCTTTGCAATCGACTTGGTACGAAATGTGGAATCCTAGAAGGCTGGCTTTCACCAAACGACAGTTTACGGCCGGGACCAGACAACGAAGTCTGGTTATGGTTCACTCCAGGCTGAGGTGGCGGGGCCTTTTTAGCTCCTGCGGTGAGAACCGATGGAGACGAGGCTCCAATATTTCGAACTGAAGGAGAAGATCTGAGACCACGAGCACGAGCCTTTGCCTCCAAATCAAGTTGCAATTTTTTCGAAGTCGTGCTCATTCTGGTAGGTTCACGTTTGTCAGAATGATCCTTCTTTCCAGACGGAGGAGCTTGGTTAGAATCGTCGGAAGGAGGATTCTTTACGTTTCCATAGTAGAGAGAAGGGGATAGCTTGCGAAATGTCATTATAGGAGAGGCGTCGTTCAAGCTTCGATGAGACGGAAAGGAAGAGATGCGACGGGACTGTTGACGTTCCAATCTCTTGCCAGCCGAATTCTTCCGCTGCCCTTCAATTAGATCGTCAAGTTTCTTGGCAGCCGTTTGAGCATCGCTACACTCCTTGTCGCCATCGGGATCAAGGGGAGAAGAATCCAGAGGGAAAGCCTTGTTGTTGGCTTTTGGAGTATCCATGCTTGTTTGCTGTCTTCTTGTGCTTGGGATGTATGTCCAAAACAAAAAGTGATAGGTTTCAATCACCTTTTGTGGCAAGCAAAGCAAATTTGCCAAAGTGCAAAACCTTCGCATTGACTAAATCGATCGAAATTATTGAACCAGACGAGGACTACTTAGACTCCATTTGGAGAGCAGTTACAATATGAATAGGTACCGGTAGGAAAGTTAGGAAAGAAAAAAAATGTAAAAAATGAATTGGTCTATTGATAGACGTATCAAATCGACCAATTGCAACAAACTGAACTGTCTGACTATCGTAGAGGGCCAATGATTTGCGAAGGCCTTCTGCCGTATGTAATGTGAAGTCAAAGTAATCAAACTTTTGCTGCTTTCGACGTTTGATAATAGCACAACTACCATGACATTGAAATTTGCTGATTGTACTACTGGTAGCTCTCTTTCTGCTTTAATCTTAAATTGTCTTACTCGGTCATCACAAACGCTGATTTTGATTTCTTTTTGTCGGCCACCTTTTTGTTTTGACGCACGAGTTCACGTCGTTCTCGCAATTCGGCAGCTGCCTTCGCACTGTCCTTTTCACTCTCCTGTTTTTCGAGCACCACCTTGGCGTAGGGTAGTAGAACTTGCAGAATTTTATCGACTGCCTTGGCACCAGTTCCAAAGTCCTTCATGACAAATCTCGGATACTGCTCAATGTCGACATCATCCATATTCTTCACTTCAAAGGCGGACGATATTTCCTTCATGGCTTCGATTTCTTCTTCATCCAATGCATCCCAGCTTTCAGAATCTTCATCTAGAGAAGGGTCATCCAAAAGGGCCTTCAAGTCAACCTTTTTTCCACCATGAACTTCGTCCACTCCGAAAGCTTTCACGAGTCGTTCTGGAAACACAACGTCAACTCCCTTCACAGGAAGTCCCTTAGGAAGCAGGGGCAAAATAATTCCTAGATGTCTTGGTCGCAGTCCTGGTGATCGCATGACACAGTCAGTGGTCCCATCTCCATTGTCTACAAGGCCAATCAAGTCTATTCCTAAGCGTCTTGTGCAGGCATGCAAGTGAAGTGTTTTCAATTTGGTCTGTAGATTAGCAGGCAACGGACCATACTTCTTTTTCCATCCGTTGGTCAGTTCCACAAGTTTGGCGGAACTCTCGGCCAGTCGACCCGCGGATTCGGCTGTCATTCGCTCATTTCCGTCCGGGATATAATCCTCTGGAATGGAAAGTTGGTTCGACGCATTTTCACCTGATAGACTTCCTTGCTTCTTTGGTAGAATGACGTTGGTCCTTGGAACCAATGGAAGATCCAACCCCCGAAGTTGACGAATGGACTTCTTGAGCATGCGCATGTACAAGTCAAACCCAACACGCATAGCAATTCCACTTTGTTCGGTTCCCAGCAGACTTCCGGCCCCTCGAATTTCTAAATCTCTATTGGCAACGTCAAAACCAGATCCGAGTTCGTTCAGTTCTCCAATAGCCTGGAGTCGCATAGCCGCTTGTTCGGTAATTGACTCCTCACGGTGAAGAAAATAGGAATATCCTTGCAAATCGGAACGGCCGACACGACCACGAAGCTGATAAAGGGTCGATATTCCAAAGTTTTGACTGTCTTGGATAATAATTGTGTTGACAGCTGGAATATCAACACCATTCTCGATCACTGTTGTTGCCAATAGAATATCGTAGTTTCCTTCAGCAAAGTCGGACACATTGTCTTCTGCAGTGGTACGACCCATACGTCCGTGAGCTTGGATCACACGAATATCAGGGAAGCACTCTCTGATCATTTCTTCGGCAGCATCAAGCAGGGCAATGCGAGGAACCACGTAGTAGCATTGACCACCACGGTCTAGCTCCTTTTGGATTGCTAGCTGTACAATATCCCTGTTGAAATCTTGCACGTAGGTTTTTGTTGCCTTCCTCATGGGAGGGGGAGATCGGATCGTAGATGTATCTCTGATTCCTGATAAGGACATTTGCAAAGTTCTTGGAATCGGAGTAGCAGTGAGTGTTAGGACATCAATGCCATCGTAAATCACTTTTAGTCTCTCCTTTTGTTTCACTCCAAAACGTTGTTCCTCGTCGACAATCAACAAGCCAAGATCTTTGTATTTCATATCCCTCGAAAGAAGGGCATGAGTTCCAACAATAATTTCTACTTCTCCTTGTGCAATCCTCTGTCGCAATTCCTTTCCGGCTTTCGATGTCTTACCCATACCACCACGCAGAAGAGCAACTTTCTTGCCGTATTTTGTATCTTCTCCCATTCTCTTTACTACGTTTTTGAAGTGCTGAGACGCCAAAACTCCTGTAGGGGCCAAGAATATAGCCTGTCTCCCGTTGGTAACAGCCCGATGCAAGGCTCGCATGGCGACTTCTGTCTTTCCGAATCCCACATCTCCACAAATCAATCGATCCATCGGACGGGATCTCCATACCATATCATTCTCAACTTCCTCGAAACACCTCTTCTGGTCTGGGGTTGGCTCGAACCTGAACGAGGTTCCGAACTCCTTCACTTCTTCTTCCTTTGCGGGATTGAATGGAGGTCTCTGCAGGGTTTCACGGGTGGCATACAGTGCCAAGACGTCCTGAGCGAGCTCCAAAGTGCTCCTATTGTCATAAGGGTCGAAGCAATGAGGTCAATGAACGGATGAGCTCACAAGTAACTTTTGAAAAACTCACTCTTCCACCTTTCGTCTCGCGTTCCGCCATGCATCACCTCGTACTTTGGACAACTTTGGCTTAATTGCTGCATCACCCGATCTATAACGACTTAGTCTATAGGCACGATCGACTGGGACATGAACAATACCATCCGCATACGCAACTTCTAGAACAGTGGATTGTGGGTTCGATATTGGATCTGTATCTTCCTCGGTTCCAAATTTTGCTTGAATTTCTTTCATCTTAGCAGGAGTCACTCCTCCAGCTATGTTCTTGAGTTCCTCTGTTAAGAGCTCGGTTCTGCGTTTATCTCTGGCTTCTTTTTCCTCCTCTGTCAGCTTAGATTTAGATCCTGATAGAGGGATGATGACGTGAGCAATTTTGAAGGAGACGAAGCCGAGGCAAATTCAACAAACACTTACGCAAACATGTCCTCTCGAAGCGGCCAATTCCATATTTGCGATGTACGACGAAATCACCAGGAAACACTTCCAGTGACCAGCCGCCAGCAGATCCAACACGTACACCTTGAAGAGTGTCACGGGTAACAATTTTTCCATCGACCTCGACTGTCTCGGGTGCTTCATTCTGGCCATCAGCCACCTTGACGCCCTCACTGCCACTCTCAAGTGCCTTCCACTCTTCTTGAAGCTCCTCATCGACCTGATTGTACCAATTGGATGTTGAACCCGCTTTGATCTGAATGTTTCCGTTGTCGTCTGCAACTCCTGTATCTACTGGCTCGAGCACCTCCATGTCTACACCTTGTGTTTGGGCTAATGCAGCCTTCCTTTGATTTTCCAAAGCAACTGCTTCTTTTATTTTTTCTTCGACTTTCAGAATGTCTTCCTTGGTCTTGGCATCCGCAAACTCGCCCCATCTTTTCTTTCGCCGTTCCTCTTTGAACTCTTCATCCTGCTCTTTCAGCACGCCTTCGATTATGGCATCTCTTTCAGCTCGATCCTTGACGTAGGCTTCTTCTTCATCACTTCCATCAACGGATTGATCGGAACCAAATGTGATCCTGGTATTCTTTCGAATGTTGTAGAGTTGCGTGTCAAGTTGTCGTCGGTCGGATGGTATCGAGTTGATGAATGCGTTCGAAGCGTTGATGATCAGCAGCAACGACATGCATTTTCGGGGCGATGTATGTCTCATTGTCAGGAGTATTCAATCAAGATTCCCAATATGGGTTGAACCCGTTAGCAGATCCAAAAATGTTGTCAAAGTTTTCGTCGTGGATGATTTGGTGTCGAAATCGAAAAATGGTGGGTGGTCTGCAGACAATTTGGAGAAGTTTGTGACGTCACAAGACCAATCACAGTTCATCTCTCTCAATCAATAGACCAGGACCATCACAACAGTGGGGGTAGTTGGTGGTTAGTATGATGCCAACATTATGATGGTGCCCATTTGATTTTAAATACGGTTGTGTATTGCTACTCTTTTTATAAAACCTGCAAAGGATACATGCATGTGATGGATGGCCTAAAAAGGGGGGGAATCCTGAAAATTGAAACTGTGGTATCTTGAAAAGGTGCGAACAAAGAAGTCGTTTTTGGGACCTTTGGTAAAGTTTGAAACCAGCAGTACCATGATATGGTGATGGCCTCAGAGAGACATCTTTGCTCCATAGCATGACTGTATGTCGGATCTGGCATTTACTGGGATCTTGATACACAAGATCGATTGTCCAGCTGCATTTTTCACCACGATTTTCTTGTTTGTAGGAATTCCACTGCACAATACAATTGGAACAGTCTACGCAGTAATACTACACTGTCGTGAATATTCAAACAGGATCACACTTCCACAGACTGCCGCGTTCAAGCTCTCAATGCCCTTGCACATGGGAACGTGCACGGCACTGACCTGTTTCTTGTCTTTATCATGAATTGCGTTTCGCACTTCCTCCCTCAACCCCTTGCCTTCACTACCAATGACCAAAGCGGAAGCTTTACTTCGCCAATCAATCGAAAAGTGGGCTTGACTCCTACTCTCGTCATCGTCTCCCTCGACCATGGTGGCCGCATACACAGCCTCAACTCCCCATTCCTCCAGAACGTTTAAACCAGATTCCCAATTTGGCGCTTGCACAATCGGCAACTGAAATGAGGCCCCCATGGAACTTCGAACTGCTTTTGGGCTCCAAGGGTCACAACTCCCGGGCAGTAACACGACACCCGCGCAACCTACGGCCAAACTGGATCGCAACAAAGTCCCAAGATTGCCTGGATCTGAAACGCCATCCAAGACAAGATATATTGGTGTCACATCATTGTCCGGCAAAGTCACTTTTATTTCAGGAATATCTACAATTGCCATGATGCCTTGGGGTGTCACCGTATCGCTCAGGGTGCTGAGCAACTCGGGTGTTACCAGCTGCAGCGAGACGCGTTCGTTATCACTAGACGAGATGATGGATTCCAACCGATCTTGATATTGCGCTTCATAATCGTCCACGGACACCAACACTTGTCTCACTAATGATTCAGTAGTTGGATTTTCGAGCATGTCAAATACCATCCTTGGGCCTTCTACGACGGTTTGCTGGGCCTCGACTCGTTTGTTTCTCCTGGTGGCGTGGTTTCGAGGGTGAAAGCAAAGCAATAATACATGAGAGATTGGACAATAGGCGAATCTTCCAGTACCACCATAGCAAATATATCTTACTTCGTCAAAAGATTCTGTACCATTTTGGCCGTCTTGGATTTGGGAGATGAAATGACATCGTCAAAGGTCTGCATTCCCAACGAACGAGTATTCACCCTTAGAAACTGCCTTGTTGCTGCTTTACCCAAATTGGAAGCGAAAAACGCTAGACTTCGACTACTTTGGATCAACATGGCGATGATTAAAATCACCACTCGTTTGGTTGTTAGCATTGAAATCGCAAAGAATTGAAATTATCGAAAAGAGTGATGTGTTTGTAATTGATGTTTGATGGATCAACTCGCAGTCTGTCAGTTGCCACCGCCCGTTCAATAACTGGTCATGGTCGATTGAGTCAATTTGGTACTAAAACAGTAGGATTTTTTGACCCAACTAAACAAATCGCACCATGCTCTACAGAAATTCACGTAGAATCTGTACCAGATTCCTGTTTGGCAAGTTCCCAAACTTATTGCAAACTCACCTCGTCTTCCTTCCAACCACGCCAAACCGATTGGAAAACTGATCTTCCAAAAGTTTTGTAACAGCTGCTATATTGTCCTACAACATTCATTCATTGACCCATTACATTTTTCAATCGACTGTGGCATACACAGTAACTGACAAAGAACAAGGTAAGCAGCAATGAACGACGCTGTTTGCTTCTTCTGACCGACGCCGCTCCTCGCTCCATTGGTTGCTGGAAAGAATGAATCGTTGCTGTTTCTGGCCTTGATCTATTTTCCAATTCGCAAGGTTGCATGGGATGCTTGCTGCAATATTCTGTGGTATCTGAGTGTTGTGTGGTTTGCTTTGCTTTGCTTTGCTTTGGCTTCGTTCTGGCTGCTCACGTGCAACGCACTTTTCTTTACTCGATACTACAGTAGTACTCTTTTGAACTCCAACGGCTATTTCAATTTTCCCATTTTCCCGTTTTTGAATTGATCCAACTTCTTCATTATCATTATTCTACGAACAAATTGAATTGAATTCAATTGAATTCAAGAAAGCAAACAAGTCCTCGTTGAAGCAAGCAGATAAGTATTCGGTAAAGCACTAGGGAAGAAATCTCATCAAGAGCAAGCAAACCAAGTATGGATACTCCCAAAGCCGCCAACAAAGGTGTTCCTCCGGACGATGATGGTTCGTCTCCCCGTGATCCCACTGGCGACAAGGCAGCTTCGTCGGATGCTCAGATTGCTGCACAGAAACTTGACGATCTCATTGAAGGACAACGCAAGGAGTTTTCTGGCAGGAGATTGGAACGCCACCAGTCCCGCCGCATTACTTCTCTTTCATCCCGTCGCAATTTGATGGCTGCCTCGCCATCCATGGTAGTTCGCAAGACAAGGTCCGAAGTTCTCCTTGCCCGCGGCCCCAGCAATTCTTTTGTTGGAAACGCCAAGAATCCACCTTCCACTGATTCTTCCACACCTTCCCAGTCTGAAAAAAAGGAACCTTCTGGCAATCTTGGTTCTCCAAGAATGAGCAAGACTTCCGAAAATTTGCAACTCGATTTGGAAGCCAAGACTCGCGCTCGTGGTCTTCGATCTCCTCCTTCGGTTCGAAATATTGGAGCATCATGGTCTCCTTCTATCCGAAATCTGGGAGCTAAAAAGGCACCACCACCACCACCTCCACCACCACCATCAGACGCTGATTTGAATACAGCACTTGCACGTGGACCCCGTCGTCACATGTCTCGTGGCGACTGTAAGCCCTCACCCGTCAGCAGAAATCCAGATCCAACTCCTTTGATGCAAGATGATCCAATCTCCTCCTTTGAAGTCCAGATGGGCGGTCTCAATAGCGCCTCTCGCACTGACATGGCTTCAACTACCATATTTAGAGGAAACAGTGATGAATCGCACAAGGACCCGAGTTTGTTGTTGAGTCCATCTAATAGTAGTGTTCGGAAACAGCTTCCATCACCATCGTTTCGCCGCAACACTTTTATGAGAGATTCTTCCATGTCCGTCCTTCGATCGGCAACCGCATCCAATGCACGAGATTTGGATCAACTCATTGCCTACAAGACGGGCATTCCTTTGGAAAGTTCCAACAATGAGGAAGCTGCGGTGGAGGAACAGAAACCTGCCACAGAACCACAAGGCCAAGAAGTTGTCAGTGAAGAAAATGGTGTGATTCTACCAAGTCCACGGGTTGCCTTTGCGGCAGATCCTTCTCGTCCTGCTACTGGATCTTTGTCCGGCATGACCAACAATCGGGATTTGGACGAACTCATTGCCTACAAGACGGGAATTCCACTACAAGATGGTTCTAATGAGGAACATGCGGAACTGACTGTCGAACAAGTTGCTCCTGGTTTGGGAAAAGGTCAGCTGATGAACAGTGGTGAGGACTATCCCAACCAACAACAAATGGCCAAGCGACCTGAGCTTGGGGGAGATGCCTTTGCCGCACCGGAGGGCAAGGGAGAAAAGTACGATCCCGAGGGTGGTTTTGGCGGCAACGATTGGGTAGATGGAGACGATGAAGAAGATTTGGCCGTAGCCATTGAAGTTCAAGAACCGGAAGAGGATGCCTTCATTCCGGCCGCGATCGAATACGATCCGGATGCCAAGCCGCCCATTTACAAGCATCGTCGTTTCCGCTTTTATTGCGCATTTCTCTTTGGACTTGCCGCAATGGTGGCTGTCGGTGTTGTGTCCATTATGCAATCCGAGCCAGAAATTGTTCCCCAACCAGAACTTCCAAGCGAACCCACTGAAGCTCAATCGATCAAATCCACCATAGAGCTATTGATAGGCGAAGAAAAGTTGGCTGATGTCGACGGGCCTCATTATGCTGCCTTGGACTGGATTACCAATGTGGATAAGCTACAAGTGGGATTGACTGACACGGGCCACCTAATTCAGCGATACATTGTCTCTTTGTTCCATTTTCAAACATGGAATTGGCTGCAAAGCTCTTGTGGAGCGACCGATCTCTTGACGAACCAAACGTTCGGCGTGGATGAACATGAATGTCTCTATCAGCAACTGCGTAAGTTTCCAAGTTTCAATACATGCTGGGAATCGATTTATTCATTCATTTGTTTGGTTTGATTCAATTTGGTTTGATTCCATTTGATTTGACTAACGATGATATTATTCTTGTTTTGCAGATTCTGTGTTTCCAGCGAGGTACAGATCCATGCCCTCCTACCGCTGGTTGACGAGCAAGCACGAATGCGAATGGGCGGGCATTCGATGTGATGACGATGGCAACATACGAGTGATTGATCTAGCGGGTCAGAACATTCGCGGGAATCTTCCACCGGAATTCAAAGAACTGCGTTTTCTACAGTCCCTAATGTTGAGTTGGAATCAGCTCACAGGTGCGATTCCGAAGGAATATGGGGGTATGCAGTACTTGGTCAACTTTGAGTTGGGCTTCAATGAGCTGACGGGAACCTTGCCCATGTGGACGGAAACTCGAAATCTTCAACTCTTCAATGTCGGTAGCAATTCGCTCAGCGGAACGATCCCTACTTTTATCAAGAATATGAAGAATCTGGGAGGACTGTACCTTTTTGACAATGCTTTCCGAGGAGAGATACCGGATTGGATCGGAGATGTATCAACCTTGAGTAAGTTTAGTCAACAAATCGACTCTCTTTGTGTTGACAGTATGATATCTGACAGTAGCTTCTTTCTTCTTTTATTTCATCCTAACTCCTCCCAGAGTACATCCGACTAAGCAATAACTTCCTAACTGGAACCTTGCCCACAACGATTGGTCATCTCAATCCAACGGAGCTGACGCTGGCAAAACTTGAACTTTCGGGACCACTGCCATCTGAACTCGGGAAGATGACCGGGATGAAGACTCTCAAGTTGCATTCGACACCATTCGATGGAATCATCCCAGAGGAGTTTTACAACATGACTAGTTTGCAAAGACTAGATATGTATGACTGCAGTCTCAGTGGCACTTTGAGTACCAGCATTGGGAAGATGGCAAATCTTCTGGCATTGCGAATCAGTAACAACCGACTCAGTGGTCCACTCCCAGCCGAACTTGGCAATCTTCCTCAGCTTGGCGAAATGTGGGTGCATGGGAACAATTTTGATGGTGCTGTACCTTTTGAGGTGTGCAGTTCGAAGGAGCTTGCGAGCTTAGAAGTAGTGTCCGCTGACTGTCTCCCGATGAGCTCGACTGGTATTGCCCAGAATTCATGTGACTGCTGCGACACTTGTTGCAATGCGGAAACCAAGATGTGTACTCCTGTGGGCGAATGAGAGGGTGAACCACAGGAAACTGGTTTGGGGTTGGCTCCAGTTTCCGTATGATTTCATACATAAACTTTTACATAGCAAGTTTAGGAAAAACTAGTCGAAGATTCAGACATACAGTATGTACTATTCCATAGTTGCTTGCTAGAAAGCAACATATCTGGAACTCGAAGGTATTATGACTAGTGGTAGTGGGTCGGTCAAAAGTGGTAGAAGAAGGAGTGCAAAGGTGGTTGTACTGGCTTTCCGCCATCAACAACGCCATCCTATCGATGCTATGGGAGCCCTAACGACAGGCACAAACGCCGCGAACATGAGGTATTTGCTCGTTTGTGGTGGAGAGCCGAACGTGCAACGATGATTTTTTAGATTTGTTTCGGGGGGTCCCATGTGAACTGTTTCACTTTTGGAACAGATTTAATCCCTAAATCTACGATCCGTACGACTAAAATGTAAACGGAGGATGACCAGACATCAAGGAAAGTGAGCGTTGACGTTGTCGTTGAGTTCAAAAGACTTCAGTCTTGCCGAGCTCCCCAACTTGTTCTCACGTATAAAAGACCTGTCACAACAACCGTGTCAGCACGACTGCAAACATCGCACCACAAGCTCACCAACAAAAAGAATGTCCAGCGTCTCCTTTCAACGCTACAGCGATGAATTCAAGTCTTTGAAAAAGCAAGTTCAGGACTCCTTACATGAAGGATTCAAGGACGTGGAAACTGGCGACACGGGAAACTTGCTGAGTCAATGCGATGAATTATTGCAGCAAATGGCACTCGAAGCCCGAAGTGTTGCAGATCCAGGTACCAAACGAGAGCTATTACAACAAGTTCGAGGATGCAAATCGGAATTGCAAGCATTGAAGGATGATCACAACAAGAAGTCATTAATGGCCTCGGCCCGATCAGGCAATGGTACTGACAATCGCGAACGACTCCTCCAGCAACAGGAAATGCTTACGAAGCAAAATAGTCAATTGGAGAACGCTAGAAAGGTTTTGGAAGAAACCGAGGCTGTTGCCATGGAGATTGGAGAAGAATTGTCACACAATCGAGAAACTATTGAATCGACACATGGCAGAGTTCGGCAGGTCACTTCTCTAACGGGACGCGCACGACGAGTAGTTCAATCAATGAACCGGCGTGCTGTTCAACAGCAGATGTTGCTGTATGGAATGGCCGCCAGTGTGGTCATTGTCTTTTTCGTGCTAGTGTGGTGGATGCGTTAGGCAGGGGTTGGAATAGAATGGATTATTTAGGAACGTAAAATTGTTTTTTAAAACTGTGGGACGACTCATGTCCTCTTTTGACTGGAGCATCATCTCGTTTCTTTTCCACGTTAGATAAATACTGTAGCATCTATTGATTTTAAAATATAAAAGGGGTGCTTCTAGCGCACTCTTGGTCGCACTCTTCTAGGCCTTTTTCGTTTCGACCCTGAAACCAATTGAACTAGTCCCATTGCCAACGACTTTGCAAAGACCCAAAGCTTGATGGCTGACTTTTGAACTCCTTGAATAACTGCTGTCGACTTATATCCATTATAGAGCAGAGTCAGAAGCAATGCACTTGCTGTAACGACCAATGCTGATCGGACAGTATGATACTTTAGTTGGTACCATACGAGCTGTCGTCTGGTCATGAACCGAGTGATCTGGCGCTTTTGTTCCTCCAAGGCTTGAAGCTGTTCATTGGGATGTGCCAAAACCATGGCTGCATCTCTGAGTAACAGATTCAACGAGGTTCCAATGAGATTGGATAGTAACTTATCCTTCTCGCTGTTGGACAAAGGCAGATTCGCATACATCTCATTCTTCTTTAGTTCCTTTTTTATGATGGTTTCCAATTTCGACTTTACTTTTTCTAGTCCACCGGGCTGAACGACCGTTTGCAATTCGGAGGGTGCAATGGCTGAAAAGGAAGAAACGACAGAGTCGGCAAATCTATCTACAAAGACAGCAGGAACAAATGGATACTGCCTTTTCATATCCTCCTTCCACACTGCTTGGCGCTTCTTATCGGAGAGCACAAGGAGGGTTTCCAAACTAGACTTTACAGCATTTGTATCTTCCAAAAGAAATGGTGCCGATGGAAAGGGAAAAGAGGTGAGCTCATCCTTCTTTTTCTTTCGACCTTTGTTGGCAGCGTTCAGCGATAAGGATCTACCAAACAGTGGATTGGTGACAGGACTAGGGAGTCGACTCTGGGCTGATGGGACAAAGGAAGCCACCAAGCCGAGTGACAAAAGCCAGAAGAGGAATGGTAGAACAAACATAGTGTACTTGTAACCGCAGCTGTGGTTGTTGCAAACTGCGAGGATCTTGTGGATGCAAGATTGATTCAAATTGTTGTAAAAGGGGGATTCCAGATCCAACAGTTATGGGGAATCATTTCCACCAACACCTACAGTATTTTATTGTATCGTACGTCGTACGTGTACCAGCATGTACGAGTACCTTGTTGTTACCGCCATACCAAAACCATGTAACAACAACAAATCATCGAAATCCAAATCTTCACAAGCCAGAGTTTTAAAAGGAATACATTGCCGAAGGATCAATAGTAACCATGGATTCCAATTCTACACCGAAAAGGCGTCGAATCAACAATCCAGAGTACTCTCATCAGGGGAAACTACATGCAGCCGAACAGAGCGTTACGGTACCGTTGGATGTAATCATCCTTATGCCCAGTGCCTTCTTCCAGTACAGAAATATCATTGAAATCGACCTACCGGAAACGTTACGAACAATCAGGAAAAATGCCTTTTACCGGTGTATCTCACTGACCGGAATCTCCATTCCGCCTTTTGTGGAAGACATTGATGACGGCGCCTTTCAACATTGCACAAGTTTGATGGGAGTAGAGCTCCCAGATACTACTCGTAGTCTGAATCTAGAGAAAGAGATCTTCAAGGGCTGCAAGGCTCTTGTGAACATTTCCTTCCCTCCAAATATCTTTATTACTGGATATGACGTTTGCAAGAGATGTGATTCTCTGTTTAAGTTCCCCGAACCAGCAAGAGATGACTACGGCGATCTTAAAAGCTTTCTCTATGAGAGGTTCAAAAATCTACCTGTACACAAGGCATGTTATCACGCAAGAAGTACAACGGTTGACCATCTACTAGCTGCGATTGGCAGTGACAGAGGTTATCCAAATTACCCCATAGATGTATATGAGATGGGTCCAATGCATGTAGTGGCGAGTTCTGCCATCCTGCGCATTGATCTTATGGAAACACTGATCGATAAGTATGAAATGAGGCGTCTTCACGACAAGGACGGTCACGGAAAGACCGCAATGGATTACTTGCTGGCAAATAGAGCTTCTAAATCTGCAGAAATGATCAAGATGGTACTGAAGAGGACCTTTAAGCCTTTTGGCTGGACCGGCTGGGGCTTGGAGAAATGGCAAAGTGTGTTATGTGCCGAAATTGAATCCAAATCCTGGGATGGCAACTTTGACAGCAGGCGCGAATGCCTGCGCGAGCTGGCAAAGAAAGTGTCGACGTATGGCAAAGTAGAGATGTCATCTCTTTTGGAACTTGCATTATGGAAAGTGGAGATGAACCAAGGGGATTCTGACCGAGACTCTAGTCGCATGACCTGTGGATCTAATGTGGTGATCGGAAATGTGTTTGGATACATCAGCGACGACTCGACAACGGCAACTGCGTCATCTACCATCAACTTCATGGGATGGTATTTAGAATGGCTGGAGGGAGTATTTCAAGAGTCCGATTCCTCCTCGGATGAATCCGAATCCTCCTTGTCGGTAGATGACGATGCTTCCTCTTCCTCAGAAGAAGAAGTCTTTACCGCTTTCGAAGATTCGGTGGAGGAAGTTGCTTCGTCTTCCTCAGCAGACGAATACGACTACTAGCGTACAGGCACGACACTTCTTTTTTTAATCATTGGAGCGCAATGCTTCCATTTTCGTACTATCTACAGGCTAGATAGAGTACTTGAAGAGCCCAGGTATCAATCTGTCGAAGAGTCAGTCCGATTCCTCCTCAGACGATGACGAATCATCCTCTTCGGAACCTGATGAATCCTCTTCCTCACTCGACGACGATTGCGAGACTGGCTCAAAGACAGGCATTTTCTTCTTTTCTTTTGTCTTCAAAGCCAACGTCGGTCGCATTCCCTCTTCTGTCCAATCCGCCTCCAATACTTCCTTAGAGAGTATTGTTGCCTTGTCATCCTCCTCCTCCAAAACACCCGTCAAGTAGAGCAACTTGTCAACAAATACTCCAAAACTGGGATATCTCTCTTTGATTTCTTGCAAAACTTGATGTTTTCGGGGTCCATGTGGAATTGAAACGACTTGTCCTATCAAAAGCCGCAAGCCTCCATCTTGTAGCTCGTCACGCAACCATTCGGAATGAAATAGAGCCTGTTTCATTTCCTCTGTAATCTTCCAGCCCTCGTCAATGGAATCGTCGTCATCATCTTGATAGTTCTCGCTCTCTAATTGTTCCTGTCGTTTGGCAACGCATTGGGCCATGGTCTGCTCCATATCCAAGCTGTTCGTGTACTTGCTTTTGCTCGTTGTTGGAATACTCGGACTCGATGATGATTCTGCTTTCGATGCCGTGTCATAACTAGTAGCAGTAGAATTCCCAGGAATTCCAGGACAGACCTCCTTATGCTTCTTACAACAAGCCACAGTACAATATCGAGCCGTACACTTGGGACATTTGTATTTGGGTTCTTCTACAGCACAGATAATGCAAGAAATTTTAGGCTTTTCTTCCGCTGGTGTCTTTTGGTTGCGCTGACGTTTTCTATTGTGGTTAAAGTTTCTTCCATTGCCATTTCTCTTTCGCTGAAAGGGTTGTGACGGTTTCTGTGCGGGGTATTGTTGCGCCATGACTATGGAGTATCTTTGTTGTCGGTTCTGGTAGGTCGGTGTGGATGGATAACCAAAATGAATAATGAATGAATGGTGGCGCTGTAGAGTCAAAGTGGTCGGATGAATTGACTCCATTGACTAATCGAAAACCATTCATCAATAATGCAAATGCACACCCGAACCCACAACCTTCTTTCTTACACGCAATTCATGACCATGGCACCCTCCACGCCAGAAGAAATTGCTGCCCAACATGCCGAAGCAGTTCGATTAGTTGAAGAGGGACTCCAATGTGCGCCTCGACAAGAGCTAGGAGAAATTCCTGGTCCTGACAAACAAACACCTACCACGGAATTGTTGCAACCACCACCGACAGAAGGGGAGGAAAAGAAATCCTCGGCACCCGAAGACTTATTATTGAACCCAGTCTGTTTTACGACTCGTGGTAGTATGGATGTCACTTCGATTCAAAAGCTGGTACAAGAAGGTTACAATCTAAATTACAGAAAGGACAATCCAGAAAGACCTCCTCTTTCTCCCACCAACTACTGGGATCCAAGAAACGCTTTCAAACAAAATGTCACAATTACACGTCCCTCGCATGATGCCTGGGGAATTCAAAAGATTGTCTTGTTGTTTTGTGACGATTTTGCGACCAAAATTTTCCAACTTCCCTGGTGGAAAGACTTTGAGCCGTCCATCAAACCGATTCTGGACATGGTCTTGCCGGTTGATGGAACCTTGATTAGAGCCTTGTTCGCCAGTCTGCCGCCAGGTGTGACCATTCCGGTACATCATGATACGGGTGAATGGGTCAAGCGTACTCATCGAGTGCATGTTCCCATTTTGGTAAACGACCCCTCGAAGGTTCTGTTTCGATGTGGCCCTACAGTCGAAACCATGCAACGAATTGATTGTTTACCCGGTCATATGTTTGAAATCAACAACCAAGCCAAACATGCGGTCAGCAATTGCGATTCAGACCACCGAGTCCATTTGATTGTGGATTACATTCATGGACCGGGACCCAAGCGCACCCTTTTGGAGGCTGGCGAGAAGATCGTCCAATCCCGTCGGTCGATTGACCGATTGAAAGATATGGATTCCCGGCCGACGCCGTCCTATATCATTTTGGGAGCCCAAAAAGCAGGAACGACTTCTCTCTACGACTATATCAATCAACATCCCTGGGTGATTAAAGCAAGGCGACGGGAGACTCACTGTTTAGATTGGCGATGGAATGACAAGTTGAAAACAACCAAGAAACAATTGGAGTTTTGTCAAAAGTTTTTCTATACCGAGGAATTGCGGTTACGACCCTCATGTCTGACGGGAGATTCCACTCCCAGCTATCTATTGGACAGTCGTCGAGTCATTCCACGCCTGAAGGCAGTATTCAACTGGAAGATGAGATTGTTTGTTATGGTGCGAGATCCAGTCAAGAGGGCCCTATCACATTATGCCATGGTGACTTCGTCGGAGGGGACGGAAGCCCAATTGAAAACAAGAGGATCCGAATGGAGAGGCAAAACTTTCCGACAAGTAATTGACGATGAATTGGTCAAGATGCAAGAGTGTGGATTGGTGCCGTATTGGGACACCAAAGAAGGTGTGACGGATATGGAGCTATTTAACAAATTCAGTGGGAGCCCACTCGAAACGAAAGCATGGGATTTGTATTTGCAGAAGCATGTCCCACTCAACACGGGTTCGTATGGGCTTTTGACACGCGGTTTGTACGTGTTGCAAATAAGACCTTGGTTGGAAGCCTTTGACGCAGATCATTTATTGGTGCTAAAGCTGGAGAGTATGAAACAAAAGGGTGTTCAATCCACAATGAGTCAAGTGTGGGAGCACTTGGATTTGCCGAATCATCCCGTAGATGACGAAACTCCAAAGAATACGCGGGAGTATCAACCGATGGATCCAGACACTCAAAAGTATTTACAAGCCTTTTTCGACCCACACAACAAGCAGCTAGCATCAGTTCTACAGAGTGATTCTCTAGAATGGAACAATCCATGGCCGTATGAATAATTAGAATTTCTTGCATTGTGCACACGAGAAAGACAAGTAAGAAGATGGAAACTATTACTAGGACAACAACTGCTTTCAAAGCAAACGACGGTGAGAGCCAATGTGACCAGCGACATCATCGTTTTGTCGTAGCAGCCAGAATATTGCGTCCAACCCCTTGGATTCTGTGGATTGTTCTACCCAATCATCGTTTGGCATGTAGTATGGGATGTTCGTTGCTTTGGCAACAACATTAGAGAATAGATTCAATGGCAAAGCGCCCGGGTTTTGTCCAAGGTATCGCCGCCCCGCCCGGTTTAGCATAGGACCAAACGTAGCTTCTGGTACCAATCAATGGTAACTTCCCTCCAAAGATTAATAGCAAGTCGTTCTATACTTGTATTCTGTATGGAAATTGGAGAAATCGCTCAACATTTTGCCGGTACTTCAAACGACGGCTGCTAATGGATGAAAAGTTTCTAAGCACTTTCATCCGAGGGAGCTTTTCTGCGAATGATATGTCATCATTCGCATTAATAATAGCTGTGTGATAGGATTAGTGTCTCCAAGCGGCAGGTGTCTCCAAGTAGTATAGTCCGTCCAATGGCTCCAAGTCAAGCTAACTATTGAAGAGTTTTAGCGCCGTCAACTTCGGTAGAATTGTAGTAAAAAAGGACCCCTGGAGATCCATACTGCGAAGCAATAGGATTCTCAACGACATGTTGGAATTTCTGAGATTGCCAGGATTGAAGAAAAAATCGTTCCGGGAAACGTCGAAAGGCGTACCCAATTCAACACCTTCCAGCTCGCAATCATGCCTTTCAAGCCGCCTCAGAAATCCCTTCACATTCTTTGGGTTCAAGGTTTCGGTTGATGCCAAATGCAGGACGCATAATTTTGGGTGATTCTGGAGAGACAGAAATAGCCGTGGCCATATTGAAGCGTCGATTCATTCTGCTCAAACCAATGCACTAATGAGAAAAGATCGGACGAATGAACCCTAACGGTGAATGATTTTCAATTTTGGCGCGTATTGACTGACTCAGCCGACTGCTAACCGAATCCAAAACCACAAACGGAAACCGCATACCGTACTCCACATTCAACAATCTATCGACAAGCGTGACCGTATGATAGAGCAATTGCGATGTCCAAGTACGAAGAAGTCAAATCAATGATGATCGAGCGCCTTGGGATTGTCGCTTGAAGCGATAGTGCTGATCGCGGGAAAATTCTTTTTTGTCACATCGTCGTGGAAATCATGGAGCCTCCACGATGGGTTGAAAATTTTGGTCGTGATGGAAGCCAAAACTTTCGAAATCATTCACGTTGTCACTTGTGATGAAGAGGATGGGCACAAATATAGCAGCACGAGTAAAAAGACGTCGAAGATGCTTTGTGTTTCATGGCCAGCCAATGCCTACCTCATTGCAGCATGTCACGCACGTGACGATGCAAAGCTCTTTGCGACCGGTCGACTATTATTGCTTTTATGGATTCAATTCTTTGGTGGAAGCTGAATTTCAACATGGATTGCAAACCATTTGTCAAAAGGCGTTCCAATGGTGCCCTTCGTTGAGACGCATCGCTTTCCCATCGACTGTACTCATTATAGAGGCCTATTCCTTTGCTGGATGCGTTTCCTTGGTCCGGGTCCAGTTGTCGGAAGGACTGAAATATATTGACGAGGGGGCATTCTATCACTGCAGATCTGTACAACTTCTTTGTATTCCATCAACAGTGGAAACTATTGGCACTGGTTGTTTTAGCAGATGCTACTCCTTAGCCGATCTCCGGCTTTCAGAAGGCTTGAAAACGATCGAAATGGGCGCTTTCATGTTGTGCAAAAAGCTAAAAAGGGTTTCCATACCTTCTACGGTGGAGTGTGTTGGAAAAAAAACTCTTTCTGTGAATGTGATGCCCTTTTGGAGATTGACTTTGCTGAAGGACTTTGTGAAATTGAGGCCTATGCGTTTGCAAAATGCTCCTCAATTAGTGTCATGTCCTTGACATATTCCTTGACGCATATTGGGGGGAAAGCGTTCGAAGACTGTACCAGCTCATGGGAGTTGAGTTTCCAACTCATGATCAACTGTCTTTGGGTGATTGTGTGTTCAAGGGATGCAGAACTCTAGTTGCCTTATCGATTTCCTCCTCAACGAAGATGAGGCGAAATGATCCTTTTCAGGGATGCACTTTGCTGCAAGTAAAAGATGAAAGGCTCGGTACGATTGCGGTGGTTGACAGGTTTGCAACTCTTCCAATTTACAAGGCATGCTACCATCTAAAACACACAAAACTGTCTAGTATTTTGGCCGAAATGGATCGGAATGGCGATGCTTTGGTGGATGCTCATGGGATGACACCATTTCATATTTTGGCTACTTCCGCAATGCTTCGAACCGATTTACTGGGAGGCCTCATCGACGAATACTCTATGGCGTCAATCTCACAAAAGGACAGCCATGGAAAAATGATGATGGACTACTTGCTGGCAAACAGAAGCTCGAAGGCTCCATCGATAATCAAATTGGTATTGGGGAGAATCTTTGATGCCGAAATTTCGGGCTGGGGACTCCCAAAGTGGAAGTCTATCTTGTGTGGAGAGATTGAATCATCTGAGTGCTGGGAAGGGGACATGCAAAGTAGGCTTAGATGCTTGCACGGGTTGTATGAAAGACTCTTTGTTTACCGAAAAGTGGAGCAAATGTCACTCTTGGAACTAGCAGCATGGAAGATTAGAATGGGCTCTGGTGAGGTTGATCGAGAATGTTATCGACTTATATGTGGATCAGATGCTGTGATTGGGAATGTCAAGTGGTACTTGTCCAGGGCGCCTCATGACCAGTCGTAATCGGTGGTAGAGAGGTTTTAGCCATGACAATAGGAATATTTTCTTTGAATGTGTGTGCATTGTGTAATAATCGAGTTTAGAAGTGGTGCGGGTATTTCAGTTTTTTATGTATCGAAGTCAAATGTTTCTGGCGCGCCATCTTCAATGGACGTAGTGCGGTACGTGTACAATGCGCGTAAAATGTACAACATGACGAAAATTGAGCTGTCAGAAAACATATCTTGTACGTGGACACCTCAAAATCTACAGTATTAATACAGCAACTCATTCACCAACTTACACATCGCCTTCTTGAAAACAATGTCTACCGCCCAATTTGCGATTGATCTCTCCGTCTCTGACGATGAGAATGATATTTCTCCTTCATCTGGATTGACCACGTTCAACCCATCAAGAAAACCAGACACAACCGCAACAAACGTGACGACAAACACGAGCCAGGAACTTGCTGGAACCATCCGCAGAACGTCTGACAACACAGCAGTCAGTCCTACTCCTAGAAAAAAAGCCAAGCCTAGCACGTCGTTCGCTTTGATTTGGGTATGCACACACGGAAATGGCCGCCGAACAGGTTGGCGCAAGAAGGATTTAAAGTTGGTCGGCATCTACGCATCCAAGGCAGCTGCTGAAGAAGCCAAGCGAAAGGTCATGAGCGAGCATGAGCGTGCTGGTCATGGAGATATTTGTGTTGGAGACACCTGGGAAGATGAAATTGATTTGTTGATTCGTGAGGCTCCTCTCTTTGTGTAGGATAGTTGATCAGAAACATTGACGAAATCGTTCACACAACAACATACGTTTGGATGGCATAATGATTGCCTTTTCACTACATATACGTTTTGATCTGTACTCTCTAGGGAGAATCATTGTAACTCAATTGCAAACAGTCCTGACTCGCTGGGCCCTTGGCTTTCTGCAAATTTTAAAAGGAGCTCTGTTATGACCGCGAAAGGACGATAACCTAGAGTTGGAAATATAATCCATATTTCTACCCACCCTTCCGTTTGTATGTAGTGATTCCAAGTAGTACTGATACCTATATAGTACCGGTACAGTACATCTACCGGTACCGGTACCCATGATATCCTGTCTTCGTCCTGCCTTTTTTGCTTTGTTGGATTCTACCGGTAGACATGGACGACTAAGCCGACCAACCAACACTGTCAAAGGACAGACAAACACGTTTGGATTGAGAAACGTGAAGAATGATCAACAGAATTTTAAAAAAGGTGAACATACATTTGCACATATTTACAAGTCAGTTGTTGCTATGCATATCAGGCACACTGTACAAAATGAAGCCTCTGGCAATGAAGAAGAAAATAGTAATGAAGAAGTCAAAGAAAGCCACCCGTGGTAAGCGGACACTTTCCAAAGGCCTGCCATCGTTCAAGGTGAAATCGAAACCTGACTCCAACACAATCGACAACAATGACACAATCGACAATGACGAACATGACGACTTTGGAGAGCTTCCATGTGACACAATATTGGCATTCCAGTCGATACAGGCAAATTCGGAAGGGTTGCACATCCCACTACTGGGAGGCCGTTTCGTTCAGGCTGTTTTGGAGACGCAACTCTTTCAAAAGTTTGACGAGAATCATGCATCGATAATCATGCAAGAAGTTCTGGAGCTGATTCAAAACGGTCAGTTGATCAGGATGTCTTGTCATGATGAAGGCCAAACTGCATTTACTTTGTCCAACGACTACATTGCAGCTGTGTGGGACGCACATCAGAATCACATGCTTGAATGCAGGCAACAAGAAAATAGCAGAATGCGACCAGAGATTGTGACGTGGTTTGTAAGCTGTCTCAAGGAATGGAAGGAACCTACGATTTCTGAAGAATCCATGGAGGCTTACTGGAAGGATGATATCAGCGTTCAATCGGATACAGACCAGTCGCAAAGCAAAATTTCATTTAGAGATGCTGTCATAGCATTGGTCAAGCTGCAGATTCTCATGAAAGTTCCAATATCTTCTATGGCTTCAGAAAGTCACTATCGTTTCTGGTTACCGCAATGGGGCGTCGTACTGAAACAGTGGGACAAAGCACGCAGGAACATGATGGCATGCATCAATCGCTCGAGCGGAGGCGAGATATCCGAAACGAATCTTTTGAACTTCAATCGACACAGCTGCGTGTCGACGCGATTCCTTTTGAATGACCTAGTCAACAGAGGAAAAGTGAATATTGTGGAGCGACCATTTGGCAAGTTTGTACGAAGAGTAGCTACAAGTGAACATTGATACTAACAGATGTGTGGTTGTATGCCAATGAATGGCCATAGACATTCTTTCGAAGATGATAGATGCTACTAGTACAAAATACCATTATTGCAATCGCCATCTATGACTTCGTTTTCATCCCAACCTCTCCAAGTGGGTACGTAGGTGCGGCTGAGTGAAGACTGTGCAAGAGAGTGCCAAGCTGAGTAAAAAAAATGATGTCCAACATAGCAAAAGAATAATAAGGAATTGCCCTCCAGGGAAGGGGAAAAAAAAAACACCTGGGAATGAGACTGAAAAAACTATGGATTAGAGGGTCCAGTAATTTGGAGCACCATGACGTCAATCAACTGGTGTCGTCATAGAGGTACTCCACCTGCCGGTAGTAGTTGCAAAAGTAGATAATTGCCTTAACAGGAAGGCAAAAATGTGCAAAAGAATACAACACCTGGGATTCCAACGTGACGTCAATCAACTGGTGTCGTCATAGAGGTACTCCACCTGCCGGTAGTAGTTGCAAAAGTAGATAATTGCCTTAACAGGAAGGCAAAAATGTTTAAAAGAATACAACACCTGGGATTCCAACGTGGTCCCCCACCGTAGTACTAACCAGGCCCGAACATGCTTAACTTCGCTGAGCGGACGGGAAGCGGTGCTGTCATGTTGGTATGGTCGTATCCATCGCTCAATTGTGTTTTATGTTACATATTGCTCAATATTGTTCTAATCTGTACCGGTACGGTACTTGGTGGTTCGATTTCGGTATTTCAGCAACCATCAATCACACATCTCGGAAAACGGAAAATGAGGCAATCGCAACGAGAAGTATGGTTGGTACTCCTTTCAATGCCAGTGGTTTGTTGTATGGTTACACAGCAAGATGTTATGGCTGAGCTGTTGAATCAACATCAGCTTGAGTCAGATTATGGTTTCTTTGTCTTCGGAGATTCCACCATCGCAGACGAGACAAAGCAACGGAAATGGATGCCATCAGACTTCAACAATTTTTCGCTGGGGGAGGGAAGTGCTGGTCCTTCAGAATCGGTGCTAAAACAAGCATCATCCGTATTCATCAGTAAAGAGCCAATAATTTCGGAAGAAGAGTGCCTAGCTCTCATTGAGGATGCCAAGGTGGCAATTGCCAGTGGACGAAGGTCAACGGAAGAAGGAAGTGAATCAACTCGCGCGTCTCGAACGAATAGTGATCTGAATGAAGCAAGGTTATCTCAGTTACCCACCAGAAGGCCGTGGCTTCAAAAATTGCTGCACGAAAAGGTTTTCCCAATCCTCGAATCCAAATTCGGAGTTCCAGCTGAGAGTATGACCCTTAACGACGGACTAGTGCTTGGATATATCGCTCCATCCAAATCACAGCCAATCCACAGAGATGCCTCTTTGCTTACGCTTCAAATTGCACTCTCTCCCCAAGAACTTTTCACAGAAGGGGGGACATACATTGAAGGACTTCATGAAAGCCTTCAGGTGCCTATGGGGCATGCGATGTGTCACTGTTCTGGAACCATGCACGCTGGGAAAGGAATCACGAGCGGTGAGCGCTGGGTTCTCGTTATGTTTGTACTGGGTAGAGACGAGCCCCAGTATGCACGGAGACTTCATTCACACGGTGTTTCTGCAATGGATGACTCAAACTATCCTCTGGCAGAGTCATCCTTCCAGACTGGTATCGAGATTGCACCAACCGATCAGTTATTGCGATTGAGCCTAGCGAATTGTTACCTTGCTCAGAATAAGAACTCTGCAGCTCGTAAACAGCTACGATTGGCCCAAAGCTACAAACACTGTGTTCGGCCTTTCTTCCTGCATGCTAATCAACTGGTAGTCAAGTCCCGTCCGAGGGCAGCCCTTCGCCGTTTGGATATGGCACTGGAGCGGTTGGGTGACAGAGATCTTAGTCCCAGTGCTTGGAATCCGATGCGTGCTCTCGGGTGGGAAATTCGAGTGCTTGCTGCTCGGTGTGCATGCTTGTGTGCTGAAAAAGAACTGGTGTCATCACGGTCCGAAGGCAACGGCGATATGCCATGGTCTCGACAGCATTTACCAAAAGCAATCGAAAGGCTGCATATTGCGCTGCAATTTGCCCCTGGTCATGAGCCACTGATGCAGATGGAAGCAAGAGCAAGACAGTTGATGAGCATGTCGCAGTAACACAGAGGGCGCTGGACATCAGTGATGAGATTATGCATGGTATTGTAATTCTATTATTAGTAGGGTTAACATACGTAACTGATGCAATGTTCATTTAGTGCGCATTGCCTTATTCCTCGTTTTCTTCCCTGCCGTCGTCCGAGTCTTCCGACTCGTTCATCTCTGATCCTTCCTTCCCCGTTTCCCGATGGCCATAAAGTGCAACGTATGCCTCGTCTTCATCCATACTCAACATGGTTTGTTGTGGTGCGGGCAACAGACTCAACACAATTCCCGGGGGATTATGAAACATATAAAAGAGAACTTTTGCCAATATCTTCACCGGTCGAGCCTGTAAAATAAAGCACAATGGAGCGCATAAAAGCATCAGCCGGCGAGAAATAGTAGCCTTGCCTCCAAAGTATCCAAAAAACAAGAACAGAAGAAAGTTACGAATTGTCTCTCCCCAATCCTACAAAGAGGAAGGTCAGATGAGTTTGATGGCACATACACGGATTCAATAATGATCGGCTCACGTACAATATTCAGATTATGCTGGATGCTCTTCTTCAAGTTTGTTCTTGCCCCACCCTTCCCACTTCGATACCGTTGTCCTCGGAATTCTTCCGTTTGACGGTTTCTTTGCACTGATTCCAGACTTTTTTGCCATACTTCTTCTGGCACGTCAACCTTTAGTTGCTCTTGCAATGCATCGGCTTTCTCCTTCATCTCAAATTTTAACACCGCCGTGGAAGATCCAGCCTCGGGGTTGTCAAGTAGCTGACCATTGCGAGCAATGGCAACTTGGTTCAAGAAATATGCATCAAGCAACTCTTCTGTCGTTAACGTGTCTTCGTCATCTTCCATGTGGGCCTTCAGTTTTGGCACCAGCTCTAGAGCGAACTTCGGGTCGACGGGTGGAATAGAATTCAATAGAAGTGTTTTGCTTGTTTCCTCTTCCTCTTCGTCCTCGTCCTCATCTTCGTCGTCGAATAGTTCATCAACAAGCATCTCATCGTCTAGCACCCGACCCTCTGAAACCAGCTGAAGGCTAACTATGGGAGGTCTGCCTGGAAGTAACCGTGAAAGTGACTTTTTCAAGGATGCCACATTCCGATCTCTTTTTGCATTCAATTCCACCTGCAAATCTATAACAGGGTTTCCCCAATTTGTTTGAACCAACAATCTCACTGGTTTCGCTGATATTGAGGTCTTCGAATCTACTTTTTCTTCCTCCATTTCATTTGCATCATCCTCTTCCTCCTCTTCTTCGTCTTCGCCATCCTCTTCATCCGGAAACTGGGGAGCAGTGCTTCCTCCACGTAGCGTCTCGAATGAAGATTGACTTCTGCCAAATCGATTGATTACTTGTGCTCGGGGAACCCCAAAGCTGGCTACTGGCTTGCAGCTAGACGTCTTTAGACTGCAAGCAATTATCAGAGCTATCAATATTAGAGTGCGCCATCCTGCAAGAGAGTTCCTCATATTGGATCGTTGCTTTTTTATCTAGGTGTGTTATTATTCCTTTTTGCTTTTGATGTGTTGCAAACCAAATCTTCCAGCTGGAAGAAACAGGACGATTCCTCCGATTGCCGGTGCAGTCCGTCAGTCAGTACTGTACATGGATGGGAAAAAAGGGTGATCGACTAGTAGAGAGCTACGAAACAATAATTATAGTACGCACCGCACCATGTTGGGCTTTGCTGCTGTTCCTGCGATTTACCATTCCAATAGCAAAGTAACAAAATAACAAAATTAATAACGTATTTATCACACATGCTATAGGCCTTGAGACAGTCATGTGGATCGCTTGATCTCGCTTGATCTGTTTGGTCGGAGAATGTCTGTTGCGTTTAATCCTCATTCTCATCAGGGCTGGTGTTTTCTTCCCCATTGCCATCTGTGTTGGCGGTTACTCCCTCATCTTGTTGTCTCGCCATTTCTCGTCGACGAAGGTATCGTTCCCGCGCTTGAATTACTGCATGGTTATCTTCACCCCAGATCAATCCAGCGTGACAAGGAATGTTAATGAACATAGTCAAAAATGAGGATGCAATCACAATAGATCCCATCACCAAGAAAGCAACATCATATTCAAATGATCGAAAGAAAAGACCGTAGACAACACTGCCGACATTACCGCCCGAACCGACAAAACCTGCAACAGCACCAGTGTATAGTTTCGAAATGTATGGAACCACACCATAAATTGCACCTTCCGCAGCTTGTGTAAAGATGGAAAACAAACACATGGTGGTAATGGCCGCTGGAAGAGTTTGCATAAAGGAGAATAAGACGATCAAAAGACCTTCCATGATCAAGAAAAATGTTTGCAAGGCAAGTCGACCTCTCATTCCCATCTTGGTGTTGAGTTTGTCACTCAGCAATCCACCCAACCCACGTGCAAAAATATTCATCGATCCATAGGCAAATCCAATGGCTGCGGCCTGGTCTGTATCCAAACCAAAGCGTGCGTTGTAGTAAAGAACAGAAGCATTGTTCATCACCAATTCGACTCCAAAACAACTGGCATATTGGACAAAGAGAATCCAAGTGTTGCGAGTTGCTCCAGATCGAAGACTCGTGGTGAAGAAGATACGATCCATGGTTCCTTTCTTCTTCATGTAGCTGTAATTTCCCATAGGGGCATCATCCGTGATAAAAGGCAATATAATTCCCCAAACAAAAGCCATGGCCGCTGGGATGATACAAATAGTTCGCCATGCTTTCTCTTTGCTCCCATAATAGTCTCGAAACGCTGGAAACAAGATGGTACCCATAAACACTTGGGCCCAGGCACCACCTAGATTTCCCCATCCACCGACGATTCCATTGGCTGTTCCAGCGAGCTCTCTGTAGAAGATGAAAGTAGCAAGAGGTTAAGGTTAGCATGCAGATATTCTTAGATACAACAACACAAACGAAACACTGCAACGTGATAAACTTGCCTGGAAAACATTCTACTGGGCCAGAATTGTGACATGACAAAGGAACTTCCAGCGAATCCAATAAAGAAACGAATCAATGCCAGCTGTGATGCTGAATTCACCAGTCCCACCATGGCAGTCGGTATAGAGGAAAATACCAGCACAATGGCCATGGGCATTCGTGCTCCATAGTTATCGCAAACGGGTCCCATGAGAATCCTTGTAAAAATGGCAGTACAATCGTTCGTTATAGAAGATGTCCATAATTCTGCCTTTGTCAAATTCAAAGTATCTCCAATCTCCTTCAACAAGGGAGCTGGAGCGAACCAAATCGTAAAACACAAAAAGAAGGAAATCCAAGCGCAGTGCAAGCCTCTCATGTGCGGACGTTTGAAGGAAAATAGATTGATTTGGGTTCCCCGGTCTCCATCCATGTGATCTACAGGGATTTCGTATCGCTCATATTTGGAATTGGGAGACGCCCTTCTAGAATCCCGTGCACATTCCTCCCATTGTTGCCGTACGCGTAGATTCTCCAACTCGACGGGATCCAAAGGCATGTCGCTGGTGTCTCCTCGAGGAGTTTCTTCATCGTTTGAAACTGACATGTTGTTTTTACACCACTTGACAGAGATGAATGATTGATTCAAAGCGTTGAAAGAGATATAAGGAGCCCTCTGGATCTATGGCCTTTATAAAGCAAGACTAGAGTAAAAGAAGAACAACAAAGAGGTTCTTGGGTCCGGATGACAGCTACCGACACCGAGTTATATTGTCAAGGCTGTCAACTCAAGTTCCGGCTTGAGATTGGGCTTTTCCATTGCCAGTTGTTTCGTTCGTAGAAAATGTACCGTATTCGACTATTTTTTGAAGTGATTTGATTGAATGGGAGGTCGCGTAATCGGACAATTTTAAAGAGGAAATTGAAAATACCAAATGGCCTTCCTGGCTGGGACTACCCTGGTACGATGCGAACGGATTCGTGCTGTACCTGGTACCTGGTACTGAACACTTCACAACTCAAGAGATACAACAGACTGCAGTACAAGCGCTGTACCAATGATCATTTACTCCAATGGACTGGATCCTACGTGGATTAAAGGTCAGCAATTAGCCTTTCTCATTGCGAGACGACGACTAGAATCCCGCTTTACGATACGGGGACCTGGTACTAGTAGCAGATAGCTAGTTTTTAATCAGTTCAAGACATTAGGGAGCTAATAGTGTGCTTAATTGCTGTACACAATGACAGGCATGCTTCTAGAAGTGACCACAATGTCGTGAATGCCTTGGTCGTCACATCAAGCTTCACAATGATCAAGAACTTCGAGGATCCACACGACTCGATTCAATCAAATGGCGGGTCGGAGGGCGGGCGGGTTGACAGTGGTGGATGGAGTTTTCCTTGGTCACATCTTCAAAACAACAACAACAACAAGGCAACAAAGCAAAACAGAAATGATGAAAGCTGCATACATCACCAGTCGTCCCGACATTGGAAAACTTACTGAACACCTTCAATTGGACGAAACTACCATTCCCACTCTTACTGCTAGCGAATTGAAACCCAATCAAGTGCTGATCCATGTCAAGGCATTTTCCATAAACATTGACGATGTAAACGTAGCTCAAGGGAGTATGCTAGGTGGCATTGGTATCGCCCAGGCTCCATACCCAACGAAATCTAATCCACATGTTCCCGGAAGCGCTTACTCGGGTACCATTCAGGCCGTTGGGTCCAAAGTGACGGACTTTTTAAAAGGAGACCGAGTTTTTGGATTCAATGCACAGCCATTTCTTCACGAAATGGGACCATGGGCGGAGAGGACAATCGGCAATCCCAAAAACTTGCTCAAACTGCCAAACAATTTTACCTTTGTACAAGGGGCTGCCTTGGTCATGCCGCTGGTGGTAGCTGGTGACATGTATGACCTTGCGGTTCCTTCTGTGGCGATGGGCACCGAACGAGTCATGGTTCTTGGTGCCAGTGGAGGCATTGGGTCGGTCTTGGTACAAGCACTTCGAAAGAAATTCCCCAAACTTCATATCGTCGGCGTGTGTTCGTCCAAAAGCAATGATTTTGTAATGAAGCTAGGCGCCAATTCCACAATCGACTATAACAAAGGACCAATCCATGTGACTGTGCTGGGATCTTCGGCGAACGATAATTCCAACTTTGATGTTATACTCGATTGCGTGGGTGGATATGACTATTATCAAAGTGCAGAAAAGATACTGGCTCCACGTACTGGCACATTTATTACCTGTACAGGCACAGAACAATGGATTGGTGATCGCATGTTTACAAGACTAGAGGCATTCCAGTATCTCTGGCAAACCTTTATGGTACCACTCATTTACAACAGATTACCAGGGAAGCACCCATACTACTACTTTGCGGGACCAATGACATTTGGTGAAGGATCCAGGATGATCATGGAACAAAAGACAATTCCAGGTATTGAAAAAGTTATCCCGTTCGAAGAAGATGCACTGAAATCTGCAATCAATCTGGTGGCAGCGCATCGGGCGAAAGGGAAGATCGTAGTAAATCTGGAAGCTTAGGAGTATGTATAATATAAGCTATGATGTGAGCTATGTGCATCCTCATTCTTCTGATCGGTTTGTTGGACTAGAGCAGCTACTTCGAAGAGTAATGTTTACATGTATTTCTATTTTTTTCAATTACTTATTCCGTACTTGCTAGGCTGCTTAGACAAACTCTTGCCTGGAAAGCTCCATGGCAAGTTCGTAATCGGTAGTTTCGCGGTTTGGAGTCATGTCGACAGGGCTAGCAACAGGGCTAGCACTGGTTGGTGTTGCACTACTAGTTGTGGTTGCGATATCACGATCATCCGCAGTTCCCAGCGCAGGATCATTCATGGGATTGTACTCATCTCCACTAGTCGCCTTGGTCAATGCACTCATCCAATGCTTGTAGTCATCTTCCGAAGAAGCAGCGGCTTGAATGACAGGAGATCCAGGACTCGATGGGTCGGTTTTGACCACAAACGACAAGGGATGGTTGGGATTGTATTCAATGGCGGAAACTCCAAACTGAAGAGCAAACGACTTTCCTTCCCCGAGGTCCCATTGAAAGTGATCACCATTCAAGTAAATCTTGGAGTTCTTTGCCTTCCACTTGCGGCCCATGTTCTTAACCATACTATTGCTCTTGACAATGAGCATTCCAGAAATCAAGACGCCATTCTGATCTGGTTGCTCCGAGACATAAGTATCAAGTCGGGACTGATTGTTTTTAGGCAATCCCAATAGCTGCCAAGTGCTGTGGGTTTGGGAATCGCTGGGACTTGATTTCAGTGCTTGGGGACTTCCAACTGGTCGTGCGGTAGGAGTGATCGGTTCATTGAATGATTCAGTGACAGCAGTGGGCGATCTTGCCACTGGAGATTCCGTGCGACGTTCGGGAGTGCTAGCGCCTGTAGCAGGACTAGTGGAGTTACGAGCATTAATCTTGGCCAATTTCTTCTTGAGGGTCTTCTTTTGTTCGTTTTCAACTTGGCGAGCCATTGCTGCGTCAGCTTCATCAAGACGGTTGCGAAGAGCAGCACGAGTCAAGTTATCGGACTCAACCTCTTCCTTCAACAAGCCGAAGGCGGTGTAAAGAGAATCCAATTGTTGGGCCATGTCGTTGATACGCTCGTCTTGAACAGCGAAACGAGCCTTGTATTGTGCCAATCGGAGCTCGTTCTGACTATCGGCTTCTTGTAGCTGCTTGATAACTAGGACTCTGTTTTCATTTTCAACTTGCGAATTGAGGCTGTTCAATCTGGATGCGTTTTCCTGTTCACGCATGAGTTGAAGGTTCTTCTCGTGCTCTGCGTTCAACTCCTCGCGCGCCTTGCGAAGTTCTTCGTCCTTGTCCTTCATGGCTTTCAAAAGGCGTTCGTACTCGTCAGCCATTTCCGGACTCACATACGTGGCCGAGACCGTTCCACCCTCTTTTGCAACACTTTGCACAGACATGAGACCCTCTTGCATCTTCTTGGCATACTCCTCTTGCATCTTGCGTAGCTGATCTTGGAATTCCTTTTCCAGTTGGGATGCCTTGGCAGCTTCGGACTTGAGACGGTCAGAATATCCGCTGGTATCCTTCTTCCATTGATCACACTCAGATTCGAGACGGGTTGCCCGGGCTCTTTCGTGACGAAGCTGGTCGTAAAGATGGGCAATCTCCGCCTCTTGCTTCTCTTCAACTTCCTCGAGCTCTCCAACACGAAGTTGGAGGTTTGCAATCTCTGGAGCAGCCATGTCTTTTCGGATGACACCACCCTTGGCAAGCATTGCGGCCTCGAGTTCGGCTCTCAACTTTTGCACACGACTTTGCATTTCTCCAAAAGCCTCGTTTTGACAAGCTTCCTCAAGGGCCTTGCGAAGGTCAGCAACATTGATTCCCTGAAGGTCGGCAAGAATTCGGAGCTGACGTTCCAGTCGACTGATTTCAACTGCCTGAGCTTCGTTCTTGGCTTGGAAGATACGAAGTTGCTTCGACAACTCAGACAATCCAGCAGATCCAGCTTGCCTAGCTCGGCGTTTGCTGGCCGATTGCGGAAGTTCGTTGGCCATGTCATCCTGCTTTTCCTCGCCAGGGCGAGTTTCGATCACGGAGGGAATCATGATGTTCTTTGTATCGATTTCGAATTGTGAGAGGCATTGGAGGTGCAAAACATCTTCGGTTTACCAGTTTAAAGAGTCGTGGATTGTGGTTCCGTGTTGGGTCGTGATGTGATTGATTGATTCCTTCGACTTCGAATGGGTCATGAACTCCGTGAAATGACGTCTGTCCGTGCCAACACTACGTGTTGGTTCTCCGACATGTTCGACTAATCGAAACGTGTTATCCAGCGTCGTACAGACCTCCAGCGAGTGGTCCGCAAAATCTTGCCTTCGGTTATTGTGCTCCAGTGTCAACACAAGATCCATCACCTTGTGTTATAAGGTAGTGAGCCATGACAACAGAGGGCGAGGGATCAGCGATCCTTGAGCTGGTCCATGAACTTGCTTCTAGTCGCTTGGACTGCATTCCAGTTCAAAAGAGAAACAATCTGATAAAGGATGCGGCTTCCAGCTTGGCGGAATCGGAGAGCGATCGAGAAGCGTTTTCCAAATCAGGATGTGAGTAGATTGTGCCAGACTCTGTGGATTTACAGATGCAACATAAATCTCATTTTTCTTCATCTCGATACAGGCATTGGGTGCTCCACCAAAAATGGCTACATCAGAATAGCACAACTGTATCAAGTTTCGATAGCAAATGAGTCTCAAAACGATATTCGGATACGTTTGTGCAAGAATTTGTGTGAATTGCTAAAGAACGCGAGCGATCCCGCTCTGTTGGAGGACGTGAAATCAAAGCTTCCTCTTGAGGAACTGTCGGGTATCTTTTCTGAGATTGCAAAGGAGAATGCCATTCCAGCTGTGGCATTCACCACACCAACTTGGGATACTTTCATTAGTTCTTCCATGAGTGATCCGGTGGCTACTTCCCCAGATATGGCACTTTGCCGCTCTGCACTCAAGACCATGGATGCTGAAGCCTGGGAAAAAACGGTTGCCCCTGCGTTGCTTTTGAAGATCAAGGCAAAGCCAGAGACGGTGCTTGATTTGGCGCAAGGTTTGTTTGAAAATGTCAGCTCTGATGTTTTGACACAATCGTCAATTATAGTAAAGGAAGGTGTTTCAACCTTAGTAAAGTATGTCAGGAGTCCAAAAGAGATTGTCCGCTACCCAGTGGCCAAAATTCTGAAGCGCCTTGCCATTGCTGCTGTCGAGGCGAATAGTGGGTCACACGCCAATGCATTGCTGGCAGATGTCTCCAAATCTGTTGCGGATCCCCAAACTTTGACCCAAGCTTACCAACGTCAAACGGCTTACGAAATACTCAAGGAAGCTGGTGCAATTATTGGATCGCGGAAAATCGCAGTAAAGTCTGAAATGGCGTCAACAGTTATGACGTCAATCTGCGCTGCTTTGAAAAAAGAAGCCAAGTCTGCTGATGATATTCGCACGGTTGGTGTCGAAGCACTTTTGCAGTGGATGGTGATTGGAAAACGAAATGGTGAACCCAAGGGCTACGAAGCTGCTCTTACATTCATCCGTACACCGGCTGTCTCGAAAGAAGCCGCTGATGCTCCAATCATTTTAGGTGCAATGGTAACTACTCTGGATCAAGACATTCTCGAATCAATAGTGGTTGATCTGTTTAATGATGCCAACTTCGTAAAGGGACTAGAAAGCTTCATCGAAGCTGCGAACAAGAAACATGCGTCGGGATCATCAATACCTCAAGTCGCTGGGCTACTTGCTATTTACTTGAGCCTTGTCAATGCCGTTGCTTCCAATAGTCAGACTTTGGCTCCGGCGGTCGAGAAGGCTGTCGCTGCCGCTTCTTCTGTGGTCGAGAAGACTTCCTTTGTTTTTGGTGTCGCGACAACCAATTCGATTGCCGGAGATGCAGTGGTTGGATGCATCGTCCCACGAATAATAACCCTCTATTTGAAATTCAGATTCACAACGCAAGGGAATGTTGGAAAGATCAAGTCAAACTCGGGCTTTATTAGCGCACTTGCATGCTCTATCCTCAATCCATCTACAGCGGGAGGTCAAAATCCCACAACTTCCACAATGTCCACGGTGGAGACAGTTTTGGGCTATCAATCCGTTTCTCAGTTCCTTGTGGAAGCTGTTTTCGTTGAGGCCAACAGAGTTTCGCTTCAGTCAAAAGAACTCAAGAGATCCCTCTACTTGTTTAGACAAGCAAGTGATATGGAGAAGGACGACGCGGTAAAGGGAAAATGCAGTAGCACTGGCAGCCTTCTTGGCATGGATGCGAATGCCGTGCGCCACATTGCTCGATTGTTTGTCACCAAGACATTGGAGCCGAAGCAACTCGCGATGGCGATGGTTTTGATGCACACTGGCTCTTCATTGCGTGTTGCTGGAAAGCAAAGGACTTGTTTGCTGAAACATGTCACCAATTTGCTGAAGGATTTGCCGCAGGACTTTGCAACCAAAGACGACGCCTTTGCTGTTATGGGTAGTCTCATCTCCGAGCTAGCATCACGAGTTAACTCGAATGACGAAGACATTAGTGAGGTGGTGCAATCAGCTACCCGTAGCCTGATAGTGTCATTGGGTGCGATTGCCAGCAACTATTCGCACGGGGTTGATGATCCAGAAGACGATGAAATGAAACCCTATGTTCTCGCAAGCAAGCTTTGCATCAACGAAATTGCACCTCGCTTGTCGAAAGAAGTAGAAAAGTTAGAGTCTGAGATTGAAGCATGGACCCCCATGGACATTAAACTGCACAAGTCTAAAGCGGGCACCCTCGTCGCAGAGAACGACGCACCCGCAACGGAAACGAAAATAAATAAGGGCCGAATGACAGAGGAGGAGCAGTGGGAGATGCAAATGAAGAAAGAGATGGAAGCAAAGAAAAACGTTGGCAAGGATAGTGCGCCTACCTCTGCTGAGGACAAGAAAAAGATCAAGGAACAAGATGAAAGACGGAAGAGTATTGCTGCAACCGTTGCAACCTTCAACAGAACCTTTGATGCTATCCAATCTTTGCTTGTTTCAGATATTGAGATCGGAAATGCGTGCCTCCCACTTATTTCGAAGCATGTGCTGAAACTTGCAGTTTCCAATTCTCCGGGATCGACGAATATTTCCGAAATTAAGGAGAAATGTTTCGCAGCTTTGATCGCTCTCGCTGGTTGTGTCTACGAGATCCAGGAAGAGTTTGCCCCCATGTTGGCGATGGCACTTACAACAAGCTATAGGCAGGTCTCATCTCCTTCGAAGTCAAAGGAGAGTGCAATGGCAATAGCGCCTCTTCCATCACCATGCGAACCGGCTGCAGTCACTATCTTCGAGATGGATGAATTCCAAGAGGAACTATCTGGAGCATCATTTGCCTTCCTGTTCCCAGTAGTGCAGGCAGCTCTGATGGGTCCAAGAACTACTCCAGGTTGCGAAGGAGCCGTACGAGTGTTGGAAAGACACACTGTGTTGCTCACTGGAGAATATCAAGATCCTCATGTCTTGCCTCTCCGAGCCGACATGGCTGCCAGCGTATTGGAGTTGCTAAAACACGATCGATCGCAGGCATTCGTTGATCCAAGTCCATCGGATGTCCTTGTTGCCTGTTACCAAACCGGTGACGAAGAGAACGCTCCGAAACTATCTGTAGGCGAACTTGGCGTACTACTAGATGAAAGGGGAGCCTTGGGAAGCACAAACTGCCGATTGGGCGCTATGGTTGCACTTGGTTCAATCGCTACCAATCAACTAAGTGTTGTCAAAGCCAATCCACTAGTAGAGAGCAGAATATGGTTGAACTGCTTCGATGAAAACGATTCGGTGAAGACCGAAGCTCGAAAGACATGGAGTATTCTGAAAGGTTCAGGAACAGATGAACTTTCACCACCTTCCGCGATGTACTCGATTCCGCTGCTTCCTTTGCTCAACAGTGAGAACAAGTCTATTGCAAAGGCAGCTGCTGCAGCATTCGCCGCCGGCATGTCAGCACACCCTGGGTCTGTTGAGAAGAACTTGGAAAAGTTGTTTGCAACGTACATTGATTCATGTCCGCGTCTTGGTAGTGATTCGACGGATGCACCGGAGACTAAGAAAGTTGCAGCACCGGCCCCAGCTAAGAAGAAAGCCATGGGCGTGCCTGCTTCATTGAAGAAGAAGACTGTGAAGAAGTCAGCACTCCAAGTTGCTTCAATTGGGCAACCTAAGCGCAAAAAGAAGACGGCAACTCAGTCTGCTCTACTGAAACCAAAAGCAGAGAGAACGTTAGATCAGGCAACTCTGGTCAACCAATTCAAGACAGGTCCAGTTGAGGTTCCAGCGGAAAAAGATTCGCCAGAAAAAGTTGCTGCAAGACTCGGCGTTCTCAGTGCTCTGGCATCTTTGCCAACCGCAAATGTCACAATAGAAATTGGAACACTATCGTTCTTGACTAGTTTCTTGATGGCGTTTGGCATTGCTGATGGGGACGAGGAGGTGAAAGGTATTTCTCGGAACTCACTTCGTGATGTCATTGCGACATTTGGTGCCTCAGATGAAGCAATTGCGTTTCTATTGCCAAGTTTGGATGAGATTTTGAAAACAGGAAATGCTAACACTACATCTCTTGATAAACTACCTCTGGACCGACTACCGAGTGGCGGACCCGCATCAGATCGTAGAAAAGAGGGAGCTGTTGTTGCTCTTGGGTCTGTTGCAATCCACATGAAGGGACCGGACAATGCAAGCAAGATCGACGCGACGATCGATATGCTTCTACAATCCTTGAAAACACCCAACGAAGGAGTACAGACCAGTGTCGCTGATGCTTTGACAAAGCTGATGAAGAAGGGCAATACGCAAAGCAGGGTTGAAACCATATTGGACGACTTGGTCAAGGATTGTTTGGAAGGTGATAGTTCCGATACTCGCAGAGGAGCAGCGTATGGAATCGCTGCTGCAGTTAAGGGAAGCGGAATTGCATCTCTCAAGAAATACAATATTGTTTCACGGCTTGAAGAAGCCTGTTCATCTGGAAGCGCAACAAACAAAGAGGGTTCTCTCTTTGCAATCGAGAAGCTTTGCACTCGTCTGGGACTGTTGTTTGAGCCCTATGTGATTGTTCTTTTGCCTTCTCTTTTGAAGTCATTCAGTGACAACAGTGATTTTGTACGAAAAGCTGCTTCGCATACAGTTGGCACAATCATGAGCAAGTTATCTGCTCACGGAGTGAAGCTTGTAATGCCTGCTGTCCTCACCGCATTTAATGACAGTGCTTGGAGGACGAAGCAGGCATCAATCCACATGCTTGGATCCATGTGTCACTTGGCACCCAAACAACTCGCTTCTGCTCTACCAAACGTTGTGCCCAGGTTGATCGAGGCTTTCGCTGATACTCATCCAAAGGTTAAGGGTTCTGCGGAGGAGGCACTCGATGAAATCAGCACAGTTATTCGAAATCCTGAGATCTCATCCATTAGCAGCATACTGCTGAAGGCTCTTACTGACCCTTCAGATGGTACATTGAGCGCTCTCGAGGCATTGATTGAGACCGAATTCCTTCATGCCATTGATGCACCAAGTCTTGCATTGATTGTTCCTATCCTGCATCGTGGATTGCGGGATCGAACTGCTACAACTAAGCGTTATGGGGCTTTGATCACTGGAAACATTTGTACGATGATTAATGATCCTCGAGATTTTATTCCGTACTTGCCAACCTTGGTGCCGGATTTGCAAGCCATTCTGTTGGATCCTATTCCTGACGTCAGAAGCATATCCGCAAAGGCTTTTGGATCGCTCACGCGCGGGCTTGGAGAAGACACACTTACAGGCCTACGCCCATGGCTTCTGGAAAAATTGCAAGCAGAAGATGTTAGCCCAGCAGAGCGAAGTGGTGCTGCCCAAGGTCTCACTGAAGTTCTTATTGCGTCAGGAACAGAGGTCGTTGAAAGTGTCGTGCTGGATGATATCCTTCCTCTGCAAAGTCACCCATCCGCTTGCACTCGAGAAGGTGTTCTGTGGATGCTAACTTTCCTTCCTCCTGCGCTTGGACAGAACTTCACTTCGTTGTTGGATGATTGCCTACCAACTCTTATCAGCGGACTTTCTGACGAAAGTGAACAAGTACGAGAGATTGGAATGCGCGCTGGTCGTGTAATGATTCGAAGTCATGGTCGAGTGCACTTCAGAAAGATTCTCCCAATTCTGTCAAATGGAATGACAGATTTGGACTATCGAATCCGTCTTTCTTCATTGATGTTGCTTGGAGATCTCCTTAGTCTGATTGGAGGAACTACCGTTCTAAGAACTGATGGTGATACTCAAGACGACATTCGAAAGGCCGAGAGAGCTCAAGCTCAGCTTACGCTTACACTTGGTATTGAGACAAGGAATAAAGTTCTTGGTGATGTATACTTGGCAAGAAACGATTCCGCGATCGCTGTTCGCCAAACGGCCATTCAAGTTTGGAAGACTGTGGTCAGTGTAACCGGCCGAATCCTTAAGCAAATCCTGCCAGTCTTGGTCAGCCGGGTTGTTTCAGATCTTGCAAGTGGTGATGCTGAGAAAACAGAGACGGCAGGAAAATGTCTCGGTGACATTGTCGCCAAACTTGGAGATTCTGTCCTACCGCAAATCATTCCAGTCCTTCGCAACTCTCTAGATGAAGGGGACACCTTCACTCGTCGAGGAGTGTGCGTTGGTCTTTCGGAGGTTATCAGATCGTCTACCAAGGATCAAATTCTTCGATTCCTTGACATCATTGTCAAGGCTGTTCAAGATGCTATTTGCGATGACGATGAAGGAGTTCGAGAAATGGCAGCTTCAAGCTTCCAGAATCTGTATGTTCTAGTTGGCAGTCGAGCGATGGACGAAGTTGTTCCATCGTTGATTGTTGCACTCGAAAGTAATGACGACGATGAAGAACGACGAGTCCGGGCATTGAATGGTCTCACAGGCATTCTCAGCATCAGGAGCAAGGAAATCTTGCCTTATATCATTCCACGTTTGATCGAAAAACCAATCACATCAAACCATGCACGTGCATTGGCTAGTGTCGCGTCTGTGACTGGAGATACAATCTACTACCATTTCAAGACTATTATCCCTTCACTTATCCTCGATCTGGCAGATCTCTCAGATGGAGATGCTGATCGCGAGAATGAGGTCAGGACATCTGCTCGTGCATTATGTGGGAACTCCGTTGAGAGTGGGGTGAACTGGTTGATTGGTGAAATCGTTACCAAGTGTTCTAGCGACAAGGCGGCCATTAGAAGGGAGTGCTGCTGGATGCTTGGAGTGGTCATTGAAGAACGTAAGTACAGTGCTTTCTCCCCATCACTTTGTATTCTCGTATGAGGAGGACAATAGTTACAACTCTATGCGTTCGTAAGAACGAAGTGAGAGTGTTCTACTAATGAGATTTCTGTCTGACGAGAATATCATCGTGGATTGGTCCTGCTTGCTTCCCCTCCCACCGTATCTAAATCTTGTTTTATTTTCAAACAGGCGCTGATCGCAAGGACTTTTATGAGCAGATTCCTATCATCCTTCGAGAGCTTGTTGCCCGTTTGAATGACGATAATGCAGAGGTTCTGAAGGTCGTGCAGAAAACCTTCTCTGCCCTTTCGAAACAGGTTGCAGCTGAAGAATTGGTCAACCATGTCGAATTCATGCGAAACCAAATCGCCAGTCTTGTCAGTGATGCCAGAAGACGTAAAGGAGGTGTCGGAGACGGAGAATTCCTTCTTCCAGGTTTCAATATTCCAAAAGGTGCGTTTGAGTTCAAACGATTGTGCGAACGGAACAATGTGATGAACACTTTTAGTATTTCCCCGACCTACATTATGGGGGTTTACGATTAGTCTTTCTGATTGATGCTCAGGATCACGAATTTTGCCAATTATTCTCGCGTTCGATTGCTTACATGTGAATTATCTTTGTTGATTGCAGGATTGGAACCACTTCTTCCAATTTTCCAACGAGGTATTCTGTACGGTACTCCGTCTGTTCGAGAGGCTTCGGCAGCTGGTTTGGGTGAGGTGATCTCTCTCACCGCCACAAAGTTCCTGGCCGGTCCATTGATCATCAAAATGACTGGACCACTGCTACGTATTGTGGGCGACCGCAATCCATCAAATGTCAAGATCGCGATTCTAAAGACTTTGGGATTGATTCTGAACAAAGGAGGGCCTGCACTGCGAGCCTTTGTTCCTCAATTCCAGACCACGTTTGTTAAGGCTCTTGCCGATCCATCGCGGCAAGTCCGTATGGAAGCAATTGGTGCTCTTGGTTTGTTGATGCCACTATCTACCCGTGTCGATCCATTGCTCAAGGAACTTGTCGCTGGGTCCTTGGGTAAGAGCAGCAACTCGGATGCTGTTGGTGTTGTTGCCGTGCAAGCCGCAACCCTCGAAGCATTGGCCGTTGTTCTTCGTAAGGGAGGAAAGAAAGCCAAACTTCCAGACAGCATCTCATCCGCTCTTCAAGCAAGTCAAGAGCTCATTGAACACACCGAAGAGACTGTCCGCGATGCTGCTGCCAAGGTTTTTGGAGTGGCTTGCGAAAATCTCGGCGCAGAAACGACTACGGAGGTGGTTCGCGATAGTCTACTTGGCGACGCGGAATCTGGTGATGTTCGTCATGGAAAGGTCTGTGCCATTCGGCGCGTCCTTTCCGAGCCCGTTGGAGCCAAGCTGGATGGTGGTATCCAAGGTAAACTCAAGAATCAGGTGCTAGAATATATGAAGGATGACAAGGCCACTGTACGAAATGCCGGTTGCATTGCCATTGGAGCGGTTATTGCCCGTTCTCCCGATTCAAGTGCTACCTTGGAAGAAATCAAGCCCGAATTGCTTGCCATCATGGGCAATTCCAAGGAGAAATTGGAGACCCACCAAGCCATTGCTGGTGGTTTGTGTTTGGCCCTCGTCTTGTCGGAAGCCGAAAACAAGATTGACTTTTTTGGCCTCGATCTGGTGAATGCCAGTTTGAAATTGGCAATGAGTGGAGCCCAACGAGTCCAATTCGCCTTTAATGATGTCCTTTACCTTGCCTTGAACGTGGCTCAGGGTCAAGAAGGTTTGGATTACTTTTCTTCCATCGCCATGTTTGAAAGCACGAAGCAGATGAAGAGTGTTTACTCTAAGGTTTTGCTCAAGATCAAAGAAGTGACTGTCCTTGATAACTAAACATGTAAATAGATGAATTTTTAAATTGAAGTATGGTGCTCATGCCTATTAATACCCTGAAGATATCCTTCATGATCTCACGTTTCATTTGCTCGATTTGGAGAATGGTTGTCCACCATGTAATACCATCGCATCTCGCAGTAACGAAGGCGCTGACTGCGAGGTGTTCTACAGTAGCAAACAAGTTTTTGTGTACAATCAGGTTTTTTCCTAATATATTTATTTGGCCAACATCTGGTGTATCGATAAAAATCTAATTGGTAAGATTGGAAGCATAACTGACTTTTGTTTTGGTATCTTGCGCCAGAGCCTTTCCGTAACCGGATCGATATTCGTTTCCACTGGTAGCAGGATCCTTGGGAGTATTGGGTCGTGCCCATTCCAATTTAAGGATCAAGTGATCGTAACCAAAGCCTTGTAGCTTCTCCATGGCCTGAGCGGCATCTTGCTTGTTGACAAACGAGACAAAGGCAAAACCTCTCGACTGCAAAGTTTCCTTGTCCTTAGCCAAGTACACACGAGAGATACGTCCAAAAGGCTTGAATAGATCCTGCAGATCAGCCTCTGTAGTATTCTCAGAAATGTTGGTGACACGGATCGTGTTGACATCATCCGTTCGTCGTTCCGGCTTGACACCAGCTGCCAATCCTCTAGCCGAAGGAGGCACGTATTTACCACCAGCAGCAGGATTGGCTGCAGCACCACCAATTCCCACTTGAGTCCATCCAGGTTGAGCACCGCCTTCAGCATCACCGACATCGTACTTGCGTTCAAGTTGACGTCTTTGTTGTTTGGCCCAAAACTCGTTCAAGTTTCCAGCAATGGCAGTGGTTGCGTCTTCCTCTTGGAGATCAGTGTCCGCATTGGGGTCTTCCAAAAAGACATCCTCCTTACTGATAATAGTAGCACGTTGTCCACCTTCCGCATTCTCATCCTTGATGGCATCTCCAAACTTGGTCCATTTTCGCCTGATGGCTACGGCCTTGGATTCGCGAACTTTTTGGGAAGTAACCCGGATTTTCGTGACCGTTTTCAACAATTGCTTGGGGTTGGCCGGGTGTTGACGATAGGAAGTGACAATTTGAATGCCCTTGCTGTCAACGCGAGACTTGTGAGTGGGAGGGATAACCAATCCACCCGCTGTGGTCGTCGGTTGTTGCTGTGTTACTTCTGTTTCCTCATCGGAATCATCGAGAACGTCTCCCCACCGTTGCGCCATGATTTTCTATTTTGTGTGTGAGGGGATGGGTTGTGCGGTAAAGATGGACCGTCTTGCTGTCGCTGCGTTTTGAACTCCACGTTTGGGGGATTTGACGTCCAGGTTTCAATGACAACGGGGTCAAAACGATCCCAAAAATGAAAACTGTTCGGAAGGCGCTGAAACAGTTCCAACGGCAATGCAGGATTTTGGAAGTTGTTAGATTCTCACGCTAACTACAATATCCAACGGTTCGATTAAAACTGAAACTAACAAGGTCACGATGAGATTTTGGAGCGAACCTACCGGCAAAGATGCCTTTACCCTGTCATGGATTAGTTGTTTCATAACCCTAGCCGCTGCCATTGTGGGACTTACCTTTTACAATGTACGTTTTAATAAAATAATAGAGGAAGGACAAGGGGCAATGCCAAATGAGAATGATTACATGGAACGCTTTTTATGCATGACCGGACAATGACTGGGATTGCAGTGGCCTCAGCATGGATTGATTGCTCACAATCCACCTTTCTTCTCCTTCCACACTTTTAGACTGCTGGATCCCAATTATGTTTGGTCTTTGGCTTGGAGAATTGCGTCGATCTCTTTAGTTCGGTGGTGGTTGTCTGGCGTTTCTTCATTCCTGGAGATCTGACTCCAGAGCTGGCAGAACACTTGGAAAAGCGCGAAGAACGTGCCAGCATGGCTATTTCATTTATTCTCGTCTTGCTAGGTGTCTTTGTCATGGGTGGGGCCTTGGATGCATTGCTCAATGGATCCGAAGATGAAACGGACATGTCTTTGGTGTTGGCCATTTCCTTCATTAGCATTTTTGTCTTTGGATTGATGACGGCCTTCAAGTTTCAATATTCCAAAAAGCTGGATTCTCCTTCTCTGCACAAGGATGGACTTTGCTCCTTGTTGGGAACCATCTTGTCAACCGCCTTGTTTGTCAATACCTTGATTATTGAAAGTTTCCCCGCTACCTGGTACTTGGATCCTGTCGTTTCCCTTTTATGTGGACTTGCGGCTGCCGTGTTGGGAATCCAAGCGATCTATTTGGCCAAGAAATCGGGACTTCCTGTTTTTTCGGCCCAATGGTGGATGTTATCGCAAGGTTCTGGCACCAAGGAAACAGAACTAGAGGACACGAAAAATCCCAACAGCTTGTCAGGTGTTGTTTAGAAAAAGATATTGGGAATTTTAGAATTTTAATTTCAATGTGGAAGTTGCTTTGTTTGTAAATACTATTTCGTGTGTCATGTTCAATTAGGCCATGTTGTTCGTCAGGTTTCCGTTCTGTTAGTTAACTTGAGCCTTATCCATGCGTTCTTGGGTCAATTTTCGTTTGTTTTCGGATATCCTTTAACGCTTCACTCATATCAGACGGTCCCGTGGGCTGTGATGCACCTTTGGGATTACTGCTGCTGGTGGGATTAGGAGGAGGGTTGAGACTATTGGGAGGCGTGCTGCCAACAGTGGCGGCAAAGGAATCCAAGGCGGCAAAGGGATCATCATTATCGGCCGCTATGGCTGTTTGCGGGGAAAGGGGACCAAATCTTGCTACGGTTGTAGACGCCGATAATAGGGAGGATTGCAAAAAGATACGTCGATCACCAGAGATTGAGTTGTTGTCGGTGTCCGTTATACGTGGCTTGGTATTCCATGGTTTTGGTGTCACCCCCCATCCATGGACAAAGGAAAGAAGGCAGGCAGCCAGGATGAGCCCGGTCAAAAGACTGGACGACGGTCGGGATGATGCCATCGTGATCCCTCAGTTGCGAAATTGAAGAAAAGTAAAATCGAAAAGATTCCATCAACTTTTTTCGTCTGTCATTTGATCCTCCGTCAACAGAAGAGTAGCAGGTTGGTGGCACAATATTGGTAACTGGTACTTCGTACAAGGAAGAGGAAGCTACAGTAAGGGGAAGAAGAGTCATGATGTCATCATTGTCTATTTATTAGTTACATTTCAGAAATATAAAAGCAGGGTGCGTGCTATCCTAGTAGTGTATTTAGGCAACCTTGGCGGCCTCCTTGGCGTCAGAAGTGCTACTGGTGGTATCCAGAAAGCTCTTGACAACCTTGGCGTGTTCGTATCCATAGGTCACACAATCGGGAAAGGCCACTCCTGATCGGTAGTTACCGCAGACCCACAGTCCAGGAAGCTTGGATTCGGCCTTTTCTAATTCGCCTAATAATTCCAAATGGCCCAATTCGTATTGTGGAATAGCAGTAGGCCATAGCTTCATGCCCAAGACCTTTGGTGGTGGAGCATCGTCCTTCAACAATACTTGACGGCATCCCTTGTCAACTTCGGCAATCACTTCTTCTTCTGATAGATCCTTGATTCCGACATCTCGAGATCCACCAATGTAATTCAGAAGCAAGTTGTAGTCCTTGGGTGCTCGACCGGGGAATAGTGAGGAAGACCACAAAGTACCGAGCGTTCGGACACCTTCAGTGCGAGGATTCAAACTTCCAAAGCCAGGTAGGTCTTGCAAATTGCCAAATCCATTGTCCAGTTCGACATCTTTGAAGGCTGATTTGGGGTAAGCAACGGTGACGGCAGCAACAGGAGGGTGGTAGATTCCAATACGGTCAACCTCCTTGCGAATCTTTTGGAAAATGTCCTTGCTCTCGGGCATGATGGGGGCTAATACATCGGCCAGGGCGTGGGCGGGAGCGGTGGAGACAAGCGTCTTGGCATTGACAGTTTTCTTGCCGTCTGGTGTTTCAAAGGTAGCTGTGTATCCCTCGCCTGATTTAGATCTTTCAATCTTGGTCACCTTCCATTCTAGCCTTATTCTGTCTTTGAGGTTCTTTTCGATTGCATTTGGTAGAGTGGAGAGTCCCTCCTTAAAAGATCCAGGGTTTCCATATTCAAACTCGGGCCATTCGGGGTTTGGAGGATCAGCTTTCCGTTCCTTGGTGAGTTCGACTTGTCGCTTCAATCCACCGTAGAAGATGGCACCAAACTTGTTCCAGTCAATAGAATAAGCAATTCGCTCGATACGATTAATTTTGGGAAGGGCGGCCTGCATTGAAAGAGTTTCAGGGTTTCCAGCGTAGACACCCGATACAAAGGGATCAATACATCTCAAAAAGACTTCTTCTCCAAGAATACGAGTGACCCATTCACGAATGGTTTCTTCCTTGCCTTCCGGTGGAGGAGCATGACCCAGAAAGGCACCAATTCCAGCACGGATGCGGCCGGGCCAAGACAAAAGATCTCCGACGAGGGCAAATTTCAAAACACCATTCCGTCCAAACACTAGTTCCAATTGTCCCTTTGGCCCCTTTCCACCAAGGCCCTTTGGCAAGGGATGCAACTTTCCATTGTGGTTGACCCATGGAGGTAAAGACTCGTCAGCAAAGACAAGTTGATCTTCAATTCCCAATTCGCATGCAATTCGAACAATACTGGGTTGAGTGGCATAGGAATTTGGTCCTTCTTCCCAAATGAAACCATCTTCGGTCTTGTGCGACTTTACATTTCCACCCAAATAATCACGGGCTTCCGCCAAGAGGATGTTGGCTCCAGATCGGTCCAAATTGTGTGCCAAAGTACTTCCAGAAATTCCACCTCCAATAACCAAGCAGTCGACTTCTTCTGCTTTGGCATTCAATGAAAGCGTTCGTTGGGTTTGAATCTTTGTGGGCACAAAGGCTGAAGCATCGTCCACGCAGATTGTAGCACTGACCAGTGCCAGGAGAAGGGAAGAACCGTAGTGTTTCATGGTAGTGATGAAACAAGAAGATGGAATGCAACGACTTTGATGTTCGTCGATGATCTAATGGAATCAAAATTTGCGTTGCCAGGTGGAAGGATTGATTCGATCTCACTTCAACTTGAAAACACTACAGAAGTACCTGCGACGAAAAGAGTTGATGAGCGCATTGCAATGATTTTATTTTAGCTACAGTGCAATATTGTGAAAGTTTCTACAGTCGTCCGCCTTTTCCGGCCAAGTCATGCTGCACAGGTGGCGGTAATCTTGAGTGATCTGCATGAGTTTTTCGTGTGACGCGTGTGAGTGAGCTCGCATTGTTTGCATCCCTGCAGACGTGATCGTCACGGCTCTGATCCACGTAGTAATTCAAAATTCTAGAGGAAGCGGGGTTGGAGGCTTCAATCACGTGATCGTCCGAATTTCTTGCTTCTTGCAAGTGATTCTTGACGTCAATGGCAAGCTTCTTGCCGAGCTCTACACCCCATTGGTCGAACGAGTTAATGTCCCAAATGAAGCCTTGCACGGCCGTTCGGTGTTCGTAGATGGCCAATAGTTGACCTGCTGCATACGCCGTTAGCTTGGGTAAGAGCAATGACATACTTGGTCGATTTCCCTTGAAAACTCGGTGTGGGATATCTTCTTCGGAAATACCTTCTGCACGGACTTCGTCGGCAGTCTTGCCATTCGCAAGCGCATCTGGCTGGGCAAAAAAGTTGGCCATTAGTTCGTCATGAGAACTAAAGCTCTCGCCATCAAGACACAGATCGTGTTGCGACTGGCAGAATCCGATAAAGTCACATGGAACAGGTTGTCCCATGTGTAACAGCTGAAAGAAGGAATGTTGGCCATTTGTTCCTGGCTCACCGAAATCGATCTCTCCCACATTGTAGTTTGCTTCTACTCCAAATTTTGTCATGGTTTTACCATTGGATTCCATATCCAATTGTTGAATATGCGACGGCAACTTGAGTAGGGCTTCAGCATACGGCAGCGTTGTCCTCGTCTTGTAATTCAGAAACGAATGATTCCAGACACCCAGCATTCCCATGATCATGGGAATATTCTCGCGGAAGGGCGCGGTGGCAAAGTGCTTGTCAATCGATTGAGCTCCCTATTATTGATGAGATTCCATCCTAACGTGTTAAAAGATATTCATGATGGACATTCAGCAAAACAACACCAATGGCTTGCTTACCTTGAGGAATTTCTCAAACAGATTGAAGCCGTACAGTAGACTGATTGGAAGAGCACCAGCAGCACTGCAAACACTGTATCTTCCACCAACCCAATCCCAGAATCGAAAGAAGTACTTGTCCGTATCAATGCCAAAGTCCTTGACCTTTTCCGTCGCTGACGTCGAGGCGCAAGCGACAATGTGTTTTCGTACAACTTCTTTGTCATTGCCCATGAAGTCCCACAACCATTGGCGCATCGTTCTTGCATTCAGCATGGTTTCAGCGGTTGTAAAAGTCTTGGAAACAATGACAATAAGAGTCTCTTCTGGATCCAAGTCAGCACAAGTCCTCTCGACGTCGACAGGATCCACATTGGCCAGGAAGCGAAGATCGTAGCCCAAGGCCGAGTTGATTCCTTCTGGCTCAGTCTTCAGCACCTCGTGCAAAAATTCTGGTCCCAGATATGACCCACCAATACCAACAGAAATGATATTTCGTAACCGCTTGCCAGTGTAGCCACGGATTGATCCACTTCGGACACCTTCCGTGAACGTCTTGATCTGATCAAGTACTTCATGAACTTCTTCAACGACATTCTTGCCATCAACATAGACTTTTTCGGTTCGATCCGCTCGCAAAGCAGTGTGCAACACGGCTCGCTTTTCAGTAAAGTTGATCTTTTCTCCCGTCATCATGGCTTTGATCTTTTGGGTCAATTCTTGCTTTTCCGCAAGATCCTCTAGCAGATCCAAGGTTTCCAGCGTTGCTCGTTGCCTTGAAAAGTCGAGGTATACACCATCATGTTCAGCATACATGGCTCCTGATCTTTCAGAATCTTGTAATAAGTCTCGCAGGTGAATCTCGTCAATCTCTTCCTTGTGCTCATCCAATATTTTCCATTCATCTGTGTTGGAAACCAAATACTTTGTAGGATCGCCGTTTGCTTTCATTCTCGATAAATGCCCATGGACAAACTGGGTCGTTGCTCGGTGATGGTGCTCCCACCCAACACCGGGATTGGAAAGTCTTGGAGGTAGATGGATCTGAGGAACCTTTAGATTCTTACCACCACCTTCTTCGGCTGCTAATGACGAGAGTAGTTCCTCTTCAGCATAATTCAACTCTCCTTCATGTACAAAACTAGGAGCTTCCGATGGGATATCGGTGCTATGAGAGGACTCTCGGTTCTCAATTTCCTCAACCTTGGCGGATCTTGGTGCTGATGACTGTCGTGGAGGAGCCATCTGCAATCTGGTAGGAAGTGGGTGTTTTATCAGGTGTTGTCGTCGGTCTAACCGAAAGAGGCCAGCTGGAGACCATGCTTCAGTGGAAGCAACAATGATGCTGCAGACGACAGCTGTGACAGCAATAGTGTCAGTATGTATTCTCATTTTCTGATGTATGCTCTGATATTCGATGCTGTTTGAAGCAATGCGGATGTAGCTTCAGCAAAGGAATCGGGTGCTTTCTCAGTGCTTGAGGGACCCAGCAAATTGCAAAATCGGAGGAGGATTGGGGATGGCGTAAAATATATAGACAAACGTATGTGCAATCAGTTGACAGGAATGTGTCGTGGGACTGCCAAAAGTTTGGTTTTTCAGTGCTCTTTGAGTAATCGTAGGATAGATGAGTTCAATTTCAGCTTCATCAAATAAATGAAAGTTAGTGTGAACTCTGAACCAAATTTGGGAATTGTGATGATGCTTTCCCAGCTTCTAGTAGAAGCAGATGGCAATTGAATTTTGTCACACACACCGTTTGTTGAATTTACATCTTTTGTTTTTCAAAAGAACAACCCACCATCCAGTACATGAAGTACGTGGACTTTTACGGCCATCGGCACGACCCGCCCTGACGTCATCTGTGATCAACGAACTCGAATGAGTCACATTTTAAGTGCTACTTCCGACGATGATAAGATGATACGAAGGAAGCGTTCATTCATTCGTGGCAACAGATAAGAATGAAAGTAATCACTTCACATTATCAGTTTTCCATGACAGTCTTGCAGCTTGGAATGAAATTAGTCAAGATAGATTACTTTTCAATATCACTAATGTTGCTAAGATCTAAGACAAAGATTCCCCAACATCGAATCTTAGCTTCAACACACGCCTGCAGGACCGCGCCAATTACATTGCACGTAGACTGTACGAGTCTGAGGAGTCGTGACATACCTTTACTGGTACCGTTATCTCACACCAATGACAATGATAATTCGGCCCGTTCCTACTACCGGTACCTGGTACCGGTATCACTCTGTACCGGTACCCGGTACTAGAGGAAGACAACAGCTAGCGAAGCATGATGTAATAATAAAACAGTATCTCTATATTTTCATGGTTTTTAAGAATCACCTACATCTCCATAGTCTTTCATTGTAGATCCTTCCTTCCTTCTTTCTTTCCCGCCCTATACCCGTTTTCCACTTTGTGCCCACATCTTCAAAAAGTTGTATCGGGCCTTCATTTTGAAGTAAATCTCTTTTGTGGTTTGTAGCGCTGTTTGATTGCGCATAATATCAGATTCTTCATAAGGGTCCATGGTTCGATGAAATAGTTGCTCGTATTTGTGCTCTGGCCAGTAAATGTACTTCCATTCCTTGGTGACCAATGCAAAACTAGCATCGATCCAATTGGTTCCCTGATGACCTTCTCCAGTGATGGGATGTCCGCGATTGTATTCGTAAAAGAAATCCTTACGCCAATTGGGCTTCGATTTCAGGTACAAATCAGCAATGTTACGACCTTGCATGAAACTACTCGCCTTGATGTTTGCAGCTCCCATTAATGTGGGGGCAAGGTCGATATTCAGTGTGAACTTGTCGCTAGTCGTACCGTGTTTGCTCTTGGACATTCTCGGATCTTGAATGATTAGTGGTACTCGAATGGACTCTTCAAAAGGATACCACTTTTCTGCCAAACCATGCTCTCTGTAAACGGGACAGCGTGAACAGAATGGTCATTTGGACGGGGTGCGAAGGGGTGAGAACAATTTTTTGTCAGCCATTTGCAATGATTTTATCCAGCGCGTAGTGTAGCATGCCAAACGATACAGACGCGATCATAACTTACCCGTGTAGGTTACCATTGTCCGTGGTAAAGATCAATATCGTGTTTTCGTATACTCCTTGTTTCTTCAACTCTTCGATTACTTCACCGACAACAACGTCGACCTCGGTTGCCATTCGATACAAGTCCTTTATACTCTCCTGATAGTAAGCAGGTTCAAATCGCTTTCGCCATCGATTTCGTCCCTCGTTGCGGTTCGTGAAGAATGGTGGCAACTTCTTAAAGTCTTCTTCTGTGTTTGTCTTGGGCATTGGAACAGTAACGTCATTGTACCACGACTTGGACTCATTTTGTGGCTGGTAACTCGGATATTTTCCATCCCAGGCGTGACTGTATCAGAAAATGAACAAACAAGTGTCAATGGGGGGTGTTGCTCGTTGCATTGATTCACTCTCAAACCTTCAACGGAACAATACTCACGTGGCAAAAAACGAAACCTTCAGCACAAACTTTTTGTCTTTTGGTCGCTTCTGCAAGAAATTCAAAGCATCTTCTCGGTTCAAGTCAGTGACATGCCGCGTTTGACCATTTCGACTTTCCCAATGTCTTCCATAGTACATGAGATGATGATCAAACGCCATATTAATGTTCTTAGCGACGTGAGGACCGTGCCACTTTCCTACTAATCCAGTATAGTATCCTTTCTGCCGAAGCATCGGAAACACCGTTTCGTTCCAAGGGTGCAAATCAAAGATATTATTCGTCTTCCAAGGTTCTGTTTGACGATGCCGGGCAGAATAAACCCCAGTCATCAGCGTTGCCCTTGAAATCCAGCACACTGATGTCGTAACACAATTTTGCGTAAACATCATTCCATTATCTGCCATCTTGTCAATGTTTGGAGTCTTTACAAGAGGATTTAACTTTCCAACCACTTTCTGAGTCCAGTCGTCGGCATAAAATAGCACAACATTTAGCGGTTCATCGGGTTCTCGCGGCTCTTCTGCTTCAGGCTCATCAGTCATGACTCTGCGCCTCTGTTGATCTGCTGATTTCGAGGGTATAGATGATTCTAGATATTGTTTGGCATATTGAGATGTCGCATCTGCTTGAAGGGAGTCGAAAACAGTTTTCTGGAAATTGGCGTGACTTCCGCTGCCCACCCGACCAACCGCAAAGAATGAAAGCGGCAGAATACAGAAGAGGACAAAATTTAATGCATATTTTTTAGCTGATGTCTCACGGCTCGATGAGTTGGAAGAAAAGTTGTCCATGTCAGAACGATGGCTGTTTGCATCATTGTGGGTGGCATTTTGGACGACGACTCAAAGCAATCGATGCAGTCCAGCATTGTTTGATGTCTGTCCGCGGTCCGCCCGTTTGTAGTTGGGTTTGCAAAGATCACAGATCACTACAGGACCTGCCTGGTACACTGTACGTGTGGTGTAAGTTTCATGTTATTTGTACAGATTGAACGCAACAATTTACGAGACTTGTGAATTCTACACTCAAGCAAACACTGTAAACTGAATCCCTCAAGTCTCTGTCACAAAAGCCAAGCAGCCAGCACAATCATCATGGATTGACTTGCTGTTAGCTACTGCATTATTACACGAGAAATTATCTCGAGACCTCCTAACATCTTTCTTTTCCAATTCGTTGAACCCCATTTTTAGGGCAACTGCTCCGCTGACAAGATATGACCATGCTATCACATTCCTTGCTGTGATGATTGAACTGTTCCCTTCTTGTTGTTGTTGTTCGCTTTGAACATGGCCGAACTGTTTTGGCCAGCCGGCAAAGACACTTAGTCCACTTCCGAATACGTAACATGTGCTACTGAGTTGTTAGATTGCCTACTGAACTGTATTGGTGATGAGGTGTACCTAGTACTGGACATGAGAAGCTCAAACTCCTACTGTACTGTATTTTTCACTGGTTTGTCGGTGGGTTTGGGAAACTCTAGAGTCCATAATTGCAGTCAGCAATTGACAAAACTTTTATTAAATATTCGTTTGTTTTAAAAAATATATATAAATTCATTCCTAAACAAAGCATGGCGAAAAATTATCGTATTTATGGAAAAAGTGACCAACGCCCGATGATCACGTTTTACTCGGGATACAGTCCGATTAACAACAAAATGTGGTTCCATTCAGCTCTCATGTGTTTCACAATGGCAATAATCCACACAAACATATCGATGCCACCAACTGAACGTCATAATAAGACAGCGATGGTCCCAATTCATGGCGATCATGAGATGTTGCACAATATACATAAAGCACCTTTTCCGGCATCAACTGAACCGGATGATGTAATGGTTCCATTCTTCATAGACGATGCGGTATTTCGCAATGTAAACGAATCAAAGAAACCCGTACCAACAGAGAAAACGAATGGTCCTGGAATGAAACATAGGAATATGCTTCCTCCAGATTTTACTCCATGTGAATTCGACATCATTTGTTCTCGTTCGAAAGACGCAAAGAATCATACAGGGAACGAAGTTTTCCAGAATATTATCAAGAATACGGCACCAAAGTACGCAACTGTAGAGGGAAAGCTTTCGAAATCAATAATCGTGAGTCAGATAGTCGATGCCATTCGCCGACGAAGTTCCACTGGAAGGGGATTTGTGAAACTGATCGGAGGACAATGGTATGAGCTTGGGGAGTTGGGTTCAAGGGAAAAGGTTAGTCAATCACTTCGCGACCTCCTTCATGGCCAATATCGATCAAGTGGTAAATCAAAAAGAAAAATGAAGAACGAAATGATCTTCAGGATGATGTCAGATTTAGAAGCATTTGTTGATTCTAACCAGTTCATTTCGACTCGCATCGAGGCAATGCAAGAAACCGTCCAAAACTTTGGTGATAGTCTCAGCGATGACCAACTTTTGTTGATGATGACAACGATGAATTGTGAACTGTTGAACCAACTCAAGGTGGACCCTGAGGTTCAAAGGCGGTTTGGTCATATGCAGAAACAATCGTCATCACAACCACCAACAATGTCATGCAGCGATAGAAAAACTAGTTTTTGAGTAGCAGCTTTGAACTTAGCATACATCAGATTAGTGTGTTGAAAATCATCTTTCTATAATGCAAAGCGCGTTTATTTGTCTTTTTTGACTTCCACAGAATCCTCGTGTTCGATCTTCTTCTCTTCCTTTGGTTTTCTAATGACAGTTGCACCATCTACAACAGTTCCCTCGACACTGATCTCCGTATCTGCACCCAAGAAGTCCTGTGAATTCAGTGATACTGTAAAGCGATACTTTCCTGGCACCACTGGAGCCAAAAATTGAATCTTCACTCGTCCCGTCTTTTGAGTGATATTCTGGACAATCATAGGCCACGCGGTCTGTAATCGCTCAGAGTATGTTGCCTTTTCGAACTTTTCCAAATCGCTCTTGGAAACTTCACCCAAGAGACCATCAGTTTTCAAGTCAAGTGTAGAAGCGTCAATGTCACCGTCGAGGCGTTCTGCTCGAACCAGGAACCACCATCCCTCTCGGTATGACTGCAATGCCAGTTGTGGTGGGATACCTTGCTTTTGTAACATAGCTACCTTTTGCTTAGTGAATTGCTCGGCGTGAATTCGTGTGACATCCAAGCCAAGCGTCAAAGTATCACCCGTCGCCAGTTCGTTCTCGCCAGGACATTCAATGGATTGATTCTCAATTTCCAATCGTGGTAAACACTTGTATTGCTTTTCCATCATCTTGTCAAACCACTCTACATCCCCTGGTGGTGCGCATCCGATCTTGAACAAACTTACAGCTTGTACCACAGTCTTGCAAAGTTCATAGTTTCGACACGCAACAGCAGTTCGGAGGGCAGCTTCCAAGAGCATGGCACAACGTTGACGGAACTCTGCACTACCCTTAAAGTAAGTCTGATCAATGAGTTGTTTGCCTCCTGCTTCCACTACAATTTTCGAAGTAAGTGAGTAGGTGTGTGAGTTGTCAGTCTATCAGTCACACGGCAAAGAAAAACGGCATCACTCCAATAAGAACTTACACAATTCAGGGTGAGTGTTGAGCATCATGGAGTTGATGCGACCCATCATCATACAGATATTCCTTCGAAGACCTCGGTGCTCAAGCGCTGAAACCATCTTGCCATTGTAGTCAAATTTTTCGCCACCCAAAAATCTCAGGTCTTTTGGAGGCCAAGCACCGTTGGATCCAAGAGTTTTTTCCACCCACAGTTGTCCAATAACGCCATCATCAATACCTTCGAGCAAGATCTTCGCCTTTCCGGTAGCCTTGTTAAGTTGTTCAAGGTCTTTTTTCTTCTGTTCCTCAGCCTTCTTTTCAAGTTCTAGCTTGCGCTTCGACTCGTCATCCATGTCATCCTCGTCGGCCCAACCTTCATCATCAAAGTCGAACAGGTTGTCTTTCGCAGTTGATTTTATATCGGTTTTCTCGTTTACTTTTTCCTCTTCGTCTTGAGCAATTCTATCTGCTCTAGCTTTCTCTTTGGCTTCGTGATGTTTCGTCCCATACTTGATGGAGTCAGGGCAGCTGGCAACAGCCAACAACACATCCATGTGCGTGGAATTTGGACCCAATCGACTGGCAAGGTAATTAATGTCCTTCAGAGAGACTGTGTTTGTGGCCATGGTTTCATCAATTTCCACAGTCGGCTTCTTTTTCTTGTTCAGAACAAAAGCATAGTAGTAATACGCTCCGGCGGCAATTACGAACAAAAGTATTCCAAACGCCATAGAAGGCATTGATTTGACGTCTTCAGGAATTTCGTCAAGAGTTTCGTCAAGGATGACTTGAGGATCTTCCATGAGAACTTCTTCTGACATTTTATTTAGTTGCGAAGGTACCTATACAGTGTGCTCTTGCAATATAAAATCTTTGCAATCACACCGCAACGACCAAACTTTGATTCCTTTTCGTTTTGGTTCTTTTCCGGTTTTCTTCCACGAGGAACTGAAAAGTTCAACCATCACACATCAAATCCGGGTTTGTAGAACACATTCCACGTGCACTTTCGACTCACTCGATGAACTTTTGAAATTGAAAATGTCCTCCCGCCCTTCCGGTTTTATCGCACGAATGACGGACAAATTAACGTTTTCGCGAATGACGCACCACCGGAAGGAGAAAAATCTGACGAAACAAGAAAGTGATGTGTTTAGAACCAACGAAAAAAATTCCTTGAATCTGACACAACTGCAAGGTATCTATCCTTCACCTCTTTTTTTCATCTCTTTCATCAAGAAAGAAGTTATTTCGAACTGGCAATCATGAACGCTTTGTTTACCATTGCGTTGCTTTTGCTCTCCAATGTGGCCACTGCTTTTGTTCCACAATCGGCCACTTTTGGCGTAAATGCCCGCCCTTTTTCTATGGCGACTGTTGAAGAAGCACCAACAGCTGTTGGAGATGGAATCAAAGTTGAGAATCTCCGTAACATTGCGGGTAAGATGAAGTCGGTTCTTTCGTTGTTATCTTCATTGTCGAGTACTGAAGACTAACATTTGCATTGACCTGCTTTCTTTTCTTTTTCTTCTTCTTTCTCAGTGATTGCTCACGTCGACCACGGAAAGACAACTTTGGTCGATGCCTTGATCCGCCAATCCGGAGTCTTCCGTGATGCCGCGCAAGCTAACGAGGCTGGAGAACGTGTCATGGACAGTGAAGATCAAGAAAGAGAACGTGGTATCACTATTCTTTCCAAGAATCTTGCTGTGCAACGTGGCGACGTCAAGATTAACATCATGGACACCCCAGGTCACGCTGACTTTGGCGGAGAAGTCGAACGTGTATTGAACATGTGTGATGGTGTCTTGTTGCTTGTTGATAGTGTGGAGGGACCCAAGCCACAAACTAGATTCGTGTTGGACAAGGCCCTACGAAAAGGAATGAAGGCCTTGGTCGTCGTCAACAAGGTTGACCGACCTGCCGCCCGTGTCGAATACGTCGTCGATACCGTCTTTGATCTTTTTGTTGATCTTGGAGCTACCGATGAACAAACCGACTTCCGTGTCGTATATGCTTCTGGCCTCCTTGGAAAGGCTGGATTTGAAGCTGATGAACTTGCTGACGATATGGGACCTTTGTTCGATGCTATCATTGAAAGCATTGACCCCCCAACCGTCCAAAATACTGAAGATAGTAGCCTTCAGTGCTTGATCAGTAACATTGACTACGACAACTTCAAGGGAAAGATGGGTATCGCTCGTATCAGCAACGGAAAAATTAAGGCCGGCCAACCTGTCGCTCTTGCCCACCCCGACAAGGAAAAGAAGACTGGACGCATCGGCGACCTTTACGTTTTCGACAACCTTGGTAAGAGACAAGTCACTGAAGCTTCTGCTGGAGAGATTATCATGTTTTCCGGATTGGATGGAGTTGAAATTGGTGATACTTTGGTGACCAACGAGGCCGGTGGTGCCAACGCTGCCGAACCTATGGAACCCATTGCCGTCGAACAGCCTACTGTCCGTATGACTCTAGGTGTCAACAAGTCCCCTCTTGCTGGACGCGAAGGAAAGTTCTTGACGAGTCGTATGATCCGTGACCGCCTTTTCAAGGAGTTGGACCGCAACGTCGCTCTTCGCGTCGAGGAGACCGAATCTGCTGACAGATATGAAGTTTCTGGACGTGGTCAATTGCACTTGACTGTCCTCATTGAGACCATGAGACGTGAAGGATTCGAACTTGAGGTTGGTCCTCCTACCGTTATTTTCATGGAAAATGAAGAAACCGGAAAGATGGAAGAACCTTGGGAATCTGTCGAGGTTCGTGTCCCAGAGGAGTACATGGGGTCTGTTATTGACCTTTTGAACGGACGTAAGGGTGAACTCCAAGACATGGGATTGGAAGAAGGTGAAGGTCTTTCAGTTGTCAAGTACCTTGTGCCCACCCGTGGTATGCTTGGTATTCGATCCTCCTTGCTTTCCTCTACCCGTGGTACTGCCTTGATTGACAGTGTCTTCGATTCATATCGCCCAAAGATTCAAGGTGAAATTCAAGGGCGTGATAAGGGATCTCTTCTTGCATTTGCTGACGGTACTGCCACCACTTTCGGTATTGAAGGTGCCCAAAATCGTGGAAGTATGTTTGTCAAAGTTAGTGACGACGTCTACAAGGGAATGATGTGAGTTTTATTTTGTTGTTTCGCCTTGAACCCTTCTTAATGTGAATCTGATATAATTTTCTCTTTTTCAGTGTCGGAATCCACCAACGTCCTGGAGACTTGGAGGTCAATATCTGCAAGACCAAGGCGTTGAATAACATGCGAGCTGCAACCAAGGAAATGAAGACTGGTGTCATTGCCCCTATCGACATGAGTCTTGATTCTTGTGTCGAGTACATTGCTGCCGACGAAATTTTGGAAGTTACCCCCAGTTTGTTCCGCATGGCCAAGAACCCTGATATGCAGAAGAAGGGAGGAAACAAGAAGAAATAAGTGAATTTCACAATGTACGAAATATAATGTCTACTAGTAAATACGCAACTTTTACAACTTTTGGAAATGTGGTAGGAGCGATGTATAGTGTATGAAAGTGCCCCCCATGTCTCGTCTACGCTTGGTCCACAGATTGATGCTGGGATCCATACTGTACGAGATGACAGCTGCTCGTTTCCAATGAGTTATCTCCCTCCCTCGGCGACTGTGTCTTTTGTAATATATGTCTTTCACGTATCAAAACCAAACTAAGATTAGTAGTCCTACTGGGCAATTGAATATGGAAATTGTTGAAAAAGCTAGTGCTATTAAAAATTATCGTACTTAATGTTTGCAAAGCAACACTCTCAAAGTGTAACAGGTTGGCGTCACGAGCCGCCAACCTTCAGTAGACAATCATTTAGTTCTTTTTCTTACCCTTCAGCTTTCCTTTTTCTCCCTTGGTCAATTCTGGTGGACCCCTGACAAATGGCAAAAAGTCCTTGCCTCCCATGTATGGACGAAGAGGTTCAGGAACCACAACTCCCTCAGGAGTTTGGTGTGTCTCCAAAAGACAGCAGATACCTCTTCCAGTGGCGCAAAGTGTGGCATTCAGCATGTGGCAGAAAGAAGCACGTGCAGTCATGTCACCCTTGGCGCCTCCCTTTTGTCCGCATCGTACTCCAACTCCACGGGCTTGGTAATCAGTACAGTTGGAGCAACTGACCAGTTCACGGTAGGCTTGTTGACCAGGGAACCAGGCTTCCAAATCGTACTTTTTAACGGCAGCGTCATTCAGTTCGTGTGAGACCAAACAGACAACACGGTAAGAGAATCCAAGAGATTCGTAAAATTCCTTGGCGGCTTGAAGCATGCGCTTTTGTTCCGCTTGAGATTCTTCCAGGTCATCGATTGTCAAGCAGAATTGTTCAACCTTTTCAAATTGATGCACTCGGAAAATTCCGCGAATATCCTTTCCAGAAGATCCAGCCTCCTTACGGAAACAAGTAGAGATACCAGCATATCGGATTGGAAGATCCTTCTTTTCAATCCACTCGTCCTTATGGTAGGCGCAAATGGGTTGTTCGGAAGTGGCAATCAAATACTTTTCGGTAGCGCCATCTGGATCATCAGTCTTTCCAGAAACCTTGTACAATTGTTCATCAAAATCTTCCAATTGTGCAATGCTGGACATGACATCCTTGTTCATGAAAAAGGGAGGCTGCAAGACATTGTATCCTCGGGCTCCCAAAAAGGAGATACTATAGTTGATGATAGCTTGATTCAGCAAAACACCGGCATTAGTCAAAAAGTAAGCCCGGTGTCCAGCAACTTGTTGACCCCTTTGAGGTTCGTATCCTCCAATACGCCACAATAGTTCATCGTGTGTCATGGGCTTGGTAGCCGGCAAGGTGTATTCCAAAGATCCTTGAGAAGCGGGAAGAATGCCTTCTCCTTCTGGTGGAGTGGGATGCAAGGTGATAACTAGGTTGTCCTTGTCTTCATCATCAGAAATAGGAACTTCTGGATCGACAATGTTGCCAATGCGGTTCAACAATTGATCTCTCTCAGCGGCAATGCCTGGCAACAAGGCTTCTTTATCCTTGATTTGCACAACAATTCCCTTCATTTCAGCGACTTCTTCATCGCAATTTTCCTTGGCCTTCTTTTTGGGAGTAATCTTCTCCTTCTGGATCCAATTCTTCTTCTTTTTGAGTTCATCCACCTCGTTGACCAAGTTGCGCCACTCTTCGTCCTTGGCAACGACTTCATCGACCCATTCAGCAGGCTTGAAGCGCTGTTCCATGTACTTGCGGTATTTGGCGGGGTCTCCACCCTTGTAGTCACGAAGTTCGTTAATATCGATCGGCATTTTGAATGAATTGCTTGAATATATATATCTTGTTGTCACTCGTTCAAGATTGTGGCATTATCATGCGGATCGGATGCCATCGATGCCGCGCGAAACCTGCGGCTTCGAGGAGGGTCTCAACCATTGCAATCGAACGATTCCACTTTAGATTCATTGGACTACATACATGCAAACAATGGTCTGATGAATCAATCAAGGAAAATCGTGACGTCACATATACATGCAGTGTGACAAAATCGTTCTGACCAGAAATGCCAACGCACACATTCGAACATCAGCATACATCACCCATCACGCAACAGAACTCGTTCTCAAAAGACGTCTCACTCATTCATACCGTACTACTTTCACAACCTCTACATTGTAATAATGCGTGTATCCACAGTCTTGTCCCTAACGCTTCTAACAGCAACATCAGCTACTACCAATGCCTTTAGTAGCAACAGCAACGGTCGAGCCATTCGCCCGCTGCATCTGAGCGATTATGCCATGGAGTCCTCCGTGGACTACAGTTTGCAACAACAACAACAACAACAACAACAACGCCGGGAAGATCGCATCACGCTATTACCACCGCGACGGGAAATGTCCAAATTGGAAATTGAATTCCGGGACATGCTGGAAGCAATGATTTTTACCGACAGTGACATGACGGCGATTACGGATTCGAGACTCCGAGCACTCTACGAAGGCGTTGCTGCTAGTTACCACGAACCTTCTGTTTATCGCGCCTTTGAAGTCTTGTACGAAGATTTTGCGCCACTTCGAGTAGCTGGAAGAGTGGTTCATCAAAAGTTGACGAGCATCATGAAGGAAAGTCTAGAATACAAGATCGCCCAATTGGAAGCGGTGCAGAAATTCAAATCATTCTCCTTTGACGAAATCGAATCATTATGGTCAGTGTTCACTCAATTAACCAATGGACGGGAATTATCCGTTGAAGATGCGAAGAGATGTCTTGGAACGGAATTAGATGAACTGATAGACTCCAAAGGATTGACCTTTGAGGGATTGCTCTTTTTGTACAAAGACTTGCCGTATGAAGCCATTGTTGACAAGTTGCAAGCAGCTTTGCCCGCCGAATCAACAACTACAATAGACGAGTTGGATGACAAGAGACGGAGATACAGTCAACGATACGACGAAATGTTGGTTCAGTTTGCCGTGTGGAAAGACTTCATTCCGGACGGTGAAGGCCGACGACTAGACATTCTTCGAGGTTGCTTTGTTGGGTCGGAAAACCCAAAGGTGGTGGAAGCACTGAAAATCATTTACGTCGATTACGCAGCCTTGAGAATGTCGGGGAATTGGATTTTTAAGCTGGTATCAGCGCTCATGAGTCGGGCGACGAGGCAACAACAACAACAACCACAACAGCGGCAAGGAAGATGGTTTAGATAGATTTGTAAAATGGTACATCTAGAAATTAGAATTGATAAAAGAATCCTCATCTGCTGCTTCTTTGCTTTTACGTTACAATCGCTGCCGAGTGCTCAAACATATTCTTTTGTCACCAGTCTACAACACAAATCGGGTGGAAAATAGTTGAAATAATTATTTAGTAAATGTTTGTTCTTTTTAATTAATAGTAGTCTTGAACAATGATTTGCCGTGAACTTGCTCGTTCTGCCAATACCTGTTGTCGGACTGCATGACCAGACCAGACTTCTCGAAGGTGATCATAACGTTCCATGTCCAAGTTCAGTGGGCGACCACGATACTGTGGTGTTTCACCATGGCTATCGACATACGGACTGTGGATATAAGCCGCCTTGGAATTGTGCATAATTAGACCAGCACATTCTTGAAGGAGAAAGAACAATCCCGTGCCTGCCCCACACTTGAAGGAGTGTTTGGTGCATTCGCCCTTTCCTCCAGCGTTGAGAACCTCGCCACAAATCAAGCAAACAGCTGTTTGTTCACTGTCCGGCAATAGTCGGCCGAGTTCGGCGTACAAATCAGTATAAGACGTTGGTATCATTGCGATTCTGGGTCGTCCATTTGCCTTTGCAGGAAAACCAGCGCGATATCCACCAAGGAGAGCTACACTCTTCTTCGAGCTGAATGTAACTAGTGGCAACGCAACTCGGCGCTGCAATTCTGATGACGAAGCGAAGACGCTCATGGGCTCAATTTCATCAAGATCCATTGGTGCTGTTCCATCATCTTCTGGCTCCAAGGGATGTGCACCGCGTTTCTTGCTATTATTCTCCCCTTGGTTCAAAGGAGTCTTCGATTTCTTGTGGTGGCCACTTGGCTCCATTGGCCAGTCAAATACTCGGAACCCTTGAGTGCGATTTAGTCTACTACATATTGACGACTTGCCACCAAATCCAGACTTGCTGTCACTCGCAATCATTGCTCTCTTCTCATGATGACGCGCTGTTTCATACCAATTCGAGAGCACTTCACCAATAGTAGTGGCCTCAAGCATCTCGTGGACTGGTTCCATTTGAAAGCTATTACGAAGCTTTTCGAAAGTTTCTAACGCACTGTCACTCTCACTGGAGTCGCTGGTCATTGACATGTCTTGACTGTCGTACCTGGACATAATGTCTGGTATCAGAATTTGCATGATTACTCCAACATCCGCCAAGTAGGAACAAGCAGCAGCTGCAGCGAGGAAGCAGCCTTCATTCAAACGGTCAAAAATTGCTTTCTCAACATGTGGTTGTTCTGGAACAACCTCGTGATTCGAATGCTTTGACAATGCCATCTCGAGCATGGTAATGCAACACAATTTCCATCTTCCTTCGACAGATGTAAAGTTTGCAAATTCAGAATTACGCAGCTTGCTCAGACTCTTGACCACAAGGAATTCTGTTTCTAGTCCAGGAATATTGTCTAGTCCTTGCATGTCAAGCTTGCCCAGCAACACCTGCAGCATTCTCGCCAACAACCCCAACTTTACAAATCCTTCTGCATCTGACATGACGGAGTAAGATTCAGAAGCATCAGTTGCATTGTCAGGGGAAAGAAAGCTTCCATCCCTAGAGAAAGGGACGGGCCAGATCAAATCTAAGGAATCGCTTCTTGCGCGATCTCTACCATTTGTTGCACAAATAGCTACCACGACATGTGTCAAGACGTTGCCAAAAAGAAGCGGGTATACGACCGGTGCACGGAATGGCGAATCGGGGGCAGTTGTAACAGCATTTTCTCCATCGGATGATGTCAGTGGCAAAGCTAAAGCGAGCTGGATGAGATCTGCTGCAAGCGGACCGGTAGCAGCCATAACTGCTAAGCCAAGATATCTCAAGCGCCCCAGTCTCCCAGTGAATGGCTGAGCTCCATCGTCAGCAGACGGTGAAGGCTTTGGCATCATAACCAGCTTCCCGTCGCAAATGATGCCATCGATACCGAACTTCGAAAGCACAGGAGCTAGACCATTGTCATCAGCAGAAGCTCCTGCGGTATTGCCTGATAATCGTGTCGTCTTGCGTACCAATCGTCGAGCTTCAGAAGCTTCGCAGCAGCAACTGTATGTGAAAGCCTGAATCGACATCATAAGCTTCGATAATAGTTTTTCTCTTGAAAGTTCTTGACGTTGGATGTCAGACAAAGCTGATGGAAATACACAAGATGGCCACTGTATCACACGATACGGGTTAGCGACAAGCAGGGGACGGCCAAATACGTACAAAAAAGTACTTACATCAGACGCCTCTTTTCCTGCGAATCGTTTCGCCATGTTGTAGGAGTACTTCTCTACAATGTAGTGTCGGAACTCTCCAAAATCATTATGCAGGCTCTCGTCACCTAGTCGCTTGCCATCGGCTCTATATGTGATGTCGCTAACTTGATCCATGAACCTCCTCCACACTACAGTTTCTCCGGCCGACTCGCTTGACGAAAACAATTGACTAGTTGCAAGATCATTCCCAAGATGGCTCTCTAGCGCGTTCGACTCTCCTCCCCGTGATTTCAATTTGCGCCTTACGAAACGCGGCGTCTTCATCATGGCATTCCAAGCAGCGTACAAGTCCTTCTTCCGAAGTGGTCGTACACTCTTCCTTCGCGAAAGTTTTGGTGGGACAACTGCAGCGGACTCGGTTGTTGCTTCCTCTGTTTCAGTTGGTCTATTGACAAATGCACACTGGCCATCCCAAAGAGTGTTTTTGTTGCGTCGACTGACCCACCAAGGAGTAGAATTCAAAAATTCATTCAAAGTGGCAGGCTTTGTGGATGCCATGTCTTCTTGAGATTGATCATCGCTCTTCATATTGGAAGAGTTAGCTGAAGTTGATTCCGAAGTGCATGGCTTGCAAGTAATCCAATCAGCGCCGACATCGATGAAGGGAACCAAAGAGTTACTCAATCGTTGGCACAATGGACACCGGAATTCGTCTCGCTTTCCGAAAGTCCTATCTTCTCTGTTTGAAACAGTTGCCAAATACGATTCTAGGCACTCGCTGTGAATCGCATGGCCGCATAATGCTACATGAGCCCCAACAAATCGTCGCACAGGAGCCTCCACGTGATATTCGCTTGTCGATGCTGGCCCACCACCCTTCATGACTGTACTCGCCTGGCTATAGCCCACAAAAGCAAGCGCATTCCCTCCATCTGATCTTCGTTTTCGGCTCTTGCGATGCCTATCCTCAGTCTGATCACGTGTTTGCATTTCCACACCGCTATCATCACTGCAAATAATACATCGAGGTCTGACAGAGAGAAGTCTTGGAGAAATAGCTGCTGCTTTTTCAGGGCTTCGCTGTTGTGCATCTGGTGTGAGGGGATGATGCGAAGAATCTTCATTTGCTGAAGTCGCACTTGAAACAGAACTCTGACCTGACTCAAACATTCCAGCACTATCAGAATTTTCCGATCTCGCGATAGACAATTCGGCAGATTTGGGAGTTTCAGTCTCATCCTCGTTTCCAAACTCAGTATCCATCATGGATACAAACTTCGCCGCTTGCGCCTTCATCCTTTCCATTGCTTTTTCTTTTGCCATTCGCCTGCGTCTTTGGATGTCGGTTTCGCCTGTTTCGACTTCACTGCTGCTATTGACAGCAGATTGGCTCGCACGAACGAACTTTCGAGCGTCGTCATTGTGCTGTGCTGCAAACTCGCACAACCACGCAGCCCCTGCCCGCACAGCACGATCCTGCGCCACAAAATTTCCAGCAAATCCTCCATCAACAGCCAATCTTCGCAATAGTACTAGACAGTTGTCTTCTCCTTCGTACCATTCATTATCTGTAAGAGCTTTCGGGGATGTTAGCATAACAGCAGAGACCCAATTTTTTGCAGTCGGAGCTGCATCATTGTCAGCCCAGTTGGCAAACAGACTACCAACAGATCCTCCTCCGCGTTTTCGCCATGCAGGGTCATTTTCTTTGGCATCCTTCCAAGCGAAAGCACCAAGAGTGAGCAAATGCACAGCACGAGTGAGGGCTGTTTCGCTTCTCTCGTCGCTTTCATATCCCATCGAACCACTGAGTCCCAATTCCTCCTTCTCTTTGTCAGGCTTTCGGCAGTGCAAATGCAAAGTGCGATAAGCTGTCGATATCGTAATGGCATCACATGAGATATCTCTGCGCAGTCTGACAAACGACTTGTGCGCTGGTGCTGGGATTGGGCAGAATGCCTTGGGACTGATTCCATAGTTCGGATTTTGGCCATTTGGAGTGGGCCTAGATTCTGCCGCTGTCTGATGCGATCGCAAGCTGATGTGAAAGAAGCTGGGATCATAACAATGCCAGACATTTTTCTTCAATACCCATTTGTCTGGCTCCATCTTCCCTTTTGCACTCTTCCTTGTCGCAACGTCCGCCAAGACAGCTCCCAAGGCGGCGCCAGTGGCATCATCGGGGTTGACTTGCTTCCCTTCTTCTCCCAGATAAAAGTTGTCCCAGTGACTCAGGACGTGGTGGACTTCTGCGAGCTCGCTATGCATCTTAGGGCCAGAAGCCAGCCTGTGAATAACTTCTCGGCGTAGGCGTTCCTTGGCTTGCTCAGTGTGTTCCCTCTTTGTTGACGGTGGCTCTGCGGGGAGTTCCACACAAAACACAATCATGGCATGTAGGAATTCTTCTAAAAGCAACAACTGCGATGAAACATCACGCGATGAAGCATACGTCCAAGGGAGTACTGGTTTGTCACCTTCCGATTCTTCCTTGACCTCGGAATCGTACAATCCTTTTCCAACTTCCTCCAAATATCGATTCACATTGGACTCTGCACCGTTTCGCAAACCACAAAACTGGAAGATTCCAAGACGGTGGAGCAACAAATGAACCATGAAGCAAACGCCAATATCAGAATCTGGTCTCGTCTCTGCCGATTGATGTCGTGCACGTCCAAGCATTGCAAACTGCACCAGCAACAAATCAGCATCTCTCATGGCCCGGCAGAACGGTGGTTCAGCATAGTTCAGAACTTGATCATTCAGACCGTTTCCATTCCGTCGCCACAATCCAGCCCGCACCTGCGCGGATCTTGATAGGACCAAAAGAGGAAATTCCATCAGTCCAAGGAAGAGATTGTCTTTGTTATTCACAAACATGTCTCTCGAAAGCTTTAGCATCAAATCATCCATGGCATCCTCCCTTAGACAGATTTCACGCAAGCACGCAGCAACAAACCGCTGCAACGGCAAGTGGAAGGAAAATGGAGTCTTCTGTGACATTGGAAGCGCACGAAACGCAAGAGCAGATCCATTCTTTTCCGATAAGGTGGAAAAGGGTAAACTAGCAGGTTTGCGATCGTGAGATTCCACCGTGGACCTTGTTGGTTTGTATGCGTACATTTCCACAGTTTGCCATTTTCCAATACCATACTCCAATACATGATATGTCAAGTCCACACATGACAACAGATTTTTGCAGAGTGGCGACTCGGCGTCGTCAATCGGAGATGGATCGTCATCCTTCCAAGACAAAAGGCGCTCAAACAACGATCCCAAACTAATGCTCCCATTGAAAGCACCCACCCAGCCTCGCACTTCCAGCTCCACGTGTCCTTGATTGTAGTCTCTCCATACTTGTTCGTCCATCATTTGTCCAATACTCAAAGTTTCAATCCAGTCTCGTAGAAAGCTACCAATTTTCGAAGCGAATAACCGAGGCATGCCCTTGACATTAAGGACACACTTCAAATCACTAATACACGGAGAGTACCGTCGATGAGTCATGACAAAGTGGTTGGGATTAAGTTTGGGTGGCGGTTTGGTCGCCAATTTGAGGGTCTCCAATAAGCTCGCTCCCAGCTTGCCCAATAAATCTCGCCTTTGTACCAAATCCACAACATAGGTTACTCGATTCAAGAATTGCACCGACAGGGCATAGCCACTGCGTTCCAAGACTCCCATTCCACGTGCATATTCCGCAGTGACGGATTGATAAGTATCGCAGTAGGCTGCCGCCAAGTGAGATTTGAAGGTGGGAACCGCGAGCAAGGTCAAGAGGAGGGAATGCCAATATTTGGTAATCCTGGAACTCAATTTGAAATCAGCAATGAGGAGTGGAACCAAGTGTCGATCCGGTGCGATGGCTTCGGCCACCTGTTGACACAGGGGATCACAGGACCGCGCCAAACACATAAGCCATTGCAAAACTCCTACCGCCCGTTGTTCGGCCTTTAGCTCGTCCAAGGTCAAAATGGAACAAAACAATCCGTGGTCCACCAAGATTTTGGCTTTTCGAAGCATGGTAGAACCGACCAATCCTGAAACGACTCGATCTCCATCCAACCACATTTGAACTTGATTGGTATTGAACTCCGCTAGAATCTCCATGGTTCCCCAGACTACTAATTGTCCAAATTGCCGCAAGGCCTTGACCAATTTGTGCAAAATTGAATCTGTGTACAGCGACGAAGTCCCAAAGAGTTCTCTCAAGGCATCCACCCAGTTCAATGTCGAATGAATATCATCGCTCTTAAGTACCAAGAACATTCCTCCACCCTGCCGTGCTAGTATTCCAAGTTTCTCAGCTTTGGTCAATGGTGGAGCTGGCGTTTGAGCTGTCACCGACAGGGGCTCGGGAGCAGCAGCAAACAAGGCCTTTGGTTCCGTTCGATCCGCCTTGGTTGCTCCCGCCTTGTTCGGTGAAAATGGCATTGCACCACCATTGTGTGGAAATGGTGTCGTCTCGTCCATCGGCGTAGTAGTAGCAATCCCAGCCGTAGGAAGAAACATGACGTCTCCCATGACAATACTGGTATCAGCATCTGTATCCAGAGCCTCTCCATCTTTACCATCATCATCATCATCATCATCTTGTTCATGTGCTCTCGAGTAGCCTTCTTTTGCCGTTTGTGCCACTTGTTGAACCATCCAATCCACCGCTGCTGGGACCACACCCAAGACTCGTTGCATCAAAGCCTCGGAAATTCCATGATTTTGTCCCGATTTGGGACCGTGGTGCGGACAAAATCCTCGTGGATCCCAGGCATCGGGATCTCCACAATCGCAACATCCACCCGCCTGGGCATGATAAAAGGCTACATCGTGACCTTCATGATCGGATTGAATAAAACAATTGTGACATAGTACACAAGTCTCGTCGGCCTGACAAGTCCGACAGACCCATACAATATCGTTTTTCTTGAATGGATGTTGGCAGACCCGCCTTGGAATGGCCTTGCACAAAGCTTCCAAAGTGGCTACTGCTTGGCGCGGCGTCGGATAACTGTCATTGGTAACAATGGTTGTCAAAGCGTTCGTAAGAGGAGACTGCAATAACAATTCGGCCTCTTGTTTTTCCATGCCTTCCAACTCTTCCAGTGCCCGAAACAAGGCATGATGGCCCCGATTGGGTGTCAATAGCGTTGTACCCATGCCTTCTTGTTCATCCAACGGAGGATTTCCCACGACATCGCGGAGATTGACCACCGCAGCAACGGGCGATAAAAAGGAGGATTTATGTTCCAGCAATTGCATGGTCCTCGTATAAGCAGATTTGGATTCCTGGGAGTTTCCCATTGCTGGTTGGTTGGACTCTCCGTCAATCATGGCACAGCTTGCATCATTGCTGTTGCTGGCAAATCCGGCCGGCAGTTGCGGAGCTGGATTGAAATTGGGGTCCATTTTGATGGAATCCAATTATTTTAAAACGTAGAATGAATGTATTTTACGTAAAGCTAGATGTGACGAAAACAAAGAGCCTGAAGCTGAGTATGTGTGTTTTCTGGATGTTTTCCTTTGTCTGAATTTGAATCTGAAGTTGGAATTGGGCAGAAAGGATGACTTTTGCATTCAGAAAGCTGTTTAATTTTGCTAGTGTCTCGCGGTTGTAAAAGCTGCCTTTGGGTGATGAATGAAGCCACCAACTATGATACAGTCACACGTGCTTCGTTTCGGGTTTGTCGCTCGTGTGCAATCATCAGCGTCAGTTGGTTGCAAGGGGGAGGGAGCCTCGTATGTAGGGAAGGCGAGTGAGCTCGATTTTTACTTATGCCCTACGGCAAAACGTACTCGAAGCACCGGTAGGAATGTCTTGGCACGACCTGACATAAGCCCCTCCCCTTTTTTGAAATTCCAGTGAAAATCTTGCTTCGACAATCTTCGATGTATATCTTAGACAGCTCATTTTTTTACTAGCCTGCAAGTATTAATATCTACCTATAAGTTTGAATCCAGTTGGTGCTCGGTTGTCTATTTGGTAATCTTTTCTCCTCTATCATATTGTCGTATTGTCTCCAAAGCACTTGCTCTGATGCTATATCCTACTCGAACCACTTAGTTTCCTGTGGTATGATCCAGCCATGAGCACTGTTTCTTTCCTAACCATTTGCCTTTTGTTCCATCAATTTTCAACTTATGTCTCAATAATGAGATCTACCCCCGTTCGATCGTGGACAAATTTTCTGTAGGAAACCAACCACTCCACGTCTTCTACCACATCCGCTACATCCATGAGTGGCAAACAGTATTCCAATGGCATCAATGCTGTGGAGGGAAACAAAAAGGTGAAAAAGTATCCAGCACTCCAAGCGGTAGCCTTTCGTGCAACATGGTGCATAATCGCCCACAAGACTACCACGGCATACGCATGAATGGCATCACGATGGGTCACGGCAATTCCTGGCAACCAAGCAGCCGCAATGCAGACCAACATGAACCAAAGTGCCACATCCTTGGTCAGAGTTCCCACCAAAGATTTGCGTTCCGATCGGGCGTCCTCTTTGGTCTTGCTGAATTTCAAAAAGAAATATTTCTTGGGATCGGTTTCCACTTGTTCCCGAAAATCCCCATGATAGGTAAAGAATTGCACCACGTCGGTGAAATCGAAGGCATCCGTCAAAAGCCAAATCCACCAACAAATAGCTGCCGCACTCAAGGCGTTAATGGCAAACTCGCCGCCCTTGACTTCTTCCATCCCCCCAATGGCCAAAATTGGCTCCAACAAGGCAGCATTCAAGTAGGCCAAGAAGACTTCTTGAAACAAGACAGCATCGTTCAAGGCAGCCATTTTTAGGGTATGTTCTCCACTCAACATTTTGAGGCGTCTTTCACTGGCCAATCTCAATATAAGAATGGCGGCAATCATGACACCCAGGACGAGGGCTTGCTTTCGAGTGGATTCATTGTCCCAAGATAAGGAGGCTTCTTCAATAATAACAGATTTGCGTTTGAATATTCCCATGGTAGAATTGACTCACTCTAATAGTAGTGGAGTGATAGTAGTGGAGTGATGGATGATGATTTTATGATTCTTCCAAGACAATCAATGAATGAATCAATCAAACAAGATGTTGTTGGATGGAAAGAAGAGATGAGATCCAGATCCAGAAACCCGGAGGTGTCGCCAAAAGTCGACTAATTCGACAGTCGTAGTTAATCCATTGATTCGACTCACCCGAATTGTCGACGAGCGAAAACTATCGAACGAATGATGGAGTCACACACCCCACGTTCCAACGTGACAAACGCGCTGCAAAAGCCAGCGTTATACTATTCAATTCGCTGTGATTCCACCCATTCGCTAACGAGCTATTAGAATAGAGTCAAAACAACAAGAAGAATCGTCCAAAACACACAATGGAAGCTCCACAACCGCAGGAGGAAAGCGAAGCCGAACGGCGTCGAAGAGCTGAGGAGGCAATGGAACAAATGCTATTGGCGCAAGAAGAGGCCGAACAAGAGCTTGGTAATGACGGCGACGACGAAGACAATGGAGATTTTCTCCATGAGGAGGATATGAATGGAGGAGACAATAATAACCAAGAGGAAAATGATGATGATGAGCTTCCATTCCACCGCAATTTGCTGGAAGGAAACGTGGAACGCAAGTCGTCTTTTAGCTACATTCGGACCAGCTTCATGGTGGCCTTTGCATTAGTATATTATGCACTAAGAACGAGACAACAATGGTATTTGGCGCTAGTGTTTTTGGGCTCCAGCAAGTGGGCCTATATCATTTTGGGCAATTTTCTAGTGGCTTCTTTGGTTTGGATCTTTCAAACGTCTGTCAAAGTATTTTTGAATGGTTTGAGACTAGCCGAAGCGGAGGGAATTGGGGATTTCTTTCGGTGGAACATTACGGAAACATGTATTGCATTGACAATGTTTCGGTCCGAACTCAATGTCAAGACCATGATTTTGTTTTTGGTATTGGTGCTGGCCAAGAGTCTTCACTGGGTTGCCGACATGCGAGAGTCGCACCTGCGAATGACCGAAGAAGCAGTGGTGACCAGTTCGAGTGACTGGCCCAAGCTGCAGTGGCAACATTTGAAATTACTAGTCTTTATGGGCAGTTTGCAACTCATGGATATTTTGGCGGTCATTCAGTTTGCTGAAGATATTATTGATAATGGAGCCACGGTCTCGGTACTCTTTGCCTTTGAAGGAGCCATCTTGTTGACTTCGGTGATTTCCAATATTTTGCTGTGGCACGTTCATGCAATGGACGGACTTTTTCACCACTGGCACGAAACAGCCGATTCCCGCTCTTCAAGGCATCACTGGATCCATATCTGGAAGGATCACAAGGCCACCTTGGTCTTTGCTGTTGAAGTACAGGCCCAAGCGGCCAAATTCTTGTTTTATGTTACCTTCTTTGCCATTGTCATGACCAACTATGGGATGCCCATCAACTTGTTCCGCGAGGTCTATGTGTCGTTCCAAGCACTTAAGTCGAGACTTGTTGCCTTTGGAAAGTACCGCCAACTCATGGCCAAGATGAGTACCTTTGAATCGCCCAATCAAGAAGAGATTGATGCGGAACCCATTTGTATTATTTGTCGGGACGAAATGACCATTCACACATCCGTCAAGTTGCCAGGGTGTGGGCACATTTTTCACAAGTCTTGTTTGCGAGAATGGTTGGTACAGCAACAGACTTGCCCGACTTGTCGGTCTGACATTTTTGCCATGGATGCGAGGCAACGGCGACAGCTCAATCTTCAAGATTTGATGCGGGAACAAGAACAACTGCAAGAACAGCTGCATCAGCAACAGCACGAGCACGAGGAGGAAGTCAATGAAGAGGGAAGTATTGTTCCAGAAAATGACAGCAATGCCAGTGGCAGCGATTTCAGTGATGGGGATTCCACTGACGAAACAGAGGATGAATCCATTGTCGAGGAGGAAGCACAAGGTGGCACAATGCACCAATCCAGGTTGTTGGATCGCAATGCATCGCTCCCACGCGGCATCCCAGGAGGTGGAAACGACAGCTCCGCACCGTCAGCAAAAGCCGGAACTCGTGATAAGCGCCAACGAGCAGAACGATCACCATGGGCAGCTGCCGCTGCACAACGAGGATCATCCAATGGGGAAGCGGCGAGTAATCTTCCAGCATCTTCACAATCAGTCTTTCCTGCCTTTTATCGGGTTGTACAAGACGATGGGGCTCCCGTCTATAACGACGATGCTTCGAACTTGGTTTCTCGGGTAGTTCCCTTTGGTGTGGTGCTGCTGGGTCAGGATTTATCCTGGCGATATTGCGATGGAGAAAAGCGACTCATGTTGCGCATGCCCGATGGATGGATCACCGAACAAACAGTCGAACGGATTGTGGCAGTGCCATTGGACGAACGATAGTCTGAACGAAGGCATTGTTTGATACCGTCTTTGGAAAAGTAGAATAACCATTAGAATCTAATATTTCTACTATTAAAATAAAAAAAATACGGTACACGCCTCAATTATGTTCAGTCATGTTCAAAACAGAACTGGAACAAACTGGGTAAATTGACAAAGCAGTACAAACCTCCGATTCATTAGCACCCCACAAGTATCCGACAACATTGTCTAGCAAGACCTCTGCTCCGCGTTGATACCTACAGCTATCTCTATGCCCGTGATCTTTCGCTGAACCTTCATTTCCCGCGATATCCATTCTTGCCTTCCATAGTGAAAGCTCCACAAGCGATGTCATTTCGATCCTCATACAGTGACCCACATACTCCAAGATATCCCTTATCCTTTGGCGTGTAGTCATCGTGCCATGGTCGTTATCGTCGTCACGTTGCATCGCCTGAATACGAAGGGAAACTTCCAATCTCCACTTTCCTTCCAACGTCCAAATACGATCCACCAATCCTTTTTGGAGGAACAGCTGCGTCAAAGGAACAGCTTGATTTGATGTTTGTTTCAATAAGTAGTCCATCATAGTCATCCCATTTTCATCTTGGATTAAAAGAAACTCGGATGGATACCTGTCAAGAAGGCAGTCCATCATGTCCACTCGATCATTTGGCAATGTAGCCACGACATGAAACGGCGTCAAACCAAAAGCATCTTTCAGATACCGGTCTTCCAAGATGTTACTACTACTGCTGCAAGAATCCAAAGCTCGAGCCAAGTCATCAACTGTAGCAAGAGACGAGTTGTAGCATACATCGTGCACTGGCAAGTCTGCAAACCTATCCATAGCGAGTCTCTTTTCAACATCCCCTCGCTCCAAGATGTAACATCCCGAGAACGCAGTGTTATACAAAGCAGTGTACGATTTTGGAATCGAGATTGTTGCTAGAGCAATGCAACCGTTGAAACACCCTTTGCCAAACTTTGCCTTCATACCACTTGGCACCCCCACGCCGATCAGACTGATACAGCTGCAAAAGGCGAACGAATCGATTTCTTCTAGACTCACTGGCAAGGCAAAAGCACTCAATGCTCTGCAATCTTTAAAAGCGGACTTGCCAATATATCGCAATTCTCCCGGAAACCTTACATCCACAAGGGCGCTGCAGCTTCGAAAGGCTTCCGCTTCGATAATCTCAACAGTTTCTGGTATCACTACGGAGCCAAGTGACTTACACCAACAAAAGGTGCTTTTACCAATCAACTTCAGTCCATTGGGAAGATTAATATCCACAAGACTCGTACAGCTTCGAAAGGCCTGGGAACCAATAACCTTTAGTCCTTCTTGTAAATTGACATCCACGAGCTCAAAACATCCACAAAAGGCCATGGTACCAATGCTCTCGACAGTCTTTGGAATATTGACGCTACGCAGCGACTCACATCCGAAAAAGGCATCATTTTCAATCCTCACCAGACCGTGTGGAAGATCTAGCTGGACCAGTGAAGAGCACGTCTGAAAGGATTGCGAACCGATACTATTGAGCAGGCCTTGCGCATTCCATTGAATGTGAGACAAATTTGAACAACCCGAAAAGGCCCACTTGCCAATTTTCTCTATTGTTTTTGACAAAACAAGGCTACAAAGAGATGTACAATTTTGAAAGGCATTGTTTTCAATTCGTTGCACGGAAGGGTCCATCGTAACATGAATCACGTGGCGAGGAATATCCTTTGACGGTTGCCCCAAATAGACAAAAGAGATTGGATCCTCAGTCCCTTCGACTCGTGCATGCCCCTCTTCGGTGCTGAAGTCTTGGTTTTCGCGGCAATAGCCTCCTACATTGCTCATCGTAGGGGCTTTTCTTTGACTACTCGTAATTGCCATCGAAGCCTACCATATAGTATGTCAATTGGATGCATGCATGATGCACAGAAAAAATCTGATCTTCGACTCTTTCGACTCAATTAAAAATGACACGCGGAGGTTTTGATGTTGACAACAACAACAAAAGCCCCAACATTTGCGCCTTGTGTCTTCACATTATTGCCTTGTGTCTCACAATCCTCTTCAAACAGTCTCTGAGGCAATTTGTTCTTAAAAATTACATATTTGGGTGTTCCTGCAATCCACAAAAGCACAAGGCAGCACAACAGCGCTATCAACTCGACAACCATGACATCATGCATCAAGCTCAAACGGAAACGAAGCCATAGAACCAGGAATTCGCATTCATCATCACTCGGATGGTATTGTCTCATCGCTGCGATTGGCTCGCAATCACAATATTACGGCGTACCTTTTGCTAATGCATTGCTGCCAAGGAGGAGGAATCCTTCAACATCATCATCATCATCATTATTATTCAATACCAAGAACGCCTTTGTCAAGCACAAGGAGCGAAATAACTACTTGGAGGGCCTTCGAGGAGGTGGCGACAAGACGAAAAGAGATGAGAAAGACAATGATGTCCTGCAAATGGACGACACGGAATTAGATGCGTATATTGAATTCTTGTTGGCCGCGGACGGGGAGGACTCATCCACAGTTGGGAACCCTTTCAAACGACGACGAAAAACACAAGAACACGTCGTGGAAGAAGCGGTGCAAGAGGAACCGATTAATGATGACGATTCTTTGACTGAATTGTCCGAGAGTGATCAACAGGAAGAAAATATTGAGGAAACTGGGTCAATCCACTCTGAAAATGTGGAGGAAGAAGAAATGGATGCACCAGTTAGCGAGTCTGTCGAGGCAGCAACAATGGAAGTGGCTTCTGTTGCACCCATAGAAAACAGACCAATGCATTCAGAAAGTGTGGAGGAAGAGACTGAGACATCAGGAATAGATGATTCTGTAGAAATGGAACCAGTGGGAGAGAGTTCTTCTGCTGTTGTATCGTCGTCCGATGAAGAAGAGAACGAAGAAATCTTCGAGTCAACGATATCAGATCAACAACAGGAAGAGGGTATATCATCATCCGAGACAGAGGGGGACGAAATAATAGTGTCGGAATTACAAAGCGAAAACAAAGATGATTCGAATCAGGCTACAACAGCAGATCAAGAAGAAAGTTTGGATACACCGATGGTAAAACCAAGTATCGAGCTTAAAGTTCAACAGACTCGAGAAACGGTGGTGACAACTGGGAGATCAGCGTTATGGGGAAAATTGTTCAAGCCCCTGGTGACATTCGAACAGGGTGACGAGGATGATTCGACGGAAGGCGACGAGGAAAGCGTGGAACAAACCCTGGAAGAAGAAGCACCCTCTGAAACAATGGTTCCAAAGGTTACTACTACTGTGACAGATGAAAGCAGCGAAGAAAAAATAGATCTAAGTCCATCACTACGGGATCGATGCCGTGAGCAATGGCAGAAACTAAAATCAAGTATGGGTAGAATAATAGAGCCGAGCAGCTCGGAGAAAGAAGATGTTGATACTACTTTTGATGGACGAGAACCGCAGCGCGACTACTCGAAAATTTATCAGAAATACTACGCAATGAACGACTCCAAGACTGCTGATGAGACTGCAGTCGACAGTAGTGGTGATGAAACTGATGACACGTCCAGCAAAACAGGATCCGGTTGGTTTGCATTCTTTTCCAAAAATTTCCAAAAGGATGAAGACGTTGCCTCGGGTGATGATTCTGAAACCAAACTGAATTTGAGTATAGCACCATCCGATTCCGTGGACACGGAAACAACAACCCCGGAAAATGATGAAATGAGCGATGTCGAAGATGACGAATCAACCGAAATCAACAGGCCAACCTTATCGCTTGACAGGATAGAGGGAGTTTTTCAAGGCGATTTGGACCATACTTCTTCCCAAGAGACGTCAGAACAACTTGATGAGGACCAGTCGCCGGTGTTATCGTTGGAGATACCGAAAGAGAGTGCCCATGACAACAAGGAAGATGCTCCAGACAAGGAGGAGTCACCCGAACAGCAGGATCATGATTCTGTAGTCTTATCGTTGGATATTCCAGTTGTAGAGGATACGGAAGACGTCGAGGATAAAGTTCCAATATTTCAGGCTGAAGAAGAAGCAGAAGGTATAGAGGAATCGACGGTCCTTTCATTAGATATACCCGTTGTGGAGAGTATCAAAGAGGGTGATTACGAATCTCAATTTCAAGATGAAGAAAGAGGAAATGATAGCCGAGTTGTGCTATCGTTGGATATACCAAATGTAGAGCAACCAATGGAAGATAACGACATGCCCTTGTCTAGTGATGCCCATGGTGCCGCTGATCTCTCTTCGGATATTCCTGAGGTGAATGATTCAGAAGACGGCGAGGAAGACTTACCTGTCAAGTCGAAAGACGATCCAACATCAAGAAAAGTGAACAGACTGGCATTGTCACTAGATCAGCCCACAAGAACTGTTGAGATAGTTGATGAAGCTTCAGATCCGAGTGGTGACGAGACCATAGAGTTGGAAGATGATTCAGTTTGTATGGACGAAATGATTTCCACCGATCCTGATACGACAACGCTACTTGATATTGACACTTTGAATGAGAACTTCGATCTCGGCAACTGTGAAGAAGTCTTGTTAACGAACATAACGGAGGGCGCAGAAGATGACGGAAGTCTTGGCGACTTACTCCAACTCGATTCTGAGTCTTTGGAGGACGACATTGATCTCGAGGACATTGATAACGAGGACATTGACGAAGACTTGCACGCCACTTCTTCAAAGCCTGAGACACCGAAGATTGGATTCGTAGACCAGAGTTTGATGACCCTTTACGTTACGTTAGTCGTTTTGGAGGAGATGTTGAAGGTATACATTCTACCTCCTATTGAAGAGCTTCTGGATTGGGTATTGTACGAAAAACCTCCACCCATATTTCGTGAAGACTTCTCCCTCAGAAAGTTCCTTGAGATGAGAGGAGGCGCTGCAAAAGCGACTTCGCTTGGAAGCACAAAAGTGCAACTTGGGGATGAAATCAAAGACGAGCCGAAAGAAGAGGAAAGCGAAGAGGGCACTAATTCCGAAGCTGAGAAGCGTGGCACCAAGACGAACCAAAATGATGCGACGCCCAGTACCACGCACCAGAACATGTCAGTCCCAAAAGTTCGGCCAAATCTCATCTATCGGTACCTTTTGGGATATGGCCGTGCTGGCCATACAATAATCATGGCATCTGTCTTTTCAGTTGAATGGATAGGAACTTATTTGCCAGCATTGACTTTCTTGGTTGCCAGTGTAAAACGTCAAGTTTTTGGAGAAAGTAAGGGCTTTCGCGATGTCGAGGAATCGTTTGCATCACAAACGACAGGGTTCGTTGATGGCACTGGATCCACTGTCCGAGGTGGTAAGAAGAAAAAAGCGCAGACTCAAAAAGATGACCAACAAGCATTGGATCAATTGGATAGACTTGGAGATGCGAGTCAAGCGAGATACTACTTTGTGAGCAATTCGTTTTTGAAACGACACGCAATAGGACCATACTCAAGCGGCACATCAGAAGTCGAATTGGTAGCAGAAGCGCTTGACATTGTTCAAGATGAGGAGGAAAGTGACGAAGATTGGGTTGTCGAAGCTTTGACACGAAAGGAAGCTTCAGCTAGAGAATTGGCAGCTGAATCACCTGTGGAATTTTCAATCAGCAGTAGAGGCTCGGCTTTAAGTGTGGGGGTTGGTTTCGGATTTGGGGAGAAAAGCAAGAAATCAAGGAAACGAGCATCAATATCCGAGGTTTCACTCTCGAGTGCTTCTAGTCGCACGGCGAAATCAAGAAAACCGGCAGGGCAGCGTTCGAGTGATCGGGAAAGCGGCGTTGTCGGCCGAATACGTGCAGCCGGCGCGAATAGTTTGGTTGGACGAAGCATTCTTGGGGCATATCCCGGTGATGTCCCTTCACCGGATGAGGCGGCAGACCCAAACGGGCTTCTTGGACTTGCATCAAAGTATGGGTACGGCGATTGGTCCGACGTAGACTGGTCGGATGCGGATGATACCGATTCTCTTCATCAAAGGAGAGGGAAACCCCGCAGAAAGCGAAAATCAGCATCAGGTTCTGTGCGAAAAGTTAAAGAATCATCATCAGTGGGTTTAGGCTTGGAAAAAATTGTTCGCGAGACTCAATCCTCGAGAACACGGAGAACCAGATCAGCGTCTTCTCGACCAAGAACAAAGGATGAAATGGAACCGGCAGCAACAAAGACAGTCCGAAAGACAAGAATACGACGAAAAAAGCTACCATCGACTAGTACATTGAAGAAGGCCAATGAACAGAAAGAAGCTGTGAAGTCGACAAGAGGAAGCAAGTTATTGACGGCAACGAACAAGGCAACGAGCGGAAGTACTGTGACGGGACCAGCGATTGAATCAATGAAAGAAAGTGCGAAACCGGAAGGAAGTGCGAAACCAGAGCCGTATTCAGAAAGTAGCAAAATGGCAGATGAAGCGCGCAGTAGCACTGAGACTGCACCCAGTACCGTTGTGAAGAGGTCTAACGCTCAAAGCGACATTGTCAATTCGATCGGAGAAAGTAACGTTTTGAAGCCAGGAAGTAGTACCTCTGCAAAAGAAAGCGCTGTTGCAGGGTCAGCAATCAAATCGTTAAATCAAAAGGCGAAATCAAACTCGGATTCTTCGTCTTCCTCGACCGACACACCTGTAAGTGGACTAGCTTTGAGCTCCCTCAAGAAGGGCAGATCTCAAGCCAGCAATTCTGTAGTAGGACCAGCTATTGGTTCCATAAAGGAGAGTGCAACGAGGGCAAAGTCAGGAGTGACTAATTCTGCAATTGACTCACTGAGAAAGAAAGCAAAGGAGAAATCGAAAAGTTCCGTCCTAGACCCAAAGAAACCAGAGGGGCAAACATACGAAGCTAGTGACAACCAAGATACAACATAACTAACAGCTGTAGTCAGGAGTAAAACCAGTTTGCTAAGCATGATGGGCATTGTGTTCATCCGTTCTGCTACTATATAGTACCAGGTACAGTACAGTAGATTATCGTGTTTCTGTATTGATCAATTGATGATGATTCGATTTGCTTGATTAGGAAATGGGCGCGAGGTCGAGCCAAAATGGAAAACACGTAGACCGACGTAAATTAGTACCAGTACCAGGCAAAAGGTCGTACCGATTTCACCCGGCGTTTCTCCAAAACTCACTCCAACACTCCAAAAAAGCAACGATGGGGAAGGCAAGCAAGAAACGTAGGATAGCAGCCCCAGAGGCGCCAGACATAGAAAGAAAAAGGGCCAGACGACCTGTCATTGAAGAGACGGCAAGAATGCTCATCGACTTTCAAGCCAACAAGTCATCACAAAAGCTTTCCCATGAGGAAACTTATGGTGGCTTTGGAGCTGTATTGAAGGAAAAGCAGCGTATATACCCATGGTTGACAATGTCGATGGTGACAGGCAAGAAGACAAGAATCCTTAAACAAGAAGAAAAGAAGGCTGCGGCAACGATGCAGCAACAAGAGCAGCATGCCAAGGAAGGGGGTAGCAAGAAGGGGTCAACCGAGGAGGAAGCGAATAAGGATGTGGCTCAGAAGAAAGCTGAGGCAAAGGTCATGCTCACAGAGCGCTATGCCAAAGCTAAGGCTGCCAGTGCAAAACGTCTACCTAAAGGCACTTATCAAAAGCTACACGATGGTCTATTGGAAGAGCTAGGTCTTCGTGGCATCGGTTTCTCGATTCCAAAGACCACCATCGAGGATCGAGTGCGGAACAAAACAACTGCAACGAACCCAGGGCCTGTTTCGCCAGCAGCTGCAATTGAACCGTACATCCTAACCATTTTACACTATAGCAAAGAGGCTGGAAAATCATTGACAGAACAAGAAATCATTGCTTTTGCCAATTCCTCCATTGAAGGATCAAAAGTTGAAGACTCGCTGAAAGCCTTTCACGCTAGGAATGGAGTTCAGCCAAGACAGTTGCTGGGCAAAAGATGGTACAATGGTTTCATGAAAAGAAACAAAGAAATCTTGAACTCTGGCAAAATTAGCAGTTCGATAACAGGACCAATTATTGCTTACATCATGGCAAACGCAGCGACGATCGAGGCGGGTGCAGCGAATGCAAGATCAGTAGTGACGAATTCTGAAGTTGAGGAAAAATAAACAGAAAGCGAGCAATAAAGACAAAGCGAGCAATCCAAAAGAATCATCCTAGACCAAAGAAACCAAAGGGGCAAATAGACAAAGCTATTGACAACCAAGATACCACATAACGGTTGCAGTCAAACATCAACCACTAGTTTGATAAACACATACATTCACAATTTTGTTGTTACAGTCACGCATTTTTCACATCGCCCAATAGAAGAGGAAATCCCTGTGCATTTCCTTTTATTGTGAAACCCTTTCCCCAGGGGGATTTCACACCCAACTTCTATTTTGGCCTCTATCAGGACTCCGAGCAATAGCAGCTTTCATATCCTGTTGTATCCGCTTCTCTAAAGCAAACCTTCCATCCGATCCCATGGTAGAAGGATCTGATTGTAGGACTCTCACCGCCATTTGCAAGGCTTTTTGTTGCGAGACAACATCACGTCGTTTCAAGTGTACTCGAGACACCTTGAACAACGTGGAAGCTTCTTCGAGCGTACCATGACTGGAGGTTAGTCGATCCATGTGCTCTTTGTAGAATTTCAGTGACATGGCGCTGTTTCCGCTGTCCAGCCACGTTTCCGCAATGGCATCAATGGTGCCAAGTACAGCGGTGTGATCTGGCCCAAGTACCTTTTCTTTTACTTGCAAGGCTTCATTCAGCGCTCTGATGGCATATTCCGTTTCGCCTTGCTTTTGATGCAATGACCCGAGGTTTTGGAGCGTGGTGGCAATTGCAAACAAGGTTGGACCATCGTTTGGATTTTTCAAAAAGTGCGCTTGCTGCGCCTCCAAGGCAGATTCGAACACATCTCGTGCCAATTCAAACTGATGCATCTCCACATGGGCACAGCCAATGTTGTTCTTCACCTTGGCCGTCAATGGATGTCCACCCCCCAGATTTGTTTCTCGGACGGAGAGTGCTTCTCGAAAAATCCAAAGCGCATCTTCCAATCTCTTGAGTTGCAGGAGACAAACGCCAACTTTTACAAGAGACGCTGCAACAAACGGTGAATTCCGACCCTGGATAGTATGCCGGATCCGAGTAGTTTCTTCAAAGGATTGCATCGCCTTGTAGTAAGAATGCATCTTCAAATGGCAAATCCCTAAATTGTACACGGAAGATGCCACATGTTCGTGCACTTCGCTGTTCCACTCACGTTGAATTTCCTCAATTATTTCAAAGAGGTGTAACGCTTCCATGTACTTTTGGCGTCTCATAAAGTTGACTGCGCAATTGTACACGGTTCCCAAGTGCTTCGCGGGATTCTCTAGGACAGCAGGGGTAATCCGATTGTTGTTACCTCCGGGCCAATTTCCGCGAAGAGGTGCGAGTCCAAGCTCTCGTGGGGTTGCTTTGGCATTGGTGGTGACGGTTGGAGGCACTGCCCCATTTCCCCCATCCAATAGCGCCTTTGTCGTATTCAACAAAGCAGATCGATCATTTTGTTTCAGGGTGGAATCCGCCTGGTCCGCAGCAGTTTCGGCAAAGGATATTAATGTTGTCGATTGTCCACTGCTATCCGACTGTAACAAACAACTCTCTTCCGTTTCGATCAAATCCAACTCCTCATCTATTGACATTTCGCTATCATTGGAAGCTCGGGCTATTTTCGGCGGTTCGGCAATTTTGCTCGAAGTGGGCATACCATCAAACGGCGACGCGCCAAACTCTGCTTGTTGCTGTCTTCGAAACTCTTCTTCATCGTTGCTCTCGCTCCCTTCCTTGAATGGATCAAAAGCATCCTTGGCCGCCCGGGACCATGGACTCAAGTCTGCTGTTCTCGTGCTTCTACCGGTAGGTGTATCGGCCGAAAACTTCAAAGGTTGTCCACGCACTGGTGTCTTCGGAGCAACGGTATTGCTCGCCACAATGGGTGTTGAATACTGTGGATACGCCTGTCTTGGTGGTGCCCTTTTTGGTGGTCCCATATTGGGATGATTTGCGGTATTGGGTGGTCCCATATTAGCATGATTTGCGTTGATTGGTGGCCCCACATTGGCATGTTTTGCAGTTGCCGTCGATCTCGTCGATCTCCCACTAGGAGATCGTGATGATTGCGAAGCGGAGCTCGGTGTTGGAGCTCGTACTGGGTCTGCCCTCGGTGGGAGATGATTCGATTTTGCCATTTCGTACAGCGCCCGAACCTGAGCAGTGAGTCCATGTCCCTGCCCCAAGGTTCCCGCTCGAATCTGCAATGCCTCCGCAAACGACCTCTCCGCATCCGTCATGTGGCGTGGGTTGGAGCCATGTTGCCGCACCCATTCCAAACACAACCCTCCAATGTTGCAAAGTGTATCGGCTAACTCCAACATGGCAGCATTAGAAGGTTCTTGTTGCAAAAGTATTCTTTGAATGTCCAGTGCTACAATAAGAGAAACAAGATGTCGATGTGACACACATGTAAACATGAGTACCGATCGCTTCACAATATTAAAAAGGCAATTGCCCATACTCCTTTTTTCTTCTACTGCACGTACCTTGTTGCAGCAAATCTCGCCCCTTTTCAAATTCCTGCGAATGCATATGACAGACACCCAAATTATTGTACAAGTTGGCCACCAACGAATGATTGTGCCCATAGTGCGCCTTGCGTATCCGCAGTGCCTCCATAAAGGTAACTCCTGCATTCTTGTATTGTTGGGTTTGCAACAGCAAAAATCCAATTCTCACTAATGAAACCGCCACATTGGGGTGAGTGGGTCCCAAATCCGGAGCATCCCTCGCCGACCGAGCAGCCGCTTGAAAACACAAAAGTGCTTGTTCCTTGGAATGTTGCTGTTCTTCCCCTGTTTGGAGGGCTGCCCGTTTGGAATGAACGGTCCCCAAATTGTGATAAGCCGAAGCCGTAAGTGCGTGTGACTTGCCATGTTTTGTTAGATACACTTGAAGCACTTGTTGAAAGGCTTCTAACGCCACATCGTATTCTCCTCGTAACACATGCTCCATGGCTGTCGCATGAATTCCTTGAACATTGGCGGTGGGATCTGCAAAGGAGGAATCGTCGACATTGACCGGAGCCGATTTTCGAAAAGAGGGCGTGGAATTGCTGTTGGTGCCCAAGGAAGGCGCTACTGATGTGTTGCCATCGTTGTTGTTGTTGTTCATTGGATGAATGGGCGATGGTGGTTGTTGTCTCGAAGCAGCATCTTCTTGCGAAATTTCAGTAAGATTGTGTTGCATCAATTCCCTCCGTTCTCGTGCCTCGGCGGCATACCCATTGGTTCGATAGTTTTGAGGACGTTGTGGTTGCTGCGGTGAAAATCTGTTCGGAGAGGCCGATGTCAATCCGGAAATTACCGATTGTCCCGCCTTTTTCGATCGGCCCACTTCAATCACTCCATCAAAGACAGAGTCGTCACCGTCACCATCACCACTAAAGTTGCGAACGGGAATGGATGGTTTTCCAGCACTTGTTCGTGTTCGTGTTTGCGTTTGTGATTGTGCTGCTCCTGGACCTGCTTCTTGACCACGACTCCCTGCTGGTTCTGTTTCCCCCTGATAAGCATGTTGTTGTCTGCGTGCCTGGTGACTCCGATCGGTTGGTTTTGGCAATTGGAGCAAATCTGGTGACATGTCGGGTGGTGGATTCACCTCGCCCAAATTGAACCGTTCCGTGGTGGGTTGCGCAGATTCCACAGACTTGTCATCTCCGTACCAATCCGTGGTCGTTTGGTTGCTGTTATTCAATAGAAGTTTGCGTTCATTGGTGTAGGGACCGCTAGCATTTCCAGACCAGTAGTCGGAATTGGAATTGTCGCTTGCAGTGGAACTCTGTGAGCTAACAGCTCTTGCGTTTGGTTGTTTCAAGGGTCGTTTGTGATTGTTGATTCCAGGGATTACTAAACAAGTTTTGCTGGGATCCTCAAAATTCTTATCGGAGTATTGGTAACGGGCTTTTTGCTTGCGTTCATTTTCGAGTTTGACACGAGGGTCTGTGCGACAAATCATGTTCCTCAGTTGCACGTGTTTACTATACTACACTGCTTTGCTTTGTTCTGTTTGGAGTGACTTTATGGCTGTCTTTGAAGAGGAATCAAACAATGGATCTCTCTGTTGGTTCTAGTGTTGTTGTAAGGTGTTCGTTGGGGTGTTGCTCTTTCTAATTGTTGGTGGCTTGGACACTCCTACTGGTGGCATGAATCTCACACCTGTGTTGAAAACCGAGTTGATTGTTTTCCCCTTCCATGGCTCGTCGTTCCATCGCTGAAAGAAAATTATCTCCGGGTCTCTTACCGTACCATTCGTACATTCATTGGAATGTTCCAATCAAAACCCTGACCGCCCGCACCTTCCGCGAAATTTATTTAGAAAGCGTTGGATTGCCCGCGCGGTGGATCGGAAGCGAATGCGAAAGTTGGCTCCGATTACTTGGATTCAAGTTGTTGTTTTGAGACTAAAGAAAAACCACTTTCTTTTGAAACTAAAGAAACCCCACTGACATCTGCTCACAGATCGGCATCTGCTTCAAACAAATGGAAAGAGAACAAGCATCAAATCATCCGATTTTGTTCTTCGGAGAAGAAATTCGAACTGCTGTTGTCAATCGTACAATGAATTGGCACCTTGAGAACACACACTATCCATCAGTTAGCTATCTAGGAACATTCATTATCCATACCATCGATCGATTGATTGATTGATTGATTGATTGATTGATTCAAGAACAGAAAAATCTCACTGTAGCTAAAAGAAAAAGAATGTTAGTGATCCGAGGAAACAAATTGACGCTCTTTCCACTGCGAGATGAAACCCTCGAGTCATTTTGGAGAGATACCGAAGATGTGTTGGCCTCATCTCAATATGGCTTGGAAGTTATCAACGAATTGGAGCTCTCGTGCCTTCACCTCAGTGACAAAATGACTGACAAACTGGGAGAACTCCTACAACAACACGCGTTTACCAAGATTTCGCTACAATCGTGTACGGCGACACCTCCGCTATTGGAATACTTTTTGAAACAAGTTCAATCGTGCTGTCAATTGCAGTGTTTGGAATCCAACGGCACTCTATCCGATTGTTGGTCTCCCTCTAGCATGCAAATACTCGAAGAAATACCGTTGAAAGCCCTACGATTACTCGGGATGTGCTTTCCACAGGTGGGGGATGTGGAAATGACAAACGCCGCCGAAACAGAGCTATCAGAAGTCACGTCGACTCCGAAACAGCCACTCCATGAAGAATTGCAGGAACTAGACCTTACGGGATGTCAGTGGGAACAAATAGAGTCTCTGCTTCCATTTTTGAAATCCTGCACATCACTCCAAAAGGTATCTTTCAAGTGTTGTCGATTGGGGGACGACGACATTGCACAAATCTTGTCCACGCTTGGTTCTCTTGAAAGACTCCGTACGATTGACCTTGGTGTCAATCAGTGCGGTCCGAATGGGATACAGGCTGTGGCTTGTTTACTAGAAGAATCCGTATCATCGTCATCATCATCATTGCAATTTTTGGACTTGTCGTATCAAGTGGTTCCTGGAGGAGTGGCCTTTCATTTTGAGCGATTGGCACAAGCCTTGTTGTCCAACGCCAAATGCTGCAAGACTCCACTCAAAGTTTTGAGGCTTGCCGGCAATCAGATTCGCGATGCCGAGTTGACGTCCTTGGCCATGGCCTTGGAACATTGTCGTCTCGAGCGATTGGATCTTAGTACCAATTGCATTTCAAATCAAGGACTGGGCCTACTGAGTCAAGGATTGGCCCGCAATCAGCACTTGAAGACGCTCAACTTACGGAACAATGATTTTTGTAGCCTCTCCATGTTCAACATTGAGCACAATGTGTCACTTCATCAGGTCCAACACGTTTGTCCTCCCAGCTGTCCCAATAGTCAGTGGGTGGAATATGTCTGCAAGCTGAATCGAGGAGGACGCATTATATTGAAGGCGACAAATGTGCCCCAAGGTCTTTGGCCTACGGTATTGGCAAGATGTTGTCAACAAAACAATAGCGATGCCATGTACTACTTGTTGCAACAAGGACAACATCGGTGAACTGGGGATTGCTTGATTCATTAATGGGAGATTTTGCGCTTTGTATATATAAGATATAATATGTTTGTACTTTTATTTTACTTGATTCTTGTCACTAGTACTTCAAACAATAGCGTAGCGTCCGTCTTGAACAATCTCTCAAATATGCGCTTGCCATCCTTGGTGGTGGGCAGTGGCAACTGATCGGCCTTCTTTGCTGGAAAGACTTGGGTGGAAGGAACTTCAATCCGTCTCAGACCATTTTTGTGCATCCCCATCATGGCTTCTTCCAATCCTGGCAAGATTTCTCCACTACCAATGGTCCAGGCCAATTCATTGAATTCAGTATCTTGCTTGGTGGTAAAGTACTTGACGCCACCAGGTTCATTCTGAGTGGAAAAGGATTTGCATCGAATGGTCATTTCCACGGCAACCTTGGAACCCTTTTGGACAACTGCTTCTCCCTTGCCTTCCCGGTATTCTCTATACGACACTCCACTGGGTAACTCTTCAAATGGAATGTCCACCAAATCGGTGGCCGGTTTTTGTATGGCTTCAATTTGTCGTAGACGTTGCACCGTTCCCGCTTCGTCGCCTTGAACAGGGAGCGACTTGAGGAGTGTAGGATCAATGCCAGCAAAAGCAGGTGAAGCGACACCTATCAATCCGGCTGCGACTGTCACACCAGCGTTGGCAAAGGATCGTCGATTCAGATTCAGACTGGAATCCGTGTGGGATGCACTAGCTGACGAGGATGTTGGGTTTATGAATGCTTGACAAGTGATGGCCAGTGTGGCCAACACGCAAACGACAATTTGGTTCTTGGGCATTGCGTTCTATTTGCGGGAATTATGAGTTAGTGGAGCTATTGATGGGATTATGGATGAAAGAGTGGGTTTACGTTGACGGGTAATGACAGATGACCAAAGTGTTGGCATCTTCGTGTCAGAATTTTTCAGTGAGTTTGGCAAATGCGTCAGACGAGACTAAGACAGTCCCAAAATCTAAAGATCACATCAACAGTTTCAACAATTTGTCAACCAAACCTCGTGAACGCAAATCTTGATCCATCAGTCTCTGTTGGCAATCATACTAACAGCGAAAAAATGACACCCATTCCACTTCTAGCAGTAATCTGTGCCGCTTTCTTGGTGCACACATCCAACGCGCTGTCCAGCAACCACATCGACCGCCGACAAGCCCTGTCACAGGCCACTGCCGCCAGTTGTGCCGCCACCATTGGAATCGTCCTGGCCACACCGCCTGCATTTGCCGAAGATACTGCTACTCCCACATCACCACCTATCTTTCAAGAGGGGCCTGGCGGAATCAAGTATTCCATCCTCAAGGAAGGAACTGGCGACAAAGCACTTCGGGCTCAAAAGGTTTACACCAAATACACCTTGTGGACTGGAGGCTTCGGCGACGATGGCGGCAAGCAAGTTGATAGCAATACTGGTTTCATGGGAAGACCCCTCGGTGTTATTGTCGGCGTCGGACAGGTGATCAAAGGTTGGGATCTAACGTTGCTGGAAATGAAAGAAGGAGAAACCAGACGCATCATTGTGCCTTCGGATTTGGGTTACGGAGACCAGGGAGCAGGGGGTTCCATTCCACCCAAGGCTACCTTATACTTTGAAATGGAAGTGACCAACATGGATCCATTGCCCAATCTGAATGACGAACAGAAAAAGTGGTTGGAAGAGCACCCATTGTAACGATGGCTGGAAAGAAGATACATACTCTGTACTACTATGCAAGCCTCTTTTAAAAAAAGATAAACACCGAACAAGTTTCTATTCATCGAGATTGGAAAGGCAAACTAGTCTATGTCTTCAAAGGCTGGCCCAAAATTCGAACAGAGCAAATTCTGAAGCACCATGGACGAAGCAGACGTAGTGCCGCAACATATGCGGCTGCATTTTGAAGTATCCATGATCGCTTTCAATGGAATCAATGATTTTCTGGGACGGCGGCAGCGACTTGACTAGTATTGAATACCAGTGCAAACAACTAGAAAGGGATGCAAAACGAAATAGCCAAGAGGATCGAAAGCTTGTTAGAACCAATAGGGTCTGAATATTGTAATTGTGCGATTACTGGAGCCCACACTTTGCCACAAAACCCAAAATCCAAGTGAAAGTGAAGCATTTCTCTTGGCGAGACTCACACATGATTCAGCCAAGGCTGAGTTGCTAGTATTCATCAGCGATTTGACAAGACTGTTTCTCCCTTTTTGTGATCTTGTGGTGGACAGACAGACTGGCTAATTTTTTCGCACGACTCTCAATTAATAAATCGTGTCGTAAAGGAAGAATAGCGACATCGAAGACACATGGATTCAATCCGTTCAAATTGAACCATTAAACATCGATGTCATGGTACTTATGATTCTTAGTTGAGTATGAGCGCGACAGTCGCCAACCCGACTCAATGTACCTAGACTTCCGCGTAAAATCATCGTAGACAATCAGAATCCATGGCCACTTTTTCGCTAGCCCGCCCCAACAAGATGATTTTCCTTTTCAACGACAACATTTACTCTTTCAGAATCTATAGAAGTGATCCACTTGTTTCAGTTGAAAGCTTGGACTCGTTACACACTTTGACAAAGGAAGAACGCCTACTTCCTCCGAATGTCTAGAAAACACTACAGCTTATCTTGTACTGGCACACACAACAATCACAATGACGAGCAATACAGCTGCAACCAAACCTGTAAAATATGAAAAGTACGAAAACAGATATCTCCCCCAAGACTTTATTCCAGGAGAGACAGATGTCGTCTGCGCCCGAGGAAAGTCATATTGGGAGCACCCTGGCAACAAAATGTACCGAACATTGATTGCTGGAGCCACAGAAAAGTACTCTAGCACCACGAACAAGCTCGAAAAGACAATGATTGTCTCTGAGATTGTCAATGCTGTCCATAAGCGACAAGGCATGTTTGTCAAAAAGGAGAAGAAAGGTGGACCTTGGGTCGAAGTTGACGAAGTCTTTGCCAGAGAAAAGATTGGTCAGAGTCTACGGGATGGTTTACACGATAAGTACCGTTCGGCAACGAAAGCCAAGAAGCAACGGAAGGAAAAGATCAACGAACGATTCAATGGCGATATTGATCGTGTGATCCACGGAAATGCCTCGGTATCCAGAAGGATCGAAGATCTCACGAAAGAAGTCCGAAAGAATGGGGCCCTGGCTTCGGATTACTCCATTGTAACGCTTTTCAGCAGAGCGAACTCAGACATTTTGGAAACCATCAAGAAGGATTCGTCCATGTTGCATCAGTTCGAAGATGCTACCGGGGCCTCCAAGGAAGAACAGTCGTGCTAGGCAACGAAAAACCAATTCTTTTGGGGATCAGTTACTGCCGAGCGAAACGCTACTATTATGGGGAGGCTGACCTTTCTATTGAAGGGGCATTGCATTTCGCATTTACCTTCCGATGAAGCTCAATCATCGCTTGTCCTTCGTCTCGAATTTGTTCATTAAACGAATCCAAAACTCCATGATGCAACGAGACTTCGTTGTTATGTACCATAGACACTCAGTTTCAATGGGAGGAACTGATGAGAGTGATAGATGTCATCCAATATCACAAAATGTACTCAGCGTATGTAAACTAGAAATTCCTCAAGGTATTTGCAATCTACTGCTACAGGAGGATGACGAAGTTCTCTAGATATGTCTGCGAACCATCGAATGCCACCAGCCTGCTAACAAGACTCTGATTAATACCAGGACCAACTTGACATCGTACCCACATCAAGACCATAATATGACTCAGCTATGCCGCCTACTTCTCTGTACATAAGAATGTGTATCATCCAACATTTGATAGTTAAAGAACTGAACTTTTCCACAGGAGCCGTTTGAAAGAAAGATGCTGTCTCGGCTTGTTCAGTGTGAGAAAAAGGAAAAGCGTGCAAAAATCAATCGGCGCGGGAATTGCACACAAGTGGATTGTGCTGAATGAACATCGGTGCCTTTCGTCAAGAACCTCCCCCCTCCCTGTATGATCCTGTATGATCTCTTTGTACACTGACTCTACTAGATCTCGTTTTTCGGAACGCTGGATGGACTGGTACTCGTGCTTGTATATGTTGATAATGCTGCACATTCTCCGATTCCTGGATAGTCCTGTATGTTCTTTCCCCTGCCCAAGATGATGTCACTCTTGCGAAGGGGGCGACAAGCTCAGCGTTGGGATCCAGTGCATCCTAGAACCGGATGCGGTGATTTCTGAGTGCCGTATACCTGTCTAGATTTGTCAAAGTTGATTGGATAAACTTCATGGTTCAATAATTGGGCAAGATTCTAGGCTTTGGGAGCCTTTTCCTCTTCTTGCGACAACATGCTTTTGATAGTCAGCAAGTAACCGAGATCCTGTATCAACAAGTAGGGTTACTTCTCGGCAAGCACCTCAGTCACTTCTTGGTTTAATTGCGGTACTTCAGCCAATGTGAAAATATTGACAATAAGAGCCCTTGCTTGTCGAACTCGGATTTCGAGCGCGATCAACTGAGGTGGCAAATAAAAATGAAAGTGGTCTGCAACACAAGTGACAAAAGTTGTTGAGACGCAAGTACAGCGGGGAAATCGACAACAAGGCTGTACCCAAACTTACATGGTTTCTTAACGATATCCAGATTCCTTCCTTTTGGCATTGCAGCGGCACCACCAATCATTGGACCTTCAGAAACCACCATCACATTCTCTTCATTGACGCCATGATTGCCAAGCAAACCGTCCAACAAGAAGCAAGATGAGAACGAATCAACACCACTCAATGGATATATCCAGTTGAGGAATGGGAATTCACCTGTATGCTTAGTAAGTTCATCAATCAATTTTGCTGCTGCCGTTTATTATCAGAGGTGGCGCATTGTAGGTTTACTTTTTTCAACCTGGCATGTTCTGCACTGTCTGGCGATCATTCACAACTCGAATTGGGATATCATAAATATTTTGATTGATATGTTGTCGGCATACTATAATGCAGTTCATCTTCGCACAGGAACTTGATTATCCCCAGGTCGATATATCCTTCAAGAAGTGTGCAGACGCCGAACCCTGGCTGTATGATATGTCTGAGATCATACATTGTTGTGCCATAGCTGCAAAGGATATAACAAAGGACGCCCAACCAAACTACGCCAACTACGCTTTAAGCTTGAATCGTCAGCAACATTGCTCCATCGTCTCGCGCTATCTCCATGGGAGCATTGTCAAGTAGACTGCCGCAGCTACCCATGACTGACACACATCCTAATCTCTATCAAGGACGTGGCAATCACAACGAGCCACATTGGCATTCCAGACGACATCTCGAGACTTTAACCTCAGCGACACGTCATTTTGAACATGTTACTTATGCTAAGTGATGCGAAAGAATTTGCTACGAGTATGGTAGGTGATCATGAAGTGATTTCCCTGCGTCATTATTACCATTGTGACTGTTAGTCACCGGACCTGTCTATTGCCAATAGGTGGCAAAGTCGCATGCGCCAAAGTCTTCGTCCATTCCGGCATGTTCGAACAACACCAAGGTTGATGATTCGCAAGTCTTGATTTACCAATATAGTTGTTTGTTGAAGATTAAGCAACTTATCGCGCTAAAAACGTAGTATCAACAAGTGACATTGCTGCAATCGGAGCAGGACTTTTTCAGATTACGACACGTGCTTGGTCTACGACCGAGGCCTCGACCCAAAACCATGCTATTTATATCATGGTTCCGAGAGGGGGTCCAATTGGAGAAGATGTTATTGCGTTCGAAGCTCCCAGCTCCTCGATCGCCGAGGGTGAAAAGGGTAGCTTTCGACTACTTTTGCTGCCCTGTGAATGGGGAGCATTGGATTGCATCAGATACGAGCAGAAATTGATTTGCCACCGAGCGGTCGTGGTTCCAGTAGTTTGTGAGTGAATTGATTTCGCAGTCAGCCCACGGACTATTGTGAAGACGTCTATTTAAGGACGAAATGACCGACGCCATATATATGGAGGGCTATTGTATCCCAAGAGACGCGATTGACATCTACCAAGACGAAATCGATGACTGAATAAAATCTTTCGCACTTCGACAATTTCTGCGCAAAATAATCGAATGGCAACCGCTGAGACATTCATTGCAAGAGTCGTAAAATCCATCTCAATCTATCGGTGATTTGTGGCTTTGCAGTTTTCAGTTCATTAATAGAATAGCGACAAAGGATTAGATTGAGCCAATGATTTGAAATTATGACAGCGAAGTTTCCAGCACACAAAATAGAGCATCTTTCAAAACGGTACTAGAAGATGCATCAAACAGCTTAAATGATTGGCAGAGATCGCTCGTTTTGCCTTTCCTAGTGACACATGTGACCTCACAAAATGAAACGGTTCGGAGCACGCCTTTTTTGCATTCCACCAGCCGCCTAAAGATATGACAAAGTATGCAGACGAGTCCACGCAACACTTTGATGAAATGAAGCCGGAGAACTGTTTTCCTTAAGAACGCTTTCTAGCTTACCACGCTAAATGCCGTGTGCTGTGATAATAAGGCTACAAAGATGATGGTCTCTTGTTTGATTTCGCACCAGGAGCTGTTTTTCGAGGAGCTGACAGCTGCACTGAAGGAACCTTGCCGATTTTACCAATTGCAATCGAGGACTTTATGCATGCCTCCGTGAACAACCGAAGTTGTCTACACTGATTCAAACGCTGAAGAGTTGAATATATATCAAGATTCTGTGATCCAGTCGTAACACTTGGATTCAGAATCGGAAGAGGTGGAATTTGAATGGAAGCTCTCTCTAGGAAAGATGTTGCTGCTGACGCAGAAGCCTTGGGCACCGCTTCTTCTGATGAGTTTCTGCGTTCCATTGCAGCTACAATCTGACGTTTGTGATCTTTCATGCAACGAAGACTGTTACTGATCTTCTGCAGTGCTACCTCAACATCTACTAAAAGGAAATGCGTTGCGTTGGGAGCCTTGGTCAAGAACCGGGCACCATTTACCACGATTTCCTTGTATACACTTTCCACCAGGTTTCGCTTTTGTGATCTTGGAAGTGTGCGGTATAGGTTCTTGTATTTGCTTGTGATTTGTCGCATGCGTTGGTTTCCGGGATAATCTTGCAAACTCTTGCCTCTACCGAAGATGATATCTTGCTCTTTTGTTGTGTCAACTCGCTCGGCGTTGATGTCGAACGCGTGTTCGAAACGCATCCGATGGTTCCTCAGGCTAGTGTATTGATCTAAGGATGTCAGCTGTGTAATGGCATTTCGTGTGGAGGCTGATGGCGGTTGATTATGAGACACTGTTCCTTCTGGTTTTGGTTTTCCATCCGATATGCTTGATTGTCTATTCATCTTAATAGTGTATTTCTATGTTGTGTTTCCAATTGGTGGAAGTAGGAGCTGTATATGGCAAATGAGATGACAGGAGGAAGAATCATTCTAATATCTAATGGTACGGCAATCATTGTGCTTGTGCGATACGTGCAACGTTTGCTGTCACGGAGAAGCAGCGAGTTGTTGAAAGCGGGGATGCTCATTTTGGGTTCAAACGCACGTCCGAAGTCACGTCTCATATCAGTGGAGAGATGGGAGATTGGTGACAGCGAAGTCCAGGTGATATTGCGATGGAAGCACCATACTGTAGGGAAGCCTACAGCTTTGGTGTTCACACTTGAGGCTGATGCTACGATTCCAGCTCAAGGCATATTGCTCCTACTGCATTCACGATTTGCTTTGACAGTTACAAATAGCTTTCCCCCTCAACAAGAAAGTCGTCGATAGGCCGCGAGCCTCTTGCATCGTCTCCGCTTGGCTTGTCGTCGGAGATAACACAAAAATAAAGAATGCTGTGCTGATATACGTTGCGTTGAATCTCAATGGATTCTTCCGTGTTCAGCTTGATACTCTCGGCTTTGGTGGTGCAACTGTGCGAAATGCCTTAGCCAAAGGATAGACTACTTCGGAACTTGCAGAATCATAGTAGATTGCATTTCATCAATGAGATACGACTGTGCGGGATGCAATAAGATTCCATCCTACGCTTTCCGTATTAATTGATTGGGCCATTGGGGTGGGCCCGTAAGGTTTGGATCGAAGCCAATGATACCTTGGCAAGTTTTATTGTCCCAGCATCTTCAGCACTGAAACAGCACACAATATCTGCCCCTACTCCTTGCATCAATCATGTTTCTCCTCGACAGAACGAAAGATTTGATTTTGTGCCTCTTGAATCATCACGGAGGAACCAACTCCTCATTCCGTCGCTCTCTAGCGAATGCTCACAACGATGCGAAATATCGTTTTGTGAAGTTCGCGGCAAGGTATATCATTCGTTCGTACGAGCCATCTCAGTTCAGCCCGACAGCTCAGATGGCAAATGAATCAAATATTCATCTTCGGAGAGTATTAGAATCAATCGGACAAGGAGCAAGTGAAAACCACCACGCACAACACACACTCCCAACTTTGCTCTCCTTTGAAACAGATCTCCACCGTCAAGGCATCTCGATAGACAAAACCTAGCTTCTGTGCTCACATCATATAAATACTTTCGCTCAAGAATCCAGCAGCGAAGGTACGAGAAGTGACCAAGATCCAAGACTAGAAGGTTGGAGTTTTGTGAGAGAAAAACACTCGTATTTGGTGGCAGAACCGAAGCGCTAATAGAATAGGGCATAAATGTTGAAAAATGATGACTCGATCAGTCTTGTTGATGATTCTTCATTGAGCGTTTTTTTTTCGTTGTGGCGGATAGAGATCAATTTGACCTCTTTGATCCCTGATCCTATTGCAAGATGTAGATGCGCATTGCGTCTACGAAAGGTAGTACTTGTATTGCAAAAAACATACAAGGAGTTCGTGTCTATATGATGTTTTTAAAATACCGGTATTATAGTTCCACAGTGAATGGTTTAACAAGGCATTGAGATGCTTGTCAACTGGCAGAGCAAGGCGGTATAAGAGAGATCAAGGATGACGCGTCATTTTTGGATTCGAAACGAAATGAAAGGCGAGGAGCATAGAGTACCCTGCCAACTGGTTGGTATTGGTTTGATAGAGGATTTACTATACCATCTGTCGTTTCATCGGTTTGGGCTTTTATGTTTCTTATTCCCCATGCGGTGAACAGTCAACAACAACTACTCCACCACGAAGGCTGAGCACAACTCTCTATTATTTGGCATTCATCGAATCAAATGGTACTGAGCACACCTACCTGTGTATGGATATTGTCAAGATAGAAATGCTGTTGGAAAGCATCACATAAAAAACAGTGCTCGGGGTCAGCTGCAAACCGAGATCGCCAGTCTTTCGTAAGATCCCGATTCACATCAAGTCGTCGGCTTCAAACCGACAAACATCATCAGAATTTCGCACTTCATACATGGACTTTGGCATATCATCCATCGTGCTCCTGGGAAGCCTATTGGGGAGGCATTTGAGAACGAGTTCAGAAGGTCTTCAGTTAAGCAAGAGTGTCACACCTTCCAAGCAAAGAGAAGACTATGACTTCGACATGAACTGAACAAAGGGTGGCAAGAAAAGCCTTCAAGATACCGACCTCGCGGAAGCCCCCAACCATCGAATGAAACGAAATGATAGTATCCAAACAAAGGGGAGGAAAGATAGAATTAGTATGACGAGGACATCGTCGCAACGCACACATAGAGCGAAGAAGCTAGAAAAACAACAGCGAGGAGCAGCAGCATGCACAGAGAAATGAAATCTGGGAAAAAACCTGGGAGATTGGACTATGTGTTCTCGATGACAAAGATGGCAAGAAGAGCCCAAAGCATTGGACAAATGCTACTCATGGCATGGCGACATCGGGGGATTGGGACATTGCCCGAATGAAATTTGACAGCAGTGGCAGCTGTGACGCCTTGCTAATAACTGGCACAACTGTTCAGTTCAACGAAACTTCCTTCAATGGAGGAAGCGAACCACTTGGCCATACCAAATGAAAGCCAGGTTCGTTGCCCCTTCCGGATTTGACCAAGTTCCACCGCATCACTGACTTTTCTCGGATTTGTCCAAGAAGCGCCGCATCACTGACTTTTTTGGACCTTTTTAAAATCGTCCTCTTGGTCAATGAGATGGAGCTTCACGGACATGTGATTCAATTCACAAAATGTTTCCAGTAAACCAGAAATTTCACATGATATTTACAATTATTGCGAAGATGAAAAAGTTCTCGGATGTTTTGATGGATCTCTTCTGGAACTATCGAAACTTATCTGTCTTCAACGACTATCAGTACTAACAGACATATGACCAGGACGTATTTCTTGACATCCAACCTCCATCCAGACGAGATCTCTTCTGATTTCCACTACCAACTCACTGATTTCGAATAGAAGATGGTAATTAGATGATTGACAAGGGGGGTTGCGAATGGAGTACTTTATCAATCTTCGACGCTCAAGCACCATAATCGGAAAAATCGTTCAAATTGGTTGTGTTCAATTGGCAGGACGGTCAATGAGCTAGCTCATTGGAAATATTTGGGAAAAAGGCCGCTCTACCAGACTGACAAAAGTGCACACAATAGTCTTTCGTTAATTTTGATCAATGCGCAACACAATCTGTCGTTGCTGAGTGGAAAGTCTCAGACGATTTATTTACCCCTTCGGCAGAAGATATTAGTTTGATTGTATGTGTTGTGACGATATGGGGCTCTATGGAAGTCGAGGATATTCCTATAGAACTAGTACGAATAGAGGCTTTGCTTGAACTTGACGGTATCATATAATAAAAGATACTCACATCAATAAAAAGACTTATACATATACATTGAATTCGTTCCAAAACTAGCTTCAAAAGGATTCCAAAGATTGAGTTTCCAGAGTTCCCAACGAGCCGAACTTTGGTTTGTCTTGTTGTCTTGCGTGTACTTGACCCACGCTATCTCCCGTAATGCAAACATTGGGAATCGAGCTGTGTTCTACTTTGCTGTCGTTGGCAATCACTGTAACATCTTCTTTTTTGCCTTTGTCACTACAACCATCTTCAGAACTGTCGACTGTTTCATCATCCGTAACTTTTTCTTCCTCCTCCTCATCATCATGACAATTCTCATCATCTGTGTCGTTGCCTCTTTTCAAGGCATGGTCCACTCCCCACTCACTCAGTGCTCCAGCTGTAATCCCGCTGGCACATCCTACTACAAAGGCAACAGCTCCAGCCACCGGCAATGCAGCGCCCGCCACTCCTACCAAAAGAGCCCCTGTTACAGTTTGTCCCACAATACTTGCTGTCGTAGCCGACCCGTACACTGCCAAACTTTTGGCCACTTCCCGTTCGTCCTCTTGTTGGACCCCATCCCCCAAGCGTTTGGCCGTCATGGCCCCTCCCGTTAAGATCCCAGCGGCACCTGCCGCACCTCCAGTCAAAGCCGTCGCCAAGATGGCGGCATTGACGGCGGCGGTTCGTCCGATGGCGCGCAAAATCTTTTGGTCGCCATTCGAGGAAAAGTCTTTGGCAATCTCTTGGGCAATCAGCTCCTTCTTTGGTTTGGATACTGCTCGGCTTTGTGATGTTTGAGATCCATTTTGTGGTGTCTCGCATTCCTGCTCTACCGAGTTGGTTACAGTCTTTCTCTTTTCTCGCTTCTTTTGTTTCATATCCAGGTGATTCTTTCGAATCTTGTGAACGACTCTGAGAAATTTGTTACCAAATTCATCGATTTGGTTCGGCAAATCATTATCCTTTTGACCATGTTGCCCGTTGACCATGATGACTATCTGTTCATTGGAAAAAGAATTCCGATATTCTCGAAGGGATTCGTTCAGATTTATGGAATTCAGGTTTGATTTCAGCAACACTGAAGTAGTATTGCTCATTGTTCGGCGTTGAAACGAGCTTTCATGGCGTTGTAAGGACGAGAAGACGAGACGCCCCTCTCCTTCTTCTGAAGCGATGATGAAGGTTATTCTTTTTCTGAGATTTTGAGTGAGTGAGTCAGTCAGTGAGAACGTCCATAGTCCAAGTTGGGTTCGAGTCACATGGGTCAACTACCACGATTAGACTTATTCGACCTTGAACAACTGGGAACAAAATGAAAAAGGGTATTGACATGCCATACCGGTACCGGTAGGATTGACCACTATAGTTTACAGTCGAAGTCCAACTCGCAATCACTTGATCGAAACAAAAACAACTACTACCATGGAAACCGAAACGCCCGAGCAAGGCGATACTTTTGCTATGCAAATCGATCCGTCTTTGATGGAAGGATTGCGCGATTTGGATCCTGACGATCCAAACTTTCAATCCCAAGAAGCATTTGAGAAGCTTGCCATGCTGAAGCTTCCTGCTGGATGGAAGCGTAACCCCGCCAAAACTCCTCCGTATATTCACGAGGATGGACGTGTCAGTTGGAAGAATCCTGCCTGGGAGCAAATCATGGCAATTGCTGCTGCCAAAACTCAACAAACTTCTAAGACTCCCGACTTGACACAAACAACCATGCAAGATAGTGGATTGATCAAAAAGTATCGCCGCATGATGAGCTGCGGCATTGCTGTCAATGCCATTCGCAACACTGCTCGTATCGATGGTATGGATCCTGATGCTGTTACTCTTGCTTTGTCCACGGATAATCCTTTGGAACAGGAAATCAACAAGCCAGCAGCTGCTGTCTCCTCCTTGGATGCTCATGAACAACGATACTTGAAAAAGTACAAGCGCATGCTCAAGTCTGGTGTCCCTTCCCACGGTGTTGCCACTACCATCCGCATGGATGGTTTCGAACCATCTCTTGTAATTGACGAACAAGAGGCTTGTGTCTTGGAATCCCCAAAGTTTGAACGCTTGCCACAAAGCACTGCCCGCAAGTCGCATTTGACCAACAAGTACCAGAAAATGGCCAAGGCCGGAGTATCTACCAAAGCTATTAAGTCGGTCATGATTCGCGAAGAAGGAACCGTCGATGAATCCCTCTTGGCTACTTTGGATGATGACACAATCAACGACGAAACTCCACGCTACTTTTCTCCTACTTCAGATGGCGGCGTTGAGTTCCACTTGGATAATGCTACCACTGGCAAGGAATCCCACTTGTCCCTATTGGTCCGCAAAATGGCTCTCACTGTCAAACGTAGTGGAAAAAATAGTATCGTTCATCAGGGCAACAAAACTAAGACTCTCAAGGTAGAAGGCAAGGATCTTTACGACGCGTTGGGGGGTCTACGTGGAGTCCAGGTCGCTCGGGATCTCTACAATCGTACTTGTCATAATGATTCGACCCACAAAGTAATGTCGGAGCAAGAGATTTGTTCCAAGCGCAAGCCATTGCTCGAACTTTGGAGTAGCCTTGGGATTCGAGCCCCCACTCGTCCCAATGGCACGGTGGACATTTCTGGTTTGGACGATTTGGTCGAATTCATTGAAAAATCCAATGAAAACAAACTTGGAGCCATTAAAGAATGTGTGAAAGATGGCATGTGTGACTTTGACTCTCTAGGCGAATTGTACAGGCCTGGTACTCGTGTGGTTGCCAAGCATGTCTTTGCTTCCGGGGTCGACATGGTTTGCGAAGTTGCCTGGAACCGATACGAACAAGGAAAGACCTTGTTTGGAGTCACCCGTACCTTCAAGGTGTGCTTCCAATTCCTCGTGGCAGTCGGAAAGCACTTTACTCTTTGCGAATACGTGCATGGAATGGAGAACTTTGAAGGTCGTCGGTCCATTCAGTCTTCTTTGGATTTCGTGCCCCTCTCTTCCATGAACAATAATATAAAGGACGTTTTGGCCACCTTTCGCAAGAGAGGAGAAAAATATGCCAAGTGCGCTACTTCTCAATCCTTCATGGCGTACGAAAAAGGTTCCTTCTTTGCAAAGTCTGTTGGTCGCAAGGCTGCCTCCGCCAATAATTCAGCATTGAATACTTCTGGACGCGTCATGGTCGATACCCAGGGAAGCTACGAGGCTGGACATAGTCTTGGTATTGCTAGCAATGATATGATTATCACCGCAATCAAGTACAAGTACAAGGAGTATATGCTGCACCAGCGCAAGATGGAACAAGATGCAAAGAGTGGTTTGAAACAATCCAACGACCATAATCTTATATTATTTGATGATATCCCCGATGATTATTTGGAGATGTCTTGGCCGGCTGTGATTGGCTTTAGCTTTACCAGCAACTCGTGGGGGGAAGTTCTCGTTGACGGGTTGAGCGACATCCAGTTCGATGAGACCGTTTTTGACAGTTTGGTCCTCCCAGCCTCACGCAAACGCATGGTCAAGGCTTTGGTCCGTCACAGCAGCGATTCCTTCCAAGATATTATTGCTGGCAAGGGAGAAGGCTCTGTTTTCCTCTTGTATGGTCCTCCAGGTGTTGGAAAGACGCTTACTGCGGAGGCCATTAGCGAGATGCTCCACCGGCCACTTTACACTGTATCCCTTGGACAGCTTGGTACCACTCCTTCTGAGTTGGAGACCAAGCTGGGCGAAATTTTGGACCTCTGTCGGCGCTGGGATGCTTTGATTCTGCTTGATGAAGCCGATATCTTTCTCGAAAAACGTACCTCTACTGGTTCCTTGGAGCGCAATGCCATGGTCAGCATCATGTTGCGCCTTGTCGAGTATTTCAAGGGCGTCCTCTTCCTTACAAGCAATCGAGTCGACACTTTGGATCCTGCATTCAAGACTCGCATCACCTTGGGTCTCCGTTACGAACAGCTCAACTCTGATGCTCGCCTGCAAGTTTGGAAGAACCTCCTTGGTGCTTCCGGCTACGCGGCCAAGTTGGGCGCTGACAAGGCGATCGATATCGAAGAGCTTGCGAAACACCAGCTCAATGGTCGCGAAATCAAGAATGCGATTCGTCTTGCCATGGCTCTTGCTCAGGAAGATGACGAAGATCTCTCCCAGAAACTCTTGCTCGAGACCATTGAAACTTTGAATGATTTCAATGAAAAGATGAATACTGCCGAAGCCTATTAGGTTGGCAATCAATCGTCGTCTTCTTCTTCGATATATATATGGAAAGTATTCAAAAAGTGTCTATTCGAGCAAGAGAGCACAGAGATGGAATAGGGCTTTTGAAACACACAAGATAGTGACTATTCGCGCCGTGGGCATTGATAGTGGAATGGTACTACAAGAAAATATATGAAACAGATAAGAGGTTAAGTTAACCATCATTGGATCTCGGTCAATTCTATTATTTTATTTTCTATCTGCTTTTAGCAATAGCATTTGCCAAGCGTGATCATGTCTTCATTCAAGAAAATAGCTCCTTGCAATAGTCATAAGACACGAGCAAGAGTGCTGCACCCACACTCCGAATGTAATTCGTTCCCAAACCACGATAATATCCTGCTATGCCTTCGTCTTGATAAATTTTGACCAAACAATGTCGGGCATTTTTGTAAAGTCGTTTCTCTTTTGGCATATCCGATTGCATCATGAGTCGTCGTCGTACCGAGTCCAAGGGATAATGGGCTGTCGAGGCGAGCATGCTGACCAATTGGGCGGACAAGAAGCGTTGGTAAAAGGGAATGGCCCGATAGGCATCTTCATCCGTTAGCGTTGTTGTTGAAGTTGTTGTAGCATTGCTGTATTTTGCCTTGTAATCTTCTACCAATTCCGTCTTTAGGTAGTCGTAACCACCCAAATACACCATTCGATAGATGGACACACTCCACAAGGCAACCGCAAATCCTTGATACAAGCTCGTCAATCCATTTACCTGGTAGGAATGTAAAAAGACGTCCCGCATACCTCGTGGATACAATCTGGTTTCTTGACCCACATCCAATGCTAACTTTGTCCGCATGAGTCCAATGGGATACAGCAAGGTAATGGCCGATCCTCCCGCCAGAAATCCCGAAACGAACGACTTGGCGATTCGTTCTTGTCGTGTCAATGATACTGATGAGGATGAGTAGGTCTGTTCACCTCCTGCTGTGGAGCCACGATTGCCCAACACCAAATGATCCGCTGTTTTCTTGTACCAATCCAAGAATAGAAAATTCAAGGCCGTCGTCCCACCCTGAATGACAACGGTGGAAGTATTCCCCCGCCACAATGCAAAAAATCCTTCCTCCCTCAAGATCTTAGTCATGGCTTGCACTGGTCCCTGGTAGTGATTGGAAGCAACATTGTTGTTGTTTGCTGACGGTGGAATGGATCCACGCAACTGTACCACCAACTTGAGACGATCTAGGGGTGCCAGTAGTGTCTTGGTGGAAGCTCCCGCAAACGCCCCCGATACGACTTCTCGAACAGAATCGTTCATGTCGATAATTTGACGAGGATGGTGGTTGTGTTGGTGGTGATGATATCAATCAATCTCGTCTGTTTGGCTAACGAGGTGGTCAATCTTCAAGCCTTTCTTGATACGTTAAGGTATTAGGAAGTTAGGATTGCGAGTGAGTGATGGGAATGACGTTGAGCAGTTGTCGGTTTCGAGTTTCGATGATATTATTGAATTTGGTTCTCATATTTTCATTCATTCGTGGGAATTCGGAGGAATGATTTTCGGAGAAAGAAATTCCACGTGGCGCGTCCTTACTCCGTCCGTGTGTTTCCTCGAGAGAAAGTTGAAGCTGGAGATTGTGACATGCAAAACGCAAACATCTCACAAACAAACTTCTCTTGTACACACACACACACACACACTTGAAAGTCCTGTACAAACAAACCTTTGTGGCTCATCATCCAAAAAAATGAGACGACGGAACACAAGTATCGTCTTTCTCTGTCTGACATTGGTCAACGGAAGCCAAGCCTTTCAATCATCACAGCCTGGAGAATCAGTATCGTCAACCTTTCCCAATCGAAGAATACGGAAACGACAATTGGAACGAAATCATTTTCCTGCTTCCAATTCCATATTATACGCGACACCCGTCGTCAAAGCAACATCAAGGACTTCTCCAGCATCCAAAACCTACAAGGTGGAAAAGAAAGTGACACAATTGGGACGATCGGGCAAGACAGACGAAGCCTTGGAACTCTTTCACAGCGTGGAATGTCCCTCTACCCGGCTGGTCAATTGCGCGATTGATGTGTGTGCAAGGTCCCGGCCGCCACGGCTTGAGAAAGCTATTTCAATACTGGAGTCGGCAGTGAATGAAAAGAATTTGCGGGTAAACGTTTTTACCTTTGGGTCCCTCATGAATGTTTGCAATCGAGCCAGAAACTCGACCAAGGCACTGGAATTGTTGCGATCCTTCGAGGTATGTGCATACTATTATGTGTGCATATTTGTGTTTGTGTTTGTCCCAATGCATGATTGCAAAGTAGTGTATCGATTGCTGTTGACAACTATTTTCTCATTCTTTTATAATCACACATCATAGAAAGAACATCGGGTAGCACCCAATGCGGTGGTCTATTCGTCCGCCATTTCGGCGTGTGCCCGATCGCATCCGCCGAAAACCAAACAGGCATTGGATCTTTTGAGAGAAGCCGTCGAGGAAAAGGAATTGGAAATGAGTGTGACGGGATTCAATGCCGCCATTTCGGCGTGTGCTCAAGCGGGGGATTGGAAGTCGGCCATTAAACTATTGGAGCGAATGGAAGGAGCGAGTGAGAAGAATGCTACTACTGCTGAAGTAGAATCATCACCAGCATCAAAGGAAGAGGAAAGTGATAGTGGTGGTGATGAAATGAAAAAATTCTTGGTGCCCGAACCGGACTTTGTAACCTATGGAACCATCTTATCAGCATGCGAACGAGGAGAACAATGGCCACTGGTACTGACGTATGCAGAAACAATGCAAAATCGAGGACTAGAATTGGATGGAGTGGCATTGACTTCTTGTCTTCATGCCTGTCAACAACTGGGATTGGCCGGAGAGGCCTTGGAATATCTGGAACAAATGAAAACAGTCCACCCCGTTGTACCAATCACTGCCAGATTAGAACGATCCGGTGCGAAACAGCCACTTCAGGGACCGGACGCGGTTGCCTACCGATTGGCGATTTCGGCATGTGCCCGAGGCGGTGCTTGGAAGGACGGGATCCGCCTATTGCAAAAATTTGAACAAGAGACTGGACAACAACCTGGCGTGGTAGCTTACACTGCCGCAATTACAGGTTGCGAGTATGCGGGCAAGTGGAAAGAAGCCTTTCAACTATTGGACCGCATGCGCAAGGCAGATGTGGAACCCAATGAAGTGACTATGGCCGCAGTGATTGGAGCTTGTGCGAATGCGCTGCACAATGGAGAAACAGAGCGCGATGTGGAAGCCACAATCACCAACAAACCTTCCGAAAGGGCTGGTGGTTCTTCCAAGCCACTGGTCCAAAAGAAAGCTCTGCAGCTCTTGAGCTTGATGAAAAAGATGCCCGACATGGTGAATCCCAATATTCAAGTATACAATGCTGCCATTCGAGTTTGCGCCGAAGCTTGCGACCTGAAAGGAGCCTTCAAGCTTCTGGAAGAAGTGGAGGAAGCTGGAATCGAACGCACCGAAATCACCTATGGTTCAATGATGACAGCATGCCAGCGAGTCGGAGACATTCAAGCTGCCAGCACCGTATTCCAAAAGCTCAAGGAAGACGGTATTGCTCCCAACGAAATCATTTACGGAGCTGCCATTAGCTGTTGTCGCAAGTCCAAGCAATCCGAACGGGCTCTTTTACTCTTGCGAAAGATGTTGAAGGAGGGCCTCGCCCCCAATAGAGCGACCTTGAATACCGTTCTCATGGCACAAGCGGAAGTTCGGACCAAGGCTGATTTCGAACGAGCAGTGACAGTGTACAAACTCATGAAATCGCGATTTGTCGAGGAGACGGGTCGCCCCAACCGCCAGACCTACACTATTCTTGTGAATCTCTTTGCATCGTGCAAGCAGCCTTACATGGCCGAAGCCTTTTTGAAAAGGATGCGAGAAGATGGCTTGAAGCCAGATGTTGATTTGTTCACCGCCACTGTTGCCTCGTATGAACGCACTGGTCAACCACTCAAGGCAGTTCGATTGATGGAATCCATGCAAGAAGATGGTTACGACTTTTATAGTGTCAAGGTGCTCAATTCAGCCTTCAAGAAGGCCATCAAGTTGGTCAACAAGGTTGGCAAGACTCTGTCCTCTTCAGAAGGCGAAAACCATTCGTTGAAGTATGTGGATTTGGATGTTGACATTGACGAGCTGTGATCATTGATTCAAGGAACGCAAACCTAATGGCAGCAGCCGTCTCTTGTATATGACGACACACTGTACAACTCTTGATTCCTAGAAATCAGCTGCTTTTGAAACAAGGTCAAAGTATCAATATCAAACAAAGAGTTCTTCCACATTTCGCACAAAGCTCATGCTTCCAAACAACGCTCGCTGTACACAACTCACTGCAGCGATCAATACATACAGTATTATAGAGTATTTGCTGCGACCTGACCCATTAATCTACAGAAAATTCGGGAGTCGCCAAAGATGGATCTACTAATATGCTGTTGTGCTGTTACAGGATTATGTTAGAAAAACTAGGACTATAACACAATCTTTGCACACTGACTTTCCCGTTCTTGTCGTCCAGCACCATACAGCTAGACGACTCTTTTTCAACCGAACCATCCTTGGGTGGAGATGGCGACTTTTTGAATGCGCCAGGAAAAGAAAACACCGAACGGTGATTTCGCACCAAAGCTTGGATGGTGATTCTTGTGAGGCCTTGGCAACAGGAACAGATTTCACCTTTTTGAACTTGTCTATCGTGGTCCACATTTCACTCTCTGTCATATCTTTTCTGTTTCATTGTTCCACAAAAATCCAATATGCAATAATTACTCAACTTTTTTTGATCGCCAGCTGTATTTGTTGTGCCAAATCGTGACATTGCGCAAAGGACAATTTGATGGAATCGGGTAGGATGGAAACAATGTTGTTGGAGTCGCTGCAAGTGGAACTCAATCGAACGATTAATCGGGTCGCTACTGAAAACACCCCAACGTGCTCTACCAGAATGCAATCTTGCACCACTTCTCGTGGCAGAAATGGTTCGTGTTTGGGGGGCGGTTGTTTGAATTTGGAGTGTTTCCCAGGATTCATATCATCCGAGGAAGGAGCCTTGCGATGATGGTACCTCTGATGGATAATCTGAACCCCCAAGGGTGTAATTCGAACCGAGACTTCTTCCGTTTGAAAGGAAGCTGCCGTTTCCAATACGACCAAGCCCATGAGCAAACCTCCTCCAAACCAAAGCAGATCATTTTGAATGTTCCAATCGGCCCACAACAAGTAGGCCCCTAATCCCAAAATGAGAGCAATGGCCAAGAAAGGCCGAGCTGGGCGATTCTTGTGAGAGCGGATTACAAAAGTTGTAGCATTTCTTGTTGTGGTTTGGGAGGTAGAAGTGTTGGAAGTAGAGGCGGAGGCGGAGGCACCCAATGATGACAACATGGATGCTGTGGTTGTGTTTTGGTTGTACCAATGCCTCGTGATGATTCCTTTGGGGTTGGATTGGTCCTCTCTCTCTCTCTCTCTCTCTCTCTTCTGCTTCTTTGTTTCAACTCTGCGTGTACTGGTTCTAGTCGTTTTGCAGTCTCTCAGTTTTTTAGTGGTGATGGGTACCGGTACATGATATTTCGATTTTGTGTCGTTTGTGTCTTGTTATCTCCTTTACTCCTTTTTCCAAATATTACTTCGGCGGGCAATTTTTCATCGCGCACCGGCAAGATTATCCACATCTTCATTCCGAAGATTGGGAAGCGAAGAAAATAAGATCGGCTTCCGATTCACGGTGGTTGGAGAGCGTTCGCATGCCAAAGGGTAAGGTGCAGCATTGGCTTTTTCGTACGCAGACCGAGCATCACCCTTTCTCAATCGTGTGACCAAAAATATGGGAGTCAAAAACGAAAGTCAAACCGACATCGTCAACACGGTTGTTGCACCTCGTTGTAGCAAAGAGCGACAATAACAGCAACAGCAACAGCAACAACAACAACAAACCAAAAAGTGATACCACTGCAATCAAAGCAAAACGTACACACATACACACAAGAGAACAATCAAACAAGGACAGCAAAAGAGAATCTAAAATGGCAAGCGTTTACGGAGCATGGTAAGAAACGAGTTGTGAATTTCAGAACGAGACGACTGCAACATCCATCCATGGTGTTATGTTGTTTCTACTCGTGATTCTACAGTGATACTCACCAGGTCTTTTCTCTTTTACTTCCACTTGGCGTTCCCGTCTTGAATCATGCACCCAACCGTGACATTGATATCAATGGTTGATGCTTTTCTTTTTCGGTTTACACAACAATCTTCACACACACACAATTACCAATGCAAATTTATACAAAACTCAAATATAGCTCATTTCCACACGGCCCAACCTCTGTTTGTGGTCTCATGGTAGCCTCTTTGGCCGCCATGGCAGCTTCCATGTGGGGAATCAGTTCGTGTCGAATGGCTTTTGTGGAATATACCAATGATCGAGGTGACTTTTCCGATTTTTATTTGGATCCCACCTCGGATGGGGAAGGGGTTCCCATGCGTACTGGAATCGGACTCTTTCAATGGTTGGAGCCCTTTGATGACAATGATTGGTCACAAGGGCAATGTCGGGGGTACACAACTCTTCAATTAGAGTTCTTTGGGGACAATGCCTTGGAAGTTGCCAGAGGCTGTGGTGTGTTGGCGGTGATTGGAGCTGTGGCCATGTCCTTTTGGATTTTATTTCTCAATTGCGTGGCCATGGGTCAAATGCAAATCCGAGTACTACAACTCTGTCTGGTTTGCTTGACGATTAATATCGGCGGAACCTTTTCCATTTTCTTTTCACCTCTGTGCCAAGATTTGGTGTCCTATCAAGATGAAAGCTACGAGACCAAGTGTACCCTGGATCAAGGAGGTCTGGTGGTCGTTTCCGCAGCTCTACTTTGGGCGGTTGCTCTTTTGATCAGTTGTATATACATCAAGGCTCCTGAAAAGGATATTCAAATCTTGGCGGATGGAAAAGAAATCAATGCCTTTGAGCATCGACAAGAGCGACGGCGACAGGCCCGACTGCAAAAGGCGCAAGAGCAAAAACTCAAGCAACTCCTGGCGGAACAGAAAGCCCAACAAGACATGATTCGACAAAAACATGGCGTCGGAGGTGGTAGCCAGTACAGAGGTGGTGGTGGAAGAGGAGACGGCGGTAGTAGTTATGCCTCGAATCGAGGTGGTGCCATGTCCGTCTAGACTAAACGTCACACACACACACGCACACATGTCAATGATGTATCCAAAAACGACAATGTATCATTAGTAATCATTGTATCAAGAGAATGGTAGTTTCATACAGCATTGCTTCTTTGAGTAGTATTTCTAATAAAATCCTTTGGAATAATCTTTTGTGTCGAATTTTTTTCTTCTCAAATGACTGCTGGTGAGTGATTGAATCAATCATTCATCTATCCACGTACATAATGGCGAAAGAAGATATCAGCGGGTCTATCAGTGTTTTGGTTACTACACGCAGTAGCAGTTTGATGTACAAGGCAAAAAGTCCTTGGCGCCTGAAGTGAATGCAGTACTGAAAAGATTGTAGCAATCCTCTTCGTCAATCATAATAGTAGCTACCGGTATTGAAGGAATCAATCAATCAATCACCCAGTCTCTCCCACCTTGACCTTTTGGCCCTGCCTACTAGTTCTATCCACGGTCTCGGAAGACTTCATGACTAGCTCGCTCGGCCGTGGAACTTGCCATTCTTGGCAATCGTGCATTGGCACCACCAGCATTCAGTATCGACTGGTGTTCTCTCATAAATGATACTACCGATCCAGGATATGATCGCTGCAATGATTGGCAATGTTGCAGATAACATAAATCATTCAATGTTGCTGGAAGAAGTGGCATCTTTTTCATAAGTCGCACGGTATTTTCTCGAAGCAGTGACATTGTTTGCGATCGATTTCCCATCACTAGAGGTGGTGCTACTGTTTGTGATGAGGATGATGATGCACTTCTGATTGCTCGCTTTTGATTGCTAATGGCAACGTCTGCTAGTTTGTCTCGACTTACTGAGGACCTGTTGCCTTGAAAAGAAGCGCTTGCCTTTTCTTCAATGCCCATCTCTGTCCCTATTGCTACCGCTACCTTGTTTCGATTCTTCCTGCACCGAAGCGTGTTGCTGACTTTCTGCAAAGCCACCTCGATATCAACCAGGACAAAGTACTTTTCATTGGTGGCTTTCGTCAAGAACCTCCCCCCTCCCTGTGTGATCTCTTTGTACACTGACTCTACTAGATCTCGTTTTTCGGAACGCTGGATGGACTGGTACTCGTGCTTGTATTTGTTGATAATGCTGCGCATTCTCCTATTTCCTGGATAGTCCTGCATGTTCTTTCCCCTGCCCAAGATGATGTCATCCTTGCGAAGGGCGGCGACACGCTCCGCGTTAGGATCCAGTGCATCCTGGAACCGGATGCGGTGATTTCTCAGTGCCGTGTACCTGTCTAGAACTGTCAGAGTTGATGATGAAGGCATTGAATCAATTACATGATTCAATAAGTGGACAAGATTTCCTACATTCTCTGCTTTGGTGGCCTTTTCTTCTTGTTGCGACGACATGATTTTGATAGTCAGCAAGCGACTGAGATCCTGTATCAACAAGTAGGGTTATTCTCTGTGCCAGCACCTCAGGCAATGTTGCGGTACTTCAGCCTATGTGAAAATATTGACAATAAGAGCCCTTGCTTGTCGAACTCGTATTTCGAGCGCGATCAACTGTGGTGGCAAATAAAAATGGCAACACAAGTGACAAAATTTGTAAAGACGCAAGTACAGTGGGGAAATCGACAACCAGGCTGCACCCAAACTTACATGGTTTCTTAACGATATTCGCACTTCTTCCTTCCGGCATTGCAGCGGCACCTAAGATCAATCGAACCCTCAAAAATCTTGTACTGTTTCCTGTTTCCGCATCGACCCCATGATTTCCATTTACATCATTCTCTTCATCGACCCCATGATTTCCAAGTCAACCTTGCCAAGAAGCAAGATGAAAACGGATCCATACCACTTCAATGGATATACTGTATCCAGTTGAGAACTGGGAATCCGCATGTATGCTTAGTGAGTCCATCAATAGAAGTGCTGATGCCGTGTATCATCAGAGGGGGCACAGTAAGTTCGTTTTTCCAACCGGCATGTTCTGCACTCTCTGACGATCAATCAGAACTCGAATTGGGATATCATAAATAGTGTGATTGGTAGACTGCGACAACCGATAGTTCATCTTCGCATCGGAACTTGATTATTCCCAGGTCGATCTGCGCCTATGCTTCAAGAAATGGCCAGCACGCCGAAACCTGTCTGTATGATATGTCTAATACCGTACACTGTTGTCCAATGACTAGGAAGGATACAAGAAAGGAAGCCCAATCTCACTACGCCCATTACGCTTCAAGGTTGAATCGTCAGCAACATGACTCCATGGTCTCCCGCTGTCTCAATATCAAACTTTGACTGGGAGCATTCGTCAAGCAGACTGTAGTAGCTGCCCATGGCGGCTGACACACAGCCTGATCTATTTCAAGGACGTGGTAAAAGCAATAAGCCAAATTGATATTCCTGACGACATCTCGAGACTTCACCTCAGCGACACGTCACTTTGCACATGGTACTTTTGCGAAAGTGATTGCGAAAACGAGGAGTATGGTGGGTGACCATGAAGTCATTTCCCTGCTTCATTACCACCATTGTGACAGTCATTTACCGGACCTGTCTATTGTCAATTTGCTGGCAAAATCGCGTGTGCCCCAGTCTTCGTCCATTCTGGCTTCTTCGAACAACACCAAGTGGTTGATTCGCAAGCCTTGATCGACCAAAAGTCAAGAAGCTGTTTGGTGAAGATCAAACAAACTGTCGCGCTAAGACTTTAGTATCAACAAGTGACATTGCTACAATCGGAGCAGGACTTTCTCATATTACGACACGTGCTGGGTCTATGAGGCCTTGACCCAGAATCGTGTTGTTTCTATGGCTGCAAGAGTCCAATTGGAGATGATACCATCGTGTTCGAAGCTCTCAGCTCCTAGCTCGGCGAAAGTAAAAAGAGTCGTTTTCGACTACCTTTTCTGCCCTGTCAATGGGGAGCATTGGGTTGTATCGGATACGAGCAGAAATCGATTTGCCACTCAGTGGTCGTGGTTCCAGTAGTTTGTGAGTGAATTGATTTCGCAGTCAGCCCACGGACTATTGTGAAGACGTCTATTTAAGGACGAAATGACCGACGCCATATATATGGAGGGCTATTGTAGCTCAAGAGACGCGTTTGACATTTTGCGCTGACGAACAACCAAGACGAAATCTATGACTGAAAAAAATCTTTCGCACTTCGGTTCGAAGACAATTTCTGCGCAAAATAATCGGATGGCAACCGCTGAGACATTCATTGCAAGCGTCGTAAAATCCATCTCAATCTATCGGTGATTTGTGGCTTTGCAGTTTTTCGTTCATTAATAGAATAGCGACAAAGGATTAGATTGAACCAAGAATTTGAAATTGCGACGAAGTTTCCAGCATCAAAACAGCGGCTTTCAAAACTGTACTAGTCGACGCATCGAAAGCTTTAAAAAAATGATTGGCAGAAATCGAATCGTTCGTTTTGCCTTTCCTAGTGAGGGACCCTACGTAGCTTGTCCGCATGTGGCCTCACAGAAACGAAACGGTTTGGAGCACACCGTTTTTACATTCCAACATCCGCCTAAATATACGACAAACTTTGCAGAGTCCACACAGAACTCTGATGAAATGAAGCCGGATAACTGTTTTCCTTAAGCACGCTTTCTAGCTTACCACGCTAAATGCTGTGTGCTGTGATAATAAGTCTACAAAGATGATGGTCTCTTGTTTGATTTTGCACCAGGAGCTGTTTTTCGAGGAGCTGACAGCTGCACTGAAGGAACCTTGCCGATTGTAGCAATTGCAACCGAGGACTTCATGCATGCCTCCGTGAATAACCGAAGTTGTCTACACTGATTCAAACGCTGAAGAGTTGAATATATATCAAGATTCTGTGATCCAGTCGTAACACTTGGATTCAGAATCGGAAGAGGGTGAATTTGAATGGAAGCTCTCTCTAGGAAAGACGTTGCTGCTGACGCAGAAGCCTTGGGCACCGCTTCGTCTGATGAGTTTCTGCGTTCCATTGCAGCTACAATCTGACGTTTGTGCTCTTTCATGCAACGAAGACTGTTACTGATCTTCTGCAGTGCTACCTCAACATCTACTAAAAGGAAATGCGTTGCGTTGGGAGCCTTGGTCAAGAACCGGGCACCATTTACCACGATTTCCTTGTATACACTTTCCACCAGGTTTCGCTTTTGTGATCTTGGAAGTGTGCGGTATAGGTTCTTGTATTTGCTTGTGATTTGTCGCATGCGTTGGTTTCCGGGATAATCTTGCAAACTCTTGCCTCTACCGAAGATGATATCTTGCTCTTTTGTTGTGTCAACTCGCTCGGCGTTGATGTCGAACGCGTGTTCGAAACGCATCCGATGGTTCCTCAGGCTAGTGTATTGGTCTAAGGATGTCAGCTGTGTAATGGCATTTCGTGTGGAGGCTGATGGCGGTTGATTATGAGACACTGTTTCTTCTGGTTTTGGTTTTCCATCAGATATGCTTGATCGTCTATTCATCTTAATAGTGTATTTCTATGTTGTGTTTCCAATTGGTGGAAGTAGGAGCTGTATATGGCAAATGAGATGACAGGAGGAAGAATCGTTCTAATATCTAATGGTACGGCAATCATTGTGCTTGTGCGATACGTGCAACGTTTGCTGTCACCGAGAAGCAGCGAGTTGTTGAAAGCGGGGATGCTCATTTTGGGTTCAAACGCACATCCGAAGTCACGTCTCATGTCGGGGTTGAGAGATGATGATTGGTGACAGCGAAAGCCAGGTGACATTGTGATGGAAGCACCATAATTTTGGGACATTTACAGCTTTGCATCGGGACCTTGGTGTTCACACTTGAGGCTGATGCTACGATTCCAGCTCAAGGCATATTGCTTCTACTGCATTCGTGATTTGCTTTTGACAGTTACAAATAGCTCTCCCCCTCAACAAGAAAGTCGTCGATAGGCCGCGAGCCTCTTGCATCGTCTCGGCTTGGCTTGTCGTAGAAGTTAACACAAATAAAGAATGCTGTGCTGATATACGTTGCGTTGAATCTCAGTGGATTCTTCCTTGTTCAGCTTGAAACTCTCGGCATTCATGCAACGACTGCTGTGCGAAATGCCTTAGCCAAAGGATGGACTGCTTTGGAACTTGCAGAGTCAGGGTAGATTGCATCACATCAATGAGATGCGATTGTGCAGGAAGCAATAAGATTCCATCCTACGCTGTCCGTATTAATTGGGCCATTGGGGTGAGTCTGCGAGGTTTGGATCGAAGCCAATGATACGTTGGCATGTTTTGATTGTCCAATCGTCTTCAGCACCGGAACAGCACACAATATCTGGCCGATTCCTTGTATCAATTATGTTTCTCCTCGACACAACGAAACCAAGTCGGAAGATTTGATTTTGTGCCTCTTGGATCATCACAGAGGAACCAACTCCTCTTTGCGTCGCTCTCGAGCAAATGCTCTCAACGATGCAAATATCGTTTTGTGGAGTTCGCGACAAGGCACTGTACATTATTCGTTCTTACGAGCCATCCCAATGCAGCCCAGCAGCTCAGTTGGCAAATGGATCCAATATTCATCGAAGGAAACTATCAGAATTGATCGGATAAAACAGAGGAAGGAACAAGAACAAGAACACCAGCACCAACCCCCAAACTTTGCCATCCTTCTAAGGAGATCTCCATCGTCAAGACATCTCTATTGACAAAACCTGGCTTCTGTGCTCACATCACAAAAGCGTTCAAGGCAATCAGCTCAACAAGCCAGCAGTGAAGGTACGAGAAGTGACCAAGATCCAAGACTAGAAGGTTGGAGTTTTGTGAGAGAAAAACGCTCGTACTTGGTGGCAGAACCGAAGCCCTAATAGAATAGGGCATAAATGTTGAAAAATGATGACTCGTACAGTCTTGTTGATATATATTGAGTGGATTTTTTTTGTTTGTGGCGGAAAGAGATCACTTTGACCTCTTTGATCCCCGATCCTGTGGTACATCCAAATTGAACCTGCATATGCGTCGACAACTTATTGTGTACGAGTAGATCTGCATTGAGTCTAGTATTGCAAAGTCGCAAGATACAAGGAGTTCGTGTCTATATGATGTTTTTTGAAAAACTTCCACGATAACTGGTTCGACAATGCGTTGAGACGGTTATCTACTGGCAGAAGCGGTATAAGTTAGATCAGGAGGATACGGCGTCTTTTTTGGATTCGAACGAAATGAAAGGCGAGGAGCATACCCCGCCAACTGGTGGGTATTGGTTTGATAGAGGATTTACTACACCATCCTTCGTTTTTTCGGCTTGGGCTCTTCTGTTTCTCGTGCCGTTAATAGTCAAACAACAACTACTCCACGACGCAAGCTGAGCACAACTCTCTATTTGGCTTCCTTGGATCAAAGTGGCACTGAGCACTCCTACCCGTGAATTGGTATTGCTTTTCAAGATACAAATGTCGTTGGACTGTATCTCATAAAAACAGTGCTCGGGGTCAGTGCTCGGAATCAGTTGCAGATAGGAGATCGCTAGTCTTTTGTAAGATCCCTTTCACATCAAGTCGTCCACCGACAATCACCAATGGAATTTCGCACTACATGCATGGACTTTGGCATATCATTATGCATCTGGGAAGCCTGTTGGGGAAGCATTTGAGAACGAGATCATGAAGTTCTTCATCCAAGCAATCGTGCCACACCTTCCAGGCAAAGAGAGGACTAAGACTTCGACATGAACAAACGATCGCAAGAAAAGCCTTCAAGATACCGACCTCGCGGAAGCTCCCAACCAATGGCCACACATTAGCAGGTGCATATCAAGTTGAATCTCTTTTTTTACTATTCTCTTCCTGCCCGCAGCTGCCAGGACCAGCAATTTCAACGCCACAAGAACTAGGCATGTATGCCGCTGGCAAGATTGTTCTTTGCAGATACGATGGCATACCAGCCTTGGCAAGGACATTTGAAATTGGTTGCGGTCTCAGCTGATATGGATCCCAATATAATGACTTACACCGCTGCAGATACAATACATCAACTGCAGTGGCTGGTCGCAGTGGTCGCTCTTGGATCAGCCGCAAAGTGTTTTCTCGAAGCAATGACATTGTTTGTGTCCGCTGGCTCAACATCAATAATGGTGATGCATGTGACAGCTTATTCATTGTATGGCTTGAATTGAGTGCCTCCGGAGCTTTTGATATTTTTGACGGTGTTGTTGTCGTCGTCTTCATTGTGGTCGCCACAACCGGAACTTTGTGCTCGGAAACTGCGGCTTCGTGAGATACCGCGGCTTCACCATTATTATTCACTCCTTTCTCAGTTGGTGTGCGGTTCTTTCTGCATCGTAATGTGTTTCCTACTTTCTGCAAGGCTACCTCGATGTCAACGATAACGAAGTGTTCGTCGTTGGTTGCTTTTGTCAAGAATCTCGACCCTCCCCGAATGATCTCCTTATATACTGCCTCTATCAGATTTCGCTTCTGGCATCGTTCGATTGAATGATAACATGGTTTGTACTTGTTGATTATGATTCGCATCCTCCTATTTCCTGGATAGTCCTGCATGTTCTTCCCACGTCCAAAGATGACGTCCTGATTGCGGAGGCTTGTGACCCGCTCAGCATTAGGATCCATTGCATCCTTAAACCTAATACGATGGTTTCTCAGTGCAGTATAACGATCAAAAGGCGTCAAGGTCGTTGTCTGTATGGTGCTGCCGTCACGAGTCCTGTAACTGTGAGTTTCCTTGCTGTTACTGTTATTTGTTTCGGAAGACGACATCTGGTTGGTGCTAAAAGTAAGCTAAGTGTATCAGTATCAGGTATGCTTATTGCATGTGCTATGACCAAATCCTTGAGTGCTTGAACACCATGGACTGAACACACAAATGGATGTTGTAGTACCAGATGTACTCTGCTGCGGGCGGTAGGCAGGATTTTGGGATGTACTGCTCTCTGGTTCGTCGGCTCAAAACAAACCCCGCGAATTAACTGCGGTTGGAACGCGATCAAACCTTTCTTCAAGGCGAAAATTGTAAGTAGAAACAGTATGCAAGTAGACAGATCAAATAATAGTTTGGGCTCGCCATGAGTGTCGATCGTTTCTCCTCTTCTGATGCGGCATCAGTGTGCTGGAGAGTGGCTGCACAGGTTTCTCAAGGTCCACTATTTGATCTTTTTAAGTGATGACTTTCCCCCATGCCACTATCATGACCTCCTATTACCGCCTTTCACCGTAGTAGGGATGAATTGTCATGAGCTCATGAGCTCCGTCGACGTCAGATATAGTTGGTGTAGCCGACAATCCAATTGACAGAGTCATTACACTGACATTGGGACCGCGTTTGGCTTCAAGGATTCATTTTCCTCTTAAAAGGTAGAAAAGCCTTGCATAGTGCAAGTTACATCGACTTTTTCTGATCAGTGGACAACTGAAGTATTTGTACCCAGATCGATACTCCCAGATCTAATTGCAAATTCATGAAATGTCTTCCGTGGAATCCACAAAAGAAGCGAAACCATTGGTTCAGGTGAGACCTTCCATCCTATATGGTGACAATAGCGAAAGACTACAGTGGGTGCATGAAGCAAGCCATTCGTAGTCTGATGATAGGGAGCGATATGCCAATTGGCGGTACAACCAGTTGTGTCTGCAATGACTCGAGTTTGAAATCGCCAGGAAGCCTCTTCACGTCCTTCACACCAGGATCTTAGGCGAGAAGCATTGCGGCGCTCAAATCGCATGCGGCGCTATGCTCATGATCTTTTCTACATCCTTGCGGTGCTATCCAAGATAGAAGACTATGTAAGCCAATCTTTTCAGACCTAGGATCGCGACGATCCATTCTGGCGCATGTGTGCTTTTGGGTTGAACTTCGCCTTCGCAAGCTGTGATTCACCGGCCCAATAGCTGCCCCATTGAAGCCTAGGCATGAATACTCGTCAAGCGATTGCTAGCTTGTTCAAACGCAAAAGCGAGTGGCTAGCAAGATTCTGCTTTGGTCTACTACTTCTGCATTGGTCCGGGAGAAGCCCACTGCGAATGAGGAAGATGCAAAAGCCGCTATTCAAGAACTTGATCGGGTACAAGATACACTCCTCCACTGATGCATATACATTAGCTGCACACAAAATGTCTCGATTCATTGAGCGATATTTGGATCCAAACCAAAAGATATACCATTGAAAGTGTACTGTATCTTGAAGATTTGCCTCAGTTCTTGGTCTCCTGTGCCTACCATAAAATCATCATGTGATGTATCCGATACTCTGTTACATTCAAAGAGGGGAGACAATGAATTGCAGATGAATGTCGTGGCCATGGCGTGATGTGCATTGGCCCTGCCCCAAAATAAGTGCAACAGTGAAACCAAGAGCATTTTGGACGATCTACGGTCCAAGAAGTGGTCGTGAATGTGAGCATTTGGGCCAGTAAACAAATGCATGCAATATGCCAGTGCTTCGACGGGCTACATAAGGAAAATATATTGGCTCGTATCATCTCTTATTATGAGACATTTTCATAAACAACGGAATATCAATCGAAATTCAAATTAGGTGCATCAACGAAAAAGTTCATTATCTGTGGCAAAAAGATAGCCAACGGTGTGCTACAGTACCAGGGGACCAGGGGTACCCAACAGGACCAATCCAATGTAGATGCTGGTAGCCAAACACCATCACGAAACGGATACAGGACACGAATCTAACTTTATCTTGAGTTATCTTAAGGTGTCGAAAGGATTGTTATTCGGACAAGGCATGCATGTGACTGCTAGCCATTCGAGCTTTGGTAGTACACGTACGGTGGGTCCCAATCCATCCCAGTATATCAAGGTAGAGCGTTCTCATTTATTCCCATTCGAAGCTGCAATTCCGTGGACGTGACCTTGGCAAAGCTTTTGGTAATGATTGTCTGGGGCTGTGGCTTCCTCTAGGATAAAAATCTCAACAGCTACAGTATCCGTCAGCGTGATTGCGCAACCATTTGGGCACAACAGAACTTACTTCAGACACCACTTGTCCTTCCAGTATCGTTCGCCAAAGGAGTAAACATCGCATTAAGGCTCTGAGGCGTCGCAATCTTGAAGCCATATTGGAATCGATTATCATTCACTCTTGCCATGGTGAAATCATCAGTGAGGCTCATCCGGGGTTGGACGTCGAACCTTGGGCTCGTTTCGTCGGCATTGACAACTTTGATGATGGTTGCCTGATGCTTCTACCAGTTGCTACAAACGATGTCATCCGAGCGCCTATCATCGACCGAAGATAAGTGTATTGATTCAAATGCTGCAGAGTCGTCAACATACCAAGGTCTCGCGGTCCTGGAATCAGGTTGGACGACAAAAGACGCGCTGCATTGACCCCTTTCAGCACTTTCTTTGATGGCGGTTGATCACCATCAAATCTATGAGTGACTTGATGCCGAGATGATGTTGGTTCAGGTGTCAATGAAGAGGCTGCTGTTGACATGAAAGCCTTGGACACCACCGCTTTTGGTGAGTTTCGGCGTTCCATTGCAGCTAAAAGGAGCTGACGTTTGTGCTTCTTCATGCAACGTAGACTGTTGCTGATCTTCTGAAGTGCTACCTCGACGTCGACTAAAAGGTAATGCGTTGTGTTGGGAGCCTTGGTCAAGAACCTGGCACCGTTGTTTACGATTTCCTTGTACACAGTCTCCACTAAGTCCCGCTTTTGCGATTTCGGAAGTGTGCGGTAAAGGTTATTGTATTTGTTTGTGATTTGCCGCATGCGTTGATTGCCAGGATGATCTTGCAAGCTCTTTCCTCGACCAAAAATGACGTCTTGTTGGCTTGCTTTGTCCACGCGCTCGGCGTTGATGTCGACTGCGTCTTGAAAACTCATGCGATGGTTCCTAAGGGCAGTGTATTGATCGAAATATGTCAGCTTTGTAATAGCATTGCGTGTCGATGGCTTTATTGAATAAGCTTGTTGCCCCTTTTTCGTTTGTTGTTCTGTAGACATCTTCAAGCGCTAGTGACATGAATGGATTGGACACAAGGCCTTGTCAATCTTTGGTGCTGATAGCTTGAAAGGCGTGCTGCGTAGTGACAGGTATTGGTGTTGATGTGTCCACAGTGTGTTCACAGGTGACTCCGTGTTATAGTACAGCACCTTGCCTTCAAACACCAAACAAGAGGGAAGAGGAAAGGCATCGAAAGCGGGGATATGCGTTGAATTTTGGGCACAAACGATGGAAATTGCAATCATATTCGAATATGAGAAATGGGAGGTCATCTACAGTAGAAAGCGATTGCTCACTGGGAATGTCAATGACGGTGTCATTGTACCTAATCGAATGGATATTGGATGCTTTGATATGGGGTTCCCTAGGACACATCACTAGCTTCAATTGAGTTTTGTTCTCATGCATGAGGATGATAAAGAAGAGCGTCTACATTTTGGGGGACGAGAAAGCATGTAAGAAGCAACAATTCACCAAAGCAACAATTGGGTTTGATAGAATGGATATTCATACATATAATTGGTTTGTGCTCCCTCACCTGGGGTAAGAAAGCCCATGGCAAACGGCTAAGATGGCGATATCGTGACAGGGCAAAATGGTGGAGCTGGACAGCCCCAACAACAAGCTAGCTTCGCCGCCCAAGAAGATGAAAAGGGGAAAATCCCTCCTTTCGGTGTGCCAAAAAGTTGATCATGCTCTTTCAATGGTTCAAGACGATCTGCAAGCTACTTTTGTCGGACAAATAGATATAAAGGGCACAGTAAGATTAACTGAAACTGGGTTTACATTCAACTGCCAATCCCCAAATTTTGCAGGCCTTATTTAGTTGTATTTTGCGAACCTGACGTATTCCGGTAGTACGGCGGTACCACCTGACTCCTGAAGGTACCGTTTTTGGTGGCGGATTGAAACCTGATTTTGAATTTTGTTACGAATGAGAACTATCCTTGTTACATCCTAAATCTCCAAGGCTCCAATTTTGATAGTACAGTTGTATCAAGCGCTCGATCGTCCTTATTCTTGCTACCTACGTCATGGGCGCTGGCTTCTTTTTACTTTCAAGCTGGCTATTTTGACAGACCTCCGCTCGAGGAAATGATCTTGGATGGAACTTTGTACTTCTTTTGGCTGCCACCACTTCTAAGGATATTGGTGGAATTGTTATGCGCTTACTGGAAGGGTCCAATGATGCCGTTTCGTATGTGGCGTCGCCTGAACAGCTGGCCATGCCCGCTCAAGTCTATGGATCTCCAAAAGGATCTGAATCGCTTTCCGCAGGACTTTACATCGATAATCCCAACACCGACGATCATCCTCGTTGGGGTCTTGGCTTTGCCATCCAGGCAGTATCTGATCAAGAAGCTAAAGCCCTTTTAACCAAGGTTCAAGCAGCCGATCCTTTAGATGAACCTATGCGTCTTGTCAAGATTCAGGACGGGATTAAGATTCTTCGGGGACGCATTCCTTGGAGGAGCATCGCCACTCCTGTTGTTGCCCCATATCTCCATTGGGAGCGATACTATGATATTTACAAGAAGGGTGGATACACCTCTAACAATGGTCGCCCCGATAATCACGAAGGATCCGTTGCTCTTGAAATCTATGTTACTGGACCTAGCGATTCCTTCATGTATATTGATTACATCATTCTCATGGGGAACACCAGCGCCTTTTTCATCCGAACCATCTATTACTTCTATTACTTCCGCAACTGCCTTCGAAGAAGTCCTAGCGGCACAAAACAAGGTGGAAGTGGAGATCAACCCAGTGCCTGTTGATCCAATCTCCGACGAGAACGACGAGGTTGCTTAGGAATTAAAAACTGTCGTACCTCAGAAGCAATTCCTAAATTGAACATGATATATAAATACACGAGTTAATGTTGTTCTTGTTTTCTTTTCTGTTGCTACGAAAATGTCGCAAATGGCCCATCACACGCACTACAAACCGTACTAAATGGCATTTGCGACTACTGATGCAAGTGCAACTAGCGAAACCCGGTTTAGTCCTTCTTGGCCTTGGCGAATCCAATAGTCTTGTCGTTGTAGTTAAAGACGGTATAGTATTCTCTCATGAAGACATCACCCAAGATCCATTGAGGACCAGGAGCGGGGAAGTCAATACCCATCAAGGCAAACAAACAAGTGCCTTGAGCTTGGATGATAGCCTTCTTTCCTGGGATGGTGTATTCGATGCCTCCAATAGTAAAGACAATGTCAGGGAGATCATCAATCTTCTTGCAGTCAATGGTGTATTCGCCAACAATATTAGCGGTGGCACCAGCAGCAGCGGCAATCTTGGCGACATCGGCCTTGGGTCCAGCCAAAAGACTTGTTCCAGAATCGACAATGGCAGTGATCTTGTCAGAGCTCTCCTTTTCGAAATCTCCTGCCACGATCTTGTCCAAGGTGATTTGCCAGTAGGTGGCAGCATCCAATTTTACGTATTCGAGGTCGCCTTCAAACTTGGAAGAATCATATCCTCCAAAAGTCAATTCTCCTGGAGCATTGTCTCCCAAGTAGAAAGAAAACATGGGTTGCGCTAGCTTGTTTTGCTTGAGGGCATTCTCAAAGACAGTGGTAGCCCCATCGATGCTGATGGATGTGAAACCCAGTCCAAGGATTCCATCAAACTTGCCCAGGGAGTAAGCAATTCCAAGACCACCAGCATCTTCGATCTCGGCGAATCGTTGTCCTTCAATGATAATGTCATCCGCGATAGTGACAGAATCCTTAGAAAAGTAACCTTTCACAGATCCGCTACCGTACATGATATTGAACTCGGCTCCATCCTCCATGTATGAAGAACTAGTTTGGTGATCGTACTTGGACTTCTTTCCAATGAATGGAAGTCCACAGTGCTTGCAGCCAACCTTGGGGACCCAAAGATTGGAAGATCCAGTGTCAAAAATGACTTCGAAGGATTGGGGAGGACTTCCAATGGAAATGGTGCCGTAGTATTGAGCGTTGGCATAATCCTTGATGGATTCGGACTCTCCCTTTTGAAAGGAATCCGCTTCTCCTCGCAATTGACGGCTTTCAGAAGACCCCTGCGATTGATCTAGGTGCAAAACTTGCTTCAAGGCATCACGTTCACGAGTCAAGTGCGCGTTGATCATTTCATCGTTGGATTTTTTGTGGAGGGTCACACGAGTGAGATCCGCCATGGCCGAGGAGGCCAACAACAAACTAACGCAAGCTTTATTCGGATGGATAGGGAGAAGGGGGAGGAGATGTTAGTGACATGGTGACACGTCGACAAAGATTTCAACGGTCATCAGAAATGAGACAGGGATTCTTGTTTCGACCAGAATTCAGTCATAATCAGTAGGAGATGATAGGCCCCTTTTACTGCATCTATTCAGTCAGTGTATGTCAATCACTAGGCACTTACCAGAAAACTTCATGGTCTTTTAATATGCTATCGATAAAATGTGGTTCGTGGAGTCTTGGCAATAATTTTGGGCTTCATCCGTATTCTTTTTCGGAACGAAATTGACGCAATGTGAATCGTACATTGGATCGGATTGATTCATTCGATCGAGTTAATATGTCGACACATTCGACTTCTTCGGTTTGATGGACCCGTCACATGCACGTGTGGACGATGCGCGGCTGAGAAAGATTGAATATATTATATGTGATGATTTCTTTCCGCCTCCTCAAACTAGCGTTTCTATCCATAATCACAATTAATATTTCTTTGCTCGTGCTTTCAACTTATTTAACAACTTAGTAGTTTATATCGGAAAAATACCACCGCGTCTATTTATGGGTTTCTGATTTCAATAAATTTGAAAAATCAGTTGGCGTACTTTCACATCTATTTCAGTCTCCGTTCCACTCAGAATTGAGACTTTTGCGAACTTCCTACAGCATTCGACTACTGGTGAGCGGTGAGCCTGTAAAAAATCGTAAATAGCATTTTTCACGTCTTGCTCTCGTAGCGTTGGTAGGTAGTACGCTACCAGAAACCACTTTCAAATAGGACCTTCTTGGTAGTGCAACTTACTTGTTTGCTGGTACCACAAAAACAATTGTTTGCCAACGAAACAAGACAACAACGAAAAAAAAGAGAAACGGTAAGTAAGTATACGAAGAATGGAATGCCATCTCTGTCTTGTAAACCATACCAATCATTCACACGCCCCCTCGCTGACCTATAGAATACAGAATTTATCATGAGTGCTGAAGCAGGAAAGCCCGTTGTGCCAGTCATGGTACCGGCGGATGTCGACATTCTTCTCGGCCGTGGAAAGCCTTTCCAGAATCATCCTGGAAATCAACGAATGCTGACTTTGGTTGACAAGTACAGAGATAGGTATCAGGTAGCTGAACGCAAGGAGAAGCATGATATTGTCGAAGAAGTTATGGGTCTCATAAGTGGTAGCGGGGGTCGTTTCCTCAGACGCGTGGATTATGAGAATTATTGGGTCGAGGTCGCTCATGCTGTTGCATACCGCAAGGTCGGTCACGCATTCCGAAGTAAAGCTCGCAAGACTGATAGCAGCAGCAAACCCGCCCCTGAAATGACGAGACAAAGAGTTGAGGCTCCTGCTCTGAACAACAGTGGTATGGCACCATCTAATATGGAGGAAATGCTTCTGGCTGACTTGAGAATGCGAAGAGCAGCACTACACCAAGCTGACTTTCTCAATAACATGAACAATGTCAATATGAACAATATGAATATGAACAACATGAATATGAACAACATGAATATGAACAACATGAATATGAACAACATGAATATGAACAATATGAACATGAACAACATGAACATGAACAACATTGCTGCTATGGCTGCAGGCACCCCGCTTGAAAGATTCCTATTACCCACTCTTTACAACAACATTGCCGCTGCAGGTTTCCTTCAACAAGGCCTTCAAGGAGGCCTCATGAATCCTAATGTGTTGGCTGCCAATGCTGCCTTGATGGGAAATCCTGCATTCAATAATGCAGAGAATGGAGAGGGCCAAAAGGCTTCAGCCGCTCCATCTCAAGAAGTCTCGCCTCAACAACAAGAGACTCCTCAAGAAAATGGTACTCCTGCTGATAATCTTGCCCCTGTGGCGTCTGCGGCACCTTCGGGACCACCTGTGGCACCCCCACAACCATCAGCACTCCCAGCAGCGGTCGTGTAAATAAAATGTGGAATTTTGTTGCATACTCGAACTGTACTACTGTGCTGTATCATTTACTACATGATATGATTCAATCTAGCCCTATAACCTACCAAGTCCACAATATGCATAAATAATATTGGGTTCAGATCGCAATGTTCAAAACATTGTGATGTCGCTCTACAGATCATCTGTAACTGTGTATCAAAAGGAGTGAATGAGTCTTTACGATGTCGCAACAATGCGACTAGTGCTACAGTGTTTCCACTTATGATTGTTATGCTACACATATTTCCATTCTACCCTTTCCTAATGTCAATCAATATACATCTAATTCAGTGTTGTATCTACCGTAAAGCAAACAAAAACGCTAGCCAAAGCATCACCATACTGTACCAATGGTACAGTATGGTACTGCAAAAGGGTATCGGTACTCAAAACAAGATTCATTCAATCTGATTGGTCATTTGACGTCCAACGTATGTACAAAATGTACCAGCGACCGCATGGATCTGAAAATTCAATCTGCGATGTCATCACAGTCATCAAGCTTGGAGAAACTGCATACTGCACCGGTACTCGTAACAGCAGGATAGAAGGAACGATTAAACCAATAGACGAAAGGTTTCCAAGCATCTATTGTCTTATTAAGCAGTCTACCTTGACCTCTGATCCCTGTTGGAATCTATTTCTATAGTATTATACGATTGATTGAAAAACTTGTTGTTGGAAATCCACACACGAGAACAAAAAATGAGAGAAGGAGTAGGACGGATACTCGTCAGTGACGATACGGCAACCCCCGCCGAAACGAACTTTGAAAGGTTTGTGGATGCTATTATGGGTCTCGCCTTTTTGATTACGGCCATATTTGCAGCAAAACGCATGACTTGGACGAGGCAACAAGGAGGAGCGGAAACCACAGTGGTCACTGCCTTTTACTCCTTGATTTTGTTGACATCTGTCCTCCGAGCCATCTTTTTCTTGATTCCTGCCACGGTCTGGGTTCCGAGCTATGTGCCCGTAGCAGTCTTTGCCTGGGATCCAGATTATCCATCATGGATTGGAGCAGCTCTTTCAGAATTTGTCCTCATGTCTGGATCCCTGGCACTGTTCAGTATCTTTATTCTCATTTTGGTGTACTGGGCGGATATCTTGAAGAAGTATTTCCATCCTGCGTCACGGCGTTCGATTCCAATGGTGACCTTTTTGGGATTAGTGGCACTTTTGGTGGTTCTGGAACTTATCAATGCTGGATGCTTTTTGTTTGGATTGTACACTACGGAAGGAATGATTCTCTTCAACTCTGTCTTGTTGGCCGCGGTATCCATCATCTGTGTCTGTGAGATTACCATCTTCTCGCATCGCTTCCGAACAGTGTTGAAAACATTAGGAGCCATCAATCAAGTGTCTACCGACAGTCAGGTGAAGAGAATCCGCTGGATCACAGTCACAGGGAACTTGTTTTTCTTTACTCGGGCATTCTTAGAAAGTGTCTTGTGCATTTACTTGGTCCTTTGGTGGAAGGATGAACGTACTGTTGCTCGAACGTTCAGTCACTTTTGGTGGGATACCTATGTCATGACAAAATCCTTCTCGGAGATCACCATCTTGTCGCTCATGTTGTATATTCTGCAATCGAGATTTGCGGGGGCAGCTGTGGCAGCGGCACGTCCATCACCTGCGGAGTATGTAAGTGTTCCAAATGCAGAACCAGAAAAGGGGGCATCCTTAGATGTTTAGATTCAGTTCCAATTGTTGGAATCGTGAGGGAGATTTGTTTGGACGAAGGCGAAGTAGGAATGTAAATAGCTCATCTAGTGTAAGCATCGTCAATTGTTTGATATGATTGATACAAATCCTTATTGCAACCCTGTGCATGAGCTAGGATTATCATACTGGTTCCTAATTTCAATTCTTCAAGTCTACATATTCTTTTTAGCCATTATCTATCAGCCGTATACGTTATCAAAGATTCCGTCAAAGTCTCTCCAAACCCCAGCCTTGGAACAGTCTCCATTGATTGAGTGTCTCCCAATCTTTTGCCGGCAGTAAGGACATGTCATATTGTCTCGATGGATCCAACTTTCCAGGCACTTTTCATGAAATGTATGGTTACACACTCGTATTAAGGATAGTCTTTCTCTAGCATCTAGATCATCCAAGCAGATTGCACATGTGGTATCTTGTGAAATCAGATTTTTATTATTTTCGTCTTCGTTCAGACAGAAGGATTGAATGGCCAAGTCGTGCGTTGTTCTAAAGGGGGCAGCATCACAGGATCGATCGGAAGCCAACTGCGAAGAAATCATACATCGAACCAGAAAGTAGGCGATGCTGCAGATGACAGTAAGCGTCACTTCCGTTCCGCTGAAGCCACAGAATCTTCCAACTGCCAACAGAAATAAACTCAGACCGAAAGCAACGGAAAAAGCCACAATCCAAGCATAAACCTGATAGCATAACTGGATAGGCTGAAGTATCATGGTTGTTGAACTCTGTAGCATTTGTTGCTAGTATTTGGAAGAGTCGCCGTCTACCTGTATTTATATTGGCATGAGAAATAAGAATCGAATCCTTGAACTCCCTCTATATGTGCAAAGAACACCGGAGGCATCACCTGTGTCAATGTGACTGCCTGTCCTCCCATCGGGCGGGAGTCACTTTCTCACACCAATGAAAAGCTCATCAACAGAAAAAAATATTGAAACAACCAATCTACAGCAATCATGTCCGAGGTATCGACAAAAGACGAAGCAAAGACCGTTATCAAAGGACGGAGTGTATCGGGTCGAGCGTGGAAGAATCGAAACCAAAAGAGAGCTTCGTCGCTGATCAAAACATCATTCAATGGGCAAACGAAAACATGGGAAGAACGTCAACAAGAAAAGCTAGCACGGAAAGAAATGCTTGAGATGCAAAAAGAACTGCAGGAAGAGAGACGGCAATCTAAAATCACAAAGAAGGAGCGCAGATTAGAAAATGAAAAAAGAAGAGCCGAAAATGAATTCAAGAATGCTCAGAAATTCACAAAGGCACTCAACATCAACAAGTTGCCGTCGACAATGAAAGCCATGTCCAAGAAGCAGCTACGACAAATCAAGAAGACTCGTCTCAATACCAAGACTGGTGTTGTGGAATACGTTCCAGCATTTTCGAAGTAATCCAGCTATTGCGTCTCTGGTGTGCGCCCCGTGTTATTACGAAGTGCGAGGCAAAACACCACAAGTTGTACAATTGAAATTATTTATAGTAGCATGTACAGAATAAAGCAAAGCGTATGACACTAGTTTATCGTGAAGGGCAATGCGGAATCTGAAAAGAGTGGAAAGAAAGAGTGTGCGTACTACAGTAGTACCATGATGGTGAGGAGGAAGTCCAGCAAGAATTACAGATTTACTAGAAAAAATCCAAACCTGTGCGGTGACGCGAAATGTCTCTAGTCAAACTTGGTGCAACATTTGCTCTCTCCCGAGCTGTGATTACGGTACCCGGTACCGGTATCTGTAATACACTGTTTCAGCAAGAGCATATTTTTGGTTTCACTCAGTGGTCAAAACAGGAGTCTCGCGTTGCGACGTCGCGCCGACATTTGACCCGGCGCGGTCGAACAATTAGCGAGCCACATTTTGATTTCGAAGCAACATTCCTGAAACCACTAACTTTTCGACACCACACTGGTCAGTCGTTGTCAAGACCCTTTCGTTAATCGAATTTCAAACTATGCTTTCCAAATTAGGGTCTGCATCTAGAAGGACATTCTCCGAGAAGGAGTCCCTGACTGTGAGCGAGGCCCTTAACGATGACAACGATATCTTCATTACAGAATCCATAGAGAACTCGTCGGTGCTCGGAAACACAAGCTATGTTGGACATGTTGAGGCACCGGCGTTGCCATTTGAAGACGATAAGGACATTTATGCAGAAGAAAGTGAGAGTAATACAGTTACATCGACGTCGACAGACTCTTTTGGCACGCAACCCTTCCCAGCAGGAGCAGGAAGACTTTCACTGCCACAACGATTCACAAGAACGATACCGAAGAGAGATCAGTTATCCAAGCTCAAGGAGGATATGCCTTGGGCAATATACGGGAGTGATCCTGTTTCAAGGCTTGCAATTGATGCATTGGATGGCGGGGACGATATACATATTTCTGCATCGTGTGAACAAGACGATTTTTCAGTCGTTGGAAATTCCAGTGTTGCACCATTTGAAGCCCATTCTACAACCAGTGAGACGGATAAAGACAACTACACAGCAACTATTGCTACCCCATCAACTAAAACAAAGAAAGGATTGTTCCGAAAACTATCGCTGACCAAAAAGATAACAAGAATCCTTCCCAGTAAACAGTACGTTTCAAAGCTTTCGAGGCTGACGGAAGATGTTCCATGGAGCATGAATAGCCAGGAACAAATATCCAGACAGGCAGATGAAATTTTGAACGATGGCGACGACTTTTTCATCACGAAATCATTCGAGCCGTTGGAGGCGGATACGTCTTCCGTGCTTGGAAATTCAAGCTACGTATCTGCCGCAAAATCGACTCCACTGCTACCTGGAGCCCCTGTAGATGAGAAAAGAGACGACATCTCAGCTCATGGACCTGATATAAACGACACATCAAGAGCAATGAATGAGCCGAAGACTATCAGGACTGGAATACGAAAGACAAAAGTCTCAGAAAAACTAAAAAATGCGATACCAGCTCCGGTCACCCAGTCATTCAAAAGCGCCATCCCCGCCGCAGAATACATCAGAGGTGCAATTCCAACACCAGTCGCCGAAAGACTGAAAAATGTTCCAAGCAGCGTCGTGAGTTCATCGCAAAAGCTTATGACTTGGCGACTGAAGTCAACGGTCAAAAGTGAATATCGAACTCCCTTGGTTTCAGAACATCAAGAAATCAGCGACGGTAGAAATGATAATGCAAAAAACCTCCCTCTCGATTCAAAGTACGGCACAAGCACTCCTGAGAGTCAAAAGAAGCTGCATCCACGGAGAGCATCCATGCAGGTATCCTCACCCATCTCAATGGGTCAAGAGATTGCATTTCCCTTATCGACCGACAGCGAAAGCCCGAGGAGTCGAAGCCTGACATGGGACAGTGCAAGTTGCTCTGACATGAGTGAGATTACAGAACCTTCCGTGTATTCGAGATCCCGATCATTTAGGAAGGCGCATTCTATGTTCGTTGTTCAACCTTCGAATAGCTTGCTTGGGCTTGGAAGCGCTGATGAAGATTCAGAAGTTAGTATGGATGGGAATGGATCGATAACATCAAGTTCGAAGAATCGAGGTTCTAGACTGACTCAGTTGATTGGGCATCGTTCCATGACAAATCTTCCAAACATCAACGAATCAAAGCCATTCAATGTCATGTCATCAACCGAGATTTTTTCACCAATTGTTGTCAACAGCTTCCTGAATCAATTGGAAACAAATGACAAACCCATAAATGACGAAACAGATACATCATGGGATGCTGTTTCAGTATTGGGCAATGAGGATTGGCGACCAGCAAACCGCCAGCGTGTCTCCTCAGACTCGGATGTAGTGTACGAGTTTCAGCGTCAACACAGTACAGAGGACATTGACGAGGCACCAAATCAACATCTAGCAGGATTATTGTACGAAGTCCAAGACGATGACAGCCTTACTTTGTTTCTGGACAACGTCGACTCGACTGAGGAAAGCGAAACCCATGCGAAGACAGAAAAACCAACCTCGACAATACACAAACAAGTGATCAAGGACTCTGAATTTTCTGCTCATGAACTACATTCAGTCGAAGAAAGCGACTTCTGGACAGCAACGAAAGGTTTGCCTAATAATTTTATTGATGATGATGCAGCTGCTTCATGGAGCGGAGGACCACATTTTCCTTCCAATCCAATACCGGTACACACCAATGATGGTATCATGGAAGCAGATATTAATTTCGACGCGGTAGATGCATTGTGGAGTCCGCGGCGACGTTTTGCTTCAGACCCATTTGCTGCTAGCAATCCTGCTGAGAATACTTTTGACGTTGATTACGATTCGATATGGAACCACAGGCCGCGTTTTGCTTCTGACCCCGACGCCATCAGCGACCATTTGGCAGGAAGAATTTCAATCGAGAACACTACAGATTCCCATGCCATAGATGTTCTATGGAGCCATCAACCACGATTCGCTACGGACACCTCCTTCATCATGGATGATCCCAATGCTCAAAAACATGCGGTCAATGAAGATGACGCAGATTATTCATGGGGCCACGAACCGTTCGCTTCCAACTTCGAAAGCACTACAGGGAATGTTTTAGACGGGAATGTTGTTGATGTTCATGCCCCAGAGTCCTCGTGGGACTTTTCATCTGATATAGAGACCGCCAATGACGATGTGGTGAAACCGACAAGCGATCCTGGTTCAAAAGATGCTCTTTGGACTGAAGGGTCTTTATATGGATCTGACTCCGAAGTCATCGACGATGTTCCTACAGCAAATAATTCATCAGAGGATGTCGTTGCGGGCATTGCTGTCGAAGAGAGAGGTTCCGAAACTGACTCGTCTTGGGGCCAAGAAAGTACATTTGGATCGGAAGGGATGGTCGGCGAGAACGACAACAAAGGCCATACCACTGACATTGACTATAGTCCGACCTGGACCCAACGACCGCGCTATTCTTCCGAACCTGCAGTTTTCAACGATGACAAAACAGTACATACTTCGATTGAGAGCACTGTCGATATTGATGCCGCACCAGCAGATGCTTCATTGAATCCGAGACCACGTTACTTGTCTGACCCCGTCATCACCAAGGAACGGACTACCGATAAGAAAATCGACGCCGGTATTGTGGATGCTTCCTCTTCAAGCCTTGGGCGACACCTCTCGAATCGACGACGCTTCTCGTCCAAATCGGTTACCAGTAACAACGATGTTGCAGATATGACTGCTGTCTACGATGATCACGAGTCTTCGATGAGGGATGAGAGGTCACCCTTCTCGTCTACTTCCGTGGCCATCAACGAGAATGCTGCCAACTCGGAAATAGAAATCAGTCTCCATGGATCTGTGCCATCGTGGAAGTGGTCAAGCACTCAACCCAATGATGTTGGAGAATCCTCCTTGGAAATGACGCTTGATGAACAACAAGGTGCCGCCGTCGAGAAGTCTACAGAAATTACTGCTCATGATTACTATTGGAACCAATCTATTGATAGCGAGGACGATGGGGAAGAAATTCTTCTATCCGGGGGAAAGAGCGACTCTTTCGATGACATTTTTTAGACCAGGATGAGGCTAATAGTAACTACTGCTGGTTCATGATTTAGCCTCAATGGATTCGCTATTTCGTCTATCCGTGAGACGACCAACTATCCTCACAGCGATACCATCACCTAACAGAGTAAAGTTTGCTTAAAATACAGAGATAAACCATACTTTCGTTTGACTGCATGCATAGGTAGGTACATCGAAGGAGGGATACACCAATTTTGATGTGTGTCTGGTCCAGTTTTCTACTTTTGGTCCGGTGATGATTGTCGCGCACCCTCGCGCGACGTTGGTATCTTGGTGTGGATTTGTTTTCTTCCACTCGAATACCAGCCGCAAGGTTGGGATCGAGTTTAGTTCAAGTCTTCTAGCAATGATGTGTTGGTCTTCGTCTCCTTTTGGTTGACTGCCGATTGCCACCAAACCCTTTACCGGGGTACGACTTTTCGGCTTTAAGCTAATACTGAGCGCCCCCCCTCCCCAACGACCAATCGAATGCATGGGTACATCTTCTAGTACTTTAAAAATCTAGCCGGACGAGAGAGGCCATTGCTGTCTATTCGATTTTAGTTCAGGTAGCTAGCTTAGTGGTGATTTAGCGTTTATCAACAAGAGTAGTACATTGGCGCCCCATTCTTGCTCAAATGGGTTGGAAATCGGTACTTGGATCATTGCACTTGCCCGAACAGGTAGCAGTGTCAAATTGTGTTTCATTTCTTGGCCTTCTGCTGCGGCTTTAGTCTTCTGGATGATTCATTTTACCGTAAACCTTCCTTTCATGACATCTCCGAGCAAAGACCCGGCAACGATCCAATAGGTATTATCAATACAGTCACGAGAATCAAGATTCTTTGCGGAGCAACAGAGAAGCGCCAAACGTCGAGCATGATGCTCCGTTGCAACATAATACATACACCGCCTATGACACTATGAGTTCCTGGTTCGCCATCATCACCTCCCCCGATCGTCGGATCAATCACTCTATAATTCCGTGCCTACATGATCACACATGATCCATTGCTTTGTTGATTGTATTGCGGATACTTTTTCTGCCCTGCAAATTCACCCGTCGTGGGTTGCTGCCGTGGCCGCCCATTGCTTCTTTCCATGCGTTCTTGTCGCCTCTCGTGAAGCTTATCCACCACTCCTTTCTTACGTTTGAGAACCACGTCTGCTTCTTGGCGGTCAGTGGACATGTTTCCTTCCTCATAATTGTACTGCATGGTGGGAGGCCCTTGCACATCTTTTGAATAAGGATTGTTGTGATAGCTCCGACGCTTTTTACGGTCGTCTCTAGTTTCAAAGGCAAATCCCTTTCCCAAGGGTGAATTATAGTCCAACTCTCCATTCATCTTGGCCCGCTCATAAGCATTCTTGACTGCCTCGCGATACATGCCATCTCCATAGTGAAAATCATAATGCTTTTGGGCATCATGCCATTTGCCATCCGGTGGAGCATGGGGCGTATAGACTTTACGGTAGTCCGACGGAGGGGCAGCTCGACGATTTTTATTGTACCAGCCATCCGGTACTCCCCACCCAGTGGCCAAGTCATATTCCTTTCGCCGATCATTGTTGCTCAACACATTGTATGCCTCGGAGGCTTCCTTAAAGGCAGCTGCCTTGTCTTTGCAACCATCATGACGATCAGGGTGAAGAATCAGTGCCAATTTTCGATAGGCAGTTTTAATTTCTATCATGGTTGCAGTTCTACAGCACGTAGCATAGGAACAAGAGTTGTTAGTATCGACTTGCAAGAAAATGACAGGAAATTGGTTTTGTTTGTGTGTTTTTACAAACAGCTTACCTCGATACTTGTAGGACCTTGTAGAGATCCTTTTGCACACTACGCTTTGCCATCTTGTCTCGCTGGAATGATTTAAAAGGGGCTCTCTACTACAGTGCTATCAAGCATAGTTTGAAGTTCACCCACAGACACACTTCCTTTGCTTTTCTTCTGTTCTGCTGAGCACAGCGATGCCCGTGCGTGGCATGGAAGGACGGCCAGACCAAAAGATGAGGGTTCCAAAATCAAAAAGTGATACCGGTAGGGATTGATTGATTCATTTTACACGCACGCGGGATTGAATGCCCAACCTAAATTCAAAACGATTTTTGGCTCTCTCGCAGAAACGCCTCCATCACCAAACGACATCACAAAGACAATCAAAGAAGCACCATTCATAAACAACCGATTGGACAGATGCGATCCGCCCCGATAAATATTAGCGTGAGATCACAATACGATTACTTACTCAGATTTTCCATCATCCAGAAAAGCGGACCGGTACATCGGATCAAGAAGGTTACGAGTAACAGTTTTAAATGATCACTGCAGTGTCATTCTGAACAAGCAACCCCGAAAGCATGAGAGAAATGAACCGCTGGGGTGTGGACGATACGTCGCCAGTCCGATCCACCAAACCGGACCACAGTCTAAGAAGCCTATCACTTACTCCAGAACGAGGACGACAGGAATCCAAAGATCAACCAGCACCGTTTCGATCAGAAATTGAACCTCATGATGATGCTGATTGCGTTCCGCCACAACCACATACGATCCGCTCTGGTGTCAAGACTCGTGAGGTTATTAAGCGTCACTGTCGTACGCGTTCCAGATCTCTTGATATACTTTTCTCTTCAGGCAATGACGATATCGCGCCCAGCAAACCGAAACGTGTGCTGTCCAAAAGGAATGTTTTCAGACAGGAAGGAGGAAACAAAGAAGTCGGCCACCGCCGTATGCGATCTAGATCTCTTCATTTGCACATGGATTCCATCTTTGCCATTGCAACTTGCGAAAAGTCACGGGGCATGTGTGAGCCTCCTCCGTCCTTGACGAAGAGTCCACCACAAGATCGAGAATCAGCAGAAACCAAGCACAAAGCAAGTGGTAATAAAAAGAGAAATCTACACCGGCGTACACGTTCCAGGAGTCTTGATTTGAACTTGTTGAACGCCTCCAATCTACTCACTACTAATCCAACCTGTGAAAATCCGAGTGATCTATGTTACCCTACTCCATCCTGGATGGAAAATCTGTCCATGCAGAAATTCCCCAACACAAGAGGTAGGAGAAATAGTAGTAGCAATCACCGCGGTAAGCGATCCAGATCTATTGTGAAACGCGATCTCCCACCATCCCCCCCAGACCGTCGCGACAGTCACAAAATACCGGATGCTGCATTGCCAACTGAAAGCTCAAACACCGAAACGAAACTAGGGGACCAACGAACAGATATGTGCATTGCTCCCTCATTCCCTCAACGTGAGCTACTGAGGAGGATCAGTTCCTTAACCATGGATAATTCGCTTCGTTGTCAACGACGCACTGGGGCCCCTGTAGTGGTGGTCGATACTGATGCTCGCCATGTGAGGAGAATCAGTTCCCTAAGCATGGACGATTCGCTTCGTCAAAAACGCACTTTGGGCCCCGTGGTGGTGGCTGATACTGCTCACCATGTGAGGAAGATCAGTTCTCTAACCATGGACGAATCCCTTCGTCAAAAACTGACTGTGGTGGTTGATGCTGTTGAACCAAATCCACGAAATGCTCATATTGCCGAATCTACTAATCCACAAAATACTGATGCTACTGACCCTATTCCACAAAAGACTGTGCGCGAAGATCAGGATCCGCATCTTGAAGAAACGAATGGACATGTGCAAAAGTTCCCATTGGTGGTTATGCCACTCGAGGAAGAGAAACGTGGGGACGAATCTTTTGAATATGAAACCTCAAACGGTCCTCTGTCGGCCCATCAAGAAGGGAAGGAGAACGAATCCTCCGAGTTTGAAACCTCAAAGGCTTCCCTTTCGCTCCACCAAGAAATCCAAGCAAAAGAAAAGGAGCAGTCAGCACTGCCACCTCCTCCGCCACCTCCCACCAGGAGATACACGCCGCCAAGTCCGCTCTGCTTCATGGAGACTCATTCCAGAATTAGTCCTCGATTGAAGTACAATCGAAAGAACAAGACTAACAAACCCAAGCTATCACCATTCGCTTACAGCATAAGGAAACAATATCTGGCTGCTTCACAACGATACGAAGAATCAAAGGAGGCTCCTCCTGCTCCTACAAAGTCACCAAGAAGCAGCATGGACTCCATGTCGCATGACATGTGGTTGCTGGCCGACCGAACGTCAGCATCAGCGACTCAGTACGACGAGACTTTCGACGGAGAATTATCTGGGGATTTCTCCAGCCAGCCCCATGACACCAACAAGCACGAGAGCGTCAAGCCATCCAGCCTCCAATCCCAAGTCTCACGAAAGTCGAGTGGAAGCGACAGGAATAGGTTCCGCAAGCCACCCTTTCCATTGCAAACAGTCTCCACATTTCTAATGGGCTGGAAGGCAAAAAAATGAATGACTATCTCCCAGCGATGTGAATAATTATTGTCTCATGAATTATTTTAAATGTTTATTTATTTACAGTATATTAAAAAATAGTTATGAAAGTTTTGAGACTGCAACTATTCATTGATAAAATTTAGATCGATTAATACAGTGAGAAAAGGGTAACAATTGAATCTTCTGATTCCTTTCTTCATCATTCATTGATTGATTCATAGTCCAATGATGAAGGTGACTACTATCTGACTACCTAGCATAGGCCTTGTCGCCGCCATGTGAGCTTTCTGGTGCGGAAACATTGGGCGGTTGACTTCCAGCTCCTTGGTCGACCCCACGAGCAGCATAGACCTTAGAATCGTCATTACCACCAGAGCGGCTTCGTTCCTTTTCATCAACTGGTGCTTGCTTTCGAGCATCGTCGCGGCTTGCATCCAATTGGTAGGATTCTCGTTCTCGGCTCTCGTGATTCTCCGATGCCCGTGGGTTATCCAATGGACGATCCGGAGGCGCTCGGGAACGCTCCTGCTGCAGATTCAGGACAGTCCAATCAAACATATTGTCATACTGAAATCCCTTTCTGTAGAATAATTCCTTGAACAATCGCTTCAAGTAGGCATAATCGGGTCTGTCTTCAAATCGGAGCGATCGACAGTACTCAAAATAGGAACGGAACTCTGTAGCATATCCCTTGCAGAGTTGTTCGGTACTGGTAGACATCTTTCGGTCCATGATTCTCTCGTACTTTTGCTTCTTTGTGTTGGCTTTGAGTCCTTGCCAGGGCAGGGAACCCCGAATGAAATACATCAAGACGTAACCAAGAGACTCCAAATCGTCTCGTCGACTCTGTTCAATTCCAATGTGTGTGTTGATGGAAGCATATCGAGCCGTTCCAGTCAAGTTTTTGTTCTCGCGATAAGGAATGTGTTGATGAGAACGAGGATCACGGTATTTCTTTGCTAGACCAAAATCAATGATATGAATGACAGACTGACGTTTGCCAAGACCAATGAGGAAATTGTCAGGCTTGACATCACGATGGATGAAAGATTTGGTGTGCACGTATTCCAATCGACTCAATAATTGATCGGCTAGCATCAGCACTGTTTTCAATTGAAATCTTCGTCCACAATAATTGAATAAATCCTCCAAGGATGGGCCCAACAAATCGAGAACCATCACATTGTAATCGCCTTCAATACCATACCATCTGACATTTGGAATTCCCACTAATAGGTGCCATAGAAAAGAGATAATGGTGAGCAAATGCGTAAATACTCAGCACAACTAATCAAACAGCCCCATCAAAAGGCCTATTGGAACCCGGAGGAAGAACCCAGAACCCTGCTCCAACGCCTCGTCAGTCTAACTTACATCCTCCATGGAGAATACGGTAAATCTTGCTTTCGTATAGCAACTGTGGATGCTTGGTCTTGACGGATTCTAGCTTGATGGCCACTTCTTCGCCGGTTGTCATGTTTGTTCCGAGGTAAATATCACCAAACGAACCACTGCCAATCTTGCGCCCCAAGCGGTATTTCTTGCCAACCCGAAGCTCCATCTTGACTATTGGATAGCACCTATGCTATTCGATGAAAGACTTGGAACTGTTGACGATCTCCAAGAGTGCTTAGAGCAAAGTGACTCTTTGTTGGTGGTGGTTAAGCAAAGCTGAGGAGGTCTTGAGTTCCCACAATTTGGATTGAAGGGATGGCAGACAGCATCTGGCCAATGCGATTTTTCTAATTTTGCAATCGCCGCACAATTGCAGTACTGAGCTACGCAAACAGCCGGAACCAGCAGTCCTGCCGCTACGCTGCGGCTTGCGAATAAGCCATCAAAATTACAAACTGTCGCCGAGTGGTCTAATTAGTCCGTCGTTGCGCACCTAAATTTAAATTACTACAGTAACTGCCTACTATCAATAGCAGTTCTATTACCGGTAGAACTAGTGCAGCTAGGCACCATGGTACCACGAATTGGTACCACTGAAATACACACATTTCCCATACCTACAGCTGAAATGAACCAATCCACAAATTTTTCTGTTTTCCCCAATACCTACTGGATAATCATTACTATCTATACAACTGCTCGTTTGCTTGGAGCATCGTCGTGTTGTTGCACAAAGGATGTGATTGCGATGCCGTACTTGGATTCGTCTTCGAGCATACCATAGTGCGAGCAGTTTTCCAGTGCAAAAAACTCGGGACTTGGATCTGAAATAATTGTCTTCCAGCCTTCGGTGCATGTAGGAGTACAAAAATCATATTCTCCCACCAACACCAGGGTTGGAATACCAGACAAAGGTTCCAATGCTTCATAGTCGATAATGGCTGGAGCCCCCCGCCAGCCTGGAGGTCCTGCTTGTGCCAAGGCATCCGTCAGTACCAATGGGAGTGCAGGCAAACGACATTCGTGAGTTTGAAGAAATGCCTCGGAAAATCGTTGCGGCTGTTTCAATTTCGTTTCTTCCTCTTTCTCGGCCGCCTCGTCATTGTCAACTGAATTGGTGGATACTATGGATGCGTTGGCGGTATTGCGAATTTCTTGATCCAGTCGAAAACACTCTCTCTGAATCAATTTTGGGGACGTTGGCGTACTCCCAAGGAGTAGAGATAGACAACCAGTTCTCTCCTTCTTCAAGTATTCATAGGCCAGGATTCCACCAAACGAGTGTCCAAATAAATGAAACTCATTCACGTTCCAATGCTTTATGAGCCCCTGTAAATGCTCTACCATTTTGGGTATGGAAAATGGAGTGTTGGTCATTCGCGCTGGCCTGGACGATTTGCCACAACCCCACATGTCGTAAAAGACAATGGCTCTGTCCGTGACTCCATTGACGATAGGCAATAGATAATTACTAGGAATCGATGGTCCTCCGTGACACACAATCAGCGGTGGTTTGCGATCGTCGAGCAATTGACGGGGTCGAAAGATGGTATAGGCGAGTGAAATTCCGGGAGACGGTTCAAACCTTCCTACTCTTGACATGGCGCCAGTAATGCACAGGGATGGAGGTGGGGCTGGTGGCATTTCACCCAATCGTATCTGTCGTCGTGGCTCATTCTTTCGCAAGCTGGAATCCATCAAGTGAGAGGGCAACATGGTGCTATGGTGTTGGTAGATACAGTGTGATATTGGGTTTTGGCAAGGAACGCCTGAGTCGAAGCAGTCGATGGAAGCAGTTGATTCGAAGCAGTCAGTCGACCATCACGTTACGGGTTCGGTTACGGATGGAAAAGATGGACGGTCATACAGGTCCTACCGTTTCAGGAAATAACAGAAACTCTGATGAACTGTAGGTTTCTGAATTAGTAATAGTCGCTATCTCAATCTTCTTGAGTCTACAAAAGCATAAGAGATTCTATTTCAATCCTCCACCAAGGAATGGAAGAATGGAAAGCATCAATCAATCATTCAGCATTCAAAAAGTCGAGGTTGACAAAGTCGGAAGTTGAAAGGCCAAAATTAGCCTCATGACGTATGGTATGACATCATTACGGTACACACAGTAATGAAACAGTTTCAAAAGGAAACCAAGCATTGGAGACGGCCAAGACCAGAAACAGTAGCCGCCTGGTTTCGCAGAAACCTCGGAAAATTTCAGGTTGAAGCAAGATGATAGCGGTAGCAGGATGATAGCGGTAGAGGTTCTTGAAGAATTGGCTCTCTTCTGCAGGTGAAACAATACCGGTACCACCAGGTACTATTAAAAAATAGTATGACAATCTACTTTTTTTGCAGATTCCTTTTTGAGGTTGTGACAGAATAAGAGACCTTGGAGGCATAGTAACGGTTCCCCATGGCTGGCAAGTTCCTCCGCTATTCGGGTTTTCTGGCTCACTATAAGTACACGCAACAGCGAATTCACCCGAAAAGAATCCTTCTCCGTTTGCATTGTTAAGTAAGCGCAAAGTTATTCATCAACATTTCTGATCTAAAAGTTTTGCAAGCCTTCGACATAAAAAGAAACACGGAACAACACAACAACACACCACAATATTCCCTCCTACCATATTCCACCATGCCATGCTTTTCCTTTTCAGCACCTGCAGTCAGCCCCGAAGAAGAACGCAGGGAACGCGAAGAGCTCGGGGCAGAGTACCAACAGATTCAAGATGAAATGCGTGGAAGACGAGCTCTTCCAAAACAGTTGAATGCGCAAGTAGGCTTCCAATGTTCCGTTGAGGATGTCCAAACGGAGATGGCCAAGATGCCTGACAGCGAGAAGACGCACCTCTTGCAGGCTATGGAATGCGCCCCATCACTGGTTGAAAAGGAGAGCAATCACTTATTATATCATGCAAATTGTCAGTCTCATAAAGTAAGTTTATCGGAAAACCCCACGAATCGAAGCATGCATGTATTCCGCACTTTCTAACTGAAATTCGATGCTGCATCATCAATAGGAAGTGACATCTTGCCTAGCTACGTATTGGAGACTGCGATGTCAAATATTTGCATCAAAAGCATTTCTCCCCATGAAAAATCTTGCATCAGAAGAAAAACTAGAGTCATCGACTTTTGTGAAAGTTCTGCCTAACGATCGCGCTGATAGACCGGTTTTGTTCTTTGACCGAATCGAAGTCTATCGGGCTACAGCTACAAGAAGCGCTGCGGTGAGTAATTTGTTGCATACGATATCATCACTGTCTTTCACCCGACAAAAAATCTAACCACAACGTGCCTTTCTGAGCAGATGAAACACCTCTTCATCGCCCTACACATGCTTTGCGAAGAAGCGGAAGCGCGCAAGTCTGGCTTTGTTTTCATTGAAAATATGTGTGGCTTTGACTTGTACACTGATTTCGACCGAATATTGACAAAGACACAGATGAGTTTACTTCGAGATTGCTTTCCGACGCAGCTGCGGTGCTATCATCTTTGCGGTGGGATCGACGAGAAGTGGGCAGTTGATTTGGTAGTCCCTGTTCTGAAGCAAATTGCAAGAAAGAGTATTCGTCTGCGAATGGTGTGCCATACCGCCAGTCCACATGATATTGCTACTATTCTTGATGATGAATACATGATTAAGCCATCGACACTTCCACGTGCCATTAGCGGTCGGCACGAGACCGTGCCTTTTACCAACAAGAAGCACAGTGCCAAAAATCAACTCGAAATCCAAAGCAAAGTTCATGAAGTGCATGTCGCCAAGAACCATCGATTCGCTCAAAAAATACAGTCCTCGTGCCCACTGTTGAAAAACACACTCGCTGAGAACTGGGCGATCAAGAACGGACTCGATTGTAGACAGGACGCTTTGCGTAGATAGTGTCTTGAACTACGATACCTAGATACGAACATTTCTCATCTAGTCTTGTAACTTCTGTCGGTACAATGGTTCTGCGTCGCTCATAACTAGGTCACAACAACGGCAGAGGATGATGGGGAAATACATTTTTTCATAAGACATCACGGTAGAAAGCTAGTCTCGCTATGTTGGACCGGTAAGCTGTTTTGAAAAATGATGCTGAATAGTGTGAGGTACCTATAGTACTGTGGTGGTCACGAAACGATGATGCGTTAGAGGTTCACCCAAATGATTGTTTCTGACACTCAGCCGTAATAGGTGCACGGAAGCTATCGAACTTTATTCTCACAGTTCGCAAAAATGATTTTCTCCAACTTCAACGTTGATGCGATCAAGAAAAAGGGGCTCAACCAATGACCTATCATAGTATGGTCGAGATTTTATGTTTCTTGCAGTGTGAAAGTTCGAAGTGATGCAAGCGCCTGAACGAACAAGACCAAAAAGCAATACCCTTTTGCGAGACAATAGTACCATAACATGCGAACCAAAACCTGCTATAGAGTAGTTTGAACAGGTTTGCATTCTCAAGAAAGAGAACAAACCCAGAATTCTGCTCAAGCTAAAGCTATCTCGCCAAATCATTTCAAGTGCCCGACAGAACAAAGCCTACTGCAACACTTTTTCGAAAAACTTTAGTGCCAAAATGCGAACAAAACCTTGCTTTAGAGTACCTGGTACCTACCAGTTTGAGCCGGAATGCATTTTTCTGATTACCCAAAGAGAACATCATCTACAAAATCCTGCTCACAAAATCAAATTCAGAAGGCAGCAACATTACAATGTCTACCACCAGAGGAGTAACCATCAACCCAACTGTAAAGGTTGGTGAAGTCTTGAATATTTACGATTTCACTGCCCTCGAAATCGGTGCTACCTGGTATGATGTAGAGGAATCTGGCAACGATGATGACGACGTCGAAGAAGAGGATCAAGAGCAAGGAACAAGAAAAATGACTCCTTTTACAGGCTATTCGCAAAACCAAGAATCCAGAAGACTCGAGATGGCATCCAGAACAACAAGTATGGGCGCAAGAGCGGCGTAGCGTGACACAGTACATCGACAATACAATAAAGCAATAAAACAACAGCAAAAGTACACAGAGTTGGATACTAGGCAGAGCAACAAACCAACCTACCATTGCAATTAGATGGAGCATATGGTGGAAAGAACAAGTTAAATTATTGCGATGATTGGTTCTGTAGGCTTCTTGACTAGCGATTGCATAGGGAGTCGTACTCTGATTCTGCTGCACTGCCAGCCGCAGTTGATAGCAGGAGATTGCAAACAATTGTATTGAGGCCAAACATAGGAGTCAAGGATTTTCGTGTCGATGCGATGACGAAGCGTCGTCAGCCAAAATCACAATGGCCCGACTCTCTCACGTCGAGACGGAACGAAGAAGCGTCGTCTAAATTTGATAGGAAGACTTTTACGTTGATAGAAGAGCCAGAAAGAACAAGATCACTAGAGTACTTTTTCGCAACCAACAAAATACTATGAACGAAAACCGTCACAACCGGCTTTTCCGTTCCCACTGTAACCAAATTGGATTCGTAAACTCGTGTTTCATCATTCTTCAGTAGTCGTCCGATCATAGTAGCCTACTACCGGTTAGACTAACCGGTACTGTACTGGTACTTGCAGACTTTTAGAAGGGTCAGAAAGAACAGAGCACAAAACGATTCCAATTAAAACCGGCATCGCTGTTTTCGTAGTGACAACGAGTACCAACAAGTGTTCGAAGTGCATAAAATCGTCGTATCATACTGTATGATGATCAATACAAACGCTCATACGTACGTGTACGAGTACGTGTAAACGTGTACGTGTGCGTGTACTTGAATTGATACATAATTTCTGTAAAATACGCAATTATTGGACGAGCTCATTTTATATTAATATATAAAATATAATAATAAAATAAACTAATAGGACTATATTTTTAAAATATATATTTTATTCATGCACATGCCCTTGAGAACAATAATTACCCCGAGAGAACAACATGAAACATCTATCGAATCTCAACAATCCAGCGAAAACAATTTCATAAAAACACACAACAACGTTCACAATTCACAATGTCCAACACAAAAAGAGTAACCATCAACCCAACTGTCAAGGTTCGTGAGATCTTGAGCATTCACGATTACACTACCAGGGAAATAAGTGCTACCTGGTATGATGAAGATGAAATGGACAGAATCACGCAAAAATGTTTTTAAAAAGATTCTGCAAAAATTCGAGAGCGCAAGCACCGGCAAGTACTACGTTCGAGGCTTGGAAACTTATACCACATTGGCTCCATCAGCAAGAAAAATAACAGAGCGGCTGCTTACAGAGCAGTGCTAGGGGAATAAAGAAAGACAGTGGAACGAGAATGAGGAAACTAGCGCTCAAGAAGCCATCTCCGATGCTTCCCAATGCACAACCTCAATGGTACTGGTGATCAACAAGAAGTAGAAGCCTATCTATATGACAGCGACGACGGCACCGCCGCTGAAGTAGATCGTGAGCAAGGGACGAAGAACACGGATTCTTCTGGTACAGTCTGCTCAGCACTGAACCAAGAATTCAGAAGACTTCAGATGAAATCCAGAACAACATGCATGAACGCAAGAGCGGCTTAGGTTGACGCAGTTCATTGACCCTGTAGAATAGAAACAACATAAATATAAAAAGAACACAAATAGCTAGAGCAAGATACTAGACATTGTAAATCAACCTATCGCACTTTATTCTGCAGGAATTCGCTGCAATCGTAGAGAAACTAAGACTCTGAGCATTCTGCTGTGTTGGGTGAGGCAAATAGCCAATTAGCCTGCTGGTGTTTTAGAATTCAAGCTTTTCTTTGATCACTACCGGGATCGTTCATCAACAAAAAGTCACAATGCCCCATAATGTGGCATTTCCCTCGCCTTTGACATCGCAAGATAAAAGTATGAAATGTCAACATTTACTAAAAATTGGTATAGATGAGCCAGAAAGAACACTTTTTTCCCTTGAGGAACGGACATTGATCCGAAGTGTGTGAGCAAGGATTGGCTTTTGAAAAACAATGTTGCCTACAATATGTGACAACGAACATGCAACCAGAGGAGCGCTTTTTGGATATAAAACACTTTTACAATCGAATTGATGTGAAAGAACATGCAATTGAGAAGAATAATTACCCCGAGAGAACAATAACATGAATCTCAACACTCCAGCGAAAACAATTTCATAAAAAACACACGACAACGTTCACAATGTCGAACACAAAAAGAGTAAGCATCAACCCAACTGTCAAGGTTCACGAGATCTTGAGCATTCATGATTACACTCCAAGTGAAATCACTGCTACCTGGTATGATGAAGATGAAATGGACAGAATCACGCAAAAATGCTTAAAGATTCTACAAAAACTAGAGAGCACAAGCACCACCAAATACTGCGTAAGAGGATTGGAAACCCATACCACATTGGGCTCCATTGGCAAGAGGAAAAACAGAGCGGCTGCTTACAGAGCAGTGTTAAGGGAACAAGAAAGACCATGGAAGGAGAATGAGGAAACCAGCTCTCAAGAAGCCATCGCCAACGCGTACCGATGCACAACCTCAAGTTCCCAAATGTGGGCTCAAGTTGTTGGTACTCGTGATCAACAAGAAGTAGAAGCCTATCTATATGATGATGACGAAGAAGAGGAAGACCAAGAAATGAGAAAAGCAGCTCCTTCCACAGTCTGCTCACTGTGCCAAGAATCCAGAATAGTAATGCAGTCAGCTCGCACAGCTAGTAGTTTCAGCGCAAGAGCGGCGTAGTTTGACGCGGTTCATGGAATTCGTAACTAGAGCATAAACATATAGAGCATAGATAGACAGAATAAATCGACCAACTACAATTTTTTGCATTGGAATTCTTCACTTCTACCGATTGTGTACTGACCGAAGTCAAAGAATCATGGTATAGAGCTCGAAAATAGGCTGAAATCATATCACGAGACTGACTTCGAGTAGTTTCGCTGGATTCGATTCCAACGAACGACACTTCCATCAAAGCAATGAATACGAAATCCGGTGTGACCAATGCAGTATCAAGTAGGGTTGAATGGTCCTATTTGACATGATAGAATCATTTTCTAATATGCACACAACAAATGTCTGCATCTATGATTCGGGCTATCTACAAGATGGAACTAGTGAGTCTCCATACTTCTTGAGAAAAAGGCAAACTGCAGTAAAACGTGAAATTTCTTACAGAAGTCGTATCTTTATTGCCATGACACTCAACGCTATGAGTACGGTAGTGGGCTCTGGGGACACCTTTGTTCCTTCGACGTTCTCAGAGTTTTGTTTGGAGACGTTTCTGTTTCTCAGGCATGAGGCACTTTCTTTCGATTACACTCTAACTCGGTACAATGTTCCGAAAAGAAAGTTCATGGGTTTTTTTTCCTTTCATTTTCCAATCCCACTTTCTAAAAGAATTGACGGCATTAATTGAGTGTTCGCAAGTGATCAAAAAATGTGTTAAATAGCTGAAGTTAATATAAAAGAACGTTTTCTGTTCCTGAACCAGTGACAAAAAGTCCCGTTGTTGTGCATCAATAATCACAGGAGCATAAAAATATTTGAACCACTACCGAGACGACAATGGCAAACAGCAAAAGAGTAACCATCAACCCAACTGTCGAGGTTCACCACGTCTTGAGCATTCACGACTATACCGCCAGCGAAATCAGTGCAGCTTGGTACAATGAACATGAAATGGACAAAATTGCCCAACGATGTTTCAAGATTCTAAGCAAGGTCCAGAGTGTCAAATCCAACAGCGGCCAAAAGTACAACATCCGAGGCTTGGAAAGTCACACAACTTTGGGATCTATCAGTAAACAAAACAACAGATCAGCGGCATACGAAGTAGTATTCGACGAGCAACAAAGACAATACGAGAACGAAGAAAGTGACGTTCAAGCCATCTCCGATGCCTATCAACGCACAACTTCGAGTTCTCAAATATGGGCTCAAGTTGTCGGCCGCCGTGATGAAAAGGCGGTCGAAGCATACCTATACGAAGAGGAAGAGGAGGAAACCACTGTGTTTCTAGCCACACCGGCTGAACTCAAAGTCACTGATTCCAAAATTCTGAGCCCTGTCAGAATACGGAGAAGACTTTCTGGCAACACAGATGCACTTTCACCAATGCCGCGAGCAGCCTGACCTATTGACGATCGTCGTTACAAATTATCATACTCCTCATAGAGAACATCACAAAAGAATAGAAAATAGATGTCAAAGATACAAAACCAAACTTATATTTCATCAAACTCCACCACCATCCTTAGCAAAGAATGCTCTTACGGCCGAATGTTGGCGCTACGTGTCATGCTGGACACACGGGTAGAACAGCTGGAAAACTCAGCAAGCAGATGAGCAAGCAGATGCATACGCAGCAAGAAGATCAGCGCGTTTTATTGAAAATAAAGAGAATGGGACCTCAAACAAGGCAACACGGCAGAAAGCACTAACGTACTGGTGCATGTCTCTTTCAATACTCGCAACGGCATATGCATTTTCTATTAAGCTAAGAAATACAAAACCAGCATTCTACAACCAAGATAGTTTTAAATGCTACAGAAAAGGCAACAGCACTAAAGAGCAGTCAATAGAGCAGCAGCAGCCACCGTTGCACTTGCCAGTGTGAGGTCCACTTGAATATGTGTCGAAGCCGAAATCGTCGGCATCACACTGGGAACCAAAGATGGTGCCATGGTGGCTGGTTTCACCTCGAGTTTTGGCTCGACCTCTAGTGAATACTCCTTGACAAAGTCCCACATGAGTTTGGTCGTATCAAATTCAATTGGAGCCGTGCCATTTTCCCTGAATTGAGATGAAATGAAAAATGGTTGGTGACCGACATTGTCCAGGGCGTACAAGGTCACATCGGCGTTGTTGGTACAATTTGAAGAACGATATTCTGTAAAGCTGTTGGAAGTTCCCTCAAAGCCTTCCGTTCGAGTTTCGGTCGACGAAGTGCATCCGTTGGTCTGAGAAATGATGGAAAGATACTCTTGGGCACCAAATTCAAAGGCACCTCCTTCATAGGGTACAGTAGGGTCGGATGTCCCGTGGATAAACGCCATGGGGGTCGCATTGTAAGCTTCTGGGAATAGAGTGGTTGCCGTTCCAGAATGACAACCTACTGCGGCGACGACGTCGGAATGCATGGCTGCCATGGAAACAGACGCCATGCAACCATTGGAATGACCAGCCATGTAGATTCTCTTCGAATCAATTGAAGTACTGTTGGAAGTCTGTTCGGGAATATCTCTTACGACAACGGCAGCAACTTGTCGCAAAAAGTCACTGGGGTCGGTAACGACTGGAATGGCACCCTTCAAACAACAACAAGGTCTTGAGAATTTGCTGCCGTCTTCATTGAGAAGCCCTCCTGCATTGCCCCAGCAAGTATCATCCGCGATGGTAGGGTCGGTAGTTCCTAGTGGCCAAATCACCACGAAACAATTTTCTTGCGCCAACTGTCGCCACCCGGTGTAAAAGGCGCTAAACAAAGGACAAGATCCAAAGCCGTGCAAGTCAAATACCAAGGGAGAATCTTCTCCAGCACAAGCTGGAATGTAGGTAAAGAAACACCGCGTGCCCACGAATTCAGAGCTTTCGATGCAGGTACGTTTGGAACCATATAGGGCGAGTCCATTTTCGCCATTGTTGCACTCTTCCACAGCATTGGAATCTCGGACAATGTCATCCGCCTCTTCTTCTTGTGCTTGTGTTGTTGCTGAGCCCAGTAGCAACAGAGTAAGCAGGGCTATCATATAATAGGCGCGCTTCATGGTTGCTTTGTATATGTTATATGACGTGAGAATTCCTTCCAACAGATTCCGAAGAGATCTTGCAATCGTGTCAGCAGATGATGGCAGTTGAGTGAGCTCAAACTGAATTTTGGTCAGTCGTGGGTAACTTCGTATTCTGAATTCAGTCCCTGATGATGAGCCAGAAGTAAGGACAGACAGCATCTCATTTCCAATGACGTGTGACGTAAGTGCAGATTCGGAGCTGGCGGAGATTCAGATTCACGGACTGCCTCCCACGCGCTCGTTTGCATCTTCTTCTCCAATCGGATTTGTTTGAACTTGGAAGATACCGGCAAACGTTTCAAAATCGCGGTATTTCGAACACTTGTGCACGTCAAAACTAACCAATCATAGCTCAGAACAGTCGTGAGTCCGCGGTATTTGAGCCACCGACCGTCAGTAAATTCGAACACGCATCGCAGCGACGTTTTTGCATTCGAAAGAGGAAAACTGCGAGCCATCATTTTTTCACCCTCAAGGTTCCCGTGTTGGAAGGAGACTACGCATCCAGCAAAGACCCAGTTTCCATTGTTACAATTCAAATTGAGAGATGAAGCTGTCCGTATCCTCCGCATTTGTCCTCTTGATGACAACGGCACATGCCTTTCAAGCTATCAGCCCTTGCCGGGCCAATGGCAGCACTGCGCTGCAAATGTCCTCTGCTGCCATCAATAGCAACAGTGGTGACGACGCTCCTGCCCTCAAAAGCGCTCCTCCGCGACGTGTCTGCCTCATGGTGGAACCAACTCCCTTCACTCACGTTTCTGGATACGCCAATCGTTTCAAGGAAATGTTGAAATTCATGCAAAAGGCTGGAGACAATGTCGAAATCATGACTGTGGACAGCAAAACCCCAAAGGAGAAACTTCCCGATGAAGCCTTTGGATACAAGATTACTCACACTAAGGGATTCACCTTTCCCTTGTACAATCACATTAGTTTGACCTTTGATTTTGAAATGAAGGGTGCCCGCGTCTTGGAAAAGTTCAAGCCAGACTTGATTCATGTTACCAGTCCGTAAGTTTAGTATTGTACAAACAACTTGACGAGTGATGGATGCCGTATACTACTTGACCAAGTTTACTGACAAATCATTCTTTCTTCCTCTTTTCTCATTTTGAAACTATCAGTGGATTCATATTATTTGCCGCCATTTTCTACGCCCGAGTCAACAAAATCCCACTCGTCATGAGTTATCACACTCACTTGCCCAGCTACGCCGTCAACTACTTGGGATTCATTCCAGGAATTGAAAAATTCGCTTGGGATCTTTTGAGATGGGCGCACAGCCGTGCTGACTTGACCTTGGTCACTTCTCCCCAAATGCAAGAACAATTGACTACCGAAGGTATCCCTCGCGTCGATGTCTGGCGCAAGGGTATCGATACGGAACGGTTTGACCCCAAGTTCAAGAGCGCCGAAATGAGAGAAATCATGACAGAAGGAAACCCTGATGACTTTTTGATGGTATACGTTGGACGATTGGGTGCTGAAAAGAGACTCAAAGATATCAAGGCCATGCTCGCCAAGATGCCCAATGCTCGTTTGGCATTGGTTGGAAAGGGTCCTCAAATGAAAGAATTACAAGAATACTTCAAGGATACCAAAACCAAGTTTATGGGACAGCTTAATGGAGATGAACTATCCCAAGCCTTTGCTTCCGCTGATGCCTTTGTCATGCCCAGTGATTCCGAAACTCTTGGTTTTGTCGTCTTGGAAAGTATGGCCAGCGGCGTTCCAGTGGTTGGTGCCAATGCCGGTGGAATTCCCAGTTTGATCAAGGACGGCGAAGATGGTTTCTTGGTCGACCCAGATGACCTTGATGGATACGTCGACCGCCTCAAACAATTGCAAAATGCCAAGTTCCGGGAGCAAATGGGTATCCGTGCTCGTGCCGAAGCCGAACGTTGGGGTTGGGAAGCGGCCACTTCCGTATTGCGAAATGTGCAATACGAAAAGGCCTTGGCCAACTTCAAGTCGCGTGCCTTTGGAGGTTTGGGAAGACCGAAGACCAAGGGAGTCTGGAGACTCTTCCGCATGCGCATTCAAAAGATCCTACGACGATTGGGTTTCGCAAAGAAACAAACTCCAGCTTTGGAGTCATAAATGCTTGTACACACGCCGTCTTCTCATTTTTTCACGTGCATCCACAATGTCTGTGGAAGGAAATACCGCTGTAAGCCTGATCAAGGGAATGCTATTTATTAAGGGGTGATAGCAGTGGCAGTTTCAAATTAATGTATACTAGCTTTTTTATATCCATATTTCAAAGTAATTTCACTCTGATATGTTGAATGGGAACATGGATGATGGTAACTCATCATATGGCACAGAACTGTCCCAGAGATAGCCAATCACTTGTGGCATGACGGCATTGGCGCCACATAAGAGTCGGGAGACCTCTTTAGGACTTGTTATCATTGATTTCTTCTTCATCTTCCACAATGAAAGCTCCAACAGAGATGTCATCTCGAGCTTTGAAAATATTATCAGTTGATCTCTGATCTTCTGTAGAGCATGGACATTGTCTCCAGGAAAATCGTCTTCTATCTGCTGTAAGATTATCGATTTGCATCTATCCAAACCCCAGCCAGAGATGGCAGGCAGTGTTGTCCTCTGAAGCACCATCTTGATCAAAGGGACAATCTTCGGAGATTGGTGTATCAGCATGTAGTCCATCATGGTAGTACCGTGCGTGTCTTTATGATAAAAAGCCTCCACTGAATACTTCTCCAAAAGAGCTCCCAATATTTCAGTCCTTGGATTGGAGCTGGTAGCTACAATATGAAATGGCGTCATGCCAAAAGCATCTTTCGTTATTTGATCACAGCATAAGCCCAGCTGCTTGACAAGGTCTTCCAGTGTTGTTGTCGAGGAAGAATAACAGGCTTGGTGGAGTGGCAGGTCCTTGAATCGATCTCGAAGACTTCGATCCCCAGCCAAGTCTTGCAACCGTTCGCATCCGAGAAAGAGAAGATCTTCTGCTGTGACGACATGTTCCACCAAAGGTGGAATTGAGAGATTCACCAGCCGCGCGCATTTGTAAAATACAGCGCCTTGTAGTTGCACATTGGACCCGTTTGGAAACTCTACTCCGAGTAGGGAAAAGCAATGCCCGAACGCAAGCTTTTCGATTACTTCCAGCGAAGTAGGCAACGAGATAGCCGGCAGTGATGAACAATCGAAAAACGCCTTGGTCCGGATCCGTACTAGTCCTTTTGGAAGGTTGATTTGAGATAGCGTCACGCATCCACTGAAGGCCCGTTTGCCAATCTCCTCCAGAGTAGATGGTAAGTTAACCGCCTTCAATGCCGTGCAATCTTCAAAGGACCGGTCAAGACAGGTTTTCAGTCCTTCCGCGAGTCTGACGTCAACCAAGGATCTGCAATTGAAAAAGCTAGATTCGATGCTCTCGATGCTTGAAGGCAAGGATATGGATGGCAGACGGTAGCACCTGGCAAAGGTATCCGCATCGAGTTGGCCCAGTAGCCCAACCTTGAGCCCAACACGACTCAGCTGATGACAGTCACGAAAGGCACCCCATTCAATTTTGACAACAGTGGAGGGGATATCAATTTCCTTCAATGATGTACAGCTTTGAAAGGCTTGGATGCCGATGAATTGAAGCCCTTCTTGAAGTTCAATACTCACCAAGGATCTACAATGTCCAAACGCAGATTGTTCAATGATGGCCACGGACGAAGGAAGTCGCATCGTTCCAAGTTCCGTACAAACACCAAACGCCGAATTTTCAATCGACACCAGACCTTCTTTCAGTTGAACATCCACAAGATTCGTGCACCGGTGAAATGACCTTTTACCAGTGCATTTTACTGTAGATGGAATGGAGACCTTTCTCAAAGCTCGACAATCGAAGAAAGCGGAAGCTTCAATCTCCTCGAGCCCTTCCGAAAATTCTACCTCTTCCAAGGCATGGAAATATCGCAATGCCTGCTTGCGAAAGACTCGCACCGAGACATCTGTTACCAACGACATAATATCACTGGGAAGATCCTCTGCGTCTTGTTTGTACAGAAACACCTTGCTGGGTTCCTCTTCAGTGTATTCCATTGTGTGTTTGCCGATGAACGAATGAATGAATCACAGCAACTGTGATACCTGTAGACAGATCAATCTTGTTTTTGTCAGGATGCGGCGTGCGACGGTCGAACGCCGATGGGGTCTCAAACAAAGCGACTACAGTAATACCACTGGCTTGTATTATTGGCTATACGCCCTTCCAGAATCTGGAGGCATACCGTATCGTATGCTTGGCAACAGATATGCAAGTACTGCTGTAAGGTATTCATAGCCGGTATTATATTGTGGAATTTTGTAAATCGATTTTAGAAAACGTTTAGGCGCAAAGGCAGCAAAAGCTTCGACAATCAGCAAGCAATTGGTGCGCTATCGGGCTCTTAATACGCTGAGCATAAAATAGAAAGGTAAGTAACGTTGCAAAGGTAAGTATAATATAACATAATATAATAACAATTATTGTATTAGGAGAATGTAGTAGGATTACATGGATTGAAAAACCTTGAAAGTCGATGGTTAGCTGCAGCATCAACGACTTTTGTCAACAATTCAAATAGTTTCCTCCTCTTCGCTCTCATCTGATTCTGATTCCTCTTCCTCCTCGTCATCCAAAGTTTCCATTGTCTTAATTTCTGCAGTACCAAGTAATAGTGGTCCTACTAATCCATCAATACTGACCCATCTATGGTATTTATCAAACAAGGCAGTACCATCTTTCCCCAGAACGGATTTCATGATGTCAATGCCTCCGGGGTGATACGCCAGATAGGGTCCAATATTGTATACTTTGCCTCTCAGAATCATCCAGGCATCGTGTACCTTGTTGTGCTTTTTGACTTCTGACACTGGAATCCCCCTTCTCAGCGGTGCCCCCTTGCGTTGTGCCAGATCGTCCGTGTTGGCCAGCAGCTTGTTCCATTGCATCAAACCCAGACGGCCTACTGATTTGGTCAATTTTCCTTCTCCCCCAGTTTTTGCTTTTCGATTGTACTTGTTAACCTTTGGTGGAGGCAAGGTTGTATCATTGCCGACCTTGTCGGTAAGGTTCACCGCAAACCGAGGGTTGGGTTTCTTCATCGCGGATGGCATGGGTGTGTCGGCTTTTGGGCCGCGAGAGGGTGGCGGTCCCATATCGTTATTGTCTGCCATGTTATTATAATTGTATTGAGTAATTGATTACTTACTGGACAGTACTGTAGTGTGAAAGGATTAACCTGCAGTAGTGGGTGGCCTGAGGCTTTGTCTCGCACAGCTTCGTCGTTGTTCATGTTGCGCCTTCCAATGAGTAAGTAGTCGAATGAATCCATCCATCTTTTCATATTTAGGACTATTCTATGTCTTTTAGCAATCTGTTTTTATGATACACAACGCATGATCACAAAGTCACAAGTAGTTCAAACTCCCTCATACTGTAGCAGACGACATTCGCTGGAGCTGACTCACTCATCACGACTGAGATTGACGCATTCCTTGTCATTCTTGGACAACTAATTTTAAAATACCGATTGATAGATTGATTGCGGCCTGCCGAGCGTCTTTCTCACAGCGAATAAACCAGTGACTGACTGGTCAAGGAAAAGTCTTGGACTTCTGATCGATTGTTGGAGACACTGGAACCACAAAGGACAAAAGCAAGTTTCTTGTCAAATACCGACTGGTCGTGCTTCAGAGGATACCTTTTGTAATTGCAAAATGTTTCGAAAGAAGAAGAATGCTGCGAGTGCAAATGCAAGTGCAGACACATCCTCAACCTCTTTGAAGGATGGAGTTGCGACATCCTCTTTGGATCATCATCAACGACAACAACAACAACAACAACAACAGATGACTGACAATGGTCGTCCTCCGCAACAACCCAAATACTCCAAACGGAAACCAGCAGTTGACGTCCGACAACGGGGTCCTCGGAAAGATCAAAAGGAATGGAAACAACAACAAGTGAAGCAAAAGCAAAAGCAACAAGGTCGACCACTACGACGGAACATTCCAATGAGCGAAGTGGCAAAGCACAATAAAAAGCAGGATGGATGGATTGTTCTCAAAGGAAATGTCTACAACATTAGTCCCTATCTGTCCTATCATCCTGGAGGGGCTAGTATTTTCAAGCAAGTCTTGGGAAAAGATGCCACCCCGCTGTTCAACAAGTATCATCGCTGGTTGAATGAGAGCGGATTCATACGTCAGCTGCTACTCGGGACTATAGCACCCAATACGTTGCCAACCTTGGCAATGGAAGAAGACGAAGAAGAACAGGAGGACAAGGACGAACAAGATGACGATGGTGGCATGAAAATTGCAATGCCTTGGGGTCTGAGTGGAACGCAAAATTTGTAATTAGAATATCTCTCCTTTGCCCAACTGATCGTTCATCATTTGGTCTATTGCATTACATACCGGTTATATTACATCGACTATTTCGTGTTGTGATTGGAGTCGAACGAGTCAGCATCATTCAAAATGCAACCAAAAACGCAACTCTGAAAACGCTGCGCCTCATCAGCATTGTGTGTTTGTCTCCCTCTTCTCTATATACATACATATATTGCTACCCTTACAACCACACTAATAACTATCTACAAGTACTGTACACACAGTATGTCTCGTACTGAAAAACTATACGTCCTCTATGGATCTCAAATGGGAAATTCCGAAGGTGCTGCCAGGGAGTTTTGCAACTTGATAAAATCCACCTACAATGACGACTTTTTTGCAAAACACAAGTTGCCCTCCTTGGAGGTGGAAACTACTTGCATTCAGCTCGATGATTTCTTGGAAGTAAAGCATGCGGATTATACCAAATGTCTAGTGATTTTTGTATCCTCTTATGGAGTTGGTCAAGGTAAGAAAGGGACTGGACGAATGATTCACAACTATACTGCACCTCCCATTATTATTTCCCCCTAACAAAATATTTCTATCCGTGTTTCTCATATTTGATTATTTCCGCTTACAGCTCCCTTGGGCTCCTATCGATTCCGCGATCTCTGTGACGAGTTCCTTACGAACGACGGAAGTAACACTAACATTTTGACTGGCTTAAAGTATGCCATTTGCGGTCTTGGCGATTCCAACTATACCACCTTTCTCAAGAATCCCACCACCATTGATCAAGGACTGCAAAAAGCTGGAGCCAAACGCCTTGGGGAATTGGCCAAGTGCGATGCTAGCGCCATGGGAGAACAGGCCCAAGACAAGGTCATTCAAAAATGGTCCAAGGATATGTTGTTGCCACTGGCCAAGGCCCTGGCTGCTACAGAGGAGGTGGATACTGCCAAAATGCAAGCCGAAACAATTCCACTCATGGTCAAGCTAGATCCCGACTATACACCACCCAATGCTGCCAGCAAGGGTGGTTCAGATATGTGTACCTATATTGGAATTGGGGCTGTAGTCGTTGGAGGATTGGCGATTGTTGCCAGTCAATACATGTAGGAAGACAAACTAATAATGCAGCTAGACAGCAGAAACAATAACTTCTATTTAATAAAACAAGTCTTAACATGTCTGTTTAATTTTAGTTTTGATGTATGTTTATATAACTGTAATTTTAAATAGTACACTTGCTACAAGGTGGTGATTGTGATGATGTTTGCCCCGATGGATGATATGATTGATTATATGGTCGAGCAAGTGGTTGCTTCCTTTGGGCCAGTCGAAGTAGCAGAGGCAGCAGCATCCCCTTCCGACGACGAGATTCCAGCCCCGGAATGCACGTCGGGCAAGTGTTGTGACTGTGAGGACAAACCACCGAATAATGAAGCCAAAGGATGGCCTGCCATGCCACCCCTTTGCATCGCAACTTGTCTCAAGTGATCGGCCATCATGGCATCTTGATTCATCATGTTGGCCAATCGTAAGCGATCTGCCAAAGGATCTCGCAATCCATGAGCAGCCAATTCAGCTCGAGCCAGAATCATGTTATGCCTGTCCAATGCACTTGGTCCCAATTGAGGCATTAGAGATGAGTATGACATCATACCACCCATACCACTATCGCCCATCATGGCGGCTCGTAGTGCAGCCAGCTCGGCTTCCTTCTTGGCAATGAGATTGTGAAGACCAGGCTGCATTCCTGATCCCATGGAAAAGGCATGCTTTTGGTGGGCCAATAGACTGGCCATATCATCACCTTCTTCGAAACGAGACGCGTCCATTCGAGCCCCAGCAAGTTCCGAGCTTTTGGTCTCGGCCTTTTCGGCTTGGCTTCTTGCGAGCATGGCTTCAGCGAGACTTCGATCTGCAGCCCCGACTCGGGGTGCTTGAAGGCCTTGGAGGTCAGCGGCGAAGGATGACGCCTGTGAAAGTGCACGGTCGGCTTTTTCCTTGGGAGTGATTGGGACGGACTTGTCCCCACCTTCTTGATCATCTCCATCGTTGTACTTCATCTTGAGGTAGGACGAGAGCTTCTTGGCTCCTGACTTCATTCTCTTGGCCGGAGGAAAGCTAGAGGCATCCAAGGTATTCTTGGTTCCTTTTGTCTCTTCATCTCCAGCAGCAGGAGCAAGAGTCTGCTTGCGTTGAAAGTTGATTTGATCACGGATGCAGTGCATAATCTTGGTGTTAACGTCCTTGTGAGATAGGACCCGCCAAACTTGTTGGTCCTTGTCCTTAAGCTTGATGAAGCGTCCTCCGTTCATCAAGATCTCGAGGAGGATTTGCTTGCCAAGAGCGCCCTTGCCGCGCTTGTTGCTCTTCAAGTAATCATCTTGGCGTTCGCGGATAATGTCCAAGAGCTTCTGGTTTCCAATGTGGGAAAAGTTACCTCTTCCGCGGCCACAAATAATGTCGTGATCTGATGGTTGGTAGTTCGCAACCTCGACATCGAATTGATCGGGGAAGTAGTGCTCTAGAGGAACATTTTCGTGTCGGAGGAGCTTCTCAGCAAACAGAAGCGGGGGTATCCGAGTCAATGTGAGATATTCTGGGAGAGGACGCGCACGGACAGGTGCTCCGTTAGGGCGATTGACAATCTTGCCACCTAGCTTCTTGGTCATGTTGGTAGTGACAGTAGCAGTTGGTGGTGTACTGACAGTAGTCTTCGGTGCAGTGCTAGCTTTTCGTGCATTGCTAGAAGGAGAGTCGCTTCCATCTGGATGGGAGTGCGCAAGTGCTAGCAGAAACTCGGCTACGGCCGGAGCTTCCGTGGGCTCTTTGGCCTTCTCGATCTTTCTAGCGGTCGCAATAGCGCCATTGTCTGGAGTCAGCTTGACTTGTTGTACCTTTAGGACCTCCATGTTGTTGTTCTTGAGCGAGTAGTGTGGGTGTGTGGGCGTGTGGTGTTGTAGTATTTTAGAAGGGTGATTATTGCTGTTGATGCAAGTCGGGACCAGTTCGTGTGTTATGAGCCTTTGAGGAAAAGCGTGTGAGAAAAACACGACGGTGGTGAATAAAGCGGCACTGTTGAGGACCAGAAAATCGTAGAACCTAGTACAAAACCTACGTGAATTGGTGAATATGCTAGGGTAATCGACCTTGTTCTGCTGAGTAACTTTCTACGGCGTGACTACTACAGGCTATAGAGAAGCGGGCCGGTGGCTCTTGGTCAAGTCCGTTCGTTCATGATAGAGAAACCTTCGAAAAGCAGTTACTTAATAACACGATATATTTTTTGGGATCTTTTCACCCTTGAGGGAGTCTTTAGCACGTGAGGCTCTATTTCTGGGGATGAGAGATAAATTCCGTCACGCTGATTTCTGCACTGACACCATGTAAATCCTTAGTAGACTATCATATTTCCGCAAGAGCGTCTCGCACAAACACGATTGGGGCTGCGCAGAAGGCTAAAAATAATGTCGCAGGACATTTTGTATTCGTCCCTTAATAGTTGACCGTCTTATTTTATGCATTGCACGTGTTCAGTATTAGTGAATCCTTATTTAGTGATACCGTAACCAAATTTATTCATTTAACGAAGTGGCAAAAGGTTCGCTCGCTTTGATCCGATGATTGATCCGGAACGCAGTCGCTCGTGAAGTGAATCATTCGCTCCACCGGTTTCTGATTGTGGGTCCAAGATCACTATCGAAGTCAGCACCAGTGTTCGCTTTCCTCCAACGCCAAGATTGACTATTAAATAGATGATATTAGATCATTAAGTAAGAATTAGTACGACCCCAAAAAAAGACGCATGGCGAATGGGCGAATAATGAAAAGGGTGACCTATCTGTCTTCGCTCTCCTTCAGATCAAGCAAGCCAAACGAGAAACGAGAAACGAATACCAGCAGGAATATAAAAAGGAATCCGGTCAAATCCGGAAATAGCGGTAGGGAATAAATAACCCAGTGAACAATGATTCAACGTCAGAAAAGCGGTATCAGTACCGAAATGAGAATACGCTAGGGTAGAGCGCGACTGTGGCGAATAATGCGATTCATTCATGTAGTGGTTTCAATCAATCAATTGTTGAATACCGCGCAGGCAGGAGCACAAACATCCCTCACTCACAACTCACAATACACTTTGAACTTCAATCTCAATCGCAAAATGAAGAATGGTATGAAATAGTGGTACCGTGGTACCGGTATCAATAGTTGCTTCTCTCCATCAAATATTTGTTCCCTTCTCTGTGGCCAATTGAACTATACTCTTGATTCATTCAACACTACTGAGCTGCAACTGAGTCACCAGTTGCTGCACCAAGTACACGCACGTCACCAGTTGCTGCACCAGCCAAGTACACGCACGTCACAATCATAGTGGGTATCATTCTTCAACAACTTCAGTACTTGCAAGTAGTCGTGATTTAGGTAAGGTAACAACTACACATCTTGCGACACCATTCACAATCCATTTAAAATTGTCCGTGGCAACAATACAGTGGCTTGCCTCGTTTGTCACCTAATCTAAAGCTAAAATTATTTTTTTCAAACTATTCAGAATACTGCAGTAGAAAATCACAGTAAAACGTAATACTCGTAGATAGTATAGAGTCGAGTCGAAGGTATCATATTCTACGAATCAATAGTGCCCAGACAAATACAGTACTGTACTGTAGCTGATTAGTCATCATCTTCTACTGTAATATGTTTGCCAAGTTACCTATTGCTGTTTGACATCAGTAGTAGGAGATGTCATCCAAGTCAAGATCGATGTCAAGTTCATCCTCCACATGTCGCCAGTGGTCAAAACTTCAGCGGTCATCATGTGAAGATTAGGCATTATCGACGGCAAATAATTTGCAAATGGATTGACGCCCCGGTTGCCTCGCTGAAAATATCCTTGCCCATAGGTTCCAATAACAGGAAAGATTCCGAACGAGCTGAGGGTCGTAAAGCTTTGATTCGCCGATACCAGACGCGCAAAGGCCAAAGGAAGGGTTTCGTTTGGCCCGTTATGGACTGTGATCTTTGTATTGGGGTACGTCTTTTGCAGGATTTCTACAAGCGTATAGGTGGCGTTTCGACAATAGTGGATGCGACCAATGTCCAGTCGACGATTTCGAGACGGGTCAAATGGTTGCGTCAAAATGCCAATGCTCTTGGCGTCGGGTGATATCCACCGTTCATATTCTGTGAATTTAATCATTCCAAAGTCACCCCGTCGAGCTCCTCCCATAACATCACCGCAGCGAAAATGAATGACGGCATCGTCCAGCTCTACATTGGGTATTAGTGGAGCCTGTTCTTGTGGAACTTGAGGATGGACTCTAGTTTCGTCGTCCCTAGTAGTAGATCCAACCAATGTGACTGCCATTTTTCGTACCGTGTCAGTGATTTGATCAGCTAATTTGTCAATCCGGATTCTGGGGTATTTGGTGGTACATGCTTCCTCTTGAGTGGGGATGGAGCCGCTGTAGGGCCAAGCATGGCTGACATTGGGTGCGTCGAAACGACCACCAAACCACGGAAGCAAAAGCTTCATTTTGCTGTTGGTACCATCGGAACACTGAAATTGAAAGTCGACCCTTGCTTTGGCGGCCGCTAGTCTTGCCATGTAGTATGCGGTTACCCAATTTCCTTGTCCGAATCCCTCCTTTTTGGTTTCGGCTGTACAATTCATGGTCACGTTCAAGAGTGGACGTTCGAGTGGGTCTCTGGTGGTCTCGTTGACAAATTCTGGCACATCCCAATTGTCGGCTAGAGTCATGTTCTGCAGTAGCTCACAAAGCTTCTTTTGTCCATCATTCCAAAACATGTAGGTCTGGTCTACGTTGACGACCAGTTGACCATCTATCATTTCCCCATTGTGCATTTCGTCAACCTGGACTGTGCTGCTAACAGAGTCTTTCGATATTGATTGCCACATTTGCCTGCTCCATCTACTTCTATTCTCACGCAGAGTGGCATTCGTATCGTCTGGTTCGGTCGCTTCTTCTTGTTCGTGGATGAAATCATTGTTTGTCGCTGTCTTCTCAACTTCTGTTGGAGCGTTCACAGAGCTGACGGAAGCATCGTTGAAGACGGCTGCCTTTATCCGTTCAATCGTTTCTTGATCGTATTGGTTTCTTGCTGTCTTTTCGATATGATTAGGTAATGTTACTGAAGATTTACCGGTATTATTGGGTTCTTCACCTTCCTCATCATTAGCTTCATTATAGCTCACCATATCCACTGGACTTTCATCCCCATCCTCGTCGTCGGCAGAATCATAAACCGACGATGTCTTGTCGAATCGAAATACTAGTTCATGTTCGGGTAGCATAAAGTGCTTGTTGTTGTCGGTTTCGTCGGTGCTGGAAGTTCTGAAAACCAATTCTGTTAGGGACGACGAATCGGCAATTATTTGCTGAAGAATGCCTCTCAGTTGACTTCGTTCCCGAAGGATGGGGAAAAAGGAAATGAGGAAGAGCAGACAAAATGTGAAAATAGGCCCGGTGGCTCGTCGTCTTGTTTTCATGTTGCCGATTAATGTCGGCTTGTATCAAAGCAGCAGTTGCATTCGTTGAACGAGATGAAATGGCAAGGTGAAGTTTTTTCGGATGGGGTGAAGATTTTCAAATTGTGAAGACCCCGAACACCATACGTAGACATGTACATCTTGCCGTTGTGGAAATAACGTCCTGTTGACTCCTGTGACTTAGAAGATTTGTTTCGAAGAAACAAGAAATGGATCCTTATTACCACTTCAATCAATCAATCATGCCATTCCACTACCTGTCTTCTCCAGGAGCCTTTGTTCCTGCGTATCCAGCCAGTCCTCAACGCAATGGCTTTGATTTTATGCCAAGTCCCACGTTTACAGGTTTAAGCGAACTGCACGGGGTGCGACTGCTGGATCCAGCTTCACAGACAATGTGTGTTGGCTTCTTTTCAGGATTCACGACTCCAGCGACTCTTATCGCGGGCACAAGCTTTGCCGCTCTCTTTGCTCTTTCTAAAAGAGTGAAAGATACGAGTTTTCGCACACGGCGGGAAATCATGTGCTTGCGAATGTATCATGTTTTCTCTCTACTGAGTCTTCTACTAAGCCTGATGACAGTCCTCGGTTCTCAGGCCGCTTTACACTGCCTACTATGTCCAATAGCAATGCCCAAAAATGTTGCAGCTACGAGCATCTACGAAGTTCTTCAGAGCACCATGAACTTTGAATTCCTGCTGACGAGGTGGAGCTTTATCATGTCTATTCTCTGCTTTCTTCAATGCACATTCTTCCGAATGGTCGTGGAGTTTGACCTGTTTTTCAAGAAAAGCAGACGCACAGCTGCAACGATGGTCACAAGCGCGTTCATGGGTATTGGATTAGCCCTTTTGGGATACCTGGATTCTTTTGAGTCGCTGGCTAAATGGCCAAGTTTTTGGGAGATGACTAAAGAGCTTGGAATGGTAAGTTCCGATAGTGTCTAGGAAGATAAATATGAAGAAACGCGCACACTCATTCGTCAAATTCAATCATGGTACCTACAGATCATTTGGACAAAGATTGAGGTAGAGCGTCATCCCTTGCAAATCGCATCGCTGTCTTGTTTTTGCATTGCGTTGTTGTCGCTTTGCAAGTTTTTGTTGCCAGGTTCGATAGAGGAAGAGAAGCTTGCGGATAATGAGAGATTCACATGACCTGATTAGACTGCATTTTCTTCTGAGCAACCAAAAGTTGCATGCTATGATGACTATTGTAGTTTAATGGGGGTAATACAGACAAGTGATCGGAGCTAAAAATTACCAAGCAAAGGATTCAACGTGCAAGCCAATGTGGTATTCGTCCGAGATTCGCTTCAAGTCGTTAAGGACGGGCTTGGCTCCACCACAATACAACATTCCCCAAGTTGAGATTACCATCTTCTTATCCAGATTTCGGATGTATCTTGTAGCGCCGGGGTGATATTCCCATGGACGGAAACCAATGCCAAGATTTTCCATGACAAATTCAGATGTTGAATTTCGAGAACTATCAATGTCACATCCTTCGGAACTTCGACTGATCTGGAAACTTGTATGGGCCGCATCTGCAGGCAAGTTGAAGCCAAGTTCCTGTGCGTAAAATGCAACATCTTCTGGTCGATCTGCGTGTTTCAATCTATCAATGAGCATTTCGGAGGCGACCGCCCGAGTGTCTTGGTTGTACCATTCCGGAAGACCATGCCCAGATTCAATGCCGAATATAATGTTGGGAATCACTTGATCAAGTTTTGGGCGACCTTCAATGATGCAAATGTTGGTATTGGCAATGGACTCTAATAATCCACTCTTCAGCTTCTCCTTGCCAGTATAGAAGATCAGGTTCCATCCTTGATGGTCCAAATAGAGGTGGCGCAAGAAGAATCCTAGAAGATGAGGATCGCGAACTGCCCAGATAAGGTTGATGCGTCGACTATTCTTGTGTGCTCGGATGACGGATAGGGCGGGAGTGATACCAATTCCAGATGCAACAAGGATTTGGTTGTCATAATCGATGGCATTATCGTAGGGACTGGGGAAAGGACCGTGGATCCAGGCTGGTCGCACGGTATCTCTTTGTAGAATTTGATGCACCTTGGTGGTCCAATCACCAGTCTTTTGGATAAATACTTGCCGTTCCGCTGGATTTTCTGGGTTCTCGAAGAGAGAGAAGGCGTGCCATTGATTCTTGGACACCCATGGCAAACAAATGTAACAGATTCCGCCATGAGCTCCTATCTTTTGAAAGCGCTCCGAGACCTCCATGGTGACTCGCACTCCACTTGGTAGAACGCTGAACTTTGTAGTCTCGATCTTTTCCGTCATGAAAAATTGGCAGAACATGAAGTCTAGGAAGTACCATACCAGTAGCGTTCCGAAGACCCAGAATGTAAATCCGCCATTCGGAATTGCCGACGTAGGAGTATGGAAACAAAGAGCAAGCGCAAATACGATGAAGAGGTAGTGAAAGAACTTGCGGACCTCGTATTTGATGCGCTTTCGAAACAGAGTCATTGGAATGCAAATCAAGAGACAACTGGAGATGATGAAGAATCCAGTCAATCCAGAGAAATGGTAGAACAACAAGCTCAGATTCCCTTGTTCGGTCCAGCGCACAAGATGGGCGAGTGAGTGAATGGATGCAAGTATAAGGATTGACCATCCGCAGTACACATGGACTTCATGACTGTCGCTGTGCATGTACATTCCAATGGGAGTTGTGGACAAGAAACCAATTGTCGCTCGAAACTTGGTAAAGAAGACCATCACCAGGGCTGTTCGAGCAATAGACAAGGTTAGGTTTGATGATCAAAGTATAAAATGATACGACAAATTCAAACCAAACGTACTGGGATACATCAACCAAGCGCTGAGACGAGCAACACCAATGCATGCAACTTGGGTAAGGGAGGCCGCAACAATAGCACGCTCCGTCCCGTTGACCAGAATAAGACCTTTGGCAGTGCGCTCTGGGGACGCCTTGTCCATGATGAGACCTGTTTCTGTGTCTCGGAGACCTCCTGGTGGCCCCATGTCGGCAAATGTCAATATACCGATATATGTGGCAAGCAGTAACTGTGTAAGCTTGAGCCACTTGAAGCGGAACAAACTTGCGTTGGTGGAGCGCATACGGTAGGCTAGACTGCCACAGCAGCCCAAAGACTTGGAGTTGTTACCGATATTACTTTTCCCGTTGCCATTTGCGTTCATGGGTTGGACAGGTTCTGGAGCTACTGGCATTTTATATGTCGTAAATTTTCTTTTGATCGGAATCAATTCAGGGTATCCACTGGGTTGCTCCTGATCATGGTCTTGGTTGCTGCTTGCATTTGGAAAGTGGTTGAGTTGATTCAGTTTTCGATCGCCAGTATCAAAGTCGTCGTTGTAAGGGTCAAAGGCAACTGGTTGAGCTTTGTCATTCTGTTCGGATGAAAATTGGTGGATAGCTTGAGTTTCTGGAAGGGATTGCCTCTTCTTTTTCTTCTTCTTTTTTGGTCCGCTTGCGGATGCCTCATCGGGACGGTTGTTCATGGAAGGTGATAAACTTCGTCTTTGTTGCGATGCGTTTGGCAGCAGTGATGCGTAGCCATGATTTGCATGATCCATCTCAGCATTGCGACTAGCACGCCTCGAAAAATCTTCATGGGATTCTTGAGATGGCTCTTGTTTCGATTTTTTAGATTTGCGTTTGGGCTTGTAAATGATAATGTTTGATCCATCGTCATCGATTACATGAGAGCCTTTCCAAGTATTGAGGAGACTCTGAAGCTTTTGATCTTGTATGTGATTCATCCTACACTTGTGATAATGGAATGAGTTTTATTATATGAGATTGAGTTTGGAATAATTTGTGGTTTGTTGAACTGTAGGATCCAGAATTGAGTTGGGACGATCTATCGAACGACAGGTTCCGAAATTCATGCCGAGTCACCAGTCTTGTCAAATCAGTCAGGCGGACATTTCTAAAATTTGAAATACACATAGGGGAAAGTCATTTGACAAATAAAAGGAAGTCTTGGGTTTCGCCTTGTATCAATCACACACTTTTTGCAAAACCATAAATATCGTGAGAAAAGGGGGATATTTTCACGCGTGACATCATCACGCTACCTACCAACTACCAAGTATCGGTTTTTCGGTGAAGCAAACTGTGAATCGACCAAGAGTATCGGATTATAAAAATTTTCCCTTCAGCCTCCCCGGAACAATGCTTGTTTCTGAAACATTCTTCCCACTCTTCCTATTGTATAAGATACCTTCTAAGCTACCCCAAAGTGCCAATTACTACCCTTTGTGGCTCATAGTGATGGTCAGTCATCGCGCTGTCATCTATGTGGCACCTCGCTGAATGAGTGTTTGTGAGCTCACTTTTTATCGCTGATGCTGAATTGAAGTCGTCTATATGATACTGTATGTTGCTGACGAACTTCAAATCCAAAGAATGCACCATCTAGCTTGTGCTGATGAATACTGAGACATACCCGGAGAGGAGGGTTCGTTCTATATTGAAGGCCGTTTCAACTACTCGTGTATATTACCAAATCACAGTCTGCCCAATTTCTCATTACTGTTATCCCTAAGAAAGATTCTATTTCTTGCCATTTCGTGATGAACAAATGAGATGTCCAAAGAAGCCAGGACTTGGTTCTTTCTCGAATGGATTGCCATAGACATCCGGCCGAATCCATGGAACCAAAGCCAAAATCAAAGCTTGTTCGTAGTATTCGGCCCGAGTAATGACATTGTTGGTCAAAATTCCTACTGTTCCGTTGCTCTTCTTCCCATTGACTCGTCCAAAGAGTTTGTCGTCGGCATCTCCAAGTTCCATGTCATCTTGCACCATTTTGGCAATGGCCGAAGGTAGTGGGAACATGCCCGTCTTGGCCAATCCAAACGTTGGCTTTTGTTTTTCCGTGTAAAACTTGGAATCTTCCGAAGCCAATAAATCCACTAGAAGTTTGCGTCGCTTTCCATAAACGGCCATCCAAGCCATGCACCACAAGGTATCTATAATCTCATCACTGTCTTCGTCTTCGTCATCGTCCATGGGAGAGGACCATTCCAAGCCTCCTTCCAGACCAATAGCCAAGGCAGGATTGGATCCATGTTTTTTCTTGTATTCTTCGTATGCCTTCTTGGCCCGATTCTTGGCACCGGTCCGAGTTTCCTCGTCGCCAAAGGGTTGATCCGCCACTCCCGATTCCACCCCGAATCCTTCTACTTCCAAGACTACCTTGAAGGGTTTGTCGGTTGGCTCCTCACCCGCTTCGTTTGCCTTTTGTTCTTCTTCCGCTTTTCGGTCTAGCACACGCTGTAGAGCCTGTTTGACAGCTTCAATCTTGCAGGGATTGGAGGAACCAACCGCAATTTTGACCAGCATGTGCTGTGAGGACGACGACGAAGGTGCTTTTGGTTTCTTGACTGGAGAATCCAGTTTGGCAGAGTCCAGTTCTTCCTTTACCATACTCTATATTGCTTTTCTTCTCTTTGTGTGCACTATAGTCAATGCAGCTTTTGCAATGCTCTAAACAGTTAAAAAAGGGAGTACAGTCAATATAAGGTCATCTGTCGGAATCCTTTCCCACCATCTTGCATGCGTTTGTCGCACAAATGACGTAAACAGTCGACTGAGTCCAAGGTCCACTCGGATGAGTCCATCGCAACAAATATCAACTTTGTCTTGGGAGTTTTGACCGCTTGACCATGGTGCTTCCCGCGTGGTCTGCACGTATGTAGGTTCTGTACTCGTCCATGAGGCAGATTTTTTGGATTGAAACCAAGAGGAATGCCAACGCCCTCACTAGCCATAAGCTTGCTGTCATAGCAGTGGATACGTCTTCCAGACCATTGCGACTTGTCATTGGCGTCTGATTTGAAAGTTCTTGTGAATTGATTGACAAAGGGCGATCGAATTTGGTGAAAGAAGATCCAAAGGTGAGTTATCGGCTTTGTTGGAAAGATGCCCTTTTATGCAACACAGGAATACATATGTGTCAAGCGAGCAGCAATCTCCATGATATCTCACACCTGTGCATTTCTATGCACTCTCTCGTGGTAGGTATCCAATTTTCAGGCAAAGTAAGGAAAAGATCCAACCATGGATCGTCGAAATGATGAATCGGGTTGGAACATTCCCAAGAAGAAGAATCCCAAATCCACCCAAGGTGCTAGTTCCATGAACATGACAATTCCCAAGAAGCGGCCGTCACAAGGAAGTTCATCATCCTCCTCCTTGACTGGATCCATTCCACGAAAGGGACCTTCCAATGCCCTGCCGCCACCACCTATTCCACGCAAGTCCTCTTCTGGTGTCATACCGAGAAAGTCTTCTTCGTCGTCGTCTGTTCCAAGGAAATCATCCTTCAGTGACGGGGGTTCTATACCGAGACGACCGTCCCATGGCAACGGAGGTTCGACACACAGTAGTAGAGGTTCCTATGATAGTGGCGGCGGGTCAATACCGAAACGACCATCTCATGATGCTAGCAGAGGTTCCATCCCACGGCGACCGTCCTATGACAACAACAATTCTAGTATACCGAAGAAGCATCATGCATCCTCGTCGTCACATTCCATTCCAAGAAAGACAGACAAGATTCCAAAGAAAAGCTCGTCCATCCCTTTGCACAAGTCATCTTCTTCAAGTCATGGCTTTGATAACCCCTCGCGGCATCCACCACCACAGCGTACCAAGAGACCATCTCGCAGTGGGTGGGAAAACTTTATTGTTACGGAACGGCCATTGGTCATTCGGATACCTCTCAAGGGTGTATCCATGATTGAAGGGATTCCTCCGCCCATGTCACAGGATGGTGGTATTGGGAGAAAACGCAAGAGCGTGTCCTATCAAGAACTGGACGACACGGATTCGGACGACTACATGACAGAAGAAGAAGAGCGCCGTTTGAAGGCCAAAAAGATTCGTCTGAGCAAGAAAACGACAGCCAATCCCCAATCCAACGATGCCTCGGGGGAGAAGGCAACTGGAACAGACGTGGACGACACTGTCAGTGCTGCTGCAGTTGCTCCGGCACCAGTGGCGGTGGACGATTCTAACATTTCCAATTCCGACTTTTGGGCGCTGAACAATAGCTTGTCGGTAGATGCGCCACCGCCTGGAACCCTCAATACACTTTGGTATTCGCGAGAATGTTTTGGACATGTTTTGGTCGTGGAAAAGATTCTGGCTTGGAAGATGCGACCAGTGTCCAAGTTGGAATGGGTACCAGAGACATTGACTCCCAAAGAGGAAGGATACATTCAACCTCGACCGGCTATCGATACTGCATTGGCTGCCAAGTTGTCGAACATGGCGCTTACCAATCCTGTCATTACTTCGGATGCCAACAAACGCATGGAAGTGAGTCGCCTGGCTCCTGCAGAGTGTCCCATCGTCATGACAATGGCGGTAAGTACACAGGACGACGAGGAAAAGCCCGAACAGAAAGAAGGTGACGACGAAGGTGACACCACCAAGCCAGAGCCAAAATATCGAATCAAGGCACTTCAAGAAAAGGACCGCGAAGAAGTCTACCTTGTCAAATGGAGAGGAAGGTCACACTTGCATGCATCTTGGGAACGGGGGTCAGATATCATCAAGTACGATCAGTCCAAGAATACAGCGCGGCACAAGATACGCCGTTTTGTACAGTCGCAGGAACTCATGTATGGCAAGAATTGGCGAAAAGTATTGGAAGAAGAGCGAAGTACGGCCGCCACCATTCATGCGCATGGACTACAAGACGGTACGGTTGACAAAGAAACGGTGGATGAGGATTATTATCCTCCCGCTTGCACCGAAGTGGAGCGAATATTGGCTTGTGATGAGTCTGAAATGGACATGAACTTGTTTGCAAAGCAACGCGCTCGAAACATTCTGCGAGATCAGCAAATTTTGAAGGAAAAGGAATCAAATACAACGAAAAGATGGAATTCCAAAGAGGGTCTGGCTGGATTACTGAAAGAGATTCCATGGGATCCCGAAGATAATGTTCGGTATGTGGTCAAGTGGAAGACCCTTCCGTTTTCCGAGGTGACCTGGGAATACTGGCGAGACATCAAGCGTGATGCTGTGGATGAAGCGGAAGACTTTTGGACACGCCAAAAGCCACCAGAACAAAATGTAATCGATCGGAACAACCGATCGCATCCGCATATTCGAGACTTTCGTAAGATGCAAGAGTCGCCAGTATATGGGCTTTCGAAGCGAAAGCGTCATATTGCTGATTTAGGTCAAGATAAGGAGGAAGATGGCGACGACGTGAAGCAAGGGTTCCGTCTACGAAGCTACCAGTTGGAAGGAGTGAATTGGCTCCTGTTCAACTGGTGGAATAAACGATCCTGTATTCTGGCGGACGAGATGGGTTTGGGAAAGGTATGTTGTTGATTTCAATTCGTCTAGAAACCAACTATTGTCGATTCCATTGATCACCTAACGCTGTGTTTCATCCACAGACGATTCAATCGATGTGTTTTCTTAGAAGCCTTCAAGACGATCCAACTACTGGTGTGCGGGGGCCGTTCTTGGTTGTTGCTCCACTGTCATTAATTGGACAGTGGCAATCGGAGGCGAAAACCTGGGCACCTGATCTGAATGTTGTTCTATATCACGGCTCTGCGGACGCGAGAGACTTCCTTGTAAAGCAAGAGTTCTACTATACTGATCAGTTTGTTCCAAAAGCAACAGCAATAAAGCTGAAGAAGCAACATGTCACAAAGTTTCACATCCTTATTACGACCTATGAAGTTGCAATGAAAGACACTAATATTCTCTCCAAAATTCGATGGCGGGCTTTGGTCGTCGATGAAGCTCATCGTCTGAAAAATCCAAAATCAAGACTCTTTGCAGACCTTGCTGCTTTTCCTCGCGACTACTGCCTCCTCTTGACCGGAACGCCTCTGGCAAATGCCACGGAAGAGTTATGGGCACTTTTGCATTTTGCGGACAATTCCGCTTTCAAGTCAAAGGATGATTTTCTTGACAAGTTTGGGCAGCTCACGGATGCAGATCAAGTCAAGGAGTTGCACACTGTTCTAAAACCGTACCTGCTTCGGCGCATGAAGGAAGACGTAGAAAAGTCGTTGCCTCCAAAGGAAGAGACTATCTTGGAAGTTTCTCTGACGCCTGTTCAAAAGAAGTTCTACAAGGCAATCTATGAACGGAATACGACTTTCTTGTTCAAGGGATCGAAACCAAGCAACGCCCCAAGCCTCATGAATGTGATGATGGAACTTCGAAAGTGCTGCAACCATCCATACCTCATTCGTGGTGCAGAAGACCGAATTCTCACAGATGCTGCTCTGGAAAAGAGAGCACTCGAGCCGGCTGTTCCTCCTGACCCAGTCGCGTTGTTTGGGGAACAACTGATCAAGAGTTCAGGGAAAATGGTCCTCATTAGCAAGCTTCTTCCCAAACTTTTGGCCAACGGCCACAAAGTTTTGATATTTAGTCAAATGGTACGAGTTTTGGATCTACTGGAAGAGGTGATGAAGCTGATGAAGTACAAATACGAACGTCTTGATGGCTCTACATCCTCATCATCGCGTGCTGCAGCTGTGGATCGATTCGTCCGAAAGTCGTGTCAGCGCTTTGTGATGTTGCTAAGTACTCGAGCAGGAGGTCTGGGTCTGAATCTAACGGCCGCTGATACCGTTATTATTTTCGATAGTGATTGGAACCCCCAAAATGATTTACAAGCAATGGCCCGAGCCCATCGAATTGGGCAGACAAGGGCTGTTCGCGTCTACCGACTCTTGACTGCAAAGACGTACGAGATGCATATGTTTCACAGTGCGAGTATGAAGTTGGGTCTCGAGAGAGCGGTGCTGTCACAACAAAGAGATCAGGGAGAAGGAGAACAAGATGAAGGCGGGCAACCGAAGTCCACAGCCAAGAGCGACCGGGAAGCGCAGGCAAAAGAAATTGATTCTCTGCTCAAGAAGGGTGCATACGACGTTTTTAAGGACGACAATGACGAAGAAGCAAAACAGTTCATGGAAACAGACATCGACCAACTTCTTGAAAAGAGCGCCACAACAGTGACGTATGGTCCAAACCAAACTAATCTGAGCAATGGTCTTGGAAGTTTCAGCAAGGCGAGTTTCGTTGCCGATACAGGAGACGGTGAAAAGGACGTTGACTTGGACGACCCTGACTTTTGGCAGAAAGCGGTCGGTCTCGAGAAACCAGTTGAGACAACTGAAGAAGTTGCTCAAATGCTCGACGACGGTGTCAAAAGGAGCCGAAAACAAGTCCAAGTATATGACCCATATGCTGAGATTGCTGAAATGGAGCAACGGAAGATTGAGGAAGAAAAGCTGAGGAAAGAAGAGGAGAAAGAGGAACGAGAGAGGGCGAGAAAGGAAAAGAAAAAACGAAAACAGGTTGAGAAGGAGCAAAAAAAGAAAGAAAGAGAGGAAGCTCGCGAACAAAAAGTCGATGCAAAGACGGCTGAGAAGGAACTAGAAAAGGAGGCAATCCAAAAGAAACAATCCAAGGACGCAAAGCCTAAGAAGGCAAAGAAGATTCCTGACAAGTCCCGACTTTCAAAGCGCCTCGAGTTGGATAACCCAGATTATTCCCTGAAGCAAGGTTGGGATGTGCCCCAGAGAAATCGTGCTGTTGCTGCTTTCTTGAGGTTCGGATTCTCAAGATTTTGTCGTATCCGAAGTGAATCAAACCTCACAAGTCTCCCGATTCACGACTTTGAGGTCTTCTGTCGATCTTACTTCTTTCAGTTGTCTCTTCAAGCTGCTGTTCCGATTATGCAAATGCTGAAAGATGAGTCCGCAATGCTGAAGGAACGAAGTGTGAAGGATCTGATACACGAGTTCCTAGGAACAACATTTTCGCATAAGGAAGCAGACTGGATTTGTGACTGTCTCTCCAATGGCATGCGTTCTTTTCTGGATGTAGAAAGGAACCGCAAATTTCTCCGTTTGCCAAAAACTTTGGCTGAACCTTCATTCGTTGAAGAGTTGCGCCGAGGTTCAGCTCTTCGGTCGCTAAGGCGAATGTTCCTTCTTTGCCGGGTTCAACGGATAATTGAAGACTGTAGTGATAAAGTCATTGGGAAACTTGGCCATGAGCAACTGGCTCAAAGAGGTTGCCAAACTTTTAGTCTATCAACCTTGGACTCAGATTTGAAGGCAAGACTAGTCAGCACAGAGGAGCTGGCACTAACACTTGGCTTGTACCTGCAAGGAATGGAAGGCACATCACCTGTTGCATGGTGGGATCGGAGCTGTGACATTGCTTTGCTCATCGGTACTTTTGTCCATGGGTTGGGGAACTATGACTCCATGTTAAGTGATTCTTCGCTTCCTTTCGGCTTTCGTATCAAGAAATATGCAAAAATCGACGAGGCGTGTGTTGCTGCTCAGAAGCGCTTTGAAGATGCGACTGATGCTGCCCGGCAAGTTTTCGATGAATCCCTGGAAGCGTTCGATTTGAGGGAAGAAAAGAAGAACCTCGCAATTATTTCAGCTGCAGCTGCAAACCAAACAGCACTGGAGAAAGACGCCCAAGCTTTACGAGAGGGTGGGGCAGCAGCAGACGCTGTGCTTAGCAAGATGCCTGATCAGGCAAGAGGGAATCGGTATGAGATCGTTAATGGCGATGATGGCCATTTTGTAACACTGAAGAAGCTACGAGAAAAAATGCGCAGCGTGATCAGGAAGTGTGACAGCGACAGTGACGCGAGCGCAAAAGACGTCAATCCAAGTGCATCGGAGGGAAAAGTTGAAAATTCTGGCACCACAGGCAGTGATGCTAAAAGTCGTCGAACCCAAATTCGTCATGCTTTATTGATGCCAGATGCACGGGTTTTGTCTCACAGGTTACAGCAATTGGTGGAACAGGTAGAGACTACCATGTACAACGATAACGAACGTGCAATGCAAGTGGACCGACAGCCGAGTACTGCTTCTATTTGGCCGTCTTCAGAAGCGGCATCAGCAAGTCGGGAGATCAAATCTCGCTCCTTCTCCCTTGTCTTTGGAGTGGATTCGCCGAGCAACAACGAGAACGATGTATTCACGGGGGTTGGTACCAGCGGTAGTCAATGCGCCGTTTCTCATCGAAGTTTAAATGATGGGACCGATTACTGCAACGGGGCTGCAAGTTCGGAACTTGCTCATGTCGCTTGTGGAACTTCGCGTTATTTGAGAGCAATCGGAGTTCCAATAAATTTTACGAGGTTTGCGGTTTCTGCTCTGATTCATGCTGATGGACATTGCGTTCAAAAAGTCATTGAATCCGAGAGAGCTAGGAGCAAAACAGATAGCTCAGCTGAAGTTAAGCACAGCAAGAATGCGCCTAACGGCACCGAGGCGAAAGGGGAAAAAGTAAGTGACAACGGTGTTGCTGCGGACGACAAAGGACTGGCTGGCAGCGAATTGGAGCAAAAATTGAAAGTGGATGAAATGGATATTGACGGTTTCGAAGCTCCTAAAGATGATATGAAAAATGGTCACAAAGACAACGGCTCCTCAGTCAATGACACTCCGGTCAACCCACTGGTTTCAAAGTCTTTCACGGCGAATGCCAAGTTGCGAGCTAGTGTTTGCAGCGTTGTCCTTCACTTCGGATTTTTTCACTCAGATAACGACAACTCGAAAGTGGAACGGCTTCTCTGGAATAGCATCAGAGAGCACTGTGGTGAATTTGATGAAAATGACCCAGCGCCATTGTTCAGTGGCGAACACTTTCGTAAGCGCGTCATTGAGTTGCTTGACGATGATCAAGTTCCAAGTGTCAATGAGTTGAAAGAGTACATTGAGTCTTGCCTTCTTCCGCATTGCCTCCGGCTATGTCTAATGGGAAATGGTCCTTACTCTACTGGCGCTCGGGGAAGCAACGGCAAGTACGGCACTGCTCAAGGCACAAGCCTATACCCTGAGTACAGTGAGAATCTGCAGTCTCCGCTCCCTGATCCTTGTTTGGAGTTGAAGGAACAATCCATCGAAGCATTGGGCGTGGCCTATGCTATCCTTCGACGTGTGCAAATGATGCGCTCCGCGTTTGCAGTCGCAAGTGGAAAGATTTCCTTCGCCAAGATTGACGACATCCTCCATTCGTCTTTCATGAGAAAATCAATGAATGGGTTGCCAGTGTGGTGGTGTCCATGGATACACGATGCAGCGTTGCTGGTTCATGCGAGTTCGAGAGGCCTCTTTTCAATACTTCAAGATCGTCACTCCAAGACACAGACATCGGCATTTTCTGTCAAGACCATCCGACAACACATGTATTCTGTGTTTGTCGCTGAGAGTGCGCTTCCATCATCGATTCTGGAGGAATCACCTCCTGAGGATTCCACCTCATGGATCGAGTTGCAATCGAAAGAGTTTCCATCGATGCATGTACTGGAGCAGCGTCTCGCCTTTCTCTGTGCAGAGGCATCGGCGACCCTGGATGCTGATGAAGTATACGATTGTCTACCAATGTTTGATCACGGAAGTTGGCCAAGACTATCATGATTAAGACTATAAAAATACTGTTTTACTAAGACTTATGATGAGTTCTACCATCTAGATTCTAGTGGTAGGTTCCAATCTTACCTCTAGGACGAACACCTTGACACAGTATTCTGGCTGCAGTTTTCATATTCTTCCATGTAGTCGAGCGAGTGGTGAATGCTGTTGCATGACTCGTTGTCGTTGCAATATAAATTGTGCAGGTTACTAGAGGGACAGCGAAGTGGTGAGTATATCGATGCATATTCATTGATGGATGCTTGAGATTAGCAATGTGTACTCACCAAAAATTAGTGGAGAAGTCGAGTATGGAAGTGACCTGAGATTCACTACAGGTTTCCAACACACAAGACCCATCATGGCCCATTGTCAGCTGCAAATTAAGCAAATCGGTATACTTGCCATTGCCCGTCATGTGGGATGCGTTGATGAGATTGACTTCATTTCCAGTTTTCTCGTCCGTACTTGATTTTGAAGATATCAAAGACTGTCTCATAATGCACGATGGCAAACAAGCCTCAAAGGTTAGTTGCATGGTGGTTCAGCGATGAAACTATTCATTCATTCATTCAAGAGATCCAATATGAACTCACGTATTTGCCTTTGTTGTGTGGATCCATCCAGCTATTTTCGTGGTTCAGACGAGCTGTAATTTCTTCCAACACCGTTTGACATTGGGTTCCTGGGAATGAAACTTTCATTTCACAACTTGCGTGGACGCTTGCTGGAGATCCTGGGCACACTGGATTGCTTGCCGCGGTCTCTTCACTTTGTGAACCCCGTGACATAAAGAACGCAGATGCAATAAGCATTGCGATCAGTCCAACCAAGATGCGGTAATTCAAAGTAGCTGTCATTTTCGATCCTTCTGAACTTGTTCGATATGGGTTTGTCATGGAATCAGAGATCAAAAGAGAAAATTGCACGAATGATGAGCTATCATTTTCTATTGTTAATAGTTTTGCCAAATAATGGATACGACCATACCAACATGACAGCACCGCTTCCCGTCCGCTCAGCGAAGTTAAGCATGTTCGGGCCTGGTTAGTACTACGGTGGGGGACCACGTTGGAATCCCAGGTGTTGTATTCTTTTGACAACTTTTTGCATCATGTCTCGATGGCAATTACTTACTTCTGCCACTACTAGCTAGGTGCAGTGTGCAGTACTGGTACCTCTATCAAGACACCAGTCAATTTTACTTCTCCCGGATTGCATGCATCTACTACAGCCTCTTATGTTGTATTCTTTTGCCCACTTTTTGCTTCCTCGATGGCAATTCCTTATTTCTGCCACTACTAGCTAGGTGCAGTGTGCAGTACTGGTACCTCTATCAAGACACCAGTCAATTTCACTTCTCCCTGATTTCATGTACCTACGACAGCCTCTTATTTTCTGTTTCGGGGACGGTTTTATTAATTCTTTTGCGATTTTTTTGCTTCCTTTGAGGTCAAATCCTTACTTTTGCAATCAGGTCCCTGGTCTATCCGGCATAGTTTGAAGCGCAGCATTTGTGAAATGCAGTCGAGCCGCATTGATCTAATATGCTTTCTCTTTGCCGGATTCAGTGGAGTATCTTTAGTACCTCTAAACGAATCAGCCACCAAGGCGCAGGAGGCAGCAATCGCCAAAGCAACGTCAATTGGTACAAATATTTGAATCTAAAAGATCTATAAATCTATACTTGTCAGCCCCATCAGCGCGATAAGACAATATAAGTCATAGCTTACATAGAGGTGTATAAACAAAGTAGTAACAAGAAAGGAGGAACAAAAACTGCCAATCAAAGACCAACAATCGACTGACACGTAACACTTCATTTCCATAAAATCAAAACCATGGAGATCAACGCCACGAGAGTAAAGCGAACTTTATCACCCCCTGCCATCATCATCCTTACAACCAGGTCACGAAGGACCAGGCACGTTCGTGCATATAGTAGATCATCAATTTGACGAAAAAGTCCACAAAGCCAATTTCAAACGCCACGCTCGCATCACCAAGAACAACATAGGTAATCATGACTGTTGCAAGGGTAGATAACGTCCGATAGGTAATCCCCTTGACGAGACTTCGTACATGGGAGTCTTTATGTGCACCATCAGTGGCCAACTTGTCGTTGTCTTCGTCTGAAAGCCCTTGTCGTTCGTAATCCGTAGAATCATAGGACCGTCCATGGCCAAGTTCCGCATCCAGACGCGTATTTTCCATTCTTCAGACTATTTGTGTTCTTTTCGGTGACGTTCTATTAGTAGGTGGGAGTTATAATAGCAATGATGCATGAGGAATGAAGAGGAAACTCTGAATACAGTGCGGTGTGCAAATTTCTACAGTTACAGTAGATTTCCGATCGCCAACTCCGCCCATGCCGAGTTTTGGGGCATCAAAGCCCCTCCCCCTTAATTGTTTGCGGATGAAAAGGTCGGTGTTCACACTTTGACGAACGTGTGCGTCCCATTGAGTGTGCGAGAACTGGAAAACCGCATCTGAAAGCTCTTTTTTGTTTTTTGTTTTTTGATTTTCAACATCCGCCGAGAACCCGTCTCGTTGGTTTGGACCAAGAGCGATGATTCGTGGCTCTCCTGGTAGACAATCTTCAAGACATGCAGCATACAATATAACCATAGTATCATTGTAGATTGCAATCTTCCGTCAGCAACCCACAACTCTTCAGATAGTCTTTTTATTGTAGATTCAGTCCAGTCTGATCGTGAAAGGAACAAGTTCAATCGAAATCGTAGAAAATCTAAAATGTCAAGTGATGGAATCGTCTATTATGTTAAGCGTTTTGCTTTCTATGGATGGATATAACTTCCCTTAACCCCGGGAGTGCCTGTGGACTGATGTATATGCAGTGCCGTAGTAGTGAAAGATGACTGACTGACTGACTCGTCTCATGATTGAGATTATCCCTTGCACATCGGCCGTTTGTCAGCTCTTCGCAAGCCTTTTCGTGGAGAATGTTTTCTTGAAACCTTGACAGGCACCATTCGAGACACATACTTCAATGAAGAATTCTTGCTGTTGAGAGCTTCCCTGCGAGAGACTGGGTTCCATGCATACGAATGTTGTGGTTGACGTTCTTCAGGACCACTGTTGTGCAAAAACGTTTCAGGCTGCGGCGAAAGTGTCGCCAAAATGTCAAAGTCAAGAGAAGTCTTTGGCAGCAGCTTCAAGCATGCTTCAATCTGTTGTCTCTCCTTGGAGAATGAGTTCTTTCGTGGTCTCATTGCCTTTGCGGGCTTCACTTTCTCAGATGGTTTACTCTTGTTGGAGGAAACTGGAAGCGTGACATATCGTGGCCAGTAAAATCCTTGAAGCTGAGCGACGTTGGTTTGCCTTGTGGGCATGATCGACGTGTTGCAACGCTTCATACCAATGATATCCCCTTGGGGTAGGACGCTTGTCATGGTGATTCTTTCTTAGGATTCACAATAATGTGTTTTGATTGTATTTGTGTCTGCGTGGGGTGAAAACTGCGTTTTCTGTGTTTGTTCAGATTTTGAGATTTGCGTTTGCAGAAAAAATGGTCCGTCGTTCTACGAGAACGTGGTAGGTTTTCTCGTAGAAAAGCCAGGCATGGAAGTTCAGTTTAACGATACGCTGACTGCACGACAGTGGCAAATTTGGCATGTTTGGATTGACAAGTCCGACACGGGATGAGTCGCGACCTCCCATAATCGATTTACATATTGACCGTATAAATTTGAGGTGTTTACTTAGGGACCAAGAAATTCGAAATGTTCTTTCCCTCCAGGAAACTGGCATTTTACAGCATTTGGCGACTGTGTGATCAACGCCCGCGATTGAAGTTTCTCAGTGTCTTCAACGGTTCAATCTTGTCTCTTGACTGACAAGAAACCAGTGAAAAGATGCAACTCCGTGCACGTTTCGTCACAAGACACAAGGTCCATGTGTATCATGTGTCAGCTGCAGTGACGAAGGAGTGATGGCATTCATCGTCAATGTCAGTTGCATTCGAGATGAGAACACGTTGAGAAGCCCATGGTGGTTGGCCTTCCCATTATGAACTGACACAAGAATTCTCGGAAGTTTCGTGTCGAGAAGACGAAACTGATGCTAACTGATGCCAACCCGAATGGTATGCGAATATATTTGGCTCATCACGTACGACAAAGGATAACAGATGATCTTAGAGTGTTTGAGAACGATGAGCACCCTTATTATGCTTTGCAAGAAACACGCTCGGATACATGGTGAAGAATCGACAACCAGGAATTTCAGATATTACCATATATGTGGTCAGTTGACAGAAACAGTGATGATTCCTCACCCCACACTGACGACAGAAACAGACAGAGCACAAAAGTCGGAGATACAGCAACAAGTTATTTGATGTTGGTGAAGTTTAGTCATGTACCACCACTGCATCAGTACTCGGCCGTAGACTCAAGAAACTTTGGGTTAGGAAGTCCAGTAATTTGGAGCACCATGACGTCAATCAACCATCCCCGGAACAGAAAATAAGAGGCTGTAGTAGGTGCATGCAATCCGGGAGAAGTTAAATTCACTGGTGTCTTGATAGAGGTACCAGTACTGCACACTGCACCTAGCTAGTAGTGGCAGAAGTAAGGAATTGCCATCGAGGAAGCAAAAAGTGGGCAAAAGAATACAACATAAGAGGCTGTAGTAGATGCATGCTATCAGGGAGAAGTAAAATTGACTGGTGTCTTGATAGAGGTACCAGTACTGCACACAGCACATAGCTAGTAGTGGCAGAAGTAAGGAATTGCCATCGAGGAAGCAAAAAGTGGGCAAAAGAATACAACATAAGAGGCTGTAGCAGATGCATGCTATCAGGGAGAAGTAAAATTGACTGGTGTCTTGATAGAGGTACCAGTACTGCACACAGCACATAGCTAGTAGTGGCAGAAGTAAGGAATTGCCATCGAGGCATGATGCAAAAAGTTGTCAAAAGAATACAACACCTGGGATTCCAACGTGGTCCCCCACCGTAGTACTAACCAGGCCCGATCATGCTTAACTTCGCTGAGCGGACGGGAAGCGGTGCTGTCATGTTGGTATGGTCGTATCCAACGCTGAAAGCAGATACAAAATTTACAAACTAAAAACTATTTTCAATTTCAATTTTTAATACTGTACCCACACTTTTGCCATGATGAAAAACGCGGATCCAAGGCTTGATGAGGGGCTCCGACATCGACCATCGCCAATTATCGTTCGAACAGCACCACAAACCACCACCACCTTGTCGGCTTCCAAGAATTCCACCAATCAAGAAGAGTCTGAAACGACAGCAACATCACACTCAGCATTGTCATTGCGATCCTTGATTAGCAACCAGGTAGCATTATGTACGCTGCCCATTCTCATTCTTGTGGTGATTGCTTCCTTGGATAATGCGGATAAGCAATTGTTGGCGTCATCCTTTCCTGTATTGGAAAAGACGCTTCACCTGGATGTCAAGACGCTTGGCTATTTCTCCTTATTTTCCAATCTGTCATATGCTCTGAGCCTACCACTGTGGGGATATTTGATGCACAAGTACGGTATAGCATATGTTCATGTCATATTGGCAGGAGCCTGTGCTTCGTGGGGTGTCGCTACAATTGGCATTGCAGTTTGGAGCTCTTCCACTATTGGGCAGGCAATCCTGAGATCCACCAATGGGGTGATGCTGGGATCCATTTTGCCGCTGAGTCAAACACTTTTGGTGGAGCTTGTTTCCGTTTCCATGCGAGGACGGGCCTTTGGCTGGATGGGATTATGTGAGAAACTTGCAGGCAGCTTAAGTTCCGCTTCAGTTGTGTATTGGGAAGATCATTGGCAATATTCCTACTGGTTGTTGGGATCGTTTTCAATTGTCATGGCAATGGTTGCCTACAAGGTGTTGAATCCATCTACTATTTTGAAGAATAAATCTTCTTCTGATCCAAGCCGACCCTTCTCCCCAACAAAACAAGATGAACCTAAACTTAGCTTGCGCCAGATTGTGCGCCGCATTCTCCGTTTGCCAGCATTTTCCTGCATGGTCGCACAGGGTGTCTTTGGAGGAACACCATGGGACATGATGTCTTTCTTGCTACTCCTAAATGACTGGCGTGGATTTACCAAAGAAGAGATTGTGTCCATTCAATTCACTTCGGGATTGACAGCTACCATAGGGGCGTGGCTCGGAGGTGTCCTGGGAGACTATGCAGCCGCAAGAGCGGCTTCCAAAGGGCGCATATTCGTTGCCTTTATTTCAGTAGTGGGAGGAATTCCTCTTTATGGATTGTTCCTGTTCGCAAAGTCTTACAGAGCAGGCCTTTTGTGGATCAACTTGTTCAGTCTATGGGCCACTTGGACTCCATCGGCTGCCCTGCGACCAATCTGCGCCGATTTGACTCGCAATAGTAGCGAACGAGCCCAAATTATTGCCATGTGGATCGTCTTGGAGAAAGCATCCGGGGCATTGTTTGGTGCACCTTTGGTTGGATACTTGACTAGCAACATGTTGGGCGGTGACGAAGCAGACGAGCCACCAGCAGAAAAGGCTCGTACTCTTGCTAACAATCTGTTTTTCCTTTCCAGTCTATTTTGGACGATTTGTGCTGGTTTCTGGATTGGGATGGGGATGACGATCCAGCAAAGTTTGTCTATTTCACAAGCACCAGATGACAAGAACGCCAAGGCCTCGGAAATGAATCCTTTGGTATGACAATGGCACAATATACGTCAACATTTTAGCACACGAATTACTGTCTACTACAAAGAAGGAATCTCATCCTTCCATGCCACCATGCTTGTCCACAAATTCCTTGAGATTGCCATCGGCATAGCGTGCCTGGCCGTCAAACATTTCTTCGTCGGCAATGAAGCAATGCAAGACACAGAGAATACTGATATCAAATACATCCATAAACATGTCTGCCATGAAATAGCTGATAATGAAGATCATTGCAACTGGGCCTGCGAAACTCCAAACTTCCAATTCGAGATGCTCGGTCAGCGAATAATATGCCAAGAATGTAGTCAATGCGGCAATGAAGAGCTTTCCAACAATCAAAACAGCCGCCGAAACATATGAAACGGCACCAATTCGGGCGGCATTGCGCAAAATGAGGTAAAAGGCTTTGCGGCCTGATTCACAAAATGGAGTACCAAAGATGGCACACTGTAAAATAGATAAGAGAAAGGATTAATGAGCACTCGTTTGATCTAGTCGCTGATTTTTGATTTCCATTCAACGACTCACCTGAATGTAGGCATTTTCATTGATAAATTCAACACACTTCTCAAGGCAGCAAAGGCAGCACGAACAACAGCAAAGCAGACAGTTTGCAACTTTTTCGTTGGACATTTCCGAAATTTGTTTCTTGATGTATGTCAAAATGGCTCGCAACATCTTGATAATGGCAATAATCAGAGATCCAAAGGCACATGTGCCCAAATGGTAAACGATCGTCGTCCAAAGCGCCGAAAAGGGCAAATGTTGAGTAATGAGCCGTCGTTCCGCCGTAAAGTACCACTTGGAGACCGCCACAGCAATGACCATTTCACCAATAGCAAGAATGAAACTGGCCGTCCAGAAAAAGCAAAAGAGCAAGAACCATCCCAGCTGTCGAATGTCTTTACTGTACTCGTACGAGCGAACGGGCACTGCATAGTCGGTCAATGGAACATCCATGGTTTCCAGGGTAATGGTTCCCAAACTGGCAAGATGGCTGCCGTACCAGGCCCACACAGCGGTGAAGGCCAGGAATCCGATTCCTTGCAAGATTGGAATTGCAAAGATGAATACCATATCGTTGACAGCCGCCCCTGCCTTTTTGACACACATGACAGCCAATTGAATCTGTTTCCGCATGCAAATGGCCAGCAGAAACAAGAAAGCAGCAATACCATACAAGACATAGCCAACGATTCTGGTGCCAGTGACTTGATCCTCTCCAACTACTGGTGGATTTTCGGCCTCCCACTCGTCGGCCTTCCCTACAGCAAACCACCCTGCAAATGCAAACATGGCAATCATCAAAAAAATGGACAGCCAAATGAGCCCCGAAAGTAGCCAAGGAATCCTCAAGAGCACCATGTAGCACAAGGAAATGACCAAACTAGCACCAAACCCAAATCCTAGAATGTACAGTCGTGTGGTCCACAAGTCACCGTACAGGTTGGAAATAAAGTCCGTGGTTCCCTCCAAGTCGCTGCTCTTCGACATGACATCTTCAAACAAGTCATCTGCATCACCTGCCGCATTTGTCAAATTGGCAATCTGATCGCGAGCTTCGGACGTCAAGAAGCAACGTTGAAAGAGTGGAAAGGAATCTCCCAGATAGTAGGCAAATCCAAACCCTCGATTGATTCCAGTCGTCTTCCATGAGGCTTCCAACGAGTCACCAATGCACAAGTCTTCGGTACATTGAAAGTTGTTGGTATCGATCAAAGTTACAGAAAGACTGGTGCTATTGGAATCATCACCTGTTCGGTTGAGTGTGTAGCTGTAGTCGGCTACTTGGACTATGTCGGCTGAAACCGTGGCCAAACCAGTGGTCGACTGATAGACACCAGTGTAGGTGACCAACGTGTAAAGATCTGTAGCATTATCAGCTGTTCTTCCTACTAGCGATGGGCATTCCTTGACACAGACACCCCCAACAGCGTTGGTATAATACAAGAAAGGATATCTATGAATGAAAGAAACGAAAGAAAGTTAGAAAAAGCTTTTGTCGAAGATTCACATCTTGTGAATAGTATCTTCACTCACTCGGTCATATCCCGATCATTGAGATCCGCCCCACATACGTTCCCATCGTAATCAAGAGGATACAAGACCAATCGATAATCGCCATTGTAGACGGCGTAACTTCCCACTGCTGTCATGGCAGCCCAGCAAAGGCACAACAAGATCAACCATAGGAGATCTGTGCAGTAGCGTTCTTCCACTGGTCCGTTGAAATCAGCAGACGCATGGAGCTTGTCATGAGCTTCGTTGTCCCCATCGTAATCGCCAATGGACCTCTTGAGTTGTGGCATGATTGATCTCGGATGGATATTTTTGGCGGGGCTGCTTCTTTTTTCTGTTTGGATTCTTGATGGATTCCAAATATCGTTGTCTCTTGCTTTGCTTCTTCTACTTCTGCTCCGTGTTACTTCTTCAAGGAATCTCTCTTTCTCTCGTTAGCCCTTATTCGTGGAAGTAAGTGTCACTCTTAGATCTTCGGAAGGACTTCAAACGCGGAAACTTCTTGTTTCTGTCGGTCTTAATCGAAAAGTGATTTGCCCGCGTTGGCATCGCATGGCGGATATGTGCACGAAGTGATCCACATGTTCCGAACGACTCGAATCGTTCGACCCAATGTCAACCATTTCAAAGTCCTGCCGTCGACCGGCCAACCCATCGTCAGTCCATTTCCAGCAGTGGTAGCCGATCTACATACGAATATTCCGACAGCCAAACCAGCAACTGCAGCATCTCCTCGGCAATCTCTGTTCCTGGAACGTTGCTGTTGTGCTTGTCCTATCTGCCAAAGAGACAAGCCTGTCAATTTCTGTCAAGTAGATCCTTTTCCTTTGGCTGAATTTGAATCGCCCTACTCTTTTCTTTTACGCTACAAGAAAAGTCAATAATACACAATGTCTGGCAAATTTCTAAAAGCTGCCGTTGGTCGGGGATTCCGAGAAGCCGGTGCTGCATTGAAGGAACAAGGTGGAACAGAGGTGAGACTGATGATTGCGCTGGATGCATGCTTGTTTTGGCTTTCTTTTGGATATTGGAACTGACCATTTATTTTCTTTCTAATCACAATCTTTTGTCTGTGGATCTTTTTCATTGGCTCGGTTCAATTGCCTCCTTCTATTTCTATTTCCCTTCCACCCGGTCCTTCCTTTCAACCTCCAGCTTGTCTCTCGACACCGACCGAAGATGACCTTCCTCGGTCTATCACCATTCGTCACCAACGACACCTTTATTGCCCCATCCGCTTCTGTAATTGGTGAAGTTACCAACTGGGATCAATCCAGTGTCTGGTACGGTGCTGTCGTCCGGGCTGATTCGTCGCATCCAATCACCATTGGATTCAACTCTAGCGTTGGGGAGGGATCCGTCGTTTCCACCTTGGGAAAGAACGGATCCCTCAAGACTGGATTTCCTCCCGTCTGTCACATTGGTCACTACGTTACTGTTGGTGCTGGATCCGTCCTAAAGTCGTGCCGTGTCGATGATCTAGTGGTCATTGGCGAAAAGTGCACCATCATGGAGGGCAGTTTGATTGAATCCAATGTCATGTTGGAGCCAGGAACTGTCGTTCCTCCCTATGCCCGCATTCCTTCCGGACAAAAGTGGGGCGGCAACCCTGCTGCCTTTGTTGCCAACTTGGATGCCAATGAGTTGGAATCCATCAAGGCAAAATCGACAGAGATTCATCTACGAGCCAAGGAGCATTTACTGGAGTTCTTGCCAGTGGGCAGCACTTATGTTCACTTGGAAGAGTTGGAACGGCAGCAAAGTGATTAAAAGCTAAATGGAAATAATTATATTACTACTAGAGCAATTCAATCGTTCCCGTCATGAAAATTCTTTGGTCTTTTGGTGGATGGCAATGGAACTTGATGAAGTTGTTTGATTCGAAGTGAAGGGAGCAGTGGGTCTATGGATAAAGAGTGTGGTGGGCGCGAAGCACCCCAAAATCTGTCACAATCATAACTGCAAACACCACTGATGACGAAAGAGAGTAAACATGAGCATTAAGCACTCCAAAAACTGTGACGAGCATCATGTTAAGAGTGATGTGGAGGGCACCGGTGAGCACCAAGCACCTCGGAATCTATAACGATCATACCTGGGAACAAAATTAAGAGTATACATTATAACCTTTATATCCGATTGGTCGGACCCCGTCAGACTAAAGGACTGCCCCTCCCTTTTCTTCCTAAGCGCTCCATTTGTTCCGGAAAGGCACCGGACTCATTCGACGAACAGGTTTCCGGATGGGAGCATCAGGCGATCGTTCGACCGGAGACAGGGGACTTTGGACCAAGTTTGAAGCGATACTGCTTCCCTCGCTGCTACTGTCATCACCACCCCAATCCGAGCCGTCACTTTCAGAACTGCTGTTTATATCACCTACCATCATATTGTCATGATTGCTGCTCATTCTCCTTGGCATTGCCAACTCTACTTGATGTCGAGGACTCGCTGACCAATGTCCCCTCGCCGAGCTCCCCTGGGACATGTGGGCACTCCATCGACTTGAAAGATCTGGTGAATCTTGCAATTCTGAGTTTTCTGGTTCTGAATTGCGCGTGTTAACATCGTCATCGTCTTCATCATGGTCAGAATCATCAATCTCACTGTGGTCGTCATCGATCATACGAAAGGCATCATCATCCATATCTGTGATGGATTGAAACTGAGAAACTGAAAGTTCACTGATGACTTGCAAGCTTCCTCCCAATGCTTTATTCCTGCCTTCCGTAAGCTTTCGATTCCTTGGTTTGAACCACTTTTTCTTCTTTGCTTTTAGTGGAGTAGTGATCGGTGGCCCTTCATCATCGGACTGCTCCAACCCGCTACCGCTGAGTGAGGAAACAGCACTACTCAGCGGTTTTGCGACAGAGGAAACAGCGAAGGAACCTGAATAGTCTTCAGTTTGGGAGGGATCAGTGAATTTCACCTTACACTTCCCCGTCGAGCTATTCTTCGAGGCGCACCTCGAAGACTCTTTCTTCCTCTGTGTCGGCTTGATTTCGGCACCAAACACTGACCTTCTCAAAGCCCACCTGAGATTCTCCTTTGGAAAATCATGACGGGATCGGAGCCATTTCGGTCGGATGAATACAAAGAGGTTGAACATTCCCTGAAGAGGCAGCAACATCGCCTCACAAATCATTAATGGATAGTACTTGCAAAGAAGATCCATCAATTCCTCATCGCTTTTGGCTCCTTTCTTCAATTGATTGATCACAAAGGGCCATATATAGCTTGTTGTATAGCATGCGACAAACAGAAAAGCCTGGGATCGGATCAGCCGGAGTCGTTGTCTTTGTTCCTTTTGTCTCTCGGTCTGTTGTTTCCGCCGTTCCGTGGATCCCTGTTTCGATGTTCTAGTGGATTTGGAATGACGGCCACTTGTATCCAATTCGCTGTTAGTGGATGAATCACCAGCGGAAGGATACGAATGATTCCCTCCGCTGGAGCCACCAGCAGACGATGTCGCTCTCTGACGTACTGCTTTGGGATTTGTTTGCTTCCAAACAAAATGTGATATGATTGTATTGTTCCCGACCAGTGCCACAAATGTTAGGATCACAGGCACGTAATAGAACATGATGAACAGTCGGTCGGATATGCATTCTTCCCTACTGTGTCCAGGCTGAGAACCACAGTTTTTTGGGAGATCGACCATGTAGCATCGAAAACCGTTGACTGGCATTTCTCCCCACAAACCAATCACGGAACCAAAGATTGCGGTCAAGAGTGGAAATCCAATTGACACCGCATGCATTACGGGTTCGAAGCATCTTGATACATCAGCATTTTTCATTCCAAATCTGGTGGTAAGAAGGAAGTAAGTAGACAGCGAACCGTTGTACCAGATTGCACTGGTTGAAAGCTGATGAAAGAACCCAACCGCACTACATGTCGCTTCTGTACCAAAAGCCCACAAGCGTTTGCTGGATTCTTCTGGACGAAGAAAGGCCGCAGCACCAATAGTCATGCTGAACATGATGTCACAAATACTCATCATCAGAAGCAATCTCTTGTAGGGCGACCACTGTCGTTGATCCTTTGATCGAAGTACCATGTATATGATCACAGAACTGGAAGCGATACTCAGGAATGAGCTCGGTATTGGAAGCAATGCAAGAATTCGCTCTTGTAGATCAGAGAGGTGAGTGTAACCACCTGAGCCATCATAGTAGCTTGCCATTAGAGAAACAATGCAATGGAACTGTTACTCCTGTTGGATTAGAGGCCATTGATAAATTTGATGGCACTGCAAAATCTTGCGTTTCTCATTCTGATCAAACTGCGAAGAAAGAATTCAAGCACGAAGTGCCGTTCGCTGGCGCCAAATGAACTGGTGAGGGCGCCGCCTGCGTGTCTCCTATATATGGCGGTTCGTCACTGCTTCGAAGTCCGCATAGATTAGTTCGATTGATAAAATCTTGGTCACATATTCTAATCGCCGCCCCCGCTTTGTAGCCGCCAGCTGCTGCGTTGGTGGCAATGACCATCCAGCACCACTCACTGTTTGAAGCCGTTATTCCCGACTGCTGTTCTTTCAGTCTCTTCGTTCGCGGTCGATGAATATCCCATTCTGTTGTTTTAAAATAGGCTTTCTCTCTTGTGATTGGAACACCAGCAATTTGTTCTCCTACCGTCATAGAATCACATTCGCGCCTCATCATGATGCCACCTTCTCGTCTCACCAATATTTCAATTGGACTTACTCGTCGTGGAGCCAAGATAGGAGCATCTGATGATTATAGACGCACTCTATGAATACATTGCTTGGCTGATTCCTCGCGACAAAGCCAACGATTCCTCTCCATTTTACGATATTTTCAATCTTGGCGTTTACTCGTTGGGGCTGAAAATTTGGCAACAAAAGGATATCGTCGAACAATCCTCTGCTCGACTTCGAATTTCCATCGATGCTCAAAAGGATTCGGAAGGCACAAACAACTCGCCCCCCCCCCCTCCCTCACACACGCCTCATGATGATTCCGATGATTCATTAGTGCACCAATATTTCGTTTGAACTTAAAAGTGAAAGACACCTCAGAGACTACCTATTCGTCTGGAGACCAATAACTTTGATCAAAGCAGGGATCAAAGGTGTTGTTCACTATGAATTATTTTACACTTTTTTAATGTATGAGATCTATCCTTTGCCTACTTCGAAGATGTTGCCACCATTGCAAGTATCACCATTTTCACCAGAAATATGACAACCAACCAGCCGTACCCAAATTAGATTTGATCATCAATCAATGTCTTGTAGCCGTAAAGAATGCTGGTCCACGCAAACGCGGCCGTGGTCTTTGAGATGGAAGAATGACCGGGCTTTGGCTTTCGACAACTTGTTGTCTATCCACTGCTGGTCTAGTACTCGCCAGTGGGCTATTCACAGTAGATGCTGGTGGTGGCGTAGTATCCAATGAAGTAGGTCCATTCGCAACAAAGGCAGGTGCCTCATCCGAAGAGGAGCTTTCCTCCTCCATCCCAGGCAATGATTCACTGCTCATGTGACGTGCAGGTGCTCGGATTGGACCATCGTTGCTGACTTCTTGTAGTACTTGCAGTGGGCTAGCCAAAGGATTATAGAGGGGCTCGATGGGTTCTGAGTTGTCTGGATCTTCTCCTGCTTGAGTGAGCGAGTCGTCACTGAGGTGCCGCGATGGTGCCCGGATGGGACAATCTTCACAGTCGTTGTCAGATGGCGTAGAAAATTCTTCGCTGCGTTGCCGCGAAGGTGCCATGATGGGAGTATCCTTAGACTCTTCCTCCTCTTCACTGGTTGATGACTCATCATCAGAACTCACAACCGGTGAGGGCGTGGGGGACCTAGATTGGCTGTTGTTGTTCTTGCAGTCCGCGTTCCATCGACCTTCCATATTTTGGAGGCTGAGGGCGGGAGGTGGTGGTGGAGCTGGTAACGAGTGAAGGGGCGGGGTACTGATGGGTTCAAACTTGCATTCGGAGTTTTCACTGATCACTTCCAAACTTGATCCCCCAATGATGCTCGATTGAAACTTGCGTTTTATCGGAGTTGTCATTGGTCTTTTGGCTGTCTTTTCCGTATCCCATCGATCGTCTACTTGATCTTCGTCCATCACATGATCAAAGTCACCTTCGCTGGCAGTCATATCCGACACGGTATACTTTGCGAGCTTCTTTGAGGACAGTTTCTTGGAGCTTGGTCCATGGGAGGCTTTGATGACGGCGTTATTGTAATCATTATCATCATAGAATTCAACTTCATTGCTATCAAATGCTCCAACCATGGCATTCTTTTGCTTATCCGACATTTTCTTCTTCATGGCAACTCTCTCCACTTTGGCATCCTGTATAGGTGTCATGAGATGAGTTGCAATATTGCTTCTTGTTGGCTTGATTTCTTGTCCAAAGACCGATCTCTTGAAAGACCAAAACTTGGATTCATAGGGATATTCTTTTCGGGTCTTGAGGTACTTGGGTCGAAGATAGACAAACATGTTCAGGAACCCTTGGAGGGGCATAAAGATGGCCTGTATTACCGAGATTGGAAACCATCGGCACATCAGAGCCAGTTCTTCTTCCTTGGAGGCTGCCGTGCTTTCCACAGAGTTCAAGACACCAGTCCAAAAGATGCAAACTGTAAAGGATGCCAGAAAGAGAATAGCTTGAGTCCGGACCAGACGGAGTCGTTTGTTCTGATCTCGTTCAGTTTGAGCCATGGAGGGGGCCCTCTTGCTGTAGTTGCTGGGTGCCGGCAATGCTTGCTTTTGCACAAAGAGCACCAAGATGAGCGAGTTGGTAATGATAGAAGCAAAGGTAACGAGGACTGGAAGGCCGTAAAACACCCATCCAATAAACTTGGACAAGCACTCTTCTCCGGATTCTCCTTCACCGTAGCCACAGTTGGTTGGGAATTTGACAAGCCAGCATACGAGTCCGTTGACTGTCATTTCTCCGTACTCTCCAGCGGCGGCACCAATGGTTGCGGTTAACAGTGGGTAACCAATGGAGACAAAGTGCATCCAAGGTTCCACATTCTTGGCAATGTAGGAGTTTCGAAAGTTAAACCTCGCCGTAAGGAGGAAGTAGCAGCTGAGCATGGCATTGTACAGCACTGCACTCGTGGCAATTTGATTCAAGAACCCGATTGCACTACAGGTAGCCGAAGAGCCAAAGGCCCAAGCTCTCGGGCTGGTCTCACTTGGACGCAAGAATCCACCCACGCCTATTGTACTACTGAATAATATATCGGCTGCACTCATCATAATGAGCAACCGCGTATAGGGAGTCCACTTTTGTTCCCTCCTGGAATTGATCGCCACGTAAATGATGACAGATGAACCAATGATGCTCAGAACGACACTCGGTAGTGGTAATAATGCAAGTGCCTTTTCCTGAGCATCAGATAGCTGCTCCACATTGGCTAAATCATATTGTTGGTCCATTTTAATGAATATTGCCGCCCCAGCTGTTCTTACAATCTTCTGGAGGGAGGGATGGGGGTGTCAGGTATTTGGATAATGGCCTCGGTTGACTGACTTTGGGTAGCAACAAGCAACGCACCTTTCGTGGCTGTTCGGCTGGAGATGGTGAAAACATCTAACGAATTTGGTACACCAATCTAATCTTATTTTTTCCCCATGGCATTTTGGTTGCGGTAAATGTTAAATGTGATAAAAGTTTGGGTCCTGTTAGTGATTGAGCTCCATAAGTAGCCTAATAGCGACCGATAAATCCCAATCTTGAATTGTTCTTTCGCAAGGAAAAGACGGGCCTTTGGCACTGTGACTCGTTAAGGGACTTTTTCTTCTTTTCTTATCGTGAAGCACGTCGGCCCTGCCCAGATTTGAGCAGAACCACCGGTCAATAATAAATGTTGACGCTGAGTGCTGAAAGTGAAAAGGAGACTTAACCTTCACGAAAGGGGGCGAAACAAGAAGCCCCCGATCAGTAATAGCACCGCCGATGGATAACTTCCACTTTGGGAATTATCGGTGAGACACGAAAGAGAGGTCATAGATGCTGGCGGTTGCACTTGCTCCCATGACTGTCCCACAGCATTGTGGTGCGGCATTCACAAGGAACATTTGTATTTGGTAGTCGATGTGGCAACGGTATGGTACTAGGTACCTGGTACTGCACCAGTACACAAGACTTTTGTCTTACTCTCCTCCTACCACCTTTCATTTAGTACTAGGTACTAGGCTACGCAGCCTCTGGCACTTGTAATGTGACCGCCAGTAGATGCATCTTTCAAACTTTGGCTTTGCACAATATATTATGCTTCGATTGTTCTATACTTTTGCTAGCAATAGCGTGGTGTGTATGAATATGCACCTGTAGTAGGTTTCATCTGTCTTTTATCATCGATGATGAGGAAAGTTGATCCGCCATTATTGCTTCTGTAAGTAGTCGTTTTAGTCGGCGACTTTGTGCGTGCGATGAATGACGCGAAATTATTCCGTTGCATGACGACGATGACAATATCACCTTTGCGCTGGTCAGAAGAGTGTGAGTCCCACAGTATAGAAACACAGTACTGTGACGGTATCAATCCTTTTATTTCATTATACAAGTAGTAATAGTAACAGGTACCATCATCCTGTCGTCTTGTTACTGCAGAAAAGGACAGAGCTTTGATATCATTCTATTGCCAAGAGCTCGCTACTGATTCAGATTGTTTCGGTCTATGTATGCATCCTCGTCTTTAGAAAAGATGAGCCGAATTTGCAAATCTATGGCCCTTCGACGAGCATTTTTGACAAACCAGAATGTGGCGTTAGGAAAAGTGGATGTCGCCATTACGGCTGCTGCTGCTGCTTCTAGTTGGAATATTAATACTAGCATGCAAGCCGAACCAATGCCTAAATTTCAGGCGGTCCAAATACGCCATTTCGATGCTCGAAAGAAACGCAAACGTAGTAAAAAAAGAAGAAAAGATCCCTTCAAGGTTTTGGGCATTCCAGAAGCCTCACTCTACAAACATGCCAAGAAAAAGTTTCTAATGATTGCTATGGAGAATCACCCCGATACGCACGGTCAAGAAATGACAGAAGAGGAAAAGGACAAAATGAGAGACGTCTTTATCAATGCGAGGATTGCCTTTGAATCCTTGGTGGAAGATACAGATGGAACGGCAATCCTGATTGAGGATGCCGAAGATGCCATGGATAATTTTGATTCCTGGTTCAAGAATGAAACTGGACTGAAAACTCCATTTCAATTAGATATCGATCCGGAAACCATGAAAGAAGTTGCCAAAATGACAGATGAAATTGGTGGTGACAGTGGACTGGATAGAGATGGAGGAATGTGGGCGTTGGCTAGGATGGTGACATCCACAGTGAAATCAGGTGGAGATGCTGCGACTCTTTTGCGATTGGAAGCAGGAGATGATCAAGGTCGAAGCGTCGACGGTGAACTGAGACGACGAAGAAAGAAACGATAGTGCTTGTTTCCTTGTTTTGATTGGAATCAAATGGATTGCCGTCGTTCAAACAAAGCATCAACGAAATCATGCTGTGCCATACATCCTTTTTGTGGTGATTGATGGATTTTTTATTGATTCTATGGAAAATCTAGGTGAAAATCTTATTTACAAATTTTCTGTTGTTTCGGACAAGTTCGTCAGCTAAAGATCAGTTGTTCCTCTTTTTAAAAATCAGTAGTCCAAATAAATAAATCATCTTGACTAAACTTCTAGACTATCCCACACAAGTCCTCGTCGTTTCCCTTCCATTATTTACTTCTTGTCTGGGTAGTATTCCTTCTTGAAGGCTTGGATCTTTTCATTACTCTCCACGTTGTCGTAGATCGTCTTGAGGTTGGGGAAAGATGTCCCGATCCAGTCAATGGGGATATGGTCAATGGTTCCATTGTAGAACCAGTTGTACAAGCGCCAGACGCACAAGTCAGCGACCGTCAACTCACTATCTTTTCCACAAGCGAATTCACTACCATCCTTGCACACAACAGAGTTGAGTCCGTTCAAGTGCATGTAGAGACGTCCATCCTTGGGGTCCATGAGCTTTTCACGAGCTGACTTTTTGTCTTCCGCACGGAAGGTGCTAGAAACCGTGTCAGTGACATCGGTACACCCATTGATGATTTCATCGCAATTGGCTTGGGCAAAAGGATCATCGTTGCTTGGGTACATGTCACCTAATTTGCCAACAAAAGTGGCGCAAGCTTGAGTTTGCGAGAGAATCTTTCCATCGATTTCCATAACAGGAAAGGCACCAAAAGGAACCTTCTTCTGAGCCTTCAGCTCGTCCATCTCAGTCTTGTCAGTGACGTTGTCAAAGGGGATACCTTGAAGATACAAGGCAGCTCTCAAGGCGTCAGCCCTCCAAAAGGCCATGTTCCAGTAGTAGACCTTGATGGAGGTCGGAGTCAACTTTGGTTTCTTGGAGACCGGTTCGTTAGAGGTGGAGCTTGTCATACTGGTTAAGGAAGCGAATCTGATGGGTCTTGTAAGGAAAGGGTTTGTCGATCGAAGGGCAAAGCCTCTGTGGGAAAGGACGGAAAGAGTGAGGAGAGTGGTGCGAAGACGCATTGTGGGAAGATGCCACCGATATAGTATGTTTCGTTCGTACTTTTTGGATTTTTATGTGTTCTTGGAAGATCATTCGTGATCTTTGTTTTGCGCGCGTGATTTTGCGCGAAAAGGAGAAGGTGGAACGAAGTTTCATCCAAAAAGAATAATCGCAGAAGTACGTCATGGTTCCTACCAGAGTAACCTGTATCTACTGTAGGATAGAGTGATGGCAGCAAGTTTATCAGAATTTATATAAACTGCTGCTTTTCGGAATAATATCATGCAAGCAGAACCAATGCCCCGTTTGAAATGTTTCAGTTAATACTGCAAACCAATGTTTAAAAATGAAGTACTAGACTACTAGCAAAATTCTCAACATTGTCCTCCTTGACTTATTTAGTTCTTGCCTGGGTAGTATTCCTTCTTGAAGGCTTGAATCTTATCATTGCTCTCGACGTTGTCGTAGATCTTCTTGAGGTTGGGGAAGGATGTCCCGATCCAGTCAATGGGGACATGGTCGATTGTTCCACCGTTGAACCAGCTGTACAAGCGCCAGACGCACAAGTCAGCGACCGTCAACCCACTGTCTTTTGCACAAGCGAATTCGCTACCATCCTTGCACACAGCATGTAGAGACGTCCATCCTTGGGGCTCATGAGCTTTTGACGAGCTGTCTTTTTGTCTTCCACACGGAAGGTGGCAATAAAAGTGAGAGCGACATCGGTGCACCCATTGATGATCTCACCGCAATCGGCTTGGGCAAAAGGATCATCGTTGCTTGGGTACATGTCACCTAATTTGCCAACAAAAGTGGCGCAAGCTTGAGTTTGCGAGAGAATCTTTCCATCGGATTCCATGACAGGAAAGATACCAAAAGGAACCTTTCCCTGAGCCTTCAACTCATCCATCTTATTCTTGTCAGTGACGTTGTCAAAGGGGATACCTTGAAGATACAACGCAGATCTCTCAAGACGTCACCCCTCCAGAAGTTGTAGTTCAAGTAGTAGATCTTGATAGAGGTCGGAATAGAGCTTGTCATGCTAATTAAGGAACGAATCAATCGTCTGAGTCTGGTGGCAAGTTTGTTGTTCGAAAGGCAAAGCCTAGGTGGGGAAGGGACAGAAATGTGGGAAGAGTGCTGAGACGATGCAGCGAATAATCTGTTTGCGTTTCATACTTTTTGGATATGTGTTCTTTGCATGATCAAGCTCTTTTTTGAAAACGTGGTGTTCTTCGATGATCATTCGTGATCTTTGTTCTTTGCGCGAAAAAAAGAAGCGGATACAGTAAGAACAATTTTACAAGTACCAGCAGGGAACTACACAAGATATTCCAAGCAAGTTGTTGATGCAAGCATTTCTAAAAGCGCATACATTTGTAACCAATTTGAAAGTGAAAACACTACTGAAAGTACTATGGCTTAAATTGGCTGATGGGACACAGTTTACCCTTTCTTCCTTAGTATTTGGTAGTAGATAGTATAAAAACCTTTCATGTCAGAGCTTCCAGCTCATCGGACTCTTACAACTGTAACACTTTCTAGCTTATCCTTTCAGCTTGTGTCCTCCAGTGGTACAATGTAGTACAACAACAAATCCTTTTGATTTCGTCAGTGAAACCTGCAGGACTCAACAAACTCGGGACTGGCTGACTCACTGAAATTGTCATGTCAGAATGCGAATCATCGGTCCATCATCCAACCTTTGGTGTCTTGTCAGAACATTTCACACCACCCGCCCACAACTTCTGCCGTATCATAAACCAAGAACTACTACTACACCAACATGATGAAGCTCTTCTCTTTCTTTGCTCTTGCCGTATTGTTCGTTTCTTCTGCAAATGCCCTTGCACCCGCACACACCAACGACCGTCGTGCTTTTCTTTCCAAGGTCGCCACCAGCGCCGCCACTGTCGCTGCTGTTTCCACTCTGGCAGCACCAGCAGCTTTTGCCAAGCAAAGCAACTACGATCTTGATGTTGGAGACACGGTTGTCCCCGAAAAGGAAGTCAAGAAATCTGGTGGTGGCGGTGGCTCCATTGTTGGAGGAGCCTTGGCTGGAGGTCTTCTTCTCAGTTTGCCCTTTTTCGCTCCCAACCTTGCCAGAATGGCTGGTGTCAAGAACGCCAAACTTCCCAAGAAGTAAACCTTACAATCTAGCTAGCTCGAACATGAAGCAGCATTGGACTGGCTTGGTGTAGCACAAAACAAAAACTGCCTGCACGTAACTGTGGATAGGATGAATTCATATCTCGGTTTACATTAAGAATGCCAGAAAGTGATGATTCCATTATGATAATCATCACTCCCACCCGCCCCAGGAAATAGCATCTTAGAAACTTGAATGCCTTCATTTTAAAATCATAACAGCATCTGTATTGCTAACAATCAATTTATGATTCTAGTTGTAATCACTTCTTTTGCCGTGCTTGGTACTTTCGCCACAACGTCCGATACCGGTCCACTCGTTTGACAGGATGTTCAAATTCACTCGTACGCAGCCTGATGCGCCGAATGGGGAGGGGATGAGAGTGCACAAAGTTGCCAATCGAAGCGTCTTCAATTCCCTTGTCGACAGCAGATCGAGGACACTCCGACGATACCACAAATTCGGCCAAGTCAGACGACAGAAAGTACAAGTGTCCACCCATGTAGACAGGCCCCACCATGTTGGGTGGCTTGAAGCGATAGTCGCCCCCATAGACTCGTGCATTGTTTGGATATTTTGGAAGCTTCTGTAGAACCCGATTGAAGAAGATTCCTGGGTAGAGCAGAGTATCGGAATCCATCTTCCCAATGTAATCAAAATTGTCATTCTGTTCATGTTGTTGTGGGACTGTTGTTGTGGTGGCATACTTGAACCATGTCTGTGATTTTCCCTCTTCCATATTTTCTCGGATATTCAAACAAATAATGTCGCTTGTATCTTCTTGATCATTCGTATGCTGGAGTCGGCAAGGAATGCTCATGGGGAATGACGAGTTGTACTCCAAAAGCTCAGTTGGTCCTTTCGGATTTCCACCCAAGACAAATGCATATGCCAGCTGACAACCATCAGGATTTTCAATCCATTCCTGCAACGAGCAAATGATTCGCTTTGCTGATGTTCCCTTGGTTGTTCTGTTGTGAGAAATCCAAGTCTTTCGAATCGTCTTTCGGCGTCTGGCGTCCTTGACACTATCCATGGTGAAGATTCCCAGTAGCATGGTGGTTGGTCGTTGATTCGTTTCTCCCTTTTTGCCTCCTTGGTTGCTTGATACTGTCTTCAAGCAGGGCGGTCGTCGATAGTTCGTGAGCGAGTCCTTGTATCGATCCCAAAATGCCAAGTAATCTCCAAGCGTTCCATCATCTCCGTCATTTTTGAAATGGAACGAAGCAGATGCTTTTCCTTTCGTCTTGGTGGCCTTCATGTTGGTATAAATTCCTCGTAGATCAAATGCACTGAGTACAAGTTTCGTGGATGATTGATTGGCTGTACTGCCGGCAACACTGTGGACCAAATTTGAAATGAGAATATCCACCGACTCTGGTACTACCCACCGACGCTTCTGTTTGGTTGGCAATGTCACTGTACTAGTGGCTGCGTTCGTGGACTCCCTTGTGGAAAGCAGTTGCAATAATAACACCTCTCGAGAGGCAGACCCATCGCCGCATCACGTATTCACCTTGTAATGAGGGACAACTGGTCGACTGACACTTTGATTTTTGGACTTGAATGCCTGCATATGTAAGCGAGCGAGGAAATGTGGAATACGGCGATGATTCCGTATGCCGGTCTTGGTGGCGATGATGAAAAATAGCATTCTTCCAAAACTTGGTCGGCAGAATGGCAACCTTTGTATCTGTATAGGCAATGCTGTCTATCGGTATGGAATATTGCACCTCACTTAGTAAATGCGCGTACCAGCTTGCAATGACTTTTGGTCGAAGCGGAGATGGTAAGCCTTGTTGTTGCTTTGTTGCGAGAAACCGAAAGTAGATCATATCTTCATCTAGACAGTCATCGTTGGGATACTCAGTCGGCAACGACGAAGATGATGAGTACCAGTCGGATGCGATGGAAGGAAGAGAGCTAGTCTTTTCCTTGTAGGAATCATCGGTGGGTGCAGAGTCCGTTGCATCAACATGTTCCTCAAGAGGAATTACAAAGGCATAAATTAGCTGGCAAGCGCCGTCGTAGCTATTCTGCGATGAATTTCGATGGCGTTGCTGAAACTCTGCAAGGGAGCATATGCGATTGGGTGCCTTCGTGGCATTGTCGTTGCTCTTGGTCAAATTCATATTTTCTTGTTGGAAAGTAGGAGGATGATTCAAGTCAAAGCGGAGATATGTGTGGCGAACCAAGTGTCTTCGCTGTCGTTCTTCTACATCGTTCAGTCGAGAGAAAATTCCCACCACAACCCGAGGCTTGTTGTTGGAAGACTTGTTGTTGTTGGAAGACTTATTGTCTGTCGGCAATATAGTGTCGCTATTTCCATGACTGATTCTTATTTGCTCTCCTTCGTCACCAATCTCCCTAGTGCTGATCTCGGATACTCCTTCTTTCACCAACTGGGTAGGATCTGCCCATTCGAAAGGAGCTGCGATCGAAGATGATGACAATGACCCATTGATTATTCCAAGTTGTCGCATTGATACGACGACAGAAAGCAAGGATATAGACACAAAAATCCTACGGATGACCGTGGATCCCTGGACACCAACAGTCATGATTGGAGTTCTGTGCTGTATATGAAGTCCATTCCTTCAGGCAGAAAGTGTAAATGCTTATGGTCGTCGACAACAATTCTGGAGAGATTGATGGTAATATCAGCTGATGGAATTTCGCCAGTCACGAATGAGGTCATCGTGAGTCACGAGTCACAACACCGAAAAACATATTTCGGGCTTGAACATAATCATCTTTCAAGTTGCATCACTTATTTATTCTCCCATCAATTCATCGCTTTCCTCCACCCCTTATCTGCAAAATTCTCAATACAATGGTTGCTAAAAGTTGGGTGGTTTCGTCTTTGTTGATCAACGACCAAGAAGCAGCGGTCGTCCAAGCAGAAACCAACATCAAGTTGAAGGCCGATTTTGATAAAGATACCCATTTATTTCGATTGTTTTATCCTGGCGCAATTCAATTCAGTGACAGTGATTACCAAGAATCAAAAGGATCTCGATTGGCAACCGATATGGGCATGTCAAAGGTTCCGGATCAAGTTCTCTACGAAAATGTTGCCGGTCAAATGCAAATGGAAGAAGATGAGACCAAGCTTATCCTGCAAAGCTCGGATGACAGTTATGGGGACGTTAAGTTAACAATCCAACTGGCTTCCAAATGGAGTCTGAATGATCTTTGCAAAATGATTCGAAATAGCCAAGCTTCATCATAACAATCCTTGCATTCCTGAGCGATTTCGAAGCACCAACAAAGCACAATAAGGCAATGCTATAACTGAATCATGAAACTTTCATGCATACAGCTTGTCATAGTCATTTTCTTTTTTAGTTTTCTAATAATCTAATCTATTTTCACTGCAGCGGCGCCTGCAGCCTTGATGGAAGCTGGATCAAATTTCACTCCACCCAAAGTTTCACTTGTCTCCCACAATGCCTTTGCCTTCGCGGTATCACGAGCAAATCCGGGCAAGCTTTTCTTTTCCTTCAGGTCTTCGTAGAAGGCTCCCTTTGTCATGGCACCTTCTGCTCCAGATGCCAGAAAGACTTGGGTCGATGCGCCCTCTGGGACGGTTAAGACAAAGTTCGACAGTGCCTTCAAGGCAAACATGGTCAAAGGAGATGCCGATGCTCCTCCACTTTCTTTGAGTTCATTCCACTTCTCTTCTCCCATTATGTTACGACCCAAATCGGTGTTCACGGCACCGGGATGCAAGCAGACAGTTGTCAACCAGTCATTGCCAGAAGCGTCGGCCTTTCGTTGAAGCTCTTGGGTGAACAGAATGTTTGCCAGCTTGGAGAGACCATAAGAAGTCCAGGGTCCATAAGCAATGTCGCCATTCAAATTTTTCATGTCCAATCCACGGCCACCGCCACTCTCTGTTGTTTGGCTGGCGAAATTGAAGGCCTCCGACGAGACATTGACAACTGTCGAACCGTCCCGAGACAAGTATGGAAAAAGTCCAGCCGTCAAAACGAAATGTCCCAGGTGATTTGATTGAAAGGTGCGCTCATAGCCGTCCTTGGTCAATTGGCGATCTGGAATGGCCATAACTCCAGCATTATTGAGCAAGACGGAAATATTGCCCAATCCAAGGGCCTTGTAGGCGTTGGGAAATGCCTTGACATTCTCCAAATCATCCAAGTCCAAGACAAGGCTGTAAACTTTGGGGGTACTTCCTTTCTGCTCGCGAACATATTCTTCAACATTTGCGACTGCCTTTTCTCCCTTGGCTTGGTTGCGGGAAGTCAAGACAATGGTCGCTCCAGCCGCGGCCAGTCGTTTTGCAGATTCCAATCCCAAACCAGTCGAGGCACCAGTAATCAGCACAACTTTTCCATCCATAGACCCTGGGGCTGGTTCGTAGATTTTCTTGTTGTCATTTGATTGACCATTTACGGCCACGGCAGCTCCGGCAGCAGTGGCAGTTCCAAGGACGGCAGCTCCAGCGACTCCAGCAAGGAATTTCTTTCGGCAGATCTGTTTCTTGACCAAGACCTTTTTCGGGCTTGGAAGCAAAAGTCCTTGGGAAGGATCTACGAAGGAAGTAGCAACTAATAGGGCTAGAAGTAGGCTTCGCATGGTTGAAGGAGACTAACGATAGTTTATTGGTTCTGTAGAGAATCATTTGCACTCGTACCAGTAAACATCATCATTCATCATTTCTTTCATCGTGAGCTGGTGGATGACGTCACACGAGTCCCGCCAAGACCCAGATCCCAAGAATTTTCATCAGAGGAGCGACCAATCTAAAAGGTTTTTAGATTTCAATGATAATAACTACTAGATGCAAATGGTAACAACGATAATGTTTATAGAATTTGAAAGGAGGTATGCGGATGCATGGCTTGCTGCCTGGTACGATGACCTGAGACTCTTGATGTTGTTCATTGTGCAAAACGTACTGCTGGGCGAAAATTTCAAAACTCTTCTGATTGGCTCGGTGGCCCTCGAGACTTTGGATACGGTACATACTGTATGATTTCATAAATTTTTCTCCCTCGATTACAGAAATTTTAAAAATTATGGCGGCAAGCCCTTGTGTTCACTGTGGAAAGCCGGGGGCCAGGTGCCACTTTGCTTGTCCGACCTGTCCATCTCCCAACAATAAGTTTGGCGTCTGCGATCGCGATTGGCTACCAGAAGGCATTTTGGAAGGTCCACAAGAGCGTGAGTCATCAGCCACTTCCCGAATTTAATCCTTTTGCCAGCAGTGGACCCAAGATCACTTTACATGACCCCGACGAATTTACGGGTAGCTTGGACAACAAACAATCATGGTTTGAAACTCACGGAAGCTATCGTTCAGCCGAATGGATAGTGGACTGTTATCGAATGCGTGCTGACGATGATGTAGCTTGGGGCAGTATGAACTTTCATGGCCTGTACGAGATCGGTATGTCTGCGTCGGAAGGAGCCTCTTATGACAGCCGTACCAAAGCTTTCATCGTTGTCAAAGACTTTCTCAACTTCTTCAAGCTTGGGATTCGGAACAAAGTCATTCCACCGTCCAAATTCAACTTTGCCTTATGCATTGGGTACTTTGCACCCAACTTGTTGACGCACGTGTTCGAGAAGGAAGATGCCAAAATCAAATGGGGAGGAGAGAATGTGTTCTCTTTCAGCCCAAGTCTTCGACGTACCGCGGAAACCATCTATGGCCTCAGCAGCATGTCTCAGTATAGTGATGCGGAAGTCCAAGAAAAAGGAGAACGAGCCCAGAGAGAGGTATCCGAGCTTCTGGAACGTCAGCTGGATGCGACCAACTTTGATGCATCTGAAGATGGCATTTTCGAGGACGTGGGTGGAAAGAAACTGTGGGCAGGCCTCCACCATTCCTTGTTCCGCCACTATGAAATGCATGGATAATTGGCAGAGATGACATGCGTCCTAATTGAGACCAGAACTCTTAAAAAACCATACCTAAAGTGAACCCCAGTACTTCTCCATTTGTGGTTTCTTGCCCACCAAGTCTTCCAGCATCATGCTTGGTTCCTTTGATCCTCCATGGATTAGTACCTTCTTCCAAATGAGGTCACCAGAAGATCTCTTCAAGCTCTGTCCCTGAAAATGCGTATTCCAGATCGTACTGGCAAAGACTTGAGCATAGAGGTAGCCATAGTATCCAGCTCCATAGGTTACCAAATGACCTACATTGGTGAACCAATGAGTTCCGTCGGCGTGCGGTACACCATGTTCACGGTGTAGCGCATCCCAAATCTCTTGTGTGGTTTGACTTCCCTTGTTGGCTCCAAAGATTTGCTGATCGAATTTGGACAAAACTAGCTGACTTTGCATTTCAATGCAACGGAAGGAATTGCGACTTTGCACCAAGGGCTTGGACAGCGATTCGGGAATCGGTTCCCCATTTTCCTTGCGTGCTAGAATGGGCAGAAATTCTTCGTCCCAAACATAGTGTTCCATCCAATGCGAAGGAGTTTCCACAAAATCCATCGCCCCTCGAGTTCCCGCCAAGTGTTGAAAGTTTGTGCGACTGAGCAAGGAATGCATGGCGTGACCAAATTCGTGAAACAGGGTTTCCACATCTTGATGCGTGGACCCCTGTTCGTTGATATTGCACACCAGTGCCACAATGGGCAATTGATAGTTTGAACCCAGCCCATTTTCCACACAGCCACAGCGGACGGTAAAGTGAGCGGCATGAGTATACTTGCCCGGGCGTGGATGAAGATCCAAATACATGGATCCCAATTCTCGTCCACTCTTCTCCTCATAGAACTTGAACTTGCGAATGTCCGTACTACTACTAATACTTGTGGCCATTGTGGCAGGACCATTTTCAGTCGTATCCACATCCCATCGTTCGCTGGGATGCATTTCTTCTTCTTGCATCTTGATGCCAAATAGTTGTTGTACCAAAAATTGCATCGCATTCAAGCAATTGGGCAAACTGAAATACTCCGCTAGCACATTGGGATCCACTCCACCGACATGAGCTTTGAGCAATTTGGTGTAAAATTTCAAGTCCCAAGGTTCGACAGTAGCCGAACCACCTTCCAAGGATTGTTTGGTGCGACTGATCAGTTCCATTTCCTTCTTGTGGCCTGGAGCAATTTGTTGTTGCAAGCCCTGTAGGAATTGGTTGACAGTTTCGGGGGATTGCGCCATTTTATCTTGTAGAAATCGTTGGCTGTAGGACTCGTATCCCAAGGCATGGGCCAACTCTTGTCGTGCATCAATCAAAGATTCCAAGACATCAATGTTGTCCGTACAACTATTCACCGACGCCAAGTAAACCTCCTTTCGCAAAGCTGCTGCATTTCCAAAACTAGTAATCGAATTGGAAATGGGAGAGTTTGCGGGTAACTGAATCCTTCCAGGTTTGCTTGGATCTAAAGTGGCACCATTGGCCAACAAAACATCCTTGGGAATGATTTGTTCCACAGCTTCCAAGTCGACCCAGAAGCGCTTGTTCGAATGCGTAATGTTGCTTGCAAACAAAGTCTCTAGATTGGTGATGCGATTATGAACCTCCTTGACTTTTTCGCGTCCCTCTTTTGGCAAATGAATCCCATCAATTTCAAACTCTTGCTTGAGGAGTAGGCAAAATCGTTGCTCTTCGGGAGTCAGTTGGTCATAATACTGTTGGTATACGTAGGCCAGATTATCGTATAGATTCTTGTCAGCATTCAATGTACCAATATAGTCTTGGAGTTGCATAAAGGCATTGTTGGCAGCCTCTCTCCAAATGGGGGAAGCATGGGCCGACCGACAGAGTTCGGCCGCATCAATGACATTGCAGACCGTTTTGCTGATCTGATCCAATTGATACAGAACATTTACGGCTTGCGCTTTGCTAGTGATATGCTCCGGTAAACTCGTCCGTAAATCATCCGATGTATGAATGGCTTGTTTGGATACATGCGAAAAATCGGATGGGTGTTGAATGGACGACAAGGAAAAGAGTCCTGTTTCTTGGCTCGTCGTGGCGACGTTTTGAAGCTGCCGTTTCTGGAACAATCCATGTTTGAAAGATGATCGTCTGGCAAAAGAGGAGGTCAGCGACCGTGAATTCCTTGCTGCAAGGTGTCGGGGTAGCGTGTAAAATGGCATGATGATTGCAATGGATGGTAGCAGGGTACTGGTAGTATGTATAATATGTTGCTTTTATTCGATGGAATCATTGGTCAAACTAGTCGATGATCGAATCAATCGACCAAGGCAAGACGCAACCAACTTGATCTGGTGAGAAGAAGTTCCGCGAGAAGTTAGTGCTGAGAAGGGCCGACGTCACAAACGCCTCTTTCGAACGTACCTCGTACATCATACATACGTGTTCAGAGTCTGGACCCTTGGGAAATACTGTACGCTCAGCTTCTCATTTTCTTCTCGAGCTGACGATCTGTGCCAGTACTTTGACCAATCAGAGCAAGCCATTTGGCCAATCAAACCTAGTCAATCAAGTCGATGAACACGTCATCCAAAAAAAGTTCTCACTCTTCTCGCCTTTTTCCAGGAAAAAACGCACTTGAAAGTCGAATCTGCAGAAAACAAGAAATACAAGACTTCTCACAGATCTAGAGGCAACAACAAAGCTAACTCAAAACAATTTCTATAGTTGCTTGCTTGCTTGCTTGCTATTACTATTAATACCAATATCAACAATGAATTTGGCATTAGCAAAGACATCCAAATTCACTGTCCAAATAGGTGTAATTGTTGCCCCCAGAACGAGATGTCTATCATCTTTGACTCCCGTCGTCAAGGATACGTATTATGTGCCTCGCGCGGATCGCGGAGGACCCAATGATTCCTTTGTGTTCAACAAGCTGGGCGATGGACGACTAGCAAGACAATCCAGACACAGTCCCACTCGTGAACTCAACTTTACACCAACTCACTGGGAGAGGCAAAAGAGTGTCTGGCTGCGATTCCGAGCGGTTCGTACCATATTTCACTCCAGTCCGTTCCAAAGACTCATGTTCCCCGATCTCTTTACAGTTGGCGCTACTGCAAGCGCCGTTGCTGTATACAATACCCAGGTAGCTGAGAATTACATGGAGCAACTAACGCTTCATGGTTCTGCCTTGTCTGGTGCCACCACTGCCTTGGGTATGTTGGTTGCCTTTCGACTCAATGCCTCCTACGGTCGATACGACGAAGGTCGCAAATTTTGGGGAGAAATCAACAATGCTGCCCGCGATCTTGCAGGAAATGCATGCATGTGGATTGACGATCCATACCAAAAAGACCGCATGCTCAAACTCATCAAGGCCTTTCCCGTCATCACCCACTTTCACCTGAATGCCAAGGGTGGCCACTTTATGTACGCGGACGATGACCCAGATTTGGGAAACAAGCTTTACGCCGAACTACATGCCGAGCTTTTGGACATTTACAAGGATGAGGAACATGAAGACTTTAAGTACATCTGTTCCGGCTATTTGGATAAAATTCACCTTCCCTTGCACGTGTCCGCCGGTATGAGGCGAATCATTGCCGACAATGGGGCATACGTAAACGCTTTCTACAACAAGACCATGGACGAACAAGTTCGAAGAATAGTCATGTGCTTGGGTCAAGCGGAACGGGTCTTGAGGACACCCCTTCCCACCGACTTTACCAGACATACTTCGCGCTTGTTGGCTCTTTGGTGCTTCTTGCTCCCATTTGCCATTTACGATGGCTGTGGTCCACTTGGAGTGGTTCCGGCCTCAATGATGATCTCTTATGCCATTCTCGGAATCGAAGATGTTGGTTTGCAAATCGAAGAGCCCTTTAACATCCTTCCCATCCGTCAGTACAGTGATGGTATCAACGCCGGAGTGGATGCCATTGCCAATGGATACGACCTGTTGGACAACAACCCATTGAAGCGAATCGCCGCCGCGGAAGAAACGACGACCCCCGAAGAACCAGTCATGGAAGATTCTACCAAGTTTGGAAGTGACGAGGCCACTGAATTTGAAGAAGACTCCGAACCACGAGCCGCTACCAACTGAACAAAGGCGGACTGATAATGGCGCTGCGAATACACAAGCGACTGACCCAATGAGACGAACTTTTTCCTTACCATAGTTCCCAAAAAAAAAAGAGACCTACTGACAAAGGCCATTTATAAATCCATGAATGATATGCGACTTGGTCTATCCTTACAATTCATGTAGCCTTGCTGGTTAGAGTTGTGTCCATCCAAGACACGGAGTTCCTCATCGTGGAAGAACTCTTTCCACAAACATACACACACATGCACTGTCCTTCCAACGCTGAAGGGCTCCTTCCTCAATCCACAACCTCCCTCTTAGAAAACGCTACTAGCTATATACGCGCTCAACCTTAGTCATTAGAAGAAAACCTAATATATATAAACTACTACATATTATCCTTTCAATATACAGCACATCTGTTTTCAATAATGCTTGTGTTGGGTGGGCGATGAATGTTCCAAACTGTCCAACATAACTTTTTTCTTTTGCACGGCTTTGCTTCGATGTGCTACTCCTATCGTATGCTTAGAACATACAGTAGCTCTTACTTTTTTCGATCCACTCCACGCATTATGATTTGATTCCTTCGACTCAAACCCACGACTCGACTACTAATCGATCCTGGTATTGATCCCGGATTCGGAACCTATTTGCACATATACCTTCAACAAAATTAACGAATGATGGGTGTTGTCAAGATCCACACAACCAAGAAAGTGCCCGTCCACTATTATTGGGCTAGGTACAAAATATCTATAAGCTCTTGGGATCTCGAAGACAAAAGGTCACTACACACAGTGAATCAATGATGATGATGATGATGACAAGACAGCACACACTCTTGCAATGCATAATAATAATTGGCAGCTGTGTCATTGCTTCAACCATCGCCAGCAACATTGGTCAACCCATCAATGAGTATTTTGAATACAATGCACCACTTTTGGGCGACGAATCTTGTTCGTTAATATCGATAGTTATGGACGAAAGCGGATCCATGGCAACAGAACAAGACTTTATGAAGAATACAGCCATTCCTTCTATCATTACTCAATTAAAGGATGCTGGGGTGGACAACGTCTTTGTTTGCGTCCATGGATTCGGATCTAGCGAACACGATCCCTTTGGACTGGACCGAGGACACCTGCACGGCTGTACAGAAGGCACTGCACAAGGAGTGGTAGATTCCAGCCTCATGGACAGCTGGGTTACGGAAGGAAAGTATGAGGACGGATGGCAAGCGATCCACTACGCTATTCGCGATTTGCCCAGTGAAATTAACGGAAAGAACTTGGTACAAACCTGCAAAACGATGGGTCGCAATATGATCCTAGTCACAGATGAGGTACGTTGGAGAACGAATGATGGGGAACCAACATATTGAATTTATGATCATGACCGAGTCAGTGAGTAGCTCACAAATCATCTTTTTGTTGCGAATCAATCCTTCAGGCGAGATATGACAACTCTTGTGACGGCAACCTATTCCAAACCGAGTTCAAAACCGACGACTATGGTGCTGAAACATCGTGGACACTAGAAGATAGAGAGAGCAACGTCATATCACAAGACGGAGGGTACCTTCCGAATGAAGTGGTTCGGGTCACCAAATGCTTGGAGAAGGACCAGATGTACAAGCTTCTCTTTGAGGACTCCAACTTGGATGGATTTTGCTGTGACCAGGGGCAAGGATACATCAAAGTGTGGTACGATGATGAATTGATTGCCGACTCTCCGGCAAATTTCCTGTACAGGGCCTGCGTCATGATGCCACCAGAAGCTGACCCGGCACCCTATCAAGGACGGTTATTGAATGTGGAACGGCGGGAACGACAACTCGATTCCACCAATTACTTCACGCTCGATAACACTCAGCAAAAGCTACTGGATACTGGGTACCGGTTAACTACCATTACCATGCTTTCCATGTACGGCCTGCGCTTGGATGCTCGGCCACTGGGAATCTCTTCCGATGGCATCATTTTTGAGCCTGACGCCAATGGTTCCTACACTAAGAACAACAGCTTTGACACGAGGCTGCCTCTTGACTTGCTGGATCCCAACAAAATGGCAATCGATTACGCGTCCATTGCCTTTGAGACGGGCGGGGGCGCCTGGCTCTTGCATTCACTGCGGGAAGGTGGGCAGCATTCCGAGTCTTTTGCACAAGCCTTTGCCGATATCAACGCAAAAAACTTTGAGGAGGACGCCTTTGCAACCTATGCACCATCCGTCTCTCCATCGCTTGAACCTTCTGCTGCCCCCAGTACATCCAATCCATCCATTCAGCCATCGGCAGCTCCATCTTTTAGTCCAACCACATCCCAACCATCCGAGCAGCCCACTGTTCAGTCAACTATTCAGTCAACTGTTCAGCCAACTATTCAGCCAACTGCATCAACGACAGAGGAGCGCACAGAAGTCATTCCAGAAGAAGGAGTCTTTGACGGTCGCATCAAGGCTCACGAAGATGAAATGGGGGATGATGATAATGATGATGATTCCAGTCGCGCCATTGTTGGTTTTGCCACAATTGGACTCCTTTGCGCGCTGGGTGTGGCCTTTGTGGCATCCCGAACAAAGCAAGGCAAAGAAGAAGAAGAAGAAGAAAAAGAAAAGGAGGACGGCCTGATTCCCACGCGCCCACGAGCGGACGATACCGAAACCGAAAGTCTGGACGATACGGAAGAAGCATCTAGTCCGCTAGACACTTCCACACGGAGTGACAATGATGAACGCTTTGCACTCACTGGATTGGCCCGATGTATGGAATATGCTGCCTCTTCTTTTCGATGGGACAAAGACCAAGATCATATGGTCGATCTTTGCGAACTTGCCGGCGAGTATGGAGGTGATTTTCACGGAGAATCATCATACGCCGGCGATTATGATGAAGGAGAATTTGAGTGAATGAAGTGAAGCTATAAAATTATAATATATACAATTGTATAATAATCATTAAGATAATAATAAATAGTGTTTTGAGCTTATTTCCTCGTCAAGGCTGGATGTAAGAAGAAGGTGACGTTCCAAGACGAATGGCTGAGCGCAATGATTGTGCGTGTCGATCGAACAAGATCTTAAATATTTTATTCTAGCTTCCCTCTGGTCTGATAGATTGCCTGTAACCCAATCATACCCAGCAATGATCTAGTATAGTATAGTATAGTATAGTATAGTATAATAATACCAGACATTCATCAGTCTGCTTGCTTGATAAGATCTTGTATTCCATCTCGCAATGCCTGCGAACATTTACCAAAGGCTTTTTCATCTCCAACCTCGTACCACAAGGCAGACGTCCGATCATCCTTGCCTAGGAACTTTCCTCCTTTGGACCGAATGTAGTTCAAAACCTTTTTGGACAAATCTCCCTTGACTCCCTTGGGGGCTGCAAAGTAGGCCATCCGAAACTTTGCCACCAAATCCCGCAGCCTTTTATTTCCCGGATTTATACCGGTAAAGCCTCCTCGTCCATACAAGACATCATGTGGACCGACGTGCAAGATGGGATCAAGTTTTTGGATATCTGGCCCCACGGGTGGCATTTCAGGAGCGTTCTTAATCTCTTGCCATGCTTTCGGAGGAAGAAAGTCTTCGTACTTTATGGGGCCAACGCGATTCTGTTGTTGTTGCCGTCGTTGTTGATGTGGTCCCACTCCAGGAGAAAAGGCCGGTATTCGTTCCGTATTGGCATTCACTGCCGTGTGCAATGGTATAGTAATGGCAAAATGTGCGGATGGACTATAAATGGACACCTTTGGGGGTGGTTGCCTCGATGCTGCTCGGATTTTGCTAGCTGCGAGTCTTTTGGCTTCACTCGTCGGTATCTCAACATCATCATAGATTCCACCGTTCGATTTCTTTGTATTGGAGAAAGAATTTTTGGATGCTTTGTTAGCAGCAGCGCTGGATCTCTTTTTGTTCACATCATTGTCTGGGCGAACGGCTGAAAATAGCTGTCCTTTTAACCTGGAAGCTGTTAACCTTGCTAGACTTTTCCTTCTTTCTTCGGCCTGTTTCTCTAGGAGCAACTGATATTTGGATACAGGGGGCAGGTTACTTCCAACTTTGGGTGCGGAGGAGACTGGACTCATCATCAAAAACTCTTCATTTTCTCGTCTGTCATATTCGAGGTATTGTTTTGGTTCCACAGCATTTTCAAATTGATCGGTAACCGTTGGATGCTTTTTCCTCTTTTTCCCCATGTCCATCAAAAAGACCTTTGGGATCATGGGAGGTGTAATAGGCTTGACCCTGTCATTGGCTCGCAACAAGTCTTCCAAGGTTTGCCGTGGGCGTTTCTTGGATTTGGGTGGATAATATGGAGGCGGCTTCAGTCTAGCCTTTGAAGTTCTCGATTTGCCATTGCCATTGCTCTTTGGAACATAGGAAGTGGGTGGTTTGACCAGTGGTTGTTGTTGTCGTCGTTGCTGTTGTTGTTGCTGTTGTTGAAACCCCAACAAATTGAATACAGCGTCCTTTTCTTTCTTTTTATTCAACGTCGCTCGTTGCAATCCAGCAGTCTCGACACGTTTTTGGATATTATCAGTTGTTTTCAGCATCATCGTATAGAGTTGATTGTGTGTCTTTCAACAACAAAGGGTTTGCTTCAAGGGAACCAAACGGATCCGATTGACGGCCGTGCAGTTGCGTGACTGACACTATCACTCTCGTTTCGTTTCGCGTCTGAAGGAGAAACCACAAAAGAACTGCAATGGAAACTGTGCGGTGCGTTTTACTCAATCAGTTGGCTCTTTTAGCCTCTCACAGCATGAGGACGCAAAACAAACAACACCGAGACTTCTTGTACTGTATTTAGTTATTGCACGCTATTTTGGTATTGAGTGTATCGTGTGTGAAGGAACCGCTTACTGTACCTTCTCTGTTTGCGTGGGGCCAATGAAATGAAATCGTACTGTAGTTTATTGGAGTTTTGGAGACTTGTGGAAGGTGCACGTACCAGTAATGTAGGATACAGTACTGTAGGATACAGTACTTTCAGATACTGTGCGGTACCGTACTGGTAACGGTACGAGTACCGGCACGAGTTCCAGGGAATTAGTCACGTCCCCATTTGATTCATTCGAACTTCAAACACTAAACAGTACAGTTCTGTATTATATATTGTCATCATCGGCTCAGTAATCTTAAAATCATACGATATACTTATATTATTCCATCACTCTTTCAAAGACATCATTCCTACAATCTCATATGAGTCAAAGCACCGCCTATCATTCCATGCGCGACAAAAATGGAGAAATGTCTGAGTTTCACACTTGGAGTTCCGAGCAACTTGGTTTGTTCTTTCGGAACAAGGGACTGGGAGAATACAGCGATCTGTTGCGCAAGCACAAAATCACGGGACAGCTAGGTAAGAAAGTTTCTTTCTGGAGTAGTACACATACGAATAATAGGATTGGTGTGATTGATTGGTGTGATTGATTGGTGTGATTGATGGGGCGGTCTACGGACTTGTACCTTGTCTCACGTCGTTTTCATTTCCTTCTTTTGACTGCGGAATCACTACTACAATAAATACCAGCTCCACTCCTCGAGGACTCGGATCTGAAGGAAATTGGAATCTATGTGGTGGGAGACCGTCTCATGTTCAAACGTCACCTTAAAGAATTATCTAGAAGGGATAGATTCAATTCGCGGATGGAAATTCTGTGGAATGGAGAGGAACAGGTCTTTTTTTCGAATGTGGATCGATCCTTTTTTGTAAGTACAATCAAAGAGATGCAAAATGCAATGCAAAACAGAGGGATGTAATGCTTGCAACGAGGTCTTTTGATAATATTCGAACCGCTTTGCTTTCTACTTTCTAATATCCCATCGTTTTTCAAATAATTCAATCACAGACATGCTGGGGGATGTGTCCAGTAGATCCTAGTACCTATAGTCTTAGAACCAATCATTTGCGAGTCAAAAAGGTGCAACCAGTTCGTTGTGGACCCGTCCGACTTTGGTGCTGTGGAACCTATCATCACAGCAACAATATTGATTTGTCCAAAGTCGATGATGTGGATGTATATGGGATTCCAGCGCCCTGCGTACAAAGGTCTTGCTGTTGTGCCAGAGGAAAAGACCGTATTGATATAGAAAGTCGCTTTGAAAATGGTGGCGAAAAGATTTCCCTGATTTTGGAACAGGGCAAAGGCGACGAAGTTGCGGCCATGATTCTGAATCAGGTCGAAGAATCGCAGCAAATGGATCGAGGCACCTCGTTTTAGCTCATCTCCTCTTTCCACCATTCTTTTTCAATTGTTTTGTTCAAAACAATAAATCAATATAGTGTGTCTGTCATTTTTTGTGAGCTGGATCATGATTTTTCTGCTTCTTCCAATGGTTTGAACCCTACTTTTCGATGTTTGCGGAGACATTTCGTTCCACAGTAGACGAAGGTATACTTTGAAAAGTATTCTCCCATTATTGGTTCGAATTTCTTTTTGCATATCGAACATGTCAAGTAATACTTGGGTACTTCAGGAGTTGGAGGAGGCACCCACCACTGCAACAATCGACGTGGATTCTTGTTCAGCATCAACTCAATGTGCTCACTCGTAATAACTTCTTTCTTTTTCAGTCTTGGTACTAGCTCTTTCAGAACAACTGGATATCCAACGCCACCGTACCTTTTGAGTTGTAGTTTCATCATGATGCCAGCACTGAGAACAATTTGTTCCGCGTACTTTGCTTTCTTCGAAAGTAGGTTGGATGCGGTGTCCACAACGCTGGCTAGAGTTGGAAAGTCTTGGTCAAAATCAAAGAACGCACATGCGGAGACGGAATAGCTGTCAAAACAAACAATGGCTCCGCGATCCAATACCTGTTCTAGAAGAATTTGAAGTGCCAAAGTCATGTCGGTTTGTTGCGCATGTCGGTGCAGCAACAGATCGGCATGTGCCACTATAGTCTTGCTAACGATTCCACCACTATTCGTCACAAAGTCTAATATCCCCGAGACTGCTGTGAGTGAGGGCGCTACTAGAACCAAGGGAGCATTGCTGCCCCCCTGAACAGCTGCGTATGCCTTCAGCTCATTTTGTTCTGCTACAGGAAAACCTTCCGAGATGTGCATGGGACCACAAAAACTGCACCGCACAATTTTGCTGTCTGGTGAAGTTAGGTTTTTGTAGTCATCTTCACTTCTAGTACCAATTCCGTACTTCAACTCTCGCTCCATGTGTTCCATGTTTCTCTGAAAGCCGTCCATTGCAGTACTGTTGGTGTTGGTGTTGGTGTTGGTGGTATCCATGTCAGGATGTTCTGTAGGACACGTTGTTCCGATAAGAAGGTGAATTCCCAGCTGCTGGGAAATTCTTTGGCATGCCTTGTGATCTCGTCCCTCTTTGGCAGTTGTCATGTCCAAGAGGACAACCTTGACATCGTTTGCTACACCATCGGATAAATGCCGAATTTCTCTACAGGCTTCATTCTCAGAGTTTAGTAGCATATTCTCTAGATATTGAAATGGACTTGAACGAATCTCTGATAGATTCTCCATTGTGAACGGAACTTGTCGACTACTTGTTGTATTATCCGAAGATGAAGTCACCATGGATTGTCCTGATGCTGGATTGGAAATGATTTTTTCGTACATCATGACTGGTCCAAATAATGTGTCTTCGACATCGAATGGACCTAATACAGTCATGGTCTTAGCTTTCGCTTTGTCATTTTGCTCTTCAGCCGCCATTGTGCTTTGGTGTTGTGACGTTTCAAATCGGCTTGACTGTTGAGCTGTTGGCTGATTTTAAAAAATCTAATCGTCATTTTTGGTCGAATTCGATTAGCTCGACTAAAAACATGAACTTAAAATTAGTTTGAAGATCCGCTCTGCGATGGCTCATTTACTCCCTTACCGGTACTCGTACTCTGTCATGGACGTTCGATACAATGCTCTGTCTAGATTCAGCACACGCAATGAGACAATAAATAATATATATGATAAAACTTTTACTTCATAGCGTGACGCATCGTTATGAAGTCCCCTTAAAAAAACCAAGCTTGACACCAATTCGGAAAATGAAACAGCCAATGCAGAAGTCCAAAAACCCTTCTAGGCCCGTAGCAATCGCAAGTCCAGCCATGAACGCAGATCCCACATAGTCGTTGTACGGAAACGGTGCAAGGAACGCGAAACTGCCCAGTACAGAGAAAAGCAGCCCAAGGCAGGTTGCAAATTGCTTTGGTTTACCCATTCTTGGCATTGGCTCGAAAGGAAAAGCTAGAATCATTGCAATTCGTCCAAATAGTGAGATTCTAGCCCCACCTAGGAAGCGCAAGAAAAAGTCAATGGCGACGACATATGCCACATAATGTGCCCAAAAGAACTCCTCAAAGTGCACCAATACTGCAGCTAGTACACTAGCAAAGAATGTCAGAGAGCCTGTGATTCGAACGACAGTTGCATCGACCTTGTCGGGGAACCAAAAGTAGGTCGACATACTATATTGGGAGTTGGAGATGAAAGTTTCGCATTGATCTGCTTGAGAAAGGCCCTTCAGGTAGTCCTTCTGAAGGTTTCCTTTCGCGTATAGAGCATTTACTTCAGAAAAGCCACCGAGGAATTCACCACGGATAAAGATGAATGGTGTGGTGGCATGCTTGGTCTTTTGAGTGACATATTTGAGTATTTCCTTTCCTTGCGGGTGAACATCGATTTCAACTGAATGGACTGGAACATTGAGTTGTTTGACCATAAAGTCAATAGCATCAACTGAGAAGAGGCACCATGTACGGTTGAACATGACAACAGAATGTGACGCGATAATAGCTTCAATTTTCTCTCCGAGTGTAGAGCCTTCGTAGGCGTCAATGTCTATGATCACACTCTCTTCAGCTGACTCTGTTGTCCGAACTGTAGCACCCACTGAATCCGGTCGTTCACTCTTTGGGTTGCTTGCATCATCGAGCGATATTCTAGTAGGCAGTTCGTTAGATGGCCGTCTTCCACTTGATTGCCTTGAAACATCATACTCCATTCCGATCTCTATGTCATGGTCGCTTGTTTCATTGGCTCTTTGTTCGCTCGATTGTCTCGTGACACCCATCTTTCCATCCTCCATGATATCATGATATTTGTCTTCATTCTTGGCGGCTGTCTGCTCTTCAGTCCTAGTCTCTCGTTTCTCCTGCTGGTTTGGTTCGAGTTCCCTTATGTTGCCAGCCATTGTATTACTTGGAGCCATATTGATGCAGTAGCCGCAGTTAGATGGAATCTTTGTGTAGTCAATAAAGAACAGAAACAAGAAGGGGTTGTGTCTCGGTTTTTATTTTTAACAAAATAGTGGCGCTCAATAAAAGATCAATGGAAAAAACTCCGAATCTGACCATCCGAGAGTTCACGTTTCGCCGATGCTTGAAAATTTAATTAACGAATTCTTTTTGGACTAATAGTATTTTTTCTCTTTCTCCAAGGACCATTCATGAATATTATGCGAAACGTTTTCCGGTGGCACCTGCTAAGGGGAAGAAATTATGTTCCTACAGTAAGTGGTAATGGAGAGATAATTACCCCCCATGAGGAAAATGTCATGTCAATTCAGCTAGGGATTTCAAGAACCTGTCAGGTGTCATGAGGTTCTTCGGAGACATGCCAGATAAGATGAAATCTATTCTAATATAAAAAGCAATACTGTAGCTATTATAGAATATCTTGAAATTGCATGTCTACTGTATGGGATCACGTGTTCGGAAGACGATACTAAGTTGAATCAATCGAACACCCTAGGATGTCCCCTGAAAGATACCAAATAGTACTCCCATACGGAACAATAGACAACAAACACAAAAGTCCAAGAAACCCTCCATCCCCGTAGCAACAGCGAGTACACTCATGAGCACAGATCCCACTACATCATGATGCGGAAAGGGCAGAAGGAAGGCAAGGCTTCCAAGTCCAGAAAACAGAATGCCACAACACGCTGCAAACTGCTTCGGTCGACCCATCCTGGGGATTGGCTCCAGGTAAAAGGCTGACAGGATTGATATTCTTCCAATCAGTGAAAACTTAGCCCCACCAAGCAATCTTAAAACAAAGTCGATTGCGATGGCATACGCAATATACCTCGCCCAGAATAGGTATTGAACCAAGAATGCACAAATTACACTGGCAAAACAGGTCACAACTCCAGTGATGCGAACAACGTTTCCGTCAACTTTCTCTGGAAACCAAAAGTAGGGTTCTGTTTTATATTGTGCACCAGAAAAAAAGGTTTCACATTGATTGTCTTGTGATAAATCCTCTGGAAACAGTTTTTGAAGCTTTCCTTCAGCATACAAAGCATTTACTTCTTTGAACCCGCCGAGAAACTCGCCTTTGATAAAGATACATGGGGTTGTATAATGCTTTGTCTTCTCCTTCATGTACTTAGATATTTTCTTTCCTTGTGGATGGAGATCGACTTCAATTGAATGAACTGAAGCATTCATCTGTTGAATCAAAAAGTTTTGGGCATCGACCGAAAATAGGCACCACGTTCGATTGATCATCACAACTGGGTGCGACTGAATGAGGGTGTCAAGTTTCTCCTCCAGTGTGGATCCTTTGTAAGTATTGATATCAGCTATTTTATGAAGCTTGGATTTCCTGGTTGAAATATGATCATCCTGGTGGGTTTCAGAGTGCGTGTCAAGGGAACGCGCGGTTACTCCACTTTCATGAAACTTTTGTTTCTCCATTTCATCGGTCGAAGGTGCTGGATATCCATTTGGAGGACAATCACCCGCATATGGAAGGTCTATGATCTGCTTTTCAATATCATCGTCTGTGGCTGGTGGCACGGATACCGTGCAGTTCGCTTGATTTGGCGCCATTTGTTTGTTGAAAGTATTTTGTGAGCGTATTTTGTGAGCGTGTTTTGTGGGTCATTGAAATTGGAAAATTTCGCCGCGTGACTGGAAAAATGTCACGAAATATTTTTTAGTACTTTCTGTCTAATATTTAAAATAAATGTGCGGAGGAACAAACATTGGACAGCAGGATCGATCAGCTGTTTTCTAATACTGTACCGGGGCGCCAAAATCCATCCACAATAAAGAGACTGGGACCCTTCTACGGTTTATTTTTCTGGTGCTTGTTCTGGGACTTTTGGGGCTCTGCCATTGGACCGATGGTGTCAGTGCTATATTCGTTCCTAAGCCAAAAAATGCACCTTCCAAAACACTTGTCTGTCCTTTTGTCTTGTGGGGCTCGTGGAGTGGAAGAAACCTGCGGCCCTCGAAAAGCTTGAAAAGAGACGACAAAAGAGCGAGTCGTAATTACAACAATAGGTCCCTAGCATTGAATCTGTAATGTGTCTTTTTAAAGTAAAATAATAGGATATATTCTAACTTCTCGCTGCATCACTTTCAACTTGTACAACACTTAGCCCCTTCTTAACAAAACCCAATAACGAACATTGACCATCGAGTTTTGGCCCTCCTTACCTACTGGTAGTCCCTCGGAAGATACCAAGCTTGACACCTATTCGGAAAACGAGGCAACCAACACAAAAGTCCAGAAACCCTTCCATCCCCGTGGCGACTGCAAGCCCACCCATGAAAGCAGAACCTACCATGTCGTGATATGGAAACGGAAGAAGGAAAAACAGACTTCCAAGTCCTGAGAAACAGATACCACAGCAGGTCGCAAATTGTTTGGGGCGGCCCATTCTTGGGATTGGATCCAAAGGAAGGGCTAGGAGCATTGCAAATCTTCCAAACACTGAAAACTTGGCACCACCAAGCAATCGTAGTACAAAGTCTACAGCGATTGCATAAGCCACATACCGAGCCCAAAAGAATTGTTCCCAGTGGACCAGTATGGCACAGAGTGCGCTGGCAATGAAGGTCAAAACTCCAGTGAGACGAACCACGTTGCCGTCAACCTTGTGTGGAAACCAAAAGTATGTTGACATTTCGTAGTCAGAATTTGCAATGAAGGCCTCGCATCGATCTGCTTGGGAAAGACCTATCAAATAGTCGTCTTGAAGCTTTCCTTGTGCATAAAGGGCGTTGACCTCTGAAAAGCCACCAAGAAACTCTCCTCGAATGAAGATCAATGGAGTTGTATGATAGCTACATTTGTCAGTGACGTACTTGAGGATTTCTTTGCCTTGGGGATGGACATCGACTTCAACGGAGTGGACTGGTACATTCAACTGTTGCACCAGGAAGTCTATGGCATCGACTGAAAATAGGCACCATGTGCGATTGATCATCACAACAGGGTGTGACGCAATCATGGCGTCTATTTTCTCTCCAAGTGTGGATCCGTTGTAGGCATCAATATCAGTTATTACATGGACCTCAGCGTTGTCAGATGCCGCTACTGTGTTCTCTAAAGGGATATGACGATCATGTCCACTAGTGTTGGAAGAAGTATCGAGATCAGTGTCCCCACTGCCCCGAGACTTTTCTTCCCCGTGACTACGGTCATCTGGGAGCTCCGGGTATCCGTTTTCAGGAGGAGGGCTATTGTTGTTGTCTTGAACCTCAATGACTCCCTTCTCTATATCTTGTGTTTCATCTATTTCAACAGATTGAATAGCTCCGGTAAAGTCTACTCGGATAGGCGTCATTTTCAAAAGCGGTTGATGAGTCTTGTGTCTTGTTTGTCACTTGTGCAGACAGCGTTCGTTTTCAATAATTTGTGGAGGTGTAGAAGCGCAATTACATTTGGAAAAAGAACCGCCGGATTCTAGTTTCTGGTTGGGCCCGTAGATGAGTGCCAGAATGAGTTGGAATGAATGGCATCGGTTTTCGTCGCGTTCGCCGTGGGTTCTTGTGCGGCAAAATTTGTACCGCCTCGAAGGCGTTAATATCACTATGTCCCATCGTTGGCGTTTTTGAAACCAAAGAAGCTGCAAAATTATTTAAGACGCGGTGTTCGACTTCTGCTTCACAAGAGAAATCAGTCACACGGGTGATAAATTCTAGCCAAGAAGACCCTTGATGTTTCAACGTGACAAAATACCATAATCAGAGAGAGATAGTGTTATTCCTGTATTTGTAATTGGTACTGGTACCTGGTACCAACGGGACCCATGTAATACAGTATATGGATGGTGGCTCATGCTGTCATCTGAGGTTTTACAAAAATGCTATTCCGCAAAGTTTTTCACTCTCCTCCAGAAGTGCCCCTGCTGAATGATTGCAAAAGTTTATAGTTTGCTTCACACTCCTGCAGAATCCATGCCCTTTTATTATTCAATAGCGGAGGCTTGTGAGATCGCTCCCTCGGCTACTAGGTACGAGTACCAGGCAGTGCTGCTTTGATGCTGCCTTGATGCTGCCTTGGAACAATTTGGACGTTATGCCACTGCCTTTGGCCATATCTGTTCTTGCAACTCCAGGACCCCCCGACACTCTGCGTCTGCTCATCATCCGTCACTCTGGGGGATATTTTACCTTTTTCTTTCCCCATAATCTAGAGGTCCAGTTCAGGGGAACTCTGGTTTTACTTTGGGGTCGAATTGAAACTATACAAAAGGAGTCGAAAGTACAGTACCAGGTAGGCAAAGTCAATCCGAAAGTAGGCAAGGAAATTTGAAACTATACAAGGTCGATCTGAAAGTAGGCAAAATAATTGGTACATATCGGATAAATGGGGTTTGCAAATCAGCTCACGACTACCAGCTTCTACGTACGTGTACATGTCGTCAGCTGGAACCAAATCCGGGCTATTTTCTTCAAAAAGCAAATCAAAATATATGAGGGGAGAGTTTCAGGGGATATGAGAGACTCGCAAAACACCAGTGCTTAAAATAATAATCAGGCAGGTCCAGTTCTACCGGTAGATTGGATGGTCCTGGATC